AAGAAGGTAGTAAGAAGAAAGTAAAAATAAAAGATATATTAATAAAAGGAATAAAGGAGAAAGGAAGGCCTAATAAGAGAATAATAAAGGAGTAGTATAAAAGTATAATAGTAGAAACCTATTTACTTTAAAGATAAAGAAGTAGTAGGAAGAAAGTGAAAGTAAAAGATATATTAATAAAAAGAATAAAGAAGAAAGGAAGGCCTAGTAAGAGAATAGTAAAAGAGTAGTATAGAAGTATAATAGTAGAAACCTATTCACTTTAAAAATATAGAAGTAGTAAGAAGAAAATAAAAGTAAAAAATATATTAAGTAGAAGAAGGAAAAGAAAAAGAAAACCTAGGTGAAATATAGTGACTATATAGTGAGGGAGTAGTATAGTTAAATAATAAGAAAAGGAGGACTAATTATAAAGTAAGTATAAGCTACTAAATAAATAGTAAAAATAAAATCACTAAATCACACGTAAGGAACCTACGAAGGCCTAGCATATTTAGCACTACTATATATATACTTAATAATAGGCGCGCTAAGGACGGTGTGTAGGAAGGAAGGGCAGCCTATTAGGGTCCTATTAGGGCACCTATTAGAGCCCCTATATTATATATATTAGGTGCGTATAAGCACCTATATAATAGTGAGCTGCCGCTAAGCTCTTTATAAGGAGGCAGCGATAATTCCATCTTTATAAAAATATAAAAGGGATCATTACGTGACTGGAGTCCTCCGAGCGAAGCACCTCACACACCCCCTTGCCAGCCAGGCAAACCATCTCTCGCAGCAGAAAAAGAACACCTTTGTCCTCCGTGCCCATGGAAGGGAACGTGCGGAAAAAAGTGTATCACACCCTTCAATACAGATGTCTCTTTCAAAGGTCGCATCTACTACATAGACGTAGGGTAGGTAAGAATAAGATATAATGAAAGATAAGAGATACAAGAAAGATATGAAAGATAACAGGGATAAGGAAGACAACAGGGATAAGTAAAATAAGAGGGATAATAAAGACGAGAGGGATGTTAACATCCCCCTCCTGCTCGGTGTGGTGTACGAAGTTTGATTCTTTCACAACCCCCTTCTGCTAGGACCCCCCTCCGGCTGGATAGGCGACCTAGGATATACATACTCCATACCACACTTCCACATAGCGCGCCGTCCCGCTGCGTATAACGCCTTCTCGTCAATCTTTACCTGAGAGGCATGCGGTTCTAGCAACTTTGAACATGTTCGGCAAGCTACAGAAAGCGGCGACACAGTATGCGGGCTGTTCTGTGCTGCCCCAACGGTGAGACGCATTCATTCTTAGTCACGTCTCTATACTAATTCGTTCATGACTAGGCCCCGGTGCCTCAGAGGACCACACAAACGCGACTAAAGAGCACGTCGTGGAGATTACGCTTCAGCAGCGTCGCTCCCACACACGGGAGAAAATGAAGATGCCATGACAATGAGAAGACCCCTCCTCGGTTTGAAAATGGTGAACGCGAAGCTTGATCAGCTCAGACACCACCCTTGAATCAAACAGCCCGTCACCAGGCAATCCTCAAATTCACTGCACTCATAACCCCCCTACCATCGGTCTGAATATCTCGGGCTTGGACCCAAAGATGGGCATCAATCATTCAGAGGCCTACACAGTCACCCGTTCACCGCCCCCGCCCCCCCTTGCCCGAAGTTCTGACCCCAGCCTACTTTCACGGCTACGATGAGGCAGGCTTCATGAACAAAACTGGTGTGATGGCCTCCATTGTACCCGACATTCACTCTCCTCATCAACTCTGCGCGGACCCCATACTCGTCATCGAAACGGCACAGGACGCCAGTTCGACCCCATCCATATCCTGGAGCCTTGGCCGCTCGTTGGGCCTCTCTGACAGTCCCAGGATCGTGGGAAAACACAAGTACTCCGCTGCTTCTCCGGCGTCAAGCAAGAGAAGCCACCTAATAAATCCCGGGACCAAGACTCGATCGATGACCAAATGACTCCCGTCGACGAGGATTGGGGCAGAGTCATTCTCCCGTCCATGACCCTCACGCGCTCTCATAACCGCCGCGCCCGAGCAAGGAAAAGACAAGTACTCATTCACCCCCGATATTGGCATTGAGCAAGAGAAAACCACCGAATCGAAGGAGCAAGAGCAGAACATGAAGCAAATGAGCGCTGTCGACAAGGAATGGGGTGCCAATCCTTCCTCCGCGGAAGACAACCATGACAACCAGGAGGAACAGTCTGCCGAAGAAGAAAAAAGCGATGAGGGCCAGGAGGAACAGTCCACCGAAGAAGAAAGAGACCCTAACGACCAAGAGGAACATGCAGCTCAGGTCAGAGGTTGAGCTCAAGATGTCACTACGACAACCCCAGACATATCACTGCAACGGGAACGAGGCTTAGTATTTGGCAGATTTTTTCGTGTGACGGTCACGGCAGGCACCAAAACAGCCGCCCGTCGCATGCGCAGTGTACCGGGAGGTTCCTGCGCGGCTGGCCACGCCGCCAACGTGGCCAGTTAGCCAGCCTCCGGACCTCTTGGACTTTTCCAAGAGGCTAAAGCTGGTTCCCCTTTTTTGATAAATCATAATTGTCATTTACGCGGAAGTCCACCGTTGAAGTACACCGTTGTCTTACCGAATCAAGTTTTCTCTCATTCACTTCGCCGATGAAAACTTCTCACTTCACTCACTTCACCCAGCAACCCCAGCCACCCCTTGCCAGCTGGCAGCCGTCAGCAAACGGATGCAGACAGTGATCAAAACACCACGCACAACATTCTCGAATTTCTCTTTCTTCATAACATTATCGGATCAATTTCTCTCTTTCTGGTTGTACCTTGTCGCTGGCCCAATGTCACATCGCGCATGACGGTCTACAGGCACTTGGACATTGGGTCTCGCGGTTGGGTCTGAGCACGCTGGCGGACAAAACAGCGGCAATACGAGACCTAGCCATGCCTAAGAACCTGAAGGAACTGGAGGCTGGCCTGGGTATCATGGGATACTACCGCGAGTTTGTCGATCATTTCTCCGCAGTGGCAGACCCGTTGAACAGGCTCAAGGCACAAGGTTTTCGGCGGGCCCCAATCAAGAACCCTGCACGGGACTCGTACGCGGCAAAAATCACTTTCCCTTACAGCGCTGAGCCCCCCGCGGATACTTCCACCCCGTCGCTGCGTCGTGAAGCTGAACGCATACGCCGGCAAAATGACAATGCCGGGCAGCTGTGGGAGGAATGCCAAGTGGCTTGGGAAAAGCTGAAGACCGCCCTCGTCAACGCAGTCGAGCTGGCACACCCAGGCTTTGACAAACCCTTTAAATTACACGTCGACGGCAGCAAAGAACGCGGATTCGGTGCCGCCCTCCACCAAACACAAGAAGACGGGAAGCTGCGTCCTATACTGTTCCTATCCAAGAGCCTGTCACCAGCCGAACAAAATTACGGCGCGACAGAGCTGGAGACAGCCGCTCTAGTGTGGGCACTGCAGAAGCTGGAACATTATCTAGACCACGCACAGATCGTCGTGGTATCTGACCACACCGCGATTCGGGATACGTTCGCGAGCATTAGAAACGGCAAACCAAAAGGCAAATACCGGTTGGTGAATTGGCGATTATATCTTGAACGTTGGCGTCGGAACATCAAGATCAAGTACAGGGAAGGTCGCGCTCACGTCAACGCCGACGCCCTGTCCCGACTGCCCACGGTTCACGACGTCGTCGAGGTGATGCTCACCGAGTCGATTTCAGCGGCGACGCCCCAGCCAAAAACCACTCCCCTCGCCGATGATTTGTTGACTCGCATTGCACAGGCGCTGCCGGCAGATCCAACCTTTCGGAAAATCTACGCACGTTTACGACAAAACGAGGCACCGGATATATTACACCATTTTGCTATCCAGCGTGACTCGAAGCTTCTCTATTTCTACGACGCTGACAACTGGCGTTTGTGTGTACCTGAGAAAATGATCGATGAAGTCATTCGCGTTGGGCACGATGATCGATCGCACGCGGGCGGAGCTCTGCGCACGTACGGATTCCTCCGTGATTACGTCTTCTTTCACAACATGCGCCGTCGTGTCGCCGCATACGTGTCAGCGTGCCCAGAATGCCAAAAATCTCTGCCCAGGAGGTCACTGCCTTACGGGAATATGCAACCTGTGCCTATGCCAAAATGCCCTTTCGCCACTGTGTGTTTGGATTTCGTCACAGGCCTGCCAGAACACGACGGGGTCGACTGCTTGCTCGTCGTAGTCGATAAATTTTCCCGCCTCGTTCGATGCCTGGAAGGCCGGACGGACTGGTCCGCCGAGCAGTGGGCAACGAAATACATACGTCAGGTGTATCCCGAGTGGGGCATGCCGCACCAATTCATACATGACGCCGATCCGAAATTCGTGTCGCACCTTTGGCAAGCGCTGTGCGACGCCTCGAACACCACCAATAGGCCAACCACAGCTTACCACCAACAAGCGAACGGCCTGAGCGAACGCACTATTCAGACCTTGGTGCTGTGCCTGCGTTCGGTGATCGGAGGCCGCTACGACACATCGCAATGGCGCAACTACCTACCTCACGTCCTATTCTCGCTGAACACATCAATACAAAGCGCAACGGGCCTGTCGCCGTTCGAACTACTGTACGGACGCAAGCCACGTCATTTCCTACAGCTTTCGGCCACCGCAGAAGACGAAGACTTCGGGTCTTCACAGAAAGCGCGTTTCGCCGACGCCTGGGACGCAGCCCAGCTGGCCGTGGCCCGCACCAAGATTTACTACGACGCAAAGCACCGAACACCCCCTGCTCTGGACGTGGGCGACCTGGTGTACGTTAAGTTGGCCAAGCCGGGCGCAGACGGCTACCACCTTAATCACCAGACGAAGTTGTCCCATCGACGTGCCGGTCCTTTCCCCATCACGAAACGTATATCCGCGCTACGTTTGGAACTCGGCTTGCCCTCCTACCTCAATTGGCGGCCGGAATTCAGCATCGAACATTTGGAACCCGTCCCGGCCTTACCCCCCGGGCCCCTGAAAGGCACGGACAAGTACATCATTGAGAAGATCATCGCCCACCGCCGCGTGGGACGCAAGCGACAATACCTGGTGAAATGGCTCGACTACGATGAGACATACGATAGTTGGGAACCTGAGGACATATTACAAGAGGATGTGCCGAAACTCCTTGATCTTTATAAACAGCAACACAACCTTGTCTCGCGAGGACGCCTTCCACGCTCGCGATGACACCAAAGCCGTCCGTCGCCACGTCGACGCGCGGACACACCTCGGCAGGCACGTCGGGCCGTGTGAACCCAGCCCTGTTGCGCCCCTTGGGGTCGGGCTGGGCATTATTTCTTATGGATCCAGTTTCGAAAATTCTTTTACGATCAACTACAGCGTTATTCTAACGTCAGACCGCCAATCATGTCACGACATCACTAGCCTCTCTATCTTACTTTCACTATTCGACGCGTTTCCTATTGATTCCTCCCTTCCTCGCTTAAGTGAAAATTTTTCTTAACCTGGCGGCAATCTGAATTGTTTTCGTGAGGATCTGCCAGCTGTTAGGGCCGGCAACCCTGAAGGCCTGCCGGCCGTCGCCCGTTTGCACCTCACCCGGCCAACAGCAATCACATAAAATACAATTACGATTCATAGCCCCCCCACCCCTTTTTTTTCTCCTCACCATTCCCGCCTTGACTGTCGTTATGGCGGAAGAAGACAAGATTCCGATGAGCCCCGCCGAGACGGAGGAACCAGTCGAGTACCAGGGCAGCGATGTCGATGAAGACACTGCCAAAGAAGAAAACGCGGACGAAGCCGCCGAGGACGGAGGCAGCGATGTCGATGAAGACACTGCCAAGCATGAAGACGCGGGAGAAGTCGCCGACGAAGAAGACGCCAACCAGGACGGCGAGGAAGTTTCCCCTAAGGACGACACCGCGCCGGCTGAACTCGTCTATAACAGCCTGACCGGCCTTCCCCTCGGCCAAGTCATCGCAAAGCCCTTCCGCCCCTATGGCACGCCCCTGACCGTCGCCGCCATCGTTCACATCAATGATGCCATGGCTCCGGGCTACAACGCGCGTCATGTGCAGTCAGCCGCCCGAGAAATCGGCCTTGGGGTCCGTACCGATGTGTCAATCATTTTGGGTGATTACCAAGTCCCTTCCATCGACGTGCAGGGTCTGTTGGAACACGAACACGGCACGATTCGCGTCTTCCGCCTGGGCATCCCCATAAACACGGAGAATTTCGTGTACACCCACCAGAAGCCACCAGCGGCGCGGCGGAAAGTGCTATTCCCAGAGCAATCGGACCTTTACTCAACCCTGAACGCCACGTCCTCCACCCCCTGTGAAGACGGTGACGTTGACATTATGGCAATTTCGGTCCCGAAAACAGCTGTGGTTTTCAGCCTGGCCGCACCTTCCTACGGGAAGTGGCAAAAATCGGAGGCGACTACGCAAAGATCGGCACCCAGATGGGAGAATGGGCGCGACAAGTGAAGCAGGAGGACGTCGTCCGCATCACGCTGTCTCGCGCGGGCCAGGGCGAGGACGTGTTCATGTGGCCTGACCTTGACCAAGACCTTGCTCCGCACAACCCGTTCGCTGCCATGATACCTGCGCACATCCGCGACTTGACTGGGGATACGGTACAACTCCCTACAGCTGAATCTCACGACGTGATGCCTAAGCCTGTCCCAATCACAAGCCTTTTCTTTGACCAAACCCATCACTACGCATCCCTGTTGGCCGGCGTTTGTGATGAGATGCGTCATAACAATTTACTGGCTTCCGTCGGTGCACAAGTGAACAGTTTCGCTAGGTTCTTTGAACTCCCCTCTCCTTGGACGGAGACCCAGGAAGAACAAATGGCGAACTATGGTCAGATTCTCGCCGATGGCGCAGCTACGGAGTTCTACATGGTCGTCGAGATCACTGACGAAAATCGTGAGCTGCTTGGCTCGGTCGGCGATTCAGTCGTGATCACTACCTCCGGCATCCAGGCACAATCCCACCCGCAGCCAAACCCAACCGACGCTGTGCACATCACCCGCGTCGTGGAAGATCTCATGACCCGTTACCAAGACGCGGAAAATCACGCCCTGAGCGCCCTTTTCGGCGAAGAGGCGACCGCCCTTGCCGCGGCAAACCAGCAAGGCCAAGACGGCGGGCCCCAACAGGAGGTTTTCCATGACGACGCGACGCGGGCTGACATCATCCTTGACGCCATCTACAACAGCATGCGCAAGACCATAGCCTCCTTCGTGTCAAACGCTGCGGCAAGAGAATGGGCGGCCGCCAATCCAAGCGACGTCGCCATGTCGGACTTCGCTCGCTACGTTTATGAAGTCACGACGCAGTTGCGTCGCCGGTCTTGCGAAGACCAGGACTCCTACCGCGAACGTCTTCGCGCATGGGTCACGGCTCACCCAGCGGTCGACGGCGAGAACCGGCACAGTGAGAGAGGTTTGTCGTTCCGTGGGATCCGCGTCATGCCGCCACCTGGAGTCACGCTTCATCACGCCATGTTCTTGGTTCGCCGCCCCCTTCAGCCTGACTACCCCAAAGCGTACAAGGCCCCATACCTTATGATGTCCTTCCCCCTGACGGCCTACCCTGAAAACCTGTCAGACTTCTCCGGCGCGTGTTTCCCTACCCCGGGTGGAAGAACGCGCGACGCGGACGCGAACCAGGCTGAAGACACAATGTCGGCAGGTTGTGTGGTCGTCCAAATCTCCGTGCAATTGGACTCTGCCACGCTCAAACACGAGCTGAAGGCCCTACACATCATGCACCAACTCCGAGCCGCAACAGATGGCGGAATGTTCTGGCAATACATCCGCACTTTCTAGGACTTCCCGGTACAGTATCACCGCAATCTCCTTTCTGTCTTCCCCAGTCTGAATGGTCTGGCCGACCGTGATGACGTGCCCACCTCCCTCCTTACCGTCTTGGCCGAAACGAAAGCGGGCAAAGTTGTCGTCAGCGGCTGCCCTGGCGCCGGCAAAAGCCGTTTGCTGCGCATTATCGCGGAACTCGCTCTTCGTGGCCCCTATCGTCCCAAAGGTGATTCCGCACTACATGTCGCTCCTGCTGTCACTCAGCTCAACGAGCAGACGCGCGCGGAAGTCGACGCAGCGATAGATGGTTTCGACGCCATGGAGCTGTGGGATAGGGAAAATATGGAAATCCAAGACACGGAGCAGGAGGCCCAGCCCGTGCAGGAAGACCAGCCCACCCAAGATCAAGCCGCAGAGCAGGAAGCCCAGTCCGCACAGATGAATGAGGACCAAACCCCTAAGGCGCCCGAGAAGCGTCAAGGCTTCGTGCTGCTCGCAAAACCTAGCCCGGCCATTTTAAGACCCCGTGGCGAGAAACGCGTCCAAATCCTGTGGTCGGCTCCAGCCAACAAGATCGCCGACGATGCCGCACAACGCCTCATCAAGGCCGGCATTGTCGCGATGCGTGCCTACACCTTCTCATCGGAGCTCATTCCCCTTGTGAAGCCGCCCCCAAAGAAGCGTCAGGAGTTGACTGCGAATCCGGACAAGCCAATGACGGAACGCTATTTCACCAACCATCGAAATGAGCTGTTCAGACAGAACGCCGCGCAGTTGACTGCCGCCAACGACCCTATTTCGCTGTCCAGCCAAGTCATGGTGCGTGTGGACCCGGCAGACCGTCGCATGGTCGTGTTAGCTCGGGCGCGTGAATTATACGAGACGGACCCTCATATGTACTCGTTAGGCAAGGAAAGTGCGACGACAGCCGCCAAATCCCTGCTGGAGGAAGTGGCAATGACCGCTCAAGTGCTTTGCTGCACACCGGTGGCTGCCCGCACGCTTGGCAATAACACCCAATACGTCCCCTCCCTCATTTTCTCTGACGAGAGCGGACGCCTGACGGAGACCCAATTCTTCGTCCTCACCTCCTGCTGGCCACACACAGCGACCTTCATTGTCGGGGACCCCCAGCAATCCAATGCGGTGGTCCCAAGCAAGCACCAAGTCCTTCGCTTCCCCGCGACCGGCGAAGACGAGGCCGTGACCGTTTGGCAAGATCGTTTCGGCGCCCAACGCGAGGTTAGCCTGCTACAGCGTGCCGAGGAAAACAACAAGGTTGACTTGTACCTACGCACCAACTATCGCTCCAGTGGTGGCATAATCAAATGGCCATCTCGTCAGTTCTACCGCGGCGAAATGACAGTCGCTCGGGCAAATCAGAGACTGGCGAAACCACAGCTCGTCATCATGGAATACCTCAAGCAATACTCCCCAGACCTTCGCTTTTGTGGTCTCTTCATTGACCTGCCGGACATGTTCGAGACGCAGGTGGCCAAGTCCTACACCAGCTCGACCACCGCGCGCTTCTGCGTGGAGCTGGCCGTTGACCTTTGGCGCAAACTTCCCATTCCCAGCCGACACGATGACACACGCCGGTGCAAGATCCTCATCATCACTGGTTACTCCGTACAGGCCGCTGAGATGAAACACCCCGTGAGCAAGATCGGACAACACTGCGTCCCAGAGGGCGCTTTGCAAGTTCGCACCGTGGATGACTCTCCTAGTCATGAAGCGGAAATCGTCATCGTGGATTTCCCTCGCAAGTCGAAAGTCGGTTTCTTGGATGAGCCCCGCCGTGTTAACGTGGCTTGCACTCGCGCCCACTATTGCACCATCTACGTCGGCAATGTGGGCAACCTGGAGCGAAGCAAGTTGTTGGACAACCTCATATCTATGCATCGCCAGAGCGACGCCCTGATCACACTACAGCAACGCCCGGAATTCTGCGACCGCTGTTTTGGCACTGGTCACACGCGTCGTGGTTGTAAAGACGCCATCGGGGAAAACACACTCATCTGCCATTGCTGCAGACGTGGCAAGCGCGATCACAGCGGCCGAACGTGCAGACGCACAAACGTGACCGCGTCCTTCGACATCAGCAAGCCCCTGTCGCCCCTCGACTCTACAACTCGCGACCTGCTCGCAGGCGCCATGGTGTCCCGCGCCAAGACCTACAGACAGGAGGTCGCCGATGGAAGATTCGCCATTGATGACGACGGCGCGAACTGGCGTTCCACGTGCGGTCTGCCACAGCCCCGCGACGATCCGAACGATGACCCGAACAATTGGGGTGAAGCTGCTGCTGAGCCCGCCGTTGAGACCGCCGCCATCGCTGATGCGCCCGCCGCTGACGCCGCTGTCGCGGACGGTTGGGACGCGCCCGCCGCTGACGCCGCTGTCGCGGACGGTTGGGATGCCAAGCCGGTTGCTGACGCCACCGATGGGGATTGGGGTTTCAAGCCGACGACGGGGGAGTCGCCCAATGACGATGGAGGATGGTAAACGGATTGAATTGGATTGGATTGAGGATGGACCGACGTTACTTGTTGGACTTTTGGACTTGACTTTGATTTAGACTTCGGACCTTGCTTTATGTATTATTTGAGGAGGATTGTGTTACATCTTTGCTTTGATATCGCGGACGATATCTTATTTTTATACCGGGGGTTGTTGGCAGGCGCGCCTCGCTGGCTGAGTCAGCATGGAGCCCCTCATCAGCCACCACCTTCGCACTCTCCATAGCTTCTTTCTTCCTCGATCATCACAATTCTCATCCAGGTTCTTCAGTTCTGTGCCCGGCTGCGTGACGCCCATTTCCTCGCTTTCGCTTCGCTTGTTCTTTCGCTCTATGAGCCGCAACAGAGATAGTGATATTGTGTATTGGGCGTTCTGTTCGCAGTGGACACACTAAAGAACTTGAGCGCACCAACGTGGCATTCACTCGTCACATGTTGCTCTCGGTGACTGTGTGTTCTAAAAGTATTCTCGACAGACTCGGCAAGAATCTGAAAGAATATCACGATTGGCATCACGGGTTTGAACTTGCAACGGAAGTCAACGGCTGGGACTTTTGGTGCGATAAGTGTTGTCAGCATGGACACACGCGCGAACGCTGTGGTGAGACTCAATGCAGAATCTGCAGCCAGCTTCATGCCACCCGTCGATGCGAGTTCGTGCCCAAGGATAAATTGATCTCTGATGAGAAATGGACGGAGCCTGTGCAGCGCGGAAGTAAAGGTATCTGACCATTCCATGTACGATAGTTGAGATGGTCAGGATAGTTGATAGTTGAGATGGTCAGTTGAGATGGTCAGGATAGTTGAGATGGTCAGGATAGTTGAGATGGTCAGGATAGTTGAGATATGTGAAATACCGAAGATATGTAAAGTACCTGAGATATGTGAAATACCTAAGATATGTAACACCTAAGATGCCTCAGAGAGGTGAGATACCTAACAGGGGACAAATACATGCTGCCACCCTCTGTACACGTCCCGCAAACTGTTTGTCTATCGCGGGAATGCCGGCAGAAAGCTGCCATTCTATTAATCAGAATTTAAAAAAAAAGTGTCTCTGAAATTCACTTTCTACGGCGAAATCAAATTGAATACCAGGTGATAACTATCATGTAGCGACATATTCACCGTTACGTAGCGTTTGAGTCCTGACACAAGCCAGGCGACCCTCTTTTTTAATCGTCCCCCTTGATGCCACGACATCCAGTTCCAACCACTTTCACAAGCATTTCACCTCACTAAATCGTCATCAGGGTAGAAACTGCCCACGGCCTACCTCGCTTCATTGAGCCCTCTACTCTCATTCATCTTCAGGAGCTTCAGTTCATCCTTTGCGGCTGCCGTGCGTGCCCGCCTCGCGCCACCCTCCGCCGTCAGCCCTCTTGTTTGTCCCCCTCGCCGTCCAAACGATGCGACAGCACTACCAAACCTAAAAGAACGACTCGCCGAGACCGATAGAGCATTTCATAAATAGATTCCCGATTTCCTTACACTCAGCCTGCATCCAGCGACCGAACCACATCCCACAGCCATGGCCGCGCACGGCTCGTCGGGGACGTCGCTGTCGCGCTCCGAGACGCTCAGCCTGCTCACCGTCGCCGGGGCCTCGCTCGCCGTGCTGGCCAACACGTTCCGCGGCGACGGCGAGCCGTTGATCGCGTCGCTCGCGCTCTCGTGCGCCGCCTTCGCCCTCTGCTACGCCATGATCCGCTGGCTCGGGCCGACCTTTGTGCGCGCCGGCTTCCGCGGCCGCGACCTGTCCAAGCCCAGCCGGCCGGAGCTGCCCGAGTGCATGGGCGCCGTCTGCGCCGCCGTCTACCTGCTCACCGTCATCGTCTTCATCCCGTTCCCCTTCTACAAGGACATCGTCGCCGCCACCAGCGGCGGCGGAAACCGCGACGTCGTCCTCAAGGTCGAGCACGTCAACGAGGGGCGCTTCCTCCATCGCTTCCCGCATAGCAAGGTGCGTTTCCCAGCACTGGGCCTGCTGTCCTAGAACACCATTGGACTGACTGAGTTTTTGTGCGCAGCTCGCGTCGTATCTCGGCGCCATCATCTCCCTGCAGACTATCGCCCTGCTCGGCATCGGCGACGACCTCTTCGACATTCGCTGGCGGCACAAGTGGTGGATCCCTGGCCTCGCCTCTATCCCCATCCTCGTCGTCTACTTTGTCGACTTTGACGTCACCAGCATCGTCATCCCCATCCCGCTGCAGCCCTACCTCGGCGAGCTCTTCGACCTCGGGCCCCTGTACTACGCCTACATGGCCTGCATCGCCATGTTCTGCCCGCAGAGCATCAACATGCTCGCCGGCATCAACGGCATCGAGGTCGCCCAGTGCCTCGTCGTCGCGCTCCTCCTCGCCCTCAACGACGCGCTCTACCTCGCCACCCCCTACCCGCACCCGGCCACCGACTCCCACCTCTTCTCCCTCTACCTGCTCCTCCCCTGGATCGGCGTCTCGGCCGCCCTCCTCCGCCACAACTGGTACCCCGCCCGCGTCTTCGTCGGCGACACCTACTGCTACTTCTCCGGCATGGTCTTCGCCGTCGTCGGCATCCTCGGCCACTTCTCCAAGACCCTCGGCCTCCTCCTCGTGCCCCAGTTCGTCAACTTTGCCTACTCGGTGCCGCAAATCTTCGGCCTCGTCCCCTGCCCGAGACACCGCATGCCCCGCTTCAACGCCCGCTCCGGCTTCCTGGAGCCCTCCGTCACGCCGTGGGCCGTCGACCGCCAGCCGCACCCGCTCGTCGCCCTCGGGCTCCGCCTGCTCGGCCGCTTTCGCCTCCTCCGGGTCGTCACCGACGACGAGGGCCGCTTCGTCGAGACCAGCAACTTCACCCTGCTGAATCTGTGGCTCGTCTGGCGCGGCCCGCTGCGCGAGGATCGCCTTGCGACCGAGATTACGCTTCTGCAGCTCGGTCTCGGCCTATTTGGCCTCTTTGCCCGACACAGACTCGCACTGCTCGTCTTTAAGGAAGATAACTGGAGTACGGTACAGCACTAGCTGGGTGCTAGTAAAGGGACAATGTACACGCAAGACTAAAATAATCAGCAAAGATCAGCTTGCTATAGCGCTTTATGCAGTGTAATAGACGCAATGATACCCACGAGACAATCATGATTTTGAATGATCTGGATTCATCAAAAGAGAGACAATTGCCCAATTCTTGGACCATGTATTGCCCCTGTAGCTGCTAAAGTGTGGAAAGGTGCCAATCCCAGTCCGAGTATAGTGTGGCTATAATACAATCAAAAGAACAAAAACTATGACCGATCAAGGCCACGAGCTTACCAGGGTCGCGCCTCATTTCTCCGAAACAACAAGCCCTCCGGTTTTGGAATAAAAACGTAAAAAAAGACAAATAATGGAACACAACATATTAAATGAGTGGCGCAGACCATTGGTGTCGCCAGGGCCAAGTGCCACGCATCCAATACCCTGTCCGCAGAAAGCAAACCGTCTCCAGTCAAGCGCCATAAAAACAACAGTGATTTCCTTCCATTTTGCCTCCTGAACGCCTCAAACAGTGGTATAATCCGTAAAGTGTTGTAGCCAGCAATCGAATCTTCATCATGCAACCCGCGCAGCAGGGTTGCTTCCCGCATTATATATACACCACACACCAAATCAATACACTTTTTAGATGCCACCGTTCGCGTTCGCGGTTGGCAAAGGTTCCTTTTCCTCGATTTTTTCAATGCCTTGAAACTCCGTCGTCATTTCAACCTTGATGTCCTCTGGGCTCGAAAGAGTCGACTTGAGCGATCCAGGCCCGCTAGAGTCCTTCGTACCACCCTTCTTCATCCGGCTCTTGGTGTAATCGCTTAAACTTAGCTTCTTCTTAACAGGACTGTGTTTAGCGATTGCACTGTGGACAGCAGATGACTGGAAAGGGCTCGGTATGCCATTGGCTGCGAAAGGTGACAGTGCCGCCGAGCTAGAGGCTGACAAGGGAGTCGTACCCATAGGTGCCGACAGTCCGCTGTTGTCAAACGTCGGGACTGGTGGCATCTGCACGCGCAGATCGGGAGTCTTGATCGTGCTACATGCATCAGCCGTTCCGTTCACCCCTTCCGACGGGGGCGCCGGTGCGTCGGGCATGGCTGTATCTGGCTGAGAAGCATCTGCTCGTTGGTTGTCTTTGTACTCCGAATCTGAGGGAGCAACGGCAGGAACATCAATATCCATTGCAATCTTTGGTGCAACATCTGTCAGAGTTGGCTTTTGCTCCGTCGTGTCCTCAGCCTTGATTCTATACCGACTGTTGAGCAACCGACGAGATAACGGGATGATCCTTTTCTTGGGGGCTGACAAACGGCAGGGCTCACTGAACCACTCGCCCTCGACCGGATCTGTCTGAACTCCTGCGTCACAATATGACGGTCGAGAGCCTGATGACGATTGGCGAGGTCGTTGTACCAAAGCGGGACTCTTGAAAGGGTTAGAAGGCAGGCTGGGGGATAACGAGCTGGCTGGAGATCCGGTTTTGCTCCTCGAAGTGCCTGCGTCGACATAGCCGCCAGATACCGAGGAGCCTGAGCGGGCCTTGGATTTTGAAGAAGATGTACCATCGGAGACGCGCTTCTTTTTTCTTGGAGGAGGTTGCTGCTCCATGCGACGGAAAGAGTCTTCGACCATCGCGACCTTGCGCTTATCGCGATCCGTGGGCTCCGTGAGAATTCCCAGCTGATCGAACGAGCCTTGTCGCACTGGCGTTGGGTCTCGACTGGTAGGCTTGCTCGTCAAGGAGAGTGTTTCGAGTTTGGCATGGTTATCGGTCATTTCGTCGCCATGGCCCTCGCTAGCAGCACGGCTGTTGGTGGCCTGGCCAGTGCTTGTCGGGGACACTGTATGATTGCGAGACTTGCGCGATTTCTTCTTATTTGGACGGCCGCGGCCGCGAACATGGAAATAGTGTCGGTGAAAGCGGGCGAACGCGCAGTTGTTTTCCAAGTCGCAAGCACAACCACCATACTCCGAAAGCATTCGGTCGATCCAGTTCGAAATGGCAATGTACTCGGACTCTTCCAAGGCTGTTTGATCCTGTATCACGCTCTCGTCATCGCTCAATCCTAGCAGGTGCAGCCACCTGGCACAGACACTTTTTTCCAACCGAAAATCCCATGGTAATGTGATTTGTTCGTTAGCAGCAATATACCGGTCGCTAACGAGCCAAAAGTGATATTCAGACCCCCCGGACAAATAGGTATCGAGTTGAGCGTTGGGCTTGCAGCTGCGGCGCACATAACGCGCAAGAGAGCCTTCTTTCCTCGTGTCAATGTAGAGGGGCAGGACGGGGTGAAAGAAAACGAAGGGGAGTGGTGATGATAGATCGGTCCATAGATTCTCTGGATCAGCGCAGTAGTCCTTCTGAAACCCAATCTCGCCGTTGAGTTCAATCAGCGGTACGTCTTTCTCTATAGGAGCAGTGGACTTGACAAAGCGCCATCGCAAGGTTGTGCCTTGTTCCAAGGAGCGAGTAGCATCCTTGACTTCGAGCTTCGGTCTCTTGTCATCCAAATTTGCAGGCTCCTCCTGGAAGACATCGGTATGAGTTCGGCCCACCTCTTGCTTCATCGCATCGGGCTCTCGCAACCAGCGCGACAGAGCAGTGGGAATGGCCAGGCTGGCAAAGGCATTATTATGTGTATCGGGGACGTCGTGTTCATTGTAGAGAGAATAGAAACCGGCGGAGTAATGATGAATCTGAAAGTCGTCGGGGAGGTCAGGTGGAGTTGTGGCAGGGCTGGGAGGGTGTGCAAGATTAGAACGGGAGTTGGCGAAGGAGGGACTGCGCTTTGACGGCTGTGAGCTGACAGATTGCGAAGTTTTGTGTGAGGACTTTGATTTCTTGGCTTGATTATCAGCGGCCAAGTTGGACTGCTTGCCAGCCTCGGTCCCGCCGTTTGCTGCGTTCAAAGACAGCTCCGAGGGCTTTGATCGCTTCTTGCCGTTCTTGGTGGAGGGTGGCCTCTTGACCTTCTTCTCGGGCGAATCCTCCTCTTGCGCAGTGGCATTTTTTAATCGCAGCGTTCGTTCGATGGCTTTTTGGCGATTCAGGGGGCGAGGTTTGCAGTCTGCACACGAGTGGGAAAAGTCCTCACGAATGGCCTCGTCCCTGTTGTCAGGGTAGAAGCAGTCAATGTGCTGCCATGTATCACAGTTATCGCAATATATCGTGTTTCCGTCATCGTCAGAGAAGTTGCAGATACACTTGATGGTGTAGGGTTCTTCCTCGGCAGTCTCAGCGCTAGGTTCTGCGTCCTCCTTGGCAGGGTGGGCACTAGCAGGAGAGGTAAGGGAGGTCTGACTGGGAGCCGCGACTTGCGTTGGCAGCGGTACAGGATTTTCGGTCATAATCTGGGAGTCGGTCGTAGGGGGAGACAGCTGGGAAGATTGCAGGAGGGACGTTGTTCGTCAATCGAATTACGCTCGCGGTCTTGACAGCATGGCGACGCCTTGGTCGACGCGTGCCAAGGGGGATCGAGCGCTTCGAAATCCGGTCGCAAGATTGTAAGGCCTGCGGCAATGGCCAGTGGAAGCGGCGTTGTGGCGATCGGCTCGTTGTTGCAGCTCGTGTTGGCGAGGGAGAGAAGAGGGCGAGGTTGCTTGTTCGAGTTGGTGGCGGCAGCCAGAAGGGCAGCAGGGTCGCGTCGCGCTCTTGAAGGAAAATAAAGCGAGGAACAAGTTGGGACAGTCGAAGCAAGCGCCGAAAGAGGATCATGCAACGTGTCCAGTGAGTGTTGTGGCGGAAGGCGAAAGTTGGTTGATGAGGCAAAAGTCTCGAGGAGGGAGCGAGGCAGGAAAGTTCGAGGGGAGGATGCGGTTGTCGCAAGGAGACAAGGACAAACGGAAAGGGGATGTACACGATAGTTTTAAAAGTAAACAAGGTTGACGGTGAAAGTAATGCGACTGTATGACGAGGTAAGGATAGCGAAAGAGAGGAGGGTGTCGAGAAGAAACCGTGATGAAGACGAGGGTAGGAAATGGGAACGAACGGGGAGGACGGCCGGGGAGGAGCGACAGGAAAGCGCAGCGCAGTGCAGTGCAGCGCAGACAGACAAGCCGACCTGGTCGGTTTTGCTGCTGGCTCGCTCACTAACTACTTTGGCAATCCCACCAGCAAGAGGAGCGCCGCCCAATGAATGGCGCGCTGGGGTGGGTACCTGGGTACCTCACACCACTAGGTAGGAGGATGGTGGGTTTCCTTTTATTTTTTTTCCCCCCCAAAAATGCTTCGGGGAAGCAAGCGACCGGGCGACGACGAGCAGGAATCCATCCCGTCGGTGGGCGGGCTGTGGTGGTGGGTTGGCGATGGTCTTGAGTCGTCTCGCTGGCTGCTTGCAGGATGCCTGGGATGGGCATATCGGGGGATGAGGGAGCGCTGTTATCTGACCCTTTGCCCCGTTCGTCATCCCCTCTGTGCTATTGGCATTGCAGGCAGACAGAGAGTCAACCAGCCCGCCGGGCAGCGGATTAATTGATTGCGCAGTGCCGCCCTCGCGCCCCATGTGCAGCATTGCGAGTCCGCTGCCATGCCGTACCCAGTACGTGCTCTGTTCCAAACTTCGACCAGACAGGCCCCTCAAGAGCGGGCCACCAACGCGGAGCGCAGTCTCTGGTTTGCTGAATGCGCAAAACCAAAAACGACGCTAGACCTATCCTTGAATAGGCGGTGGGAATTCGTGGGTTGTCTCCGTATCATGTGCTATCGACTTCTCGATGCTCAAAACTCGCCCAACTCTGGCTCGTTACCACGAATAGCTAGTCCTGTGCGTGCGCCCAGGGCGTGGCGTGTCGAGGTGTCGTCCTATGGCTGCCTCAGGCCTCCACTTTTACGCTCCCTCTGTCTGCAGGCCGCAGCTGCACGTCTCGGCGCGTTGATGCACTCTGTCCATTTTGTCATTGCTCAGCCGCCTTCTCGCTCCTCTCTTCCCCTCCTCCGCAACCTGAATCTACATATGGCCCCCAGTTGCGGATGCGAATTGAGCCGGAGTGTGCGGCACCAATGTACGGTTGTTATGGAGTACCAACAGGACGCAACCAGGCCCTTTCCGCTGACGCGACCTGCACTTCCTTCGGAGCTATGTTTTCGCTCTCCAGCGCCGCCACCCTTTCAGGCGAATGCGGCGAGACAACACTGGACCGGATCAGGAAGCCAGTGAAATTGCGCTGGCCACCTGCCCACTGGCGCCGCCAGGACCCTCCTGTTTGATGCGCGCCAGCGAAAAGCAAAGCTGTGTCGTGTTGACCATCCCCTCGCTGCCTCCCTCTTTCGAAATCCATCCCTCTTTTCCTCCATTTCCTCCTCTCTTTTGTATTGTGCTCGAACCGCCCATCCTAGATGCCACCCGCAGCTTGAGCAACAGCTTTGTGAAACGCCAACACTCACCTCGGCTCAGATGCGCGTCTCCGAACCAAAAAATCGACGGTCCACAGTCCACCCACCGAATTGTTTTCTATTGATTCGCCTTTGTTTGTTTTCGAATGTTGCGACAGCGCAACTTCGACCTCAGTTGCTGGGCGCGCAAGACCGCCACAGGTTACTTAGTTTCGGTACTAATCTTACAGGGGCTGACAGAAGGGGGGGCGTGTTGCTTGGTGTCGTAGCGGGGGTGTTAACAAATGTGCCATGCTAATATGATATTATTATGATAATATCCATGATGACACAGCCCAGCGCCACACTGGCGGCAACTTTACTTCGCTGCCGTCCTTATCCTTCTTCCTTCGCTCTCTCGCTGCCCGCCTACCCCTCTGTCGCCTTTCTTCCCGTCGCAGCCGATGCACACGAACACGACGAGCGCCAGTTGTCCGACATCTTGTTCATCTCATAAGTAGAGATTTTACAGAGCACATACAAAACTCGTATGCAGTCGGATCGAGGCGAATTCCAACACTGCCTATCACGATTGACTCGTACGCCGTCGCTGTTTGTCAACAGCGGTGACCCGCTTGCTCTTGCTCGCAATTGTGCAGCAGTGTTCTCGATCATAACTATGTAGTAAGTCCGAAGTGGCAACTTTAGCAGCTTACAGCCACATCCATTTTGGTTTACAGAAATCGTAGACGAAATCGAATAGTCATTGCCGTCCACCCCAGAGTGAAAGCAAAAAGACCAAAAATGCGGCCGGACGCCAGCAGGGGCACAACAACAGCATGATTCTCACATCACCTACTAAAGCAGTCTCTATCGAGCTCGCGCTTGTCGAACATCTGCTCTTCAGCACGCTTCGTTCTACCAATTCTTTACTGCTTCGAATCCGACCTGTTGTTACATTGTTAAAACGTCCGCACCAGCTCTGTCTGTGGTAGTCGCGAAACGACAATATGAGCCCTCCGGCTGCCGACGCCTTGCTCGCGATCTAGCCCGAACGATCAGATAATCCATGGAACTTCCTTTAAGACGTTTGTAAAGAGGCGTAGACGCCGACCGAAGTCAGCAGCTCGCCAGTCATTCATTGCCTTGTTGGCATTCTCCAGCTTCGTTGCCGAGCCGGCTCTTCACCAACCTCAGCCTCCTAATAGGGAGTAACGATCAGCCTTTCGACCTATCAGTACAAATTTCTCTGCCTTGATGGTAGATCTTGAACCATGATCGCCACAATGCCTTGTCTTTTTGCTGCGCTCCATCGAGCTCGTCTCACGTCTCTAGGATCCCATCCCATGCCCACTGCAACGAGCCACGAAGCGCCTTCTTGCCCAACTCGTGCCTGACTACCTCCCCTACCTTATGCCGACTTTGGTCTCGACCCCTTTGCCATCATTACTCGCTTTCAACCAGAAATACTTGCTCCCCAACAGCTCCTTCTTCATGTCGCAGCATATAGCTCCGGGGCACAATGAAAGAGAATAAAAACAAAAATTACGCCCCCAATGGCCCCAAAGGACAATTGAGCATGAGTTGACGCCGCGCTGTGCAATGCAGGTCTCTCAGACTAGTGCCTCGTCTTCTTGATCTCGAGGCACTGGAACAAGGTAAGTATGAAGAAGAAAAGAGAAAAAGAAGAGGAAAGCAATCAGCGAGGAGGGCAAATATATAGGTGCTATGGGGCCCGTGCGTCTTCTTGCTGCCTGGGGCTGCGATTCTAGGCAACAGGCAGCACCCATTCCAGCCGCATTCTCCCTTGAAGGATCTTGGGGAAGGAGGCAAATAAAGCTATCCCCACTCTGCCCAATCTTCTATTCGACGTATTGTCTGGTGAATCGTTTCACGTAAAAGAAATAAGTTGTATCCTGTAAAATAGCCGCCAAGTGCAACAGCCAGTCCGTCACTGTTAACTTGTTGCATTGCACCATTGGGGGAGGCTGACAAAGTGGGCGGCCTCAGATCCAATAGGAGTGGAGTCTTGGGTCCCATGACGGCACCAGCCCAACAACCAGCCGCTGCGATAAAGGCTTCGTTCATCAAGCTCCCACGTTACTTATCGTCATCGCACTGTATTGCTTATCGACGCAATTTGATTCATTTAGCTCTCCCTTTCGACACTACACATCTCCGTAAACATCCTCTCCATCTCAAGAACGTCTGTTGCTCCGCACCGACCGCTCGCGATGAAGTTCTCCACCGCTCTCGGCCTGCTCAGCGTCTGCCTCGCTCCGGCAACGGCCCTGAGTATCTTGGACGACGACAACAAGATCCCTGGCAAGTCGCCTCTTGAGTTTTGTTCTGGCGACCGCAGCGCCGATCTCATCACTATCGAGAGCGTCGACCTCGACCCCAACCCCCCTAAGGCGTATGTTTTCCCCCTCGCGCTTGGCTAGCTCCCCCTCCTCTCATCGCATGTCCGACGGGATGGAGACATGCCGCCTTCAATGTTAAACCCATGCCGCTCGATGTGCTAACATCTCCCTCAGTGGCCAGGAGCTTCTTATCAAGGCCAGCGGCACCGTCAAGGAAACGATCGAGCAGGGCGCCTACGTCAAGCTTACCGTCAAGTACGGCCTCATCAAGCTCCTGACCCAGACCGCCGACCTCTGCGAGCAGGTTGGAAACGTCGACTTGAAATGCCCCATCGAGAAAGGAGAACAAACCATCGAGAAGACTGTTAAGCTTCCCGTCGAGATTCCTCCTGTGCGTCCGACTACCCTCTCGACCACGGTCCAGTACCCGAATCAATCGCTAACTTGTACCAGGGCAAATACACCGTCCTCGCCGACGTCTACAACGCCGACGATACCCCCATCACTTGCCTGACTGCTACCGTCACATTTGCGCTTGGTGGACTGGGGTTCCTCAACAGCGAGCTGTAACTCGACTGCTACGTTAGATTAATGTGCCTCATGCTAGCGAAGTCTGTTTGCATCAGCCTACTACCCTGGACTTTCTTTCTCGAGTTTTGTTTACCTTGCCATATCTTTGCGCTCTGCCCATAGTCATAGTTTCAGTTATACGATTAAAATCCTCTTCATCGGCGTTCTTGAACATACAAGGTTAAACATTTCACCATGTTAGAACGTCCGGAAGCCTGCGCGTGGTGTTGAATGATTATATTGTATGTCTTGTCGTATAGCTAGGAAACCACATCGCAGCAAGAGCGGACCCGGTGTATGTCTACTCCCCAAAGAGACGACGCACACGTCTCAATACGCTATCCTTCTCTGGGTCGTATGGGTGGTCTTTGCTAGGAATCTCAAGAATTGTTGGAAAAGCCGCGGTGTAGGTATCGATGCGATGACGTATACGGTCGGCAATCTACCAGGCCAGGATTAGCAACCCCTTCCACGGAGATGAATACAGGCATGTGACCATACATGTTGGTTGATCAAAACAATGCCAACATCCTTACGCTCCTCGGTAAATCGTTCGAAGGCGGATTCGATGGCTTGCGTATCGGTCTTGTTGTCGACAACTAGGAAGTTCTTCTGGCCGTCGCCACCGGTGGTGACATGCTGTCACACGGTTAGCTGTCATGGCCATTATAAAATCATTGGCTTGATTGCGACTCACCCCGATGCCAGCGAGAAGCAACCCTGTAACAGAGTCCTGCCGACCGTTAGCTACCGTTGCTCCGTGTGTTCTGCCCAAACAGCGCAACACCGGCGGCATACCTCATCGCCAATTACGGCGAGAAACTGGCGGTCCTTGAAGTCTGCATGTGATGCCATGTTCGACAGCTAACGCACAACGAATCTTGAAAAGAGACCTAGACGTTGAAGGCAGAGGTGATGTCGTTGCCTCTGGTCTCCATGGCTGCAGCCCACCACCAGCAGCCTCAGAGCCACCAGCCACAGCGCCCCACTAGGTAGACTTGAAGCCAACCCGGGAATGGGATGCCGCTTTATTAGCTGGTCAGGGAGGGTGCCTTGTCCCGCAGAACACCATAACTGATTAAAGCGGCGCCGCATTGTGGTACCTGACAACCAGGTAGGTAGCTCACAAACAAAACAATCCGAGAGAGCTCCTCCAACCAAGCATCAACCTCGACAGAGGATTGTCTCTAAACCCGCCTGGTCGCCGGTATTTGGCCGTTGGATTTTCCAGATTCATTTGATCCCCATTCCGATTTTTTTGGAAGACGCCACCGAGCCCGCGCGCACAACAGCAGCGATGCCTCGACTCGTGCGCCGCAAACCGCTTCTTCAGCGCATCTCGGCCGTGCTGAACCCGATGGATTCCTTGCTCTGGTTGTCGGAAGAGCTGGAGACGCGCGACTGGGACTCTGAGAACGCGGGTACGCAGCTCGGCCTTGGGCTGAATTTTGTCTTTCTCCTCGCGCGCGCAAACTCGGGCTCGGCGCAACCGGCGGACGACGTTTTTGGCGGCGAGGACAAGTCACTATGGCTGTCGCTGGTGGTATGGGCCCAACTACGGAAAATTCCTGCATCGTAAAGGCTGACATGATGGATAGGTCAACACTTTAGTTTGGGGTCTGGGTGTTTTTGCAGTCACGAATGGCGTGTACACTCTAACGCGGACTCGCAAGTATAGGATGTTCGAGGCCAACATTGATGTGCAGCCCGGTACGCCCTCGGCTCGCAGAGTTCAGGTGCAGGGCTCACCGGCTTCTTCTTCGCCTCTTCGATTTTTGACTAGCATGATTACTCCCGACACGCCAGAGAGCAGGGCCCATCCCGACAAGAAACGAGACGTGTGGGAGCTAGCGGTCTGGGATCCCCTACCAATCTCGCTGCGCTTGTTTTGCTTGTTCGGGCCAGCGCACGTATTGGTGTATATCATGTTTCTTCCTCTTGCTTCGCTGGATCCCCGCCCCAGCATTACGGTCTTCAACACTCTGGTTCTTCAGGCTATCTTATCCGCGCAGTTGTTGCTCTTCTGCTCCAAGTTCGCGCAGCAGGGCAAGGATAACTCCATTATCCAGAAGGAAGTCATGCACGAGTACGATACGAAGTTTGTCCACCCATTGATGCATCCAATTGTCCGCGATGTCGGTGTTCAGGTATCCACGGACGCTGGCTCGAGTATGGAGGATCTTGTCGATACTGGCACGCCAACCACGCTGATCCGACGCTCCTTCAAGACGCATAAGAATCCACACATTGACGAAGAAGAGTCTGCGCCACTTCGCCCCAGCGCTGTTAAGCCGAATCTCTTCACACCATCCGGCCGTCGATCGGACTCATTCAGTCCAATGCCGACTATTCGCAGCTCAGGTCTGCGCAGTAGCATGCCGACCCCAGGTCTCCTGCCCTCCTCTGTCTCGACTAATACCTTGAATATGCCATTTTCCTCTACGCTATCTGGAGCCCCAACACACGAAAATTCTCCGTTAAGGCACGCACACAGCCTAAACAATCTAAACAGCCCTTTCCAGCCACAATCACCCCGCACGTCCAGAGAAATGGCGGCGTATGAACAAAGACTACGACCGAGCAGTCCGCTGAAGCACTCAGAAAGCCGAAAGTCACTCAGTGCAACAGCATCGGATATTCGCAGTACGGGGAGATACTCATATCAAGAAAATCAGCGGCCAAGATGGTAGCGTCATTTACTTTTTTTTTTGTAATCATTGAGACATACAAATCACTGCCTTGTACTTAATGACCTATTGTGCTTTCGGAATCAACCCTTTCGCCGGTGCCTATGTGATTTTCGGGCGTTGCCGGTCCAACAAAGAAGCCATGGTGTTCGCCTGCCTTACGATAAACTTGGCAAGTTCGATGAACATCCGCATCGCGTATAACTGTGGCTACTCAACTACTCGCGTGCATAATATAAGAATAGCCGTAAAAGTATTTTCAAATCCGCATCATTGCACACTTGGCTCACGGGCCATGTGATTCACTCCTTTAGTACGACTCCCACAGCTCCAGTTACTGGCTGACTGTCTCTCTGCCTGCCGGTCCTGTCAACTGCCCCAGCTACAAACACTTACTACTTGCTGCCACCATGCCGCACTTTTTGGGTCCCAAGATGTCACCATCCGCACAAATCGCATTGAAAAAGCACCAGACGCACCCAGACGGAGAATCCGCGAGTCACGAAGAGAAGAGGCGTACCGCATCCTAGGGCGGATGGGCTCGCCACATATTTCCTAGCAAACGACTCGAACGAGGTGGCACTCTACGAACCAAAGGCTTTTGGGAAGCATCTGACTCGAGCCGCAACCCAGCAGCACCTCGGCGCGAAAGATCTACCGTTGCGGGAGGCTCGTACGAGGGGAGTGTGCATTCCGATACAATCGTCCGATGGAATACGGCAAGAGACCTCCCCAGTAGAAAGACTGCCGTCAAAACGATGCCAGATATGCCGCGCGGGAAGCATGATGTGCGCTTCAATCTGCCAGAGATGGTATTTAGCCATGACACTGGCAGCACAGAATGGTTGTCCGAGAAGAATGATACTCAAGGGACATCCGTTGACGAGTCTCGCCGAGCCCGAGACTACATGCTCACCCCTCGAGCAGACTCCGTTGCTACTCATGTTTTGGACAGCAATCTCGCGAGAGCAGACCATGTGCTTCGACTGCGAAAACAAGCACGTCAAGAACGAAGAGCTTTGAAAGAAAGCGGCGATTATCTCGGAGTCCAGGGTGTCAACCCCGAGACGGGCCGCATGGACGTTGAGACCCCAACAGATAGCGAGGGGAGCCAGCTAAGCCCAGTACCACCAATTGAGGAGCAGGTGCGACCGAAACGCATGATTGTTACTTTTGATGAGAAGGTGACTGAAAAGGAAAAGAAAAAGATGTTACTCAAGGCCCGCGAAGCAGAGCTCCGCCGCATGGAAAAGAGTAAGAAGGAGGCTGAAGAGTTGGCTAATCAGCTCATGTGGCGGCGGCACACGAAGGAATGGTCGATTGTCAAGGACCCGGGGGTTGACAGTTTGCCGCGGAAGCAAACTGCAATGTTGGCTGGTTTGTACTACTTCCCGATCTGAACCAACAGTTACTAAAAGCCATGCGCAGAAGAATCGACGAGCCCTCGAGCTGGAGAGAATAGGCGCCAAACTGAAACAAATCTTATCGATTTAGATGATTCACAGAGAGAAGTCGGCTCTTACGAAAGTCAAGATTCGAATAGCCAGAACGACCAAGAATCATGTGGCACTGTTATGCGCACCCCGCATCAACGAAGTTTAGCAGACGTTTCCCGTGCAGCATTAGAATTGTTCGATAATGGGATAAGTTTCGACCATTCTGCTCGGTCCAAAAAAGCTGATCAGGATCCGTCTTCACAGTACGAGTCTTCTGGAGGAGTTTCGCCAACGACCAAAGCCTCGCCGAGCCCAGGGCACATTGCAAACTCGAAATCGCAGCCTTTTTTAGGAAATTGCAGCAACAATTCGGAAGAACAGACAAACAAAACTGGTCACCGGACCGCCACTCGCAAAGCTTTTCGCGAGGTAACCAATTCTCTGCGAGCAACAAAGAGTCTAAGCAATATTCTCATGGCCAATACGCAGACCCGCATACAGACCATGGCAAAAAAGCATTTGTTGAGAAGAGAAAACACCAGCTCTTCGATAAAACCACATATCGTCGGCGCCTGGGTCGAGAATCTCGATCAGAACACAGATCAAGCCAACACCATACCCCCAAGCCTTCCCATCATCAAGCTCCAGGAGCCTCTCCGGATGATGGACGAGACGGGATGCGACTCGACAACCGGAGGGATACTTCAGGACTTGGGAATTTTGAGAGATGGGATTCTGGATTTAGACCTGACAGAGAACGGCAAAGAGAACGAGGAAGTTTATCCGCTAGGCGAAAGAATCGCGAACGAAGCAGCGAGCAGCATGAGAGGAGTAATAGCAAGGGACGGATCTGTCTACACACACACCACCATCACTACTGGCTCTATGCGAGTAAAGGCCAAGCCATTGGAGGATTTCAACAGGTTAGTAGCGAAAAAGTCGGGGACACCAACAGGATCCTGCCCAGAGAAGAAGTCGAGCGTTTCACCGAAGGCCGAGGGCACGCGAGGAACTACACCGAGCGATACCACTTGCCCAGCCCCAACGACTTCCGCCCAAGACGCGCAACCGTATGTTTTGAAAACAACAAGGGCCGCGAATCGCCTACAGTTGCGCCAGAAAAAAGGCGACAGTTCGACTCAAGAGCCGACGACCCCAAACAGCCACAGTCAGGCAGAGTTGGAGCATGCGCCAAAGACGATGCTAAAATTAGCCTCCACAGAAGAGCGGAAGAAGAAGAAGAAGAAGAAGAAAAAGGAGGAGGTAGCTGTGGCGGATTGTGCGTCAGCGGAGAGAGAGACGAAGCGCAATCACTGCGATGGATGCAGCGAATGCCTCCAAGTAGGTCTTTGGTTGATGGAGACGGATTATGAAACATTACTGACGGCTGTTCAGATTCCAGGAAACTTTCCAGCGCACCTCATCGAAGACGACGCCATCGCGCCTCGTTCCGCTAACGGCTACGGGGAGTTGGTCACTCAAACGGCGGAGCTAGGTGCCGTTTTTGATTGCACTCTCGGTCCGTTTATCGCAGTGTTAGAGATGTACTGCAAAATCGTCTGGCCAGTTTTTGACCCTTACTCTTCGCTTTGGGAGAGAAATGACAATAAACAAACGACGATCTTGGATGTTTTAGTTTTAGTTTTGGCAGTACCTGGTGGGATAGTTATCCTAGCGATGGCTATATGGGGGCTTCGTGTGCTGACGGTGGTGGGAGGTTGTCTGCTTAATGCAGGTAGGGCACTTGTGAGCAACACATCGGCACTCTTTCCATGGTGAAATGAGAAGGTAGGTAAATGAGAAGTGGACGTGATGATGGTAAGCCTGCATTGAGCGGGGCGGGCGGATGAGGAGAAGGTAAATTGGGAAAGGGAAGCGATGCGGTGTAGGAGTTACGAGATAAATATACTTAGACAGGAATTCACTACTTTATGAATATGTTGATTTCTTAATCCTCCGTACTCTGGTGTGAGGTGTTGTGTCTGATGACGTAGATTGATGGCGGGGTGCATGTTGCATGCAGCTCGATCAGTCCGACGGGTTGACACTGCAGGCTGACTCTAATGTGTATGGTCATTTTGGGCAATTGTAAGAGGCTGGAACACTAGATTTCGTAGCAGTGCGCATGGAACACATTTTTTATGGCTGGGTAATACGACCTCGAGGTCGTTTGGTAGAACCGGAGTAACGGAGTGACGCCAGTGCAGGCAGCGAGGACATTTTAGAGGTACAGCTTAACGAGGGGTCAGACTCGTACAGCAGCTAGACCTGGTGTTGTGTCTCGTTGGAGAAGTACAGGTTGGTTGCACAGAACTTGAAATATTTCTCATCGCAACCATTAATCTGACCAATATTTTGCAATATTCGGTCCATGCTCTTGCGAGCAGGTGAATGGAGCGAGCATCGGGGCCGAGCAATTCTCGTACCCCCCATCGCCCTGCAGTTATAGTGGGTGTTACAGGGAGGGTACAAGTAAGTCGAGGTGCCCAGCCAGCCAATGCCAACGGCGCATTAGCAATCCACCAGCCCAAACGCGGCCCCCGCGATCACAAGCCCGCAGGGAACAATTTCAGCGCCGGTTCGGAGCGCCTACTGTGCTGCTGGGCAGGCTCTCCGATGATCGGAGCCGCCGAGGCCGGCGCTGCGAATACCTTCTTCGCCTAGCCCTTGTTATTGCGTGGCAACGGGGTTTCATAAAAGAGCTCTGGAGCCCTCTTTTCCAATCCTCTTTTAAATTCTTCATTTGTCTTTACGCTTTTTGCTTCCTGCCACTGCTAATTGTCGTGGCTGATCGCTTGGCTTTTAGCTTCTTCTTCACCACCACCAACACCCATACATCTCCCTTCCTCCAATCGCGTTCCATTCACATACGCTCTCAAGCCTCCTCTTACACTAAAATTTCACCACCTTGGCTAGATACCTTGGCGGTCCCCGACATCATCAACCCCACCAAAACTCACATCCTCTTTCCTCCATCTTCCTCTTCCTCCGCAACGTCTCTGCGCACTACTTCTTTTTTCCGCGTTTTCTCCCTCATTCTCTCTGTCTTCAACTCACACAACCACAATGCCTGAATCCGTGTCAAAACCGCAAACTCTCTACGATAAGGTGCTCTCCAAGCACATTGTCGATGAGAAGCTCGATGGAACTCTCCTGCTCTACATCGGTACGTCTTGGCCCCCGGCCCGTTTGGCTGGTAGCTTATTCTTCTGTTCTAAGCTAACCACTCCCCCACCAGATCGCCATTTGGTCCACGAAGTCACCTCTCCCGTACGCCATTTCTCTTCCGCGAAGATACTTTTTCTCTTCTAGTTGCCGTCGACGATCAGATTCAAGCTAATAAAAAAATCAGCAAGCTTTTGAGGGTCTCAAGAATGCCGGCCGCAGCGTCCGCAGACCAGACTGCACCCTCGCCACCACCGACCATGTAAGTCGAACTCGACCGCTTGTAGCATACTACGATATCTTCTTCTTCTCTTCTGCACCAGACACACTAACCATAGCTCCTCTTTTGCGCAGAATGTCCCGACCACGTCCCGCAAAGGCATGAAGGACATTGCCACCTTCATCGAGGAAGACGACTCCCGGACACAATGCGTCACCCTCGAGGAGAACGTCAAGGATTTCGGCCTGACTTATTTTGGCCTCGGCGACAAGCGCCAGGGCATCGTGCACGTCATCGGTCCGGAGCAGGGCTTCACCCTACCTGGCACGACCCTGGTGTGCGGCGACTCGCACACGTCGACGCACGGCGCCTTTGGTTCGCTCGCCTTCGGCATCGGCACCAGCGAGGTCGAGCACGTCCTGGCGACGCAGTGTCTCATCACTAAGCGTAGTAAGAACATGCGCATCCAGGTCGACGGCGAACTCGCACCCGGCGTCAGCTCCAAGGACGTCGTCCTCCACGCCATCGGCAAGATCGGCACCGCCGGCGGCACCGGCGCCGTCATTGAGTTCTGCGGCTCCGTTATCCGCGCCCTCAGCATGGAGGCCCGCATGTCCATCTGCAACATGTCCATCGAGGGCGGCGCGCGCGCCGGCATGGTCGCCCCCGACGACGTCACCTTCGAGTACCTCAAGGGCCGCCCCCTCGCGCCGCGCTACGACTCGGAAGAGTGGCACCGCGCCGTCGCTTACTGGCGCGCGCTGCAGTCGGACCCCGGCGCGCAGTACGACATTGACGTCTTCATTGACGGCAAGGACATTGTGCCCACCATCACCTGGGGCACCAGCCCCGAGGATGTCATTCCCATCACCGGCGTCGTGCCGGACCCCGAGACGTTCGCGACCGAGTCCAAGCGCGCCGCCGGCCGGCGCATGCTCGAGTACATGGGCCTCACCGCCGGCACCCCGCTCGAAGAGATCCCCGTCGACAAGGTCTTCATTGGCTCGTGCACCAACTCGCGCATCGAGGACATGCGCGCGGCCGCCGCCGTCGTCCGCGGCCGCCACATCGCGCCCAACGTCAAGCGCGCCATGGTCGTCCCCGGCTCCGGGCTCGTCAAGAAGCAGGCCGAGGACGAGGGCATCGACCAGGTCTTCCTCGACGCCGGTTTCGAGTGGCGCGAGGCCGGCTGCAGCATGTGCCTCGGCATGAACCCAGACATCCTCAGCCCCAAGGAGCGCTGCGCCAGCACGTCCAACCGCAACTTTGAGGGCCGCCAGGGCGCCGGCGGCCGCACCCACCTCATGTCCCCCGTCATGGCCGCCGCCGCCGGGATCGTCGGCAAGCTCACCGACGTGCGCAAGCTCACTGACTACACCACCAGCCCTCACGCCGCGGCCAGCCAGCCGCCCGCCACCGCCGGAGCCGTCGGCAAGCCCCATCCCGACGAGCGCATCGCCGACGACGCCGCGGAGCGCGAGGCCCTCGCCGACCAGCCCGAGGATAACCTGCCCCACACCAACACCGAGGCGGCTGCCGCTGCCGCCGCCACCAGCACCGATGGTGCCGGCGCCGGCGCCGGCCTCGCCAAGTTCCTGACCCTCAAGGGCATCGCGGCACCCCTCGACATGGCCAACGTCGACACCGATGCGCTCATCCCCAAGCAGTTCCTCAAGACCATCAAGCGGACCGGCCTCGGCAGCGCGCTCTTCAACGCGCTGCGCTACAACGAGGACGGCTCCGAGAACCCGGCCTTTGTGCTGAACCGGGAGCCCTACCGCGCCGCCAAGATCCTCGTGTGCACCGGGGAAAACTTTGGCTGCGGCTCCTCACGCGAGCACGCCCCCTGGGCGCTGCTCGACTTTGGCATCAAGGCCGTCGTCGCGCCGTCCTTTGCCGACATCTTCTTCAACAACATGTTCAAGAACGGGATGCTGCCGATCGCGGTGCCCGTGCAGGCGGACCTCGACGCCGTAGCGGCCGAGGCCCGCGCCGGGCGCGAGGTCGAGGTCGACCTGCCCAATCAGGTGCTGCGCACCGCCGCCGGCGACGCCATCTGCCGCTTCGACGTGGAGGAGTTCCGCAAGCACTGCCTAGTCAACGGCCTCGACGACATTGGTCTCACCATGCAGATGGAGGACAAGATTGCGGCGTTTGAGCGCCGCATGACGGAGGTGACGCCCTGGCTGGACGGATCCGCGTACCTGCGCCGCAAGGGCCAGGGCGGCAAGCTGGCGGCCAAGGCGGTGCCGGTGACCAAGACGAACCGCGGCGAGCCCATCAGCGAGCCCCTCGATTGGTGACGAAAGCAGGAAAGGAAAAAAAAAACCAAGATCAAAAGACCAAAAAAAGAGAGCAGCGGGTGGTGGGCGAAAAAGATGGTGCGGACCATGTCATTGGGAAGGAGTTGAATGATTTTTGATATTTTCCTTTTTCTTTATATAAGCTGAGTCTTTTGAACGTACTCAAGCTGCAGCGAGGTCTCTCGTAAGGATAAGAACAAATGATAATTCCATATTTGTTGAGCACCCAGCTTTTCTGGTAGGCCGTCCTTGTACTGAATGTAATGTTTGCGCAACACAGCTACAGGACGAGCTTGTGAGTGCCAATATGCACACATGCTATGTTGATGATGATTCTGAGATTGGTGCACTGTGTCTCAAACCCACTCTGATCAGGTATGAGATGGGTTCAAGTAGAATGTCGTAAAATCAGCTATGCGGCCGAATCGCTTCTAGTGTGAATATCAAACCTCTCTCGCCTCGGTATCATCACGAATATCCTCCCTGCTTTTCTATTCATACAAGCTCGTGGTACAACACTCGATCAAGGGGATAGTTTAATTCCACCAAAAACTCACACTGAAGCTGACGCTCAAGCTCCGCACAAAATGCCACCACCCCATGGGAATAAGCAGTGTATCGCCGGGCTGAAGGATGCACTCAAAGAACTCAACGCCCTTGAGGCTATCTCTTATCTCACGTAATTGCTCTTCAGCTTCCTCGTTGCTGTCATCAACAGCTCCGGCCCAGCCCTCGACCGCGAGCAAGTCGATGCTGCTCGTGTTACTCATGTCGATGCCGCCGTCAGAGGTCGCCATTGGCCGCATTGCTTTCGATGCCTGGGGAGGGTACAACCTCACGTACTTTGTGCCCACGACTTGGCAAAAGAGGTTGTGGTACGGATCTGTATGGAGAGGTGAGTTGGTGCCGGCCGGGCCGAACCAGGCATTGAGCCGCGGCATGTCGAGCTTTGGCTGCTTTTCGTATCCGGTGATTGGGTCGAGGGCGGGAACCTGAGCCCAGCAAAAGTCCGGGACTAGGATGTCATTGCGAAGTTCAGGTATTTGTTGAAAGAGATCATGTTGCGCAAGATAGCCAGTCTGTGCCGCGGAGGGAGGGCGACTATCCGCAAGGCCAGAGGCGGCGCTCGCAACACCAGTAACAGTCAAGGTGCTGTCAATGAAGCGGGTGACAAACTCTTTGAATGGCATGAGCTCCTGGCCCCACGAATCATCGACATAACTACGTCCGATTTCTACAGGTACCAGCCTTCGCCCGCCCAAGGTCAAATGGAAGAGATACTGCGGCCGACACCACTTCAGAAGTGCAGGCCATCCGCCTCCCGTCAAGTCCGTAAATACAACCGGCTTGGGTCCTATCGCACCTGTTTCCAAGGCATTGAATAGACCGTGGCTCATATACATCTCGAACCGAGCAAGGTCCCAGCCATGGTGTCTCTCACACGGACTTGTCAGTCGGGGACGACCGTAGGGCTCTTCGAAGGAGAATTCCGCTTGAGAGACTTGCAACGGGAATTGCGTGCAGAATTCAGCAATCAGCTCCATGGCCTTGTCTATCCATGTCTTGCCAAGGATGCGCCCTGCTCCGCCGCTTATGATGAGGGCGCGATCGAGCCGCGCGACGACTTCGTCCAGCGCCTTCAGGAAAGCCTGTCGTTGGTGCTCTTTTGACCTCTGTTCCTCCAGAGGCCTGATGATAGCCAGAAAGGCGCTGAGGATCTGCACGTCAGAGTAGATTTGTCGCCAGTGGACGGGCACCGCGTCAAGCGGATAAGCGTAGAGTCGAGCGTGGCTGCCAACCTCAACGTCGTGTAAGCGTTGTGACAGAACATGATAATACATCTTCGGAGGCGAATTGTAGAATTCAAAAAAAGCCTGTGTGTCGGTCGTCAAAGAATTGTGCATTTTCAACAGCCAACGTGCTTGGTATTTGAGCATGACCTCCATGGCTCGGGCCTCGAGGTCTCGCATCTGGTCGTTGAATGGCCGACCATCCACGTTGAATTGTGCGTCGCTTGCCTCCGGCAGCCATTTTATACTCGATTGAAAGTGGTATATAAGTCGTCCAAAGGGATAGCAAATGAATGGAGCACTGGTCATGATGACATCTGCGTAGTGTTTGTCGCTTGGTTACTTGAAAAAATGATGAGTTGAAGAGATGAAGTTGTCAAGTGACAGCTTCTCCACAAGGTATTGCGAGATTCTTAGGCGTCACCTACTTGGCGCACAGCATGGCGGCAGGAGCCTCAACCCAGGTACGTACCGAAAGCAATATCCCAATACAAGAATAACAGGCAGTAATACATAGATGGGTTCATCTCATCATAAATTAAGCTAAGTTACTGGTCAAATAGCCTTCATTCAGCCCTGACTATCATCTTCCGTGACATCTGTCTTCTGGCCATCCCTCCGCGCCTTGGCCCCAGCTTTCAACAGCTCCCATTTCTCCCTATATTTTTCCAGCGTCTTTTGCATCTTCCGATTATCCTTTTCCAGCCGCTCCATCTGCTTCGTCGCGGCCGCCAGCTGCTCTTCCATCTCCTGGCTCTTGCGCACCATCGCCGCCGCCGCGCCGTCGTCCGGCTTCGCCGTGGCGTTTGGCGATGACGGCCGCATCAGGCGGTAGCTCTCCGCCAGCGCCATGGCCGAGCTCTGCGCGCTGGCCTCGAACGTGTGCAGTCGCTTCGACAGCTTGTCTAGCATGTCTTTAAGGGACTGGTTTTCCGTGTACAACTCCTCGATGGTGTTGTTGAGCTGCCGTTCGGTGTGTGATGATGAGGATGACTTCCCGACTCGTCGCTTCGCGCCTGGCGATAGGACCGCGGGGAGCTCGCGCGCGTCTACAAAGTCGTCCTCTTCTTCTTCTGCGATGGCGGGCTCTGCGTTACTATGGACGGAGCTGCCTAGCCGGCGCTTCTCCTTTTCGGCGTAGCTCAAAATGTTGGCGTAGGACATGGTATGGCCGGTCGTCGGCACAACGTAGAAGGACTCGTGGGGCGCGTGGCCTTCGCGCGCCAGAACACGCATCGTAGCCTTGGAGTAAATCTTGGACAGATCCGGCTCGGCACTTGGGGACGGAACCGTCTTTGGTCTTCTCTTAGATGGTGTTGGCTCCGGCACCTCTTGCTCCGACGTGACTGACTCCTCCTGGATGAGCGGCAGGCCAGCAAACGCCAGGGGCGCCGATATCTTATTAATAATGCTGCCAAAGGTATTGTAGAACCTCGTGTATCCAGCATCGTCGGCATTCAATTCCGGGTCTTGCTGCTGCTCCGGCTGCGGCGCCGAGGCAGACCTGTGGCGAGCATCCGACTTGGCAGCCTGCATGGTCGGCGGCACCCAGGTCGGCTTCCCGGGCTGGTGGTCCATCAGCGTCTGCATCTTGGTCCGCGAGCCGTCCCGTCGCGGGTGCGGGTCGACGTTTCCCGGCGCCTGGTCGTTGGAGACGCTGGGGCTCAGCGGCTGCCCGCGATACTTGCCACGGATGCCCCTCGCCGACGCCAGGTTGCTCGCGATCGACGACGACATCTCCCGCGCGACGTGGCGCCGCTGCTGCGCGAGCCCCGGCATGTGCGTTGACGCGGCGGACCGCGGCGACGTCCCCGCGGAGGAGGTGAGGCCGTCCGCCGCAGCGGCAGCGACACCGCCAGCACCATCCTTCTCGCCCAGCGCCTTTTCGTCGCCCTCGTGCGGGTGGGTGTCGGGCGGCAGCCTCAGGAGCTCGGCGAGTCGCTGGTGGTGCGCCTCGAGGAGCTTGAGCGTGCGGAGGGCCTCGATGCTGGATGTCCGCTGGGCGGCGTTGGAAAACTCCCCCGCGGCCAGCGTGTGCTCGTTGATGGCGACGGTCGTGTCGGCGGACTGCTGGCGGGTGGCGACCGCCGCGGCCTGCGCGTGGTCGTGCGCCTTGATGAGCGGCGAGGAATCCATGTGATGTCTTGTCGGGCGGTATTATGTTTCTCTGGTCTCGGAATATCTAGAGATTGGCCATATGCGCACCAGAACGGCCCGCGAAGTTGGTGACGGAAGTAGGAAGGTTCACGGGACTTTCTGACCGTCAACTGTCACTTTTAGCGGGGCGCCACCAGAGAGCTTGGGCGATCACCCCACGCTTTATAGCAGATGCTAATCGAGTTACCCCAGTTGGCACCAGCTCAATGAACGATGAGAAGAAAATGAATAAAATATCCCCAGTACTCGGCTTACGTTTCAGTGCTTGCGTATGTGCTGAGAAACAACTTCGCGAGTAATCATAAGCGTGCACGGCTCGAATTCTGGCCCATGTTATAATACCAGTAAATTGTACATTTATAGGCTGTCAATATCAAAGAGCCAACCAGATCCCCTATTCTAGCATGTCCAGACGCCGACAATACCGTTCTGCCTGCCCTCTACCAGGTACCCGTCCTTTACTCGCACACGCTCTACAATGGACGTCTTCCTGCCCTCCTCGGCCGCCGTGACGCCCGCGCCGCAGTCCCATTGCCTTCCCTCTACCTTATCGTACACCTTGACAACATCCTCGCAAGCAGCGCTAACAATCCTCCTCGCGTCAAACATCATACTCGTAATAGGGTTGTCATATGCATATGCGTCGTAGATGGACCCAGTTCGCAGGTCCCAAATCTATTATCCGGTCAGTACTGATGCCTCAAGGTCTGCCTTGCCTACTTGAACTTACTCTTATGCTTCTGTCCAAGCTTCCAGTCACCAGGTGTACGTCATCAAATTGAAGACACGATACGGCCCCAGTGTGGCCGACGAGACTTCTATGTACTTGTCCGCTGCGCAGATCCCACAGACGTACCATACCATCCGCGGTACCACACGCTAGAGCCGATTCAAACACCTGCAAGGCCCCAACAAAATCAGCCGAGCTGGATTGTGAGCGTCCAGTTGGTCTCCAAGCCGCATCGGATGTGTTGGGGTTCGCGGAAGCCTGAGCGGCTGCCCACATGACATCCAGCGTCTGGATGCAGCGGCCCTTTTCCAAGTCCCAGTGACGCAGAGTCTTGTCTGCAGACCCCGAGATCAGGGAGTCGCCGCGGAAGTGAAGGGCCGTGATTTCTCCAACGTGTGACTGCAATGTAAAGAGCTCGCAGTCATCCATGCTACCCTGAGGCGGTTCAACGTGGTGGTCGTTGGGGTTCTCAAACGCGATGGCATCCTCGTCCTCTTCTCCGTGCCCACTGGCACCTTGCGGGTCGTAGTGTGATTTGCTGAGATCCCATAGCTTGATTGTTGCGTCTACTGAGCCGGTAGCCAGGATGTTATCCTGAACTTGTAATGCGCGAACGGACGCGTTGTGGCCTTCAAGGTGGCCCATGCAGCGACCAGCGTTTAAATCCCACACGCGAACCGTATCGTCGAGGGCGGCAGTGACCATGACGCCGAAAGGCGCGTCGAAGTCGAGGGCGGTGATTGTGTCCTTGTGTGCTCGGATTTCGCGAATGCTGGAGCCCGGCTCGAAATGCTCATGCAAAATGGGCATAGATTTTCGGCGGCGAACCTTTTTGGGCCTCTTCGTTGGTGTGCTAGCGGAAGAGCTCGGTATTTTGTCATAGACTGATTGCGACATGAATTCGTGGTCGTGGTCGTCGGCATCACCGACGAGGTCGACTTCATCTCTCGTGGGGGTGTTCTTTGCAATTTCCTCAGCTTCGTCAACGAGTGCTTGGGCGGCCTCGACTCTTCCTTCGACGTCGAGAACTGCGGAATGTTAGATGCGTCAAGGCCAGCAAGACCGAAAGAGCGGCTTACTATCATGCTCAAGCAGCGCTTCCTCCTGCTCCAAGCCTGCCAGTCTTTCCATAATAATTCGGCGCATGCCATGTAGGTTGGCGATTTTATTGTCTATTTCGCGAATCTCGCTACTGGCCATGTTTTTGCGCACAGCCAGCAAGTCAAATTCGTGCATCATGGCGGCTTTTTCTTTCTTGGCTTGGCTGAGTTGCAGCGTCTCGGAAACGCCTGTGCCATCTTCGAGGAGCTTTCTCCCTCTCGAGACACGTCGGCGATGTTTCTTACCCTCGTCCGTAAGTTCGGGGAAGCTGGCCTGGAAGCCTTGGAAGAGCGAGTAGCTGTTTTCGTTGTCGGGAATGTTGGAGAGGAGATGGTCAGGGAGGGCCGTCAGGGCGCGATGCTGGATTTCGGATCGGGAGAGCTTGGAGCGGACGATGTCGGTGGGCGTAGTCCTTGCCATGGCGAACATGCTGCGCTGAACCGTTGGCCTCTTGAGCTGCTTATGCACCTCAGCCATGGCAGCCTGGTAGTGAATCGATGCGCCGTCGGCATTGACGGGGCCCATGAGGTGGCTGGCGGTGGTTGTCACTTTTCTGCCGAATGCCTCGAATCCGCGGGTCTGTGACATGACAGCGACGAGAAGGAGACGCGTTAGCAAACAAAGTGTGGCCTACAAAGGACAGCGCTACCATCACACGACACCAGGGGGTGACGGCGAACGATGGTCAGGCGATGTTGGTGTCGCGTACCGAAATGAGCGACTGGTCGTCGTCGGGACCATCATCAGCGAAATCGTATTGGCTTTCCGGATCAGCCATGGCTCCGGCCGTAGAGCTTGAGCTGCAATTGTGCGGTGGTCAATGGGCTTTGGCGAAAGCTGCAGCGCAGGTAGAGCAGGTAAGTCAGAGGGAGTTTGCGACAAAGGGTGGCCTCGCATTTGAGAGCGCCAAGTGCCAATGGGAGGGCTGCTTGAAGAGCGCGGGAGCAGGGATGTCTCGTTGAAGCGCGCTATAATCAGCTGCCCGACAGTGAGTTGCTTGAGTGGTCCCATCTTGGTGTCTCACTGGACGAACCTTGGAAGCTTGTTTTTAGCGAGGCCAAGCACTGTAGCTATTGTGGGGCCGGTTTTTTACAGCAGGAAAAGGTCTCTGGGTAGGCATTTACACGGACCTGCCAACACAACTTACTCTCCTTCTAAGCATAGAATAGTTACTCTAAGTCAAGGAAAGCAGAAAAAGATAAGTCTCTAAAGATTCCAATATTAGATTGCAATTATTAATTAACAGCCACTTGAAGCTCTATTTAGTGTACTCAGTTGTCGTGCTAGGTGCATGACTGAGTAAGAGCACCCACTGGAAACTAATAAGGGCCAACGCAAAATGAATTACAACCAAGAAGTTCTCATTATCGCTGTTTGCTATTTCATGGTTTGATTCAGTTACGGCTTTCCGGCGTATCTTTCTGCCTTTCTCGCTCTCGCTCAGTTGCGAATTGTTCTGTTAAATATTACCTAAAGCCCAGGTACAGCTTCATTCGCAGCGCAACTAAGAGGGGCCAGACAAAGAGTTCTGGTTAGACTTGGGCTGCTCGTTACATTTCGCTTATTATTACTATTTCATTTTCTTCTTATTCTTCTTTTCTGTTCATTGCCTGTTTGCCTCAACTCTTAGAACAGAGGGCCGCCGGCATGCTCAAGTTTAATTCAAGGAACACGGTCAATAGGTCGCATAGGAAGATAACCGCCATTTACTGAACGTCACCTGGTGATGCTTTATCCGTATAATTAGCAACCTTCAGTGGATTATAGGGCCCATAGCGCAAAACTATAGCGACACCCCCGCTGATGCTGCCCGCTGTTGGATGCGCAACGCCGCAGAGTTCAGCGGTCTTGCAGCCGATGCTCGGAGAAAATTGCCCCTCCATTGTCTCTGCCTTGCCTTGGCCAAACACGACTCAATCTCAAACCTCTAGTTATTTTCGACATCTCACGAACAATCATCGCCCTCCATGGATTCCTTTGTCGATCTCAATGATGGCTCCCAGGCGTTGGACCTGTCGCGCATCCGCTACCAGCTCATGTACGTATGCTCATCGTGCCGCTCACATACCCTCATGCGCTTTACTCACTCTGGCAGCCGTTTGGAAGATACCATCATTTTCGCCCTCATTGAGCGTGTACAGTTTGCCCTGAACAAGGTATGATTTTCTGCTCTACTTTGCTGATTTGGCTAGAGCACGCTGATTGCTCACAATCCTCCGCGACAGACCATCTACATGCCCGGTGCCCTCGACATCCCCGACAGCAAGCTGAGCTTCTTCGACTGGTACCTGAGCGAGCAGGAGAAGCTCCAGTCCCTCATCCGTCGCTACGAGTCGCCCGACGAGTACCCCTTCTTCCCTGAGGCCGTGCAGAAGCCCATCCTCAAACCTCTCAGCTACCCCAAGATCCTCCACGACAACGACGTCAACGTCAACGACAAAATCAAGGACTTCTACACGGACAAGTTCCTCCCCGCCGTCTGCCCCGACTTTGGCCACGGCGACCGCGGCGAGACGCAGGAGAACTACGGCTCGGCTGCCACCTGCGACATCGCCTGCCTACAGGCCCTCTCCCGCCGCATCCACTTTGGCAAGTTCGTCGCCGAGAGCAAGTTCCGCTCTGAGACGGAAAAGTTTACCGCCCTCATCAAGGCTGGCGACCGCAAGGGCATCGACGACGCCATCACCAACCGCGCCGTTGAGCTGCAGATCTTTGAGCGCCTGCGTCTCAAGGCCCGCACCTACGGCAAGGATCCCGGTCTGAAGGAGGGCTCCGAGTCGCACATCAAGATTGACGTCGACGCCGTCGCTGCCATGTATGAAAAGTATGTTATTCCCTTGACAAAGGAGGTCGAAGTAGAATACTTGATGCAGCGCCTTGAGCCTGCCGCATAGTCACGAGCATAAGGATCCCAAGTTACGAGTAGCCATACTGTCATCATATATACAAAATTTATTCTCTATTTTAGTTTTGCTTCCTCTATTTCCCGGGATTTATATAATCGTTGACTGCTTTGATTGCCTCCGAGAACTTGGCGGCCTCAATAAGAATCATGTGTCCTTGGGCCTTGATTCCCATCTCCTGGAACGCGCGCTTGCTGTCGGCGACAGCGTCGCCCTCCTTGGTGTAGGCAAATCCACCAAAGGCGACTGCATACTTTTGCAGCACCTCGTCTTCAGGGTGGAAGTAAAATGTGGAAGCCTCCTCCTTGGCCTTCTTCTTTTTCCGGTCCTCAATGTCGAGCGTCGACTCGACCTCGGTGTAAGTGCGCGTGAGAATCAGGTAGTGAGAAAACTCGTACGGCTCCTTGTCCTCGACCGCGGCCTCAACCTCGTCAATGAGCATGGAGTACAGCGGTGGAGCAATCTCAGAGGGCATGTTGATGAAGCGCTCAGAAAAGATGAGGCCAACGTGCTTGTTAGCGTTGATGAGCTCCGCGACGGGAGCCAGAGCGGCGTTGGTTCCGGCTTTCTCGACCAGGTACGGCAGAACATCCTTCATGGTGTCGGCATCCTTGTGAACAGCGGTATTCAAGACTGAAAGCATTGCGTAGGCATCAGTGTTTTTGCCGTCGACCTTGACAGTCGAGCCGATTGTGGGTTGCGACAGGACGAGATCGGCCAGGAGCGACATGTTGAAGAGGCTGGCATCGACGTCGAAGAGCTGTCGCAAGAGGGATTTGACGCCGTGAAAGTCAATTTCGGGATCGTAGTTGAACCATTCAAAGTCGACATCGACCATGTCAAAATCCTAGGAAGCGCAAAGTCAGTGACTACACAGAGTTATGATGGCTGCGAATGGTTACCTCTTCGTCGCTGTCGTCCTCGTCCATCTTGTCGGCAGACTTGGCAGACGGACCTCCAGACAGTCCGTCTTGTTCTCTAGATCGCTTCTTTCCCATTGTGAGCTGGTCTGAGGTTGATTCAGAGGAAGAGAGGTGCAGTGTATGTTTGCGAAGAAGAAAATGTCTGAACCGGTCAACCTGGTGGACAATTTTTTGGCTGGTTGCCCCGCCCTAAACTTGATCAGGACAGGCGGGTGGTTGTTTCTGGGTCAAGGCCTACCGAGAGGTAAGAGACAAGGCAACAAGTTATGAAAAAGTTGTGAAGGTAGAATATATAGATAAGAAGAAAGAGAAGGAAACAAGAAAATTAAATCTGCTGTGATTTTCCACAAGTAATCGTATGTATTTTGAGGAACTTTTCGGTAGAATATCTCAGGCCCTCCCAACCTGAGGCTTCTAAACTATGACACCAGTGCTTTCCCCGGGCGGCTCGTCAGTGGTCAGGCGGCTCAGGCCAGAAAGCTCCGCCGAGCGACCCGCCTGCAGCAGCTCATCCCATCCACCCAGTGCCGCCACCAAGTTGCCAACTCGACCAGCCTTCTCAGCTTGCGTCACGGACACAACCGCCGGGCCCAATTGCCAAATTACACACGCCGGCACGCATCACAGCCTGCCTCCTTGCCACGCGCGAGACCCCCCGCCCTACTCATCCGCGCGGCGACGAGCACCTCTCCGGTTAACCGCGCCAGACCGTCCCCAACGAACGTTGAGCGACTCCGCACCACTCATCCGTCATCGAGCCCTCCGCCGCTACCATGGACTACAGCGCATCCATCCACGAGACCGACGATCCGGTGGGAGCTTCACCCTGGGGCAACTCCCCAACCTCTTCGCCCAAGAGAAACCCGCCTCCCTTTGCCAGCCTGCCCAACGAGGGCTCCTCCTCGTCGTTTCCCTTCTCGTCGCAAGACTCCAATGGTCTAGGCAGCCCAGCTCTCGGCGCCGACGGCTTCCAGCGGCCCGGAACTGCCACCACTGCCTCGGAGACTGAAGCCGAGACCGACCGCGAAACGGTTCAGGGCCATGAAGAATCTGAGGCTAGCCAGACGATACATTCCCAGCCCGCACCGCCCGCTCAACAGCAGCACCACCAACCGCAACAGCACTCTGGCTTCGCGCCCCAGGGGCACGAGGGTGAGCCCAATCAAGGTCCCGCGCCGCCTTCCGAAGGACCGGTTCACAGACCGGTGCAACCTCAATACAGACTACAAGCAAAGATTACCGGTCTCGAGCGCACTGGCAAGAAAGACCCGCTCCTGCGATTTGACGTCTATGTATGTGCTTGGCGATTGCCTATACCTACCTATGCCCTGCTGACGACCTGCAGACCAACCTTCCTCGATTCCGTACCTCCCAATATCGCGATGTTCGCCGCCTGCATTCCGAGTTTGTAAAGCTCGCCGACCACCTCATCTCCGCCAACCCCGATGCCTTTGTGCCTGCCGTCCCCCCGGCCGTCACCTCGGCCGGCGCGGGAACCGACGAGGATGAGACCCGGGTCAAGGCTCTGATGCAAAGATGGTTCAACTATGTATGCAGCAGCGAGACATTGATGAGAGACGACGAGATGATCCTTTTCGTCGAGTCGGACTTTGGCTACAGCCCACTGGTTAAGATGAAGCAGCCTGCCACAGGTGTTCGCAGAAAGATTCTCAAACAGTTTGCGCCGCCGCCTGACGATACGCCCGAGCTCGCCGATGCACGTCCTGCCGTCAAACTATTTTATCTTGGTACTATGGACGCCGGACACAAGGTTGATAAGCTGGTCAAGGCCAGGCGAGGTATGCGGCGACACCGGAGGACTACATCTACAATGCTGACAATGTTCTTGCAGGTCTTGGCCTGGCCGAGTCTGATTTTGGAGTCAAGCTCGGAGGTATGCATGTGCAAGAACCCCACCCTGGTTTGGCCAATGCCTACAGAAAGCTGGGCAAGGTTATCCAAAATGTGGGAGATTACCATGCCGCGCAGGCTACCGCCGAGGCATCCACTATTGGCGACCCATTTCAATATCACTCGCAAGATGCCTTTATTGTCAAGGAGACCTTGACAAACCGGCAAATCCTCACCAGAGAATTTATCCAGGCTCAAGAAGCAACGAGGAGCAAGCTTAATGCCGCTGACCGCCTTAAGACTAGCAGCAGCGTGCGCCGTGAAAAGGTTGATGAGGCCATTGCGGCTCTTGACGATGCCCGCGAGACGGAAGCCTACCTATACAACAAGACCCACAGGGTAACCCAGAATCTTCTGCAGGAGCGCCGCAAGTGGTTCTCGCGGACATCCAACGACCTGCGCCTGAGCATCCGGGAGTTTGTTCTGCGCGAGATTGAAGCCGAGCGACGCACGCTGTCCGTTTTGGAGAGCGTCCGCGCCGACATTCGCGCCATTGACTCGTCGGGCGGCCTCAGCCGACTGGGCCGCGAAGCCCACCCCGTGATCCGCCGCACCAGCTTGGCCGCCAGCCAGGGCCCCAAGGGCGACGCGTGGAGCGGCGTGCCGCGCCGCGCGGACGCGTCGAACCGCAGCACCTCGTCGAGCTTCCTCGGCAAGCTCCCCGAGGACCACGAGACGGATGACGCGCAGCAGGATGCGGGCGGCGCGGCCGGACGGGCCAGCTTGGCGGGCTTGACGGAGGAAGAGGACGACGACCGCATCGATGCTAGGAACGCGGCGAGCCGCCTGGCCACGAGCACCTTTTAAGCAAGTATGGGAGGGAAACACATAAAAATTTGTGATGGGATGGGTTTTGCGTCGGGCGAGAGCGAGCTCCCTCGCCTAATGTTCAATTAGCCACAGTGAAATTCTTTAATTTGAATTGTATTCTGCTTAATTCTCCGTGGTGATTGGAAATGTGTGGATAAGCTATGTAGTAGCAGCGTTGCGGTTGAGCAAGTCCGTTTTTGTCTTGTCTTTCAACTTTGTGATGGTGGAAGGTTTTGTCGCTCCCTTCCTGAGCTCAGCCACACCCTGGCACGCCAGAAATCAATTTATAAACAGCCAAAGAGACACCAGATACAGCACGGATTTGATTGCCAAGCAGAAATTCGCGAATTCCCGGCATGGTTTGCTGATACTTGTCGACTTCTCAAGTCTGTAGGGTAGTTGGTGAACGGGGGGGCGGTTGAGGTTGGCGGCGGTTGTGGGTATACAAGTCAAAATAGCTAATCACTTTCCCAACAACTCGCGGCCATAGATTAGCTGGGAGATCGTCAGACTGAAGTCATACTTCAATCCTGCGGATTTAGATACCTATCTGAAGGTCGTGTGTTCGAGTCACACTGGCCGCAAGTTCTTTTTTTTTGGTCTGGCCCGCCCGAGAGTGGGTCTGGTTGTCGGTTGGCGGGTTGTTTTCTGGCCAGCGCGGCCTTGGGCGTCGTGAACTTGGGCTCCTTACTTTTGGGCAACAGGGGGACAACGGGACAAGTTACACCATAATACTCCTCAACCGCCCTTCTCTCTGCTCTTGAAGTATCTTTCTGATTTTAACTCGACCAAGTCCCTGATTCTACACCATGACGAAATAAGCTACTACTCGACGCTAAACGAAGAGCCAACTATGTACGTTGCTGCCTCGTACAGGCCTGTCACGGAAGCCATATCGGTAATTTTTACGAACGGCTCGTTGGCTCGCACTTACTTTCGTTATCGGGTCTTTTACTGATAAAGACACACCGACGGAAGAGACCTGTCTGACATAGAGGGGATGATCACCCTCCATCTCGACTGTGTGGCACGGCCAACAAACGTCACAAACCGGCGCAACCAACAACGTGAAAAAGTTGACCATCCGTATAAAGAAAAATAAGCGGCTCGGAAATAACTCGGCGGCCATAGATTAGCTGGGAGATCGTCAGACTGAAGTACAACTTCAATCCTACGGATTAGATACCTATCTGAAGGTCGTGTGTTCGAGTCACACTGGCCGCAGTTTTTTTGCCATTCTTTTTAGCTGGACTGAAAATCCGAGCTTGCGGTAATGACTGAATGGGACCTCTTTTCTTTCTGCTTTCCATATCAGCTCGTTATGTATGTGACAATGACCTATCCTGCTTAGTTGCAGCATCATGTGAAAGTAATTGCGATCATTTCCCAGTACTTATGGTCTAGCTTTGGTATTTCAGCTCCGTGTAAATCTCTTAAACGCCATGCCATGTTGTGCTTCTTAGTCTTCGTGTCCATCACCAACTGGTTTGCCGTTTTACATGAATAAGTCACTCGTGCCTGGCAGTTGAAACGACGGCGTGTCAGGATACTCGCGGCCCCGCTGGTGAGCGTTCTTACCTGTTTGCACGATGGCGAACTTCTTGCCGACATCGCGCACCTCACCGATGGCCTGCATGAGGGTGCTTAACAGGTTGATAGTATTGACATTATTCTCCTCTGATGCCATCTCCTCTCTGAAAGCTTCCTCGTCTGACGGAATCACCAGCCCCAGGCGGCCCGTCAGTGCCTTGATCTCCCGCAAGACCGTCAAGGAAGGTGTTACGGTAGAAGCATCAGTATCCATGGAGCTTTCGTCTTCCGTCTCAATGTTCCCAAAGGAATCCGGGAGGCTGTCGAGGTATGCTGTGAGAAGTTGGATCCTCGATTGCAGCATTTTGACGGCATTGGCCTTGGCAGTGAGGGCCGCGAGGGTCTCCTCTTCCTCGCGCGTGAGCATTACCCCAGTCTCATCGTCTTGAGCAGCCTCGGCCGAGTCTTCCCGTTCGCTCTCGACCAGACGACGCTTGCCCTTGCCATTTGACTCAACAGATCGCGCGGGCTGCGGGTCTTTGGAGGCGACAGCGGCAGCGTTTCCCGCACCACTTGCGATATAGTTCATGCTGATCATTTCTGTGTCATCCGTCTCGACAGAGTATGGGACTTCTCGGAACCTCAGCTTCAAGGGCGGTTCGCCGTCATCCATCTTCTTGTCTTCGCCATCGTTGTCGATTTTGGACTCGTCCGCTTCGTAATTGCTTTCGTAAATGGTGAGTGGTAGCTTGCCGCCGACAGAATGTAGGAGGACTTCCTGAGGATGGAAGCCTAGAAGTATGGCAGACTCGTTCCAGCCCTGCAGAATCTGGTTGTGGATGGGCAAGATTGTCGGTGTTGGACCGTCGGCAGGAAGCAGCGTGTACCAGCCGACAAACTCGAGTTGGCGGTCCTTGTGAACGGTGATCACTGTAACTAGCGTCAGCAATGCGAGAAGGGTAGGGGGTGAAGGAGAAATGTACTTTGCTCTAGCCTGGCGGAGAACTTATCACTGTCGAGCAAGTAGCCGCCCTCCTGGTCTGGCGCTTCGATCAGGTGGCAGTCGAATGCATGCTCGATAGTGATTTCGCGACCATTCTGTTGGCCGAGGAGAGCGCCAAGTATGGGTACGGACTGTTGACGAAGAGTATGTCGCGTGATGTAGTCGGAGATTGTGAGGAGCACGAGCGGGTGCAGCACGGCATGGAGTTGCGAGCTCTTCTGGCTCGAGATGAGGGGGTTGAGGTTGCTAGCCTCCATGTTCGGTGGTGGTAGGTATTCTACTATGCAGCTTCAATCAAATTGCGACTGGTTTTGCTTGGAATGAGTGGTTAATGGCAGGAGTGCGTGGCGGGAGCTGGAGATGAAGAGATGAAGCTGAAGCTTGGATATGCTACCTACATTGGTTTCTTGGTTAGTTACCTGTAGCTTCGCAGCCCCGCGCAGTTGGTTGCCTGCTGTAGCGGCAGTGCCCCACCACCAGGTACCTGGATACCTGATGCCGTCAGAGGCGACAGACACTCGTCACGATATTCTTTCATGCCAAAAAAACCAAACCAAACAAAGCAAAAAAAGCAGAAAGATTACAAGGTCCGTTTGCTAAATGAGTTGATTTTATTGTTTCACGTCTGGTAGTATTCCCGCCGGTGCATCGCACAGGACATATCAAAGTTGCATTATCTGACGTCGGACTGGCACCAGGCCTCCCTCCCATACACCTACCAATGTATGTACGTATATATACGTGACTAAAGGGATTTTCGCCGTCATGAAACCCTGGGACTTTTAAATATGCTCAGACAAAAGCAAACAGATCTTTCTAATGCTATCCTGGATAAGATGGAGCCAGCCCATGCAAGTAGCAACGGGCGCGCGAGCATGGATTGATGTGGTGAGTGTAAGTGCAAAGGAAGAAAGTGTGATATTCACTGCCCTGCCAAGTATGAAGAGTCATCCGTATCAAAAGACACTACCGCATTCCAAGAGGCTGGTCTTAAATCGCGTCTCTCTTTTTAGCAAAAAAAGACGACGACGACGATGACGACGTTGGACCCAGGCCATCATCGCGCATTGCCAGTATGCCCAAAATCTGCACCGAGAGACATGGGCGGAATATAAGGGTGGGGGATCGGGACTTTTCCCATCTTCTTGCCGGACCTCCTGGCCGGCAATAAGGCGGCCGGATACATTCTATTTCTTCTCTGTCCTCCCGCTGGTTGATCTTCCGCCAGGCCAGCGGAAGACGGCCGAGTAGTTCGAGGATGCGACGCATACAACTGAACGCTGTCTCAGCAATTTCGACCAAAGGCCCTCAGGTACAAGGGTGACAGCGCCCAGAAATGGATTGAATACAGGGAAGCAGACATGCTTATCGATCATCTGGGGTGAAGCGCGGACCACTGCTAATTTCTTCCATGCCGGCAATCCTGCTGTGCGAATACCCACGGCGAAATGTAGTAGCTGGCTTTGGCGGCAGCATCTTGGGGCACCCTGCCACTGCTGGAACTGCGCCCTGCGCCGTCGGCCTTGAATCTTCTGATGCCTGTACCTTGAGCTCCTCTCGACTTCATTCCAGAAAAACCCAACCAGGCGCTTTTTTCGGGTTGCCGCATTCGCAAGTGTCAGGCATGCATGCATGATTCAAGTGCAGGTCATGACGCGGAGAAAATACCGCTACCGGGTTCTATACTGCCACAAACAATTTAAGGTGTGAAGAATCACCTTTAAAATACTGAAAAGAAATTATTAGACTTTGCCAACCGAATTGTTTGCCTGCTGGTTGTTTGCCGCGTTGCCTCGGCCGAGAGAGCTGTCTGGCCCGGCCGACTACTTGCCGCTTCAGGTAGTCGCGGTAAGCGGCTGGTGTGCCAGAATGCACACCATACAAGCAAGGTCAGGCTTATATCCGTAATTCCGCGCCAAAAAGCCGTAGAAATTACCGACATGACTACGGAGACAATGCCAACATTTTTTTTTTTTTTTCACACCAGTCAAACCCTTGCGTAAGCAGGTGTGTGGCCGGGGTGAAGGAAAACCTGGGGACCGACGGCCAACCCAACCCATGTCGAGCTTGGCGCTGGTGATCAAAGATAACTGGACTGACTTGAACTTGGTGGCTCAGCCCAAAATCTGCAGAGGAGAAAAGGCCGAAAAAGCGAGATTCTCCACAGCGGCCGGATATAGGGCATGGGGATTCCCAACTGAGAACCACCCGTAGATGCATGCGAGGTAACGTTTGTCAGCCACACGGACGGCCCCATGGATGGATGGATGGATGCTGCATTTAACTCGTTCCCCATGCCCCTTGGGCCTCTTTATTTTCTTGCTTCCTCAGTTTATCCTTTGTCTGTGGGAGAAAGTACAAGTATTACTCTCCTTGCCTTTCAATTCAGCATCGAGTTCTCAGGTACCCTAGCAACTCGTCCATTACCACTACTCAGCACACCACACACCGCGATCTTCCCCCGCTCCGCGGACTTACACCACACACAACGGCTTGGGCGTGATCTCTTTCCCCCTCTCTCCCTCAGAGAGCCCCCTTTTGGCCGAAAATGGCCTGGAAGGCGGGCAATGGGCGGCCTGCCGTCTCGCCAGACCAGAACCCGTCCATCTCGGGAGACGAAACGGAGGCGTCGACGGTAGTAGACACCCAACATATACAAGAAAAGGGCCCGGAGGCACACCCTTCACCGATACATGAATACGGTGACGATATTGAGGCTCAAAGGGTACGTTGACTCCCTGATCCCCGGTGCCAGTCCCCGGTTCCCGGTCCCCGGCCCCCGGTTCCTCGTCATATGCCAATACATCACCGCGTGTAGAATGAACACCTCGGCCATGACGTCCAGAGGACCGCCACCAACGCCAGCCAGCGCAGCGCCCTCAGCCGGCTCTCACGCAGAAAGACCAAGGAGGCCGCGACGCTCCCCCACGCGCCGCTGCCGCTCATGGACCTCGCCAACGGCGTCGTCGGGTGGGAGGCCCAGGACGACCCCGCCATGCCGCTCAACTTCCCCGCCTCGCGCAAGTGGCTCATGATCGGCCTCCTCTCCGCCATCACCTTCATGACGCCGTGGTCCTCCTCCATCCTCGCGCCGGCGCTCGGCCAGATACAGGCCGAGTTTGGCGTTGCCAGCGCCACGCTCGCCGCCATGCCCGTCAGCATCTTCCTGCTCGGCTACGCCGTCGGCCCGCTCGTGCTCTCGCCGCTGTCCGAGACGCACGGCCGCAACCCCGTCATGGTCGCCTCCAACCTCGTCTTCTGCCTCTGGCTTGTCGGCTGCGCGCTCGCGCCCTCGCTCGATTCTCTGATTGCGTTCCGCTTCCTCTGCGGCGTCGGCGGCTCCGCGTGCCAGACGGTCGGCGGCTCCGCGTGCCAGACGGTCGGCGGCGCCATCATCGCGGACCTCTTCCCCGTGGAGCAGCGAGGCCGCGCGACGACGGTGTGGATGATGGGCCCGATCCTGGGGCCGTCGCTGGCGCCGGTCGTGGGTGGGTTCGTGGCGGAGACGATCGGCTGGCGCTGGGCAAACTGGATCTCCTTCGTCCCCGGCGTCGTGGTGGTGGCGTGCATGGTGGTCGGCAACAAGGAGACCAACGCGCGCGTCCTGATGCGGCGCAAGACGGAGAGGCTGCGGCGGGAGCTCGGCCGCCCGGAGCTGCGCAGCTGCTACGTCGACCCGGCCAAGCCGGTGCCCACCACGGGCCAGGTGCTGCTGCTCGGGCTCACCCGGCCCATCAAGATGCTCTTCCGCTCCGCCATCCTCTTCAGCATCTCCGTCTACATCGCCTTCAACTACGGCTGCCTCTACCTCCTCTTCAACACCATGCCCACCGTCTTCCGCGGCAACTACGGCTGGTCGCTCGGCGTCTCCGGCCTGCCCTACTTCTCCCTCATGATCGGCTACCTCGTCTCCATCACCATCTTCGCCGTCGTCTCGGACCGCACCGTCGTCCGCATGACCCGCGCCAACGGCGGCGTCTTCGAGCCCGAGATGCGCATCCCCTACTGCACCTACTTCGCCATGCTCATCCCGGTCAGCTTCTTCTGGTACGGCTGGGCCGCCGACAAGCATGCCCACTGGATCGTCCCCGTCATCGGCATCATCCCCTTCTCAGCCGGCATCATCGGCGTCTGGACCCCGGCCAACGCCTACATCATCGACGCCTTCCCCGAGTACGCCGCCAGCGCCTTGGCCGGCTTCGCTGTCATCCGCTGCACCATCGGCGCCTTTTTGCCCTTGGCAGCCCCGGCCATGTACGCCAGCCTCGGCATCGGCTGGGGCACCTCACTGTTGGGGTTTATTTCGCTCGCTTTCGTGCCCGTGCCCTTCCTCATCTTCCGCTACGGAAAATGGATGAGAGAGCGCTGGCCTGTCAAGCTCTAAAATGCCTCTAAAGTAACGAGTGTCAAATGATAGATAGATACCTGCTACATTAGCCTGTAGCCAACCTTGTTTATACTGAACCCGCACAAGACCATGATCAGAATAGAATGAATTCATGCTGCCGCTCGAAATCTAATGTGCACGCCATGTGATTCTTGCCCAGCATTTTCTAGCTGAGAATAAAGACTATGCAAACCCCGATCAATAAACACCGCCCAACCAACATTGGCTGAGATGCTGTGTCGTGGCTCGATGCAATGCAGCTGAAACCCAGATGCCCCATAACTCCAAGGTGAAATGCTTCTGATAAACTCTCGTATACGGAAGAAAGGAACAGACGAATAGAGGTGGACGTGATTACTCAAGTATCCACTGCGTCAAGAAGGAAAATGCCATGGCTTTCCTACCCTTGGCAGCCAAGAAGTCGCGCGCGGAGAGGCCTCGGGCGTCCTTGTGATCAACAGAAGTGATTTGCATCACTTCGACTTTCTGGCCCGGTGCTCCGAGATCTCGAGAATTAACGTCAAGCCAGTGCCAATAACCGTCCGTTTCAATTGGCACCATGTCATCCTTGCGGCCGTCTAAACCGTGAATGTTGAGAACAAAGAGAGGTGGCTTGCCTGGGCCGTTCTTTTCTGACTTCCAGTGTGGACAGATTTTGCAAAACTGGAATCGGATGATCTGGCCGCTGTTGACTTGGATATGCTTGTTCGCAGGCTCCATGCTGGAGTTGTCGATGCCCTCCTCGGCAGTATTTGAGAAGATTGTGACTGGCTCGCCATTCGCACGGCCTCTGTAGTACTCCTCCCAGCTTACGGTGCGACCATCCTCGCGGTATTGGAACTTTGACTTCTCGGGAAAGTGCCGAGCACCGAACTGCTCGTTGGTCGCGTTGAAATGAATCGGCGCAAAAACCTTGTTGAAGCTCTGAGTTGCGCCGTCTACGTTGCCGGCACCCCAGCAAGCGTCAAGAAGCTTCCATCCACCGCCGTCGATCCGGACGGCATTCCACGCATGGCCGCTGGGGTCTGCCCGAGGAACGGGCTCGCCATCTTTGAGCGGCGTGTAGCCAAATCCTTTACCGTGGCCGCCTACGACATCACATTCGAGCCCAGCTCGGTTGGCAATGGCTTTGTACGTCTCCGCATAGCCTGCACAAACAGCCAGACCGCTGAAGATGGTCGATTCCCCCGTTTGGTGCTTGACACTGTTTCCAAAGAACGCTCCGGTGTCGTATGCAATGTTATGATGACACCAGGTAAAGATGGCTCTAGCTTTGTCGCTATATGATGGGAAAGCAGAGCACAGATTATGAGCCAGGTACCCTACCGGGTCATTGCGAGGGACCGACTGTCTTGGGTATTGTGCGGCGACGGCATCGGGTGCGCTCCAGTCTCGGCAGGCGAAGCAGTTATTTAGTTCCGGCGCAGGCTGAGGCTGAGTCGCCCGAGACGAGACTTCTTTGATCTGGAGAGCGGAAGGGCGAGTGGCTGTTGGGATAGGCGGTGGGCCATCGGCATCTTGCCCGTTCGTGGTTGCCTTTGGGGCTTGAGATGAACCAAAGCCCATGATACGTGGCCTTGCCGGGGTTGCATCCTGCTTATTTCCTCTGATTGGTAGCCTAGGCGGCAGACTGGGCGTTGACACGGGCTTTTGCGTCTCCTGTGGTTGGATTGGTGGCAGTTTTCTGGGAGCTGCCGTCGCCGAGTTTTGGCTCGTGGTGGACCAGCTGCTCTGTCCGGCAGACTTGGATGACTTAGTTGAGTTTTGTGACACCTCAGAGGATGTTGAATCGCGGCGAACATCCAATAAGCCGTTTGGTTGCGTGGAAGGCTGGCGCTGAGGAAGAGCGGGGGGTTGCTGGGTAGATGACGTTCTGGACGGCAGAGGTGGGCGAGCCGCATCCTGACTGGTTATCGAGGTCTGCGTGTCCCTTCGCGGCAGGGGAGGGGGGTTGCTCTTGGTTGGCCGGACCGGGACTGTCGGCGTGACAGGCTTCGAGCCTTCGGCGCCTGTTTGTGCGCGGCCTGGGGGAGGCGGCGGCGGCGCACGCCGGGCCGGCTTGGCTGACGGCGGCCCATTGGCAGCAAACGTCTTGTTCTTGTTGAGCGCGGCGATTCTCTCTGATAGCGTAGTGTACTGGGGCTCCTCGGTGTCGGCCATGGCGCGAGGGGACTCTCTGGAATTGATTCCGAAAATGACTCTGTCGAGATGTGGGAATCAAGATCGGAACGGTAAGTCACGGAGGTGGCTGATGAGAGTGGCGAAGTGGCGGCGATGAGCCTGATCGCGTGTTTGCGGGGGGGCTGTGCAACATGCGCGGAGAGAGTTGTTCGTGGCTGGAGAGAGTTGTTCGTGGCTGGAGAGAGAGGATGAGAGAACGAGGTCAACGAAAACATATGAAATTTTGCAAAGAGACTGGGGAGCTCATTATATGTAGAGGAGTAATAAGGCTGGGAGAACGTTTCATCCGTCTGCCAATAATGCGGATGGAAGTCGAGCAGGCTACCAGGTGGAGTTGTCGTCTCTCTACCTACCTATGTACCTATGTATGTATGTATGTACAATGTATGTTGTAAAGGGAGCACTGTTAGCGTGGCACTGAATTACTGAAGCCGGTTCACGGGAGACTTGAAATCCCAGCAGCAACATACGGCAGTTATCATATGGGACGATTATGGAATGCACTATTGCGTAACTAGAATCAACAAGCAAATACGAGCGCTGAGGTCTTTTTTCTTTCTTGGAATTATGTTGGGACTCCAGGTAAGGCCCAGCTCGCCTGCCGAGTGTACCTCAATGCCAGGCCACAACTACCAAGACCTTGGACATGGTATGTACATTGCCTGTGCGACTGCCCCGTGGTTACTACAGTACAGTCGGAGGCTTGCTTCCGTGTCAGTGCAACTCTTGGGACACTGTGCAACGGGTTTGTTGTGCTATCCAGCACCGCATTTGACGACAGCGTTCCCGGTAGTACAACACTTGTTCCATCTGACAGCGTGGTACGTGCAGAACTGCCTACACATTTCCTTGCTGTAAACCTGATATGACCTGCCAGGCGTCAGAGTTGATAGCTGGGAGCATGGGATGGGCCGGATGGAGGGATGACAAGCGCGCATCATAATTGAATGGACCAGTAAGTTAGGCCAAGTAAATAAGGTCGCTAAGCCATGCACAAAGTATACGAACAAAGCCAGGCAAATCAAGCGACAGAATGCCCTGCCTCAATACAGGACAGGCACCCAACTCCCGCTCCCAACGTGTCGTGTTAGCCTGTAGGTACTTGTCCTGCAGACAGCTAGCCGCCTTTTACCCCGCCACACTGCGTCTTGCCCCAATGTACCCCCTGCTAGCCCCCTAGACCCTAAATACTAAACCCTGTCCAGCTTCATGACGCTTCCAGCTTCCCGAGCGCTTCGGCCAACCATCCAACCTCCACCATCATCACTTCATCTTCCCACTGTCCACCTAGCAGCTGACAGCCTCGTCGTCTTCCTTGAAAACTCGTCGTCGCATCATATGCACTTCCGATAGCTTCAGCATTTGCGACGACGGCACCATCGTCGTCCTGTCCCTATCCAACTCGTCCACTCGGCAAGCCCCGCCGCTACTCATCACCCCGCCTGGGTCTTCCACAGGTTGACCCAGGCCCGATACTATCATCATCTTCAGACGACTTGTACTTACCCGTCGCCAGTCATCATGTCCGCTGGAGGCGACGAGGCTTCTGCTGCCGTACCCGGCTCGGCTTTCCGCTTTACTGACTTGCCCATAGAGACTCAGCGCCATGTTCTCTCCTGTGTAAGTCCTGTCTCGCCAGCCTAACCCACGGCCTCCTAAGCTCATCTCTGTCGCCTCAGTGCTCTTCGGGCGATCTCATCTGCGTCGCCCTCGTCTCCAAGCATCTTCACGATCTTGCATCGGCTATCATGTACCGCGATTTTCACATCATCTTCCCCGACGATGACGATCTTAGCTTTGACTCCCCTGTAGATGGCCTTGCTGGCGGTCTTGACACCTTCACCACTAGCCAGTATGATTACGCCAGACACCTAAGAGACCTCTCTATGGATACTTTGAGTTCTGGAATAAAGGGAGAGCGGTCCTATCAACCGTATCTATACTCGTCAAGCTGTGGCAAGTTCTTCAACACCTTACTCTTCTTGACCCTCCAGAAAGCTCACTTTCTTGAATCCTTTCGGTATGTCTACGTATAACCCCCCCGCCATGGATATACACTAATGTAGAGTTACCTTATAGATGGAATGTGCGGATCGAGCTCAGTCGACCGGTGTATAGGCGACTGCGACAGTTAAAGTCGCTTCGAACCCTGCATATTCGTATGCAGGCTGGTGATTCCTACTACTCGAGACCACCTCCTTTGCCCATCAGCTTCCATCAGCACCACTCCCCGCCCAGCCCGGTCTATGGGCATTCGCATTGGTCAAACACAGCCTTCCCGCCTTTGCAGTCCTCGATGGCCTCGCCGCATCCTATTTCGCATCATGTCTTGCAGAATGAACCCCACACGCGATCCCGATCCGTGTCCAAGAATCGCACTCCAAAGCAGCCGCAGGATGCTATGAGACTCTCCGGTTTCAAGAACCTCAAAAACCTGGCTGTTCTAGACATTGATGACATGAATGTTGTAACGGAGATTGCGGACTCTGTTAAGCACTCACACTCGACCTTGACACAGCTCAAGCTATCTTTATCCCGGTCTTTGGCATCGCAAGCCAGGAGAGCTTCCCATGAGTCGGATGCTGAAGAATCCACTGATGAAGACTTTCCTGACCCCCCAAACGCACACCCTCCAAATTTTGCACCACCTGAGCCAGTCCGAAACTTCCGAGCTCAAGAGGAATGGAAGAAACAGGAAGTTCTCCTCGGCAAAATACTTGGTGTTGAACCCAGTCTCCACAAGAAGCCTCAGATGAACTTGGATGCGGTCAACGTGAAAGCCGAGGAGTCTTCGGCAACTAAGCCTCCAGCTCTGTCACCTGGTCAAGAGTTCATTATTTCTCTCACCGGCATCTCATCCAAACTAGTGACCCTCCTACATGGCCCAAAGGAGCTTTCAGCAACTCACCAAGAAATACTGAATACTATAGAGCAGGCTGCACGAAAATATGTTGAGTCCGGCGAGATGCCCAGTCTGAAACAGAATCAGGATGCAGACAAGCAGACTGATGGCGACGAAGATAACGAAGCTCAACCTAGCTTCTGTTTCGCGTCCACTTCCGCCGCCACAAACTCCGAGACCGTCGGAAATGCTGACACGGCGAACCCGTTGGATAATTCCAACAAGCTCCCGCTGAGACAAAAGCTTGAAGATATCCCGTCCTCACACTCCACCCTCGTAGACTCCCCCCCCGATGCCGGTCAGTTGCGCCATACTGGCTCGAGAGATGAGCTGCCTTCTGCAGGGCCGTCGACTTCTCGTTCGACCTATAATCCATCCGTGGAGGATTCTGCGAGACGTCGTCGTGACAATGTCGTCCCTTCCCGGGACCTTTTCAAAGGAAATGTGCCCAAGAGCAACGACAGTCAGATGAATGATTATCTTCGCAGCACCAGGGGTCTGTCTCTTGAAGTCTTGAAAATTGATCTACTTCCCGCGAAGGCCTCAGTCCTCTGTCGAGCACTGAATCTAGGTGCCCTGAAGGAGTTGGCCTTACTCAACGTTGGCAACCAGGCACCCATTTGGACGGCTCTGGCCAAAGAAAATGCAGTGAATCCACTACCTCTTCGAAGCATCTTCACGGACAATGTCTCAAATGCCTTTTTGACATTTGCGTCTGGCCTGGAAGAGCTTCACGAGCTGTTTCTACTCGAGCGCAGCGTCGATCATCTTCCTGCTAGCTTCACGCCGAGGGCTTCTGTCACGATTGATCAGATTCGGCGAATTGTGCTTAAGAAGCACATTCACACCCTTAAGCGTCTCATGATCAAGGACGAGTCAAAAGAGGCCAATTGGGATATCAATGAGAAGACAATGGTTATGATTTGCAACCTCGGTGTACAACTAGAGGAGCTGGCGATCAGCATGAATAGAAATGCTGTGGTAAGTACCTCCCCTCGAGTCGAGCACGTTTGACTAGTACTAATCAATATCGAACGCCAGCACGTTTTCATGCAGTACTTTCATGAGCTCGTCAATCTGCGCGCCATCAATATCCTGCACTTCAAGAGCAACGATACGTGCTTGTGGGTCGTCCGTGAGACCCTGCGCTTCATGGTCGACAACCTCTCCCACTACCCGGACATGAAGCTCGAGTGGATCGCCATGGAAGACGACCGCGTCGACCGGGTTGTGCGGCAGGGGGAGCCCGACGACGAGGACGAGCTCTGCCCGCGTCGGCTCTCCAGGGCCGAGCAGCAGCTGCAACATCCCGTCGCCACGGGGGCGTTTGTGCCGACGTTGCTCGGCCCCCTCCCTCCGTCGCATCCTACCTCCATCCAGGTCAGCAATGCGCACCTCCCGCTCTTCCCGCCAGACGCCGTCGGCCTCGACGACAGCGATGACAGCGATGACGAGCGCTTGCATGAAAGCGGATCGCGGCTACGTTACACGACGGTCGGTCCCATGCAGTTTTACGACGTATGGGGCATAAAAATCTTTGAAAAGGAGATTCGCAGCGGACGTCTGTAGATCCGTTCACCTCTCCTTTCTCACACCCTACCCCCATTCCTCTTTGCTCTCTTTTGCAAGAATCCTTTTTTTTTTTTTGGAAATTGGCGCAGATGGCCCCCTTTGTCTTTTTGGACAGATTGTTTCAGTTACCGGCTCGAGTTACCGCGCGAGCTACCGGCGCGCAGCCTTTGTTGGTTCTTGGTGTTGTTTGAGTCTTCGTATCTTGGGCATCCTAGGGTATGGTTTCCCTGTATTTTGGACAATTTTGGATGGAGCATTTTCTCCTCTTGAGTGCTGTTTTCCCTTTTTGTTTTGGCTACTTTTATCGTTGAATGGATGTCCGTCTTTTGGATCTTGTACCAGCTGCGGCCAAGCTGTGCTTGTCGTCATGTTCTAATACTGTCTCTTTTCTATCACTTAGCAACCCAGAATTTCACATAGTGATGTATTTACAGGACTTAAATGTAGGTATTTCTAATGCGTTGTTTATTCTTTTTTTTTCTCCAATTAAAAGTCTAGTGCACTGTCATCGGATGCATCTCTGACAGTCCAGAGAACGCGGTTCTCCATCGCTCTACAACCCAAATTCCATCTCCTGCTGCTGCCGCTATTGGTACACGAGTCAAATCATCTACCCAAAACCCTGCGGGGGCTGGTCTAAGTTCCTGCTGAAGTATCCGTGCTCACACCGACAATGTGCTATGTCGACAAGGAGCTCCGAGACCCAACCAGAAATGTCTCATCAATGAACAAAGGAAAAAATAATGTAAAACGGGGCAATCGAACAACCATGGGAATCATCCGCAAATCTATTTACAGTCTGCTGATGATAGCAGAGGCGTACTCGCTGGTCTTGGCCTTGCCGCCAAGATCGCCGGTGAGAGCCTTGCCCTCAGCCATGGTGTCGAAGATGGCCTTCTCAACCTGGACGGCCTTCTCGGTGAGACCCATGTGGCGCAGCATCATGATGGAGGACAGGAGGAGAGCGGTGGGGTTGGCCAGGCCCTTGCCGGCAATGTCGGGAGCGGAACCGTGGACGGCCTCGAAGATGGAGCACTCGTCACCGATGTTGCCGGAGGGGGTCAGACCGAGACCACCAATCAGACCGGCGCACATGTCGGACAGAATGTCACCGTACAGGTTGGGCATGACGAGAACCTTGTCGTTGTAGGGGTTGGGGTCGGTGACCATCTTGAGGCAGGTGTTGTCGAGAAGCTCGGCGTCGAACTCGATATCGGGGAAGTCCTTGGCGACCTGGCGGCCGACGTTGAGGAAGAGACCGTCGGACATCTTCATGATGGTGGCCTTGTGAACGACGCGGACCTTGGTGCGGCCGATGGACTGGGCGTGCTGGAAGGCGAAGCGGAGAACGCGCTCCGAAGCCTCGCGGGTGATGAGCTTGATGCTCTGGACGACACCGTCAACGACAACATGCTCAATGCCCGAGTATTCGCCCTCGGTGTTCTCACGGATCAGGACCGTGTCGACGCCGTCGTAGGGGGTCTTGAAGCCAGCGACGGAGCGGCAGGGACGGAGGTTCGCGAAGAGGTTGAAAGTACGGCGGAGGGTGAGGTTGAGGGAGACGTGGCCCTTGCCGACGGGGGTCTATGGGAGCAATTGTTAGATTCGATGCGGAGGACATGACGCATGCGAGTGCCACGATTGTGTACGTACAGCAAGGGGACCCTTGAGGGCAATCTTGTTCTTCTTGATGCTCTCAATGGCAGCATCGGGAATGGCGGTCTTGCCGTCCTTGATGATGGGGGTAACATCGACAGGCTCCCAAGCAATAGGAATCTAGTAGTGCGCATTAGATGACGGTGGCAGTGCGTTTGGCGTGAGTGAATGGACTGACCTTGGCAGCAGAGAAGATGTCCTTGACAGACTCGGAAATCTCGGGACCAATACCGTCACCCTCAATCAGGGAGACAAGGTAGTTGCCCTATATACGATGTCAGTATTTATTATTCGGGTTGCTAATAAGCATGGCTCGACCATGGAGCATGCAAGCAGTATACATCGACAAGTCGCGCATCATCGAAGCATCGGTTTACACGGTCCAGCCGGATGTAAGGATATGTCGTACCTTGGCGTCTTTGGTGCCCTCGTACTTGGCAACGCGGTCGCCGGCAGAAGAGTAGAATCGCTGGTTCTGTGGAAGTCGTGCGTCAGCAAACTGAAACTGACTGCGGTAGTTGGCCGATCGTCCTTACAGCAACAGACCAAGTGGCAGCGCGGGGAGCAGCGCGCAGGCATTGCCTGACGGGGAGGGAGCGAATAGCCAGCATTGTGAAGGTAGTGTTGTAGATAATCTGTCCAGAAAAGTAGAGAGCAAAGCCAGACCAGATGCGCAGACGAAGACGTAAAAAAAAAAGAAGTGACGCAAGTTGAGAGAAGGGAGGTGTGGACAAAAAAATCAAGGCCGTCGATATGCTATTATGGCCGCGCTGGTCTGGTAGCACCAGGAACCATAGCAAGCCTTGGCTGCGGCTTGGCCGAACACTAGCCACAGTTCGCAGTTGCCGCAGGCTTGCAGTTTTTTCTCTGCCGCACGTCTCTTCGGCCCTTTGCTGGGCGCGCCAGCCTCTGCGCCACCGGGGCTCCCTGCTGTTGGCGCAACAGAATTGTGGAACTCCGGCCGCCCGAGTCGGAGCCGTCGGAAATGCGTGCAAGGCCACCGAGACTGCACCAGCCACATGTAACCATGCGTCTCCCCAGCCACACCTCGCTTTCCTGCGGCAGGTGTGGGCTGTGGGGTCGTTTGAGCTTGATGTGGGCTCTGTGGTCATCGCGCGTTGCTGACCGAACACTGCGAGACTGCTCGCCTATGATAGCTTCAAACAGCAACGGTTAACCAAAGGACAGGATCCGGCGGTTGAAAACATTGCGATATTACGTACGAAATTTACGACACTCGAAATACGATTCTCCGTGGGCCTCGCTCTCCCAATTTGTACCTGTCGCTTGTTTGCGCCAAGGGGCCTGTCCCCTGAACGCTCTGCCACCAGGCACATCATCGCAATCAATCCATCTCAATGGCTGATTTCGAGAGGACGGTGCTGGAGTTTTACCAGCTACCATCGCCATATCCGTCTGAATGGCCGGCTGAGAAGGATGCCGAAGACGCAGCGACGGACGGAACGGACGCCTGGGGCAACAATAAGCGAACATCCCGGTACCAGGCCCTCGAATCTACGGTCAATGAGCGGCGCAATTTGATGAATACCGCCGATGGCAAGGGAGGGATGAATAGTCTCGTGCAGAGAGACGAACCAGATCCCCTGGGCTCCTCTGACAGCGTCGTTCGCAGCTTGAAGAACCTTGGGCTGCCAATGCAGGATGACATTCGCCTTCGTATGTGCAAATTGGTTGCATTGCTTCCCCCTGACCCCAATGATTAACATGTCTCTGTTAGGAAATCGCTTCCTTCTCTCGTCGACGACATTCTCACCGTCCCTATTCCTCTCGCAGATGCACTCCGACGCAGACACACGGAGCCTGCTGCAAGGCCTAGACGCGCTCTCCGCCTCCATCGACCAAAAGTCTGCGTCACTCAAGGTCCTTGTCGAATCCAATTTCGAAAGATTCGTGAAAGCCAAGGCAACCATCGATAACGTCTATAAGGAAATGAAGTACCGCGGAGAAGAACCGCAGCCGAAGACACACTCGCGTCACGCAAGTCGCAGCAGTTTTCGCAATAGCGACAGCAAGCTTGCCTTTAACAACCAATTGGCTTTTCCCGTATCCGACAACAGAAAGAAAAATGCCTTGACCAAGGAGAGTGAATATGGTGTTCTTGGTATCAAAGCTCCACTACTCGATGTTTCTGCTAAAGCTGAAGAAGTCTGGGGTCCTGCGCTTGGCGGCCGCGAGAAGGAGGAGCATCTCAAGGTTGTCGCGACTCACCTCTCAAATTTCAGGGAATATGTCGACCTGAGCGGAATCGTTGCGGATAGCATTAAGCGCAAGGATTATGAAAGCTTAGTCGAAAGCTACAACCGTGCGAGAACATTTGCCGACCAGGCTCGGCACTTGAGCAAACAACTGAAAGGTGGTACACCCGATGACACACAATTATACCAGATTCTTCTCGCAGCTCGTATGTGGAACGACGTCAGCCGGCAGGGGGACTCATTCAAGACCGAGGTTTGGAAGAAGCTGTCCTCATCCTCATCCCATTCGAAGCCCAATGCTACGGCTGGCCGTGTGCAAGATCAACACATCGAATTAATCAGTTTGCTCTTGGAACTGGGAGTCAAGGAGAGCCCCATCTGGGTCTGGCTAATAAGCCGCTACGATCATCTGAAGAGCAAGATCCAGGTGACAGGTGACCGTCAGAAGACAGAGATTGAGGTCTTACGAAGACGGCTGGCTGCCAGCGAGAAGCCCACCCCTAATCAGGCTGGTGTGTATCTGAACGGTCTCGGCAGACAAGCAATCGACCGCAGACCTCGAGTCAATGATTCGGCCGAGGTCATTGAACTCTGGGAAAAGATGTACACTTTCCTGAGCAACCTCATCTCCTCGCAAGGGATCATGGGTGAAATTGTCGAATTTTGGTCACTTGCTCAGGGCTTCATCGATGGCCGAACCCAGCGGACTCTGCCTATTGGCTACAACGGAGAATCTCAAGTGCATCACGAGTTGTCCAGCGAACGTGTTAACCAACTATCACAAGGCGCAGTCGAGCTTGTCGAGCAGATCAGAGAACACATATATGCATTCTTTGCTGGGCTGCCTCCTGAAGACATATCTATTCTTCTATCGCCTTTGACGCCGAACCCAAGCTCACCAGCGTCTAACAACGGCGTTCCCGGTTCCCTCACACCAACAGCTTTGCGTGACCCGCGCTTCAACTTCGATCCCAGCAACCCACCGCCTCCATCTCCTAGTAGGGGGGAGCCTTGGGAAAAACTCGCATTCTGGCCACCTTGGTCAAACTCGCTCAGTGGTGTGCACTACCTGTCGAGAATGCTTGCGCTAGTTGGATCTGGAGCGTCAGAGATGGCTACTATTGCGCCCGTAGCCGCCGCGAAAGGGCCCAACCAAGAGATGGATAGACTTAAGCTTCTCATCGGTGCCTCCCGAGAGCGATGTGTCACTGCCCTCTGCGCGGCATGGAATCGTGATGCTGAAAATATTAAGCACGTGGAAGACTGGCAGCGTTCCAGTGAAAGGGGCGACGTTACCAGAATGCCGGCCAGCTTTGCTGCATTTGAGGGCACTCTTCTCACCGGCATGCAAAAGATTCTCTATATTTCAGATGCAACAACGGAGCAAGGGGCGCCGAGCATTGTTCTGCCGCCACCAGCCAAGCTGCTTCAGATGGTTCGCAGTCAATACGTCACAACTCTGTACAAGGCTTTAAGTGGGATGGTAGAGAATGCAGAGCGCGCTCTGAAAAAGACGGAGGAAGACGACTGGTCACAAGCCGCTACTGTATACACCAGCACATCCTCGGCCGGCAAGAGCACCCTGGATGCTGGTGATCGCAATGTCAGAATGCTTCTAACATTGAGCAACCTGCAGGCCTTGCGCTCCCAGGTGGTGCCAAGTTTGAACTCACAATTCGAAAACGCCTTCTCTGTAAAGCTGACTGATGAGTCCAAGACTATCAAGGATGTGCTGGGTCAAATTGATGCCCGGCTATTCCAGTCCTACACCAAACATTCCATCGAGAAGCTCCGCGATATTATCCAAACTGGTCTGGCGTCCCCGAACTGGGTACCCAAGGCGAACCAGAGACCCGCGGCAGCCAAACCTTACATCTACGAAGCACTACTGACACTGGTGCTCGTGCACTCCCAGGTGTCCACGACAGCCCCTTCTCTGACACCCCAGGTCTTGAGCTTTCTACTAGAGCAGACCTCCCTACAGCTGCTGGAGACCTTCCGCACACGGCCAAAGTACACGCTCGAGGCGCTGATGCAAGCCACGCTCGACGTTGAGTTTGTGGCGCAAACGCTGAGCCACTACACGACGGACCGCGCGTCGGAGCTACAGAGCCAGATCTACCAGGAGCTCGACGGGCGGACGGACAACGACGCGCGTGCGCGCCTGCAGAGCGAGCTACCTGAGATGCGCACCGTGCTGAAGAAGCTGCGGGAGAACAGCAAGAACGAGTTTGCTTGCTTCAAGAAGCCCAAGAGGCCGCCGGGATCGGCAGCGGCGACGCCTGCTACCGCCAATGGCGGCAAGCAGGACGGATACACCGGTGCAGGAAGCGCGACAGCAGGTTAGAAGCCCTATCCTCGACGTTGACTTGCTCTGCTTGATGGCAGTTGGGAGGGGAGGGGACTTTTCTATCGCTTGCCTCGTGCGCTATTTAGACTTTGGCATTCGAGGCGTTGGAGCAATCGGGACGATGTGGTACAAATAGGATAGCAAGTACGATGAGATGAAATGCATCACGACCTTCAACTTAAGTCCAGAGCATGCAAGACAACACTCCGTAAAAGTGCCCCTCGACAACTGGGAAGTAGAGCAAAATTGACTTCATGTATTCATTACTGTAAGGTTGCCCAAACCTTTTGTTATCCATGAAACGCCAGGCTGCTTCCCATGCGAATTTTTTTCGCCGCCTAGATTTTTTTTTTGTGTGCATATACCGCGCTTCGTCTAATATGTGAAGGTAAACCTGCATAACAAGTAAGAGAAACAGAGAACTCCAGTCGTAATCATCCGTCATCCTAGCTTTTGAAGTCGAGAAAAGAGTAGCCCCTATGCTGAGTTTGGAAGGAGAAGGTGAGAGCAGAACATGAGTTCCAGGGAACGGGAGTCGGCGGGTGAGAATTGCGAGCCATTCTGCCGAGATTCGATCGAGTCATCTAGAATACATCTGTCAGTACAAGACCATTTTGCCAAGTTTTGAGGGTTCGAGAAGAACAGGGAGCTTTGGGGAAGCCTTGCATTCTAGATCAAGTTTTTCAAAGTAGGCCGTGACCGCCGGGTCCGAGTTCTGGGCGGCGGCCAGCTTCCCATTCTCGTCGCGCCGGGTCTGCGGGAGGGCCTTGCGGATGGCGAGCAGCATCTTGAGCAAGCCGGCGAGGTTACCGCCCTGCTGGGCGAAGACGCTGGGGTCGCGCTCGAGCGGCCAGCCGCCGCGCAGATGGTCCTGCTCCCAGGCCTTGAAGGCCCAGGTGGACTTCTCGACGCAGTTGAGGAAGACGAGCGCGGTCAGGAACATGCGGAAGCCGACCCTGGTCTTGCTGTCGGTCAGCAGGCGGTCCATGTGGTTGAGCAGCGCCTTGGAGGTGCTGTTGGCCTTGCGCTCCGCCGCGGCGTTGAGCTGCATGCAGATCATGGTGTAGATGTCGGCGTCGTTTTCGTGCTGCGCCTCGCTGATCCAGCGAGCCTCAGCGTCCTGCTCGGCGGGACGCTCCAGGATCGTCCACTGCCGCTCGCGGTCGATGCTCTCGACAAGACCCCAGAGCTCTAGCGCCTTGCTCAGGAGCTCGTCCTCCTCCAGGGCTTGCTGCTCCAGGGCAGTCTCGAGCGTGATGCGAGTGAATTTTGAGGGCTCTCGTTCGATGAAGAGCGGCAGGACGTCGCGCATATATAACTCAATTTTACTAGGGATATCCTCCGTATCTTGATCAATCATGATTGCTTGTCGGAATGGATCTGTGCTGTTTCGAGCTTCCGCCTGGCTCTCATTTGGCTCGAGGAGTGTCTCCATGGTGCCGAGAACGATGCGCTTCTCCGCTTCAGGGAAGTGAGAGACTTCAATGACACTTCCGTTGTTGGTCAGTTGTAGTTGCTCTTTCAGGAGATTAATTCGGTTCTGCGACAGCACCACTTGAACTCCAGCTGAGTAGAGGTCAAGCTGTTCATGCAATCGTGTGCGAACACAACCCGTCCGCCACACGCGTGGGGCGAGGACCTTTCTACAAGTATCGCAGGGATTTCCCTTGCCGCAGTTCTTGCGAAGGATTCGGCATCGAATGCAGGCACCGATTTTCCGAACCTCCTGGACTTCCTTCCTGCGCGCCGGAGTGAACCGCGATCGGGAATGGCGAGGTCTACCGAGAATGGAAGCGTCGCTTGTGTCCATGCGTATGCCGCCACGGTTGAGAGGCGCAGGTGGTGTCTGGTGCTCTGCGAGGAGCGGAACAGCCGCAGTGGCCGCGAGGTACGTCATTTCACCCCAGGGCTGGGCGGCGGTCGCGTCGTTGGCCACAGGCGACGTAACATCAATGATATTATTGGCTTCGGGGGCGGATGGCGTGCTTGAAGAGGGTTCGCTGTCGACTAATTGGGGGTCGAGGAAAGACGGGTTGAGGCGAGCTGCGGCTGCAACGGCCACGGAAATGTTGGAGGCGTCCGGCGAGGAGTCGGTCGCAGGTAATAGCGCCTGCAGTCTCTCCTCGGCGGACATTTCCACGCCGGTTGGCGAGACCTGAGGAGCATCCAAGCTAAAGTCGATCTTAGAAGCGTTTGCTTGGTCAGGCTCGGCCTCGGCCTCGGCCTCGTTGGTAGTCCGTTTGCCATTGGCTACGGCATTACCACGATCCTCGTAGCCTGCGGGTGGGTTGTCGAGGGTGAATTGTTCTTGTAACTCGAATCTCGCATTGACAAACGCAGGATCAGCGGAGCCGGGGGCCTCTTGTCCTTTGGGCGGCACACGATTGTTCTCGTTAAGATCAACCTGCCGCGAGGCCTCGGCCAGAGTCTCCAAGGCGCTCCATTCCTGCGGCAAGACGCTGGAGGCAGCAGGGCGGGCACCTCTGGGGCCACTTCCATTATTCAGTCGTTCGGCGGCGGCGGCGCGGGCACTGGTAAGGCCATGAAGCTCCAAGCAGGCCCGCATGCGATCCGAGTCGGAAATGGCGGGGCATTTTTTCGTAATGTGCGTCGTCAGGCTGTCAATCCGACCCTTGGGAAAATTCTCGCCGCATCGTTTGCAGGTGTGCTGGTAGCGGTTGCTGTTGTCGTTGAGCTTGGCCCCGCGGACAAAGTACTCGAGTATTAGAGGGTTGGGCTTTCGTCCCATGGCGACGCAGAGGCCCCCAGCGCGCCGCGGCGGTTGGCTGCAAAGTGGGATGAAGCCGCCAGCTCAAGGGAGGGTGGTGATGGCTGGGAAAATGGCCAGGAAGCGGTTCCTGGCGCACGCTTTGGAACGCGCACCAGGGTTATTAGAATATGAGACCAAGAATATACGAAGAAACGGCGCACGGCGCAAGGCGCAAAGAAGAGCGAAGTCAGAATACCGAGATGGCACCTTAAGCAGTGGCAGATTCGCCCGGATGGTGATTCTGCCTGCGTTGACCGACAAAATTCTCACACCGCCGACTTTGGGGTCTGGGAGGTGGCAGATTTTGTTGCGCCAGGCGGGGCGACTTTCATCCGCCCGATCTGGTGGGGCGATTGGCCCTACTAACTTGGGTTAGCGAGAGGTACATCTGCAGGTGCTATGAGGTATAGGGTACATAAGTTGTTTGAACTTGGGCTTGGGACGCTTGGGGCCTGTCACATCACAACTTACCACTCAAGACCTTATGGGATCCTCGGGGGATAGGTTTATTGGGAGATGCATCGATGCTAAACGATCTGAGAACATCTTCAATTGACCAGCCATCCTATGCTAGTCTTCCACACGACAGTAATCTAAGACTGCGGTAACCAGCTAGGCTGCGTGAGCATGGACCTCCACAGATGGGAATATGATGTCATTTGCAACATCAATAACGGCAAAGGCTGCCTCAGACGGAAACATGTCCCCAAATCCGATACAATCTAAGCTTATTTTGTGGCAGATTTGCTCTGCGTTTGCGTGTCCTACGATCACGAGAGCACTCTCCTCCTAAAACCGTCTGTCAGCTTCAGTCTTACTCACATGTCGTGCATTCTCTCCCTTCCAAAACTAGCAATAGGAAGCCATCGGAACATCGCATACGGAATGTCGCGAATGGTGCTGAATTCCGGTCCTCATTCATGTATAAATATTGGATGAAGTGATCCGAAAGCAAGATTCAAAATAGCCCATCAATCAGTCTACTTATTAGCTCACCTGCAACATCACTTTTTACACTCACAGAGTCAACCCTTTATACACCCAAGTATTTCACACCATCTTCATAAAAGCAATCGACATACTAATTCGTGTCTAGGAACCATGCAGCTGTCCGTTTCCCTCGTTGCTGTCCTGGCCGGCCTCGTTGCTGCGCAGCCCATGACTTCTGCCCTCAAGAGCCGGGGCACCTTTACCATTGAGATGCGCGATGGAATTGAGGACTGCACCAGCTGGTGCTGCATCTGTGGTGACAGCACCGTTGCATGGTGTGCTGGTTGCCATTGATTATTGCATGGGAAGTTAGAATGGTGACGGCACTAGTTGTAAGTTAGGGCGGTTGACCTCGGCATATGGGTAATTGGTCATATGTGCGGATGTGTTGATTTATTACGGTTGAAGTACAAATTTGATGAGTGCTCATTTTGTCATCTATGTACGCCCACGTGCTTATGTCGGAAGATGAGTGAATAAGTGAAAGACATGGGCCCTGGCTTGTCTGAGAGCCTGAGAAAGGTGAGTGAGATTCATCAGTAAAAGTAGGCAGTAGTGAGTGACATTCCTTTGCCAGGGCTCCATCAAAGTGCGTTTTTTGAAGCGAAAACGAGAGCATTTCACATGAATCGAGATGACCTTCTTTTTTCTTTGGGATCATGATAGACTAGAATTGATTGTACTTTTCTCCCCCTAGATATTGAAATGCTGCATGCGACAAGTGAGTGGTTCGCTGCAACGACAGTTCGCGCTGGAATAAAGCTTAGCTGGGCACGGGCATCCGAGACCTTGCAAATCTCTACCCAGAGCCAGTTAGTGTCCATTCCCACTTATTAATCTTCTACAGAAGCGACTTATATCTATATTCCACATTCCCCAGACCCCTGGACCTTTGGCCGCTCTGTTGACCAGACGCTACATGCTCGGAAGCTTGCCATGTCTTCGCCTTCGCAGGATGATCAATATGATGTCTACCCAGTGCACTTGGGAGATGCCGCCTCGATGAACGAAAAGTTCGTTTCTTGGCTTTTCAGATTCAACGATGTTTTGGACGTCGATAAGCTTCATCTCGCGCTTGCGCAGCTGCTCGAGCATGGCGACTGGCGAAAGCTCGGCGGGCGCCTTCACAGAACTGTTCGTCTTCAGATGCAACCTGATTTCCTTTGTTTCCATGCTGATGGTGTGATAGTCTGACGGGAAATTAGAATTACGCGTTCCGCGACGCTTCACCAGCGAACAGCCGGCGGTCGCATTTACCAAGCAGGACTTTTCATCCATGAGCATCGGCGAGCACAGTCTGGCCAAGCACTTCCCCGAGCCTCGCGACGTGGCTTATTCCCAATCTATTGCCGGAGACATGGACTTCCGAAGCTTGGCTGTCCCGAAGGGATTTCCGTCCAACATGAAGCAATTCTTGGCGACGCAGGCGCCGCAGATTGCGCTGTTGACCACCTCGTTCAAGGACGCGACCCTCGTCTCCGTCGTCTGGCCGCACACGTTGTTCGATGGCGTTGGGCTCACGCATTTATTGCATGCCTGGTCGCTCCAGCTGGCTGGCAAGGACGACGAGATCCCCCGTGTTCTCGGCGCCAGAGAGGATGCCCTCGACGCCCTCGAGACGGACGCGCAGGCCGCGACGGGGACCTTTGCCGGCCCCAAGCTCGTGAGCGGCTTGAACCTGTTCCTTTTCATCGTCTTCTTCCTGTGGCACAGGCTGTTCTACCGACCAAGAGACACGCGCATGATTTTCCTACCGCGAGCGGCAGCGGAGGCCATCTACGGTGAAGCGAAAAAGCACTCCGGGGACGCCTTCATCACCCAGGGCGACGCCCTATCTGCCTGGGTCGTCCAGCGCATCACCGCCGCGGAGCCCGCGCCGCACCCCGTCACGGTGATGCACCTGGTCAACGGACGGGGACGACTCTCCTGCCTCGCCGACGGCCGCGCGGGCGTCTACCTCCAGAACATCGTCAGCACCGCCTTCTGCCACCTCGGCGCCGACGTGATCGCGGGCGCGTCGGTCGGGGCCATCGCCGTGGAGAGCCGGCGGCAGGTGGCTGCGCAGACGACGGAGGCGCAGATGACGCTGCTCCTGCGGCGGGTGCGCGAGAGCCTGCGACGGGGGAAGCGCGCGCAGCTCGAGTTTTTGGAGACGCTGCGCTCGCGAGTCGTATTCACGAATAACCTGACGAGAGCGGCGTACGTGCAGACGGCGGACTTTGGGCCGGCGGTGGTCCGGCGCGGGGAGGAGGGGGAGGAGGGGGAGGAGAGGCGGAATCCGGAGGGGACCATGGTCAATTACCTGCATCTGGTGGTGAATGGTCATATCACGGCGACGGATAATTTTTACATCATCGGCAAGGATCATGGCGAGAACTACTGGCTGATGGTGACCGTTTCGGACAAGGCCTGGACAAGGTTGGACGAGTCGATCGCGAGCCTAGGGAAGAAGTGCTAATGTCTTTGCGCCTCTTGTTTATTCTATTCACATTGGATGATCACACATTAGACGATGTGTATTGGTCTTTGCTCAGCCCTGTAGAATTTTTTGTACATGACTCGACTTCACTACTTCTACTACTGTTGGTTGGAGCAGTTGTGGTTCCTCAAAGCCACGGCCCCTCGTTCGATGGCGCCATGCTTGCGCCTTACTGTAAGGGACTTGCCTAGTTGGGAATCCTCCAGGAACAATTGTCTAATTGTCCACTCACAGTTGTTTGCTGACGGCGTGCTACTAAGGCGATCCTTCAATAAGGCTTTTTAGTTAGCCTTGTCTTAGTGCCCTCGGCAAGACACTCACTCACTGCGATATATATTCTCCGTTAGCCGTCTGTCTGACAGGGCCCCCCTCCCTTGATGAGGCGGCAGCGAGAATGGCAAGACTCCTCGCGGAATGCTAGCCACTGCATTGCAATGCATCATGGTGTTTTCACTGGCTGCGTTGGCCACCATCGCCATCATAGTGGCCGCTGCGCCGGCGGTGAACACCGACCTCTCCCGCTTCGCTCTAACAGATGTGACTTTTTCTCCCACCTTGACCCGAGATCGCGACGCGCTTCTTTCCACATGCTGACAGAAATCTGCAGACCGGCTCCATCGGGGGAGGAAATACGTTCCCTGGTGTTTCGCGCCCCTTTGGCATCGTCAAGCTCGGCCCGGACCTCTACTCCGGCACCGATGCCTACTCGGGCTATCTTGCCAAGGGCAATGTGACCGGGTTCTCGATGCTTCATGAGAGCGGCACCGGCGGCGCTCCCAAGTACGGCGTGGTGTCGCAGATGCCCGTGCTGGGCGAGATTGAGAACCCCCTGGTCCAAGAGACCAACGATACCCGCGCCGAGCCGGACCTCACCAAGGTCGGGTACTACAGAGCAAAGCTCGGGTCGGGTACCACGGTTGAGCTTGCCGCCGCTGACAAGGCAGGCTTGCTGCAGTACACGTTTCCAAAGACTGACAAGCCGTTAAATGTCTGGGTTGACGTCTCTCACGTGCTGTCGTCATATCGCGGACAAGGCCTCGGCCAGCACTACCTCGGCGGAAACATCTCGGTCCTGGACGAGCCCGACAAGCCGGGTTTCCTGTACTACACTGGCTCGGGCAAATACGACAACGTAGGTGGTGCTATACAATCTCCATGGAGCCAGCGCAGATGATTGACTCTCACGGACAGGGATGGAATAGAGCGGCCGCGTGGACGGTGTACTTTTGCGGCCACTTTGACGCGCCAGCCACCTATAAAATCTTTCGCAGCCCTCATGATAACAAGGGCAAGAATACTAAACGTGAAGACACGGCCCAGGCGCCTCGCGTCGGCGCCCTCTTCCGATTCAACCAGACCTCGGTAGTGTCTCGGGTCGGCGTCTCCTTCGTCTCGACGCAGCAAGCTTGCGATAACGCGGCCAGAGAAATCCCTCGCGGCTCCAAGATTGAGGACGTAAGGGCTGAAACACGGCAGGTGTGGGATCGACAAGTGTTTAGCAAGGTGACCACGACGGACACAAACACCACCAAGCTCAACCAACTATACACCGCGCTGTACTTTATGCATCTCCTGCCGCAGAACAAGACTGGCGAGAATCCTCTGTGGACATCCGACGAACCGTATTATGACGACATCTTTACATTTTGGGATCTTGTAAGAACAACCAATACTTGCCCCTCCTCCTCTCTCTTGACCTCGTCAGACTGGCTGACAGACTCCCCCCCTCCCATCACAACAGTATCGTTGCACGACCAGCCTACTCCACGTTCTGCAACCCACGGCCTACGAGGAGCTCCTCCGGTCCATGGTGGACGTCTGGCAGCACGTCGGCTGGGTCTCGGACGCGCGGTCGTCCTTCTCCAACGGCGCCGTCCAGGGCGGCTCCAACTCGGACAACGTCTTCGCCGACGCCTACGTCAAGGGCGTGCGCGGCCGCGTCGACTGGGACGCGGCCTTCGCCTCCATGGTCAAGAACGCCGAGGTGGTGCCCCCGAACAACAACGATTCCCGGGATCCCACGGGGTCCACGCGCGAGGGCCGCAGCGCGCTGCCGGACTGGCTCGAGTACGGCTACATCACGCCCGAGTTTTCGAGATCCGTCAGCCGAGCCGTGGAATAGTGAGTCGTCCATCCACCTGGGTCTCCGCGTCACCCATCGTTAACCTGTTGCTGCTCCCAGCGCCGTCAACGACTTCTCGCTCGCCACCGTCGCCGCCGGCCTCGGCAAGGACGCCGAGTTCGCCCGCTACTTCAACCGCTCCCGCCACTGGCGCAACCACTGGAACCCCAACATGACCGCGCACGGCTTCGCCGGCTTCCTCGGCCCGCGGGACGCGCACGGCGCCTTCCTCCCGCAGGACCCCGTCTCCTGCGGCGGCTGCTACTGGCGCGACCGCTACTACCAGGCGTTGCCCTGGGAGTACTCCTTCAACGCGCATCATGACCTGGCCGCGCTAATGGACCTCTGCGGCGGCCGCGACGTCTTCGTGCGCCGCCTCGACAGGACGTTCGAGCCGGGCGTCTTCGCGGGCAACGAGGCCTTCGGCCACACGCTGTTCAACCCGGGCAACGAGCCGAGCTTCGCCACGCCGTACCTGTACCACTTTGCGCGCCGGCCGGACCTCGCGGTCGCGCGTAGTCGGTATGTGGCCAAGGCGTACTACCGCCCGACGCCGGACGGGCTGCCGGGGAACAGCGACGCAGGCGCGATGGAGTCCTGGCTGCTGTGGAACATGCTGGGGCTGTACCCGATGACGGGGCAGCCGATCTTCCTGGTCGGCTCGCCCTGGTTCGCCGACCTAACGGTCGCGCTCGGCGGTGGCAAGACGCTCCGGGTCATGACGGAGGGCGGCACCGAGGGGATCTACCATGTCCGGTCGCTCAAGGTCAACGGGAAGCAGTGGGATAGGAGCTGGCTGAGCTGGTATGACATCTTTGACCAGGGCGGCACGCTCGAGTTCGTGCTTGGCGCCGAGCCGGCGACCTGGGCGACTGGCGACCTGCCCCCGAGCCCGGGAAGCATGGCTCCGGAGGAGGCCAAGACTCTTTTGAGGAAGCAATTGTCCAGCAAAGAGGCGTGACAACGTAGTGATATAGATAGAGTAAAAGCAAATATAGAACAGATAAACATAGAACATTATCAGCCAGCCATCTACTTTAGGCAGAGCCCACCACTGGCTCATCCCAGCACTCTTCCCATTCCGTTTTACCAGAGCGCCAAAACGCGCGGAGCTTGTCTATGACCGTGATAAAAGAACACGCCGTGATTGGCATGGCCAGGATAGCCTCCAAGCAATCCTCTATATACTCGCGGTCCTCCGGCGCGCCGTCCGCCGCCGCCACGCCCGCCACCAGTAGCGGCCACACCAGGGACGTCTTGTACTGCAGCGTGTCCCAGTGCTTCCGTATCAGCGCCAGGATCTCCCCGCGGTGGCGGATGCGCAGGGAATCGAGCGCGTTCCGCCCCGGCAGCGGCTCGTACGCGGCCCTGACGTCCGCCGCCGAGTCCGCCCACGCGACGACGGCCGACCGCGGCAGCGTCTGGATGCCGTAGAGGCGGACGGCGACGGGGAAGAGCCGCCCCATCAGGCGCCCGGTGTCGACCTCGCCGCGCCAGGCGTCCGACTCGGCCCACGCGCCCGGGTCGAAGCGCCAGGTGGCGTCGAAGATGCCCTGCACCTTGCGCGCAAGGCGGGCGCCCCCTGGCGGCTGCTGCCGGTGGGCGACGGCGACGCGCAGCCGAGTGATGTGGACGAGGAGCGGGTAGAGCTCCAGTGGGCACGGCGCGAAGCAGGCGTTGCTGAGGGACGCTTTGAGCTCCGCGTCGGTAAAGTGCTCGAGGCCCTCTACCTGCTGCTTCGCGGGGCTGGTGGTGTTGGCATGGATAATGTTCCTAGATGGAATGAGCATGGGCACGTCTCGCACGGGCATAGTGGTGTTCCGTACTCAACTGCAAAGTTCAGGTAAAGAGGACCGTCCTTGAGCTTGAGCACCTCCTTGATGCCGCCGCGGTGCTGAATGTAGGCAATGACGCCCCTGAGGTGCGCCCGCCACAGCACCCTCCGCAGGTACAGGTCGAGCACGAGCAGGTGGCGGATCGCCATGAACGCGGGCGCCTCGTTCGGATAGAGGGCCTCGTCCTGGATCCGCTGGTTGACCATGTTGATGGCGTCAACCATGTTGCGCGCGTAGCGGTTCCACGACCCCTCAAACGCCGCGTCCTCGCCGGCCACGAGCAGCCTGCGGCGGGACTTGGACGCCTTTGAGATTTGGTCGCAGATGATCTGCCCGATAAATGCCGTCCGGTTGTGGGTTGGCGAGTGAAAGGGGGGGTCCCGGAACGACTTCGTCCTTGATTGCGCCACGCGACCGGGCCTGGCCACTTCGAAATCTGGTTTGAAACTCGGACGTTGGCTGCTAGAACATGACGGGCCGTTGAAGGGGTTTTGATAGCTTACAGTACCGGATCGCCTCGAGATAATCCCAGCTAGGAGGCTCAATCTCGGTTGCGACGCCGTGCTTCTGCTGCTTTTCCCGCCTCACCGCGGCAATGTCGACGCCGCTCACAGCCACGTGCACGCCGTCGGCGTCGGGTGGCGGGAGCTCATACCCGCGACAGGGAATGCGGCTGGTGGTGCAGCGTCGGCAGTCGGGCCTCGCCTCATCGCACTTGACGCGACGTGCCCTGCTACTTGGTCAGAGATGTGCAGCAAATAAAATGGATGATGGGATGGCAAGGGGGATAAGGAGAGGAATAATCATTATGACCACATCCGCGCATGCAGAGCTGGTCAGGTGGGCGGGATATACCTGCAGGTGAGGCAGCCTGTCCTCGCTCTCGTCGTCCATTTCTTTTTCCTCGGTACGGCTGGAGCGACGTGACTGATGAGATGGGCTTCGGGGCTCGTTGAGCTGCCAGAATTGGGCAGCCTATCAAGGGTTTCGACGACGAAGATGTTGTTCATCATGGCATGGGGGCCGAAATCATCTCGATGGGCGTGGTGGTGCGGGGAAGCCCTATCTTAAATGTTAGTTATAGCTTGGCGGCCGCCGACCTGGTAAATAAATAGAGATAGGCAAGGATCTTCGCTGAGCCAGATCGCGGCATAAAATACCAGGCTCAGCTACAGCCGCCAAGAAGAAAAAAGCCCTGAGCCACGTCAACAGGCTTGTCAATACCACCCTGCACGCTGGCCGTGCGTAGCCTTGCGGAAAAAACGAGGCTGAATAAAATGCCACGTTTGACGACACAGGCCAACGTCATAGGATAAAGACTTGGTCGCTAGACTGTATATTATTCACTCCCATATCGAACCCAGAAATAAGGCTTGCGCCCAGGAAAAACGCCCATAAAACTTGCTATGCTGCGAAACCGAAAGATAACTCATCTCATCACCAAGATGACTTTGTGTACGCCCCTCGTCCACGTTTAGTTGCCCCTTCCCCATACATTTCTAAACTCCTCGCTATCGTGTATGTTCAATTTCGGTCCGTTGTTTTCGTCATGGTCTTCATTGTGGTCTTCTGCAGTGACAGCGGTGTCCTGGTGCGCAACAATTGCAGACGAACTTGCCGCGCCATCATGGGCCTGAGTTGCACCAGACTCAACGGCAAAATCCGTGTCTGCTAGAAGTGCTTCTGCCTCGGGTCCCTGGTGCTTGACAATAACCTTCTTCGGCTTCTTCTTCTTTCGAACTGCAATGACCGGTGGTTCTTGAGGACCAGCTTGTGCTTTTGGTGAGCTAGGCTGTGCTGTTGACGCCGGACTTCGCCGTTGCGGAGTACCTAGTCGAGGCGCAGGCGAGTACACCCCGCGGCTGCTGAAAGAAGAGCCGTATCGTTCCCTCAGCGGCTCATTCGCGGTGATGACGGGGTACTGGAGGCAAATTAGTTAACTGTGTCTCCAAAGGCAAACAAGGCAAATCACTGACATTCCAATCTCCATATTCCAGCTGACGCGCCTGCTCGTACATGCGCTCCTCATCTGGGTCAATTTCGGGCTCGTCAAATGTGCCCATGGAACTATCGCGCTGCGAATCTTGGTTGGACGAACCACCTTCGCCGTTGTCGAGCAGCGGCGAGCTAGAGGTTTTCCCAGGCTTGGGGAGCCAATATTTGCCCTTACCTCCACGCTCATATCGCATTCCTTCATCGAGCCTGGCAAACCGCGAACGTGAGTCGGCGTGTGCCATGACCTTGTCGCCAGAGTCAAATTTACGATAGACGTATTTATCGCCCTTGAACGTCTCTTTTGAGTCTTCGATGAGGTCTTTGGGCCCGAAAGCATCGCGGAGGGCTCTTGTGAGAGGCATGCGGGCCGACAGGATGCTGTTATCTGCAAAGTCGTACCAGGAAAAGGCATACCAATGCACCACGGCGAAGATGGGCATCTCAAGACAAATTAAGAAATCCTGGATGGCTGCAGCCAGGTTGTCACGAGTATAGCCTTGGACGTCATCTGGGATGGCTCCCAGCCAAACCAGGATGGACAAGAAGAAGCCTTGCCAGTAGGAAGCAAAGATGATGAGCTTGATGGAGAGGAACTTGGGTACTGGCCGGAATGGCTTTAGATCCTGGTGCATACAGACCCAGAAAAGGCCGAGCGAATACAAGCTGACGGTAACGCTGATGTTGTAAATGATGCCGCTCCAAAAGTAGCCAGAGGTGGCCCCGATGTAGCCTTCTTGGTATGTCCCCGTGGCTTTCATGATAATGGCAGCTATGGCGAGGATAGGTTTTAGCCAAGCATATTGTAGAATGCCACGTTTGATGGAGAGGAAGGTGTATGGATCGGAGATGTCGACTTTTGCTAGGACGTGGTCCATGGGCCATAGGTGCTGTACGGGGGCGCGGCCGTGTGTCATGACAATAAGGGATCTCTCCCCACCGAGGTAGTTAATAAGAAGCTGAAAAAACGTGTAGATCGTGAAAGCCTCGTATATATCGCGGATGGGGTCGACGAACTGGGCGGCTGTGAGTGATACCATGCTGGTCCAGGACGCTATCGAGTAGATTGGGACCATAAGGAGGATTCGAACAACGTAGCGCTGCAGCAGCGGTTTGCGATAGTTTTTTGCTTGGAGCCATATCGAGCTGGATAGCAGGGCTTATTAGCTTTTGGACGGAGAGGATGGGCAAGGCGCAAAGCACGAACAGGACAGACACGATTGTCGCGATGATGGAGGCGACACCTGCTATAACGGTTGTGTATCCCTTGAACTTGGCCCCCGTTCCTCCGTTGGAGGTTGCATAGATCTGAGTATCCATGACGGCACCTAACCAGAGCTGTGGGCGTGACAGGATCGGTTGGAGACGTTGGAGGACAGCGAGGCCAAGATTAGATCATGACTTTGGGGGCAGGGCGCCACAAATAGGCAGGCTGGAAGGGTGCTTAGGGTACCCGAGGGGCGAAGCTTTAGTAGAGTGCTTGCGAGCCTTGCCAGGGGCAATCGATGGGCGATGACGAAGCCTGAGGATCAGATTTGGGGGTGAAGGCAGAAGGCGTTGAGCTGTGGAAACGTGACGAGTCGAGTTGGAGATAATGCGCGCCCAGCTACGGATAACGTTTTGCGCATATTGGAGAGTCTGAGGTACCCACTGTAGCTATACGGATGTACTTTCGCCTCATATTTTGCCTTACATCTCATCAACCACAGCGCGTAGAACGGGGTACAAGGCCGCCAAAGGCCACTAAAATGCACTGTATTATGTGGATAAAGGTCACCAAGGTACGTTCCCCAGGGTACTCTCTGTAAAGCATTACCTAGGTACCTTGTAGGCGCGGGCAGCGACCGGCGGCATTCTCTTTTGCCTTTTTTTCACTGGTAAAATTACGAAACAGAACTGCGAAAGTGTTAGGATTACCATGATCTGCAAAAAATGGCAATAGCAAAATTCAATATTTTCAAGATTTACCCCAGCAGAGGTAGCAATTACGCGGCCGTCTTTGTACCACCACCCACATGCACCGAGTTCACCTGGCTGGCCCCACTGTGCGGCAGTAGCGTCATCATGGACCTCCTCCAACTCGCTGCGCTGAAGTTATTCCTTCAGGTGCCTCCATCGCCAGGGGATCTCGCCAACAGTTTGTTTCCACGCATCTGCCGAGGCATGCCCACACACGCCATCTAACGAGCCGTCAGCCCTTGCATTGCAATCTGATCATGTACGCGACTCCTGAAATTCAATAATCGGCAAATCTCTGCTTTGTGCGGGCGGGATTGAAGCTCCGTCGCCAAGCTAGCTATCCGCGAGCTCCCCATCATGTCCGCGTGGGTGTGGGAGCAAACACTCGTCCCTAGACAGTCAGGTCTCCCGGAATTCAATTAGTGAGCTCTATTTATCCGCTGGCCTGTATTTTCGCGCGTCTAATTCTCCAAAGCCAGTTTTTCATCTACCTTCTCATCTCCGGCTTGCTCTCCATCTTCTTCCTCCTTTACTTCAACAGGCTCTTCGGCTCGATAGTCTCCTACGCGATTCGAACGTGGACATGGCACCGATACAACGTCCACATAGATATCAAAGCTCTCCAGGTCTCATTGTTGGCCGGGAGAGTCTTCTTCTCTGGCCTGCGCTATCACGGCGTCAATGAATCCTTCCTGATCCAGCATGGCGACATCACATTGCGATACTGGTTACGCAGGGTGCGCGAGGCTGACGTCCTTGACGACAAACATTCACAAGGAAAGCGTCCTTCCAAGACCGGAAATAACTCCAAGCTGCCATGCCGCATCAATGTCAGTTTAGTCGGCTTGGAATGGTTTGTCTACAACCGCAGCCCAGCCTACGAAGGAGTCCTAGCCGGCCTGAAAGATGCCGATACAGCACGCTCCTCCTCCAACGATGTTGACCAAGAAAAGGCAAGCGAGACTGGCAAGACGCGCAAGAGAAGTCTCTATGGATTAGATCAACTCGAAGAAATATTCCCACCATCGCGAAACGGGCGACCAGTCACCGGACGGCACGACAGCTCTCGAGACGCCGACAGCGTCGACGGAGTCGCGGCGGGCAGCACGGAGCCAGAAATACCATTTATTCTACAGTGGCTGCCTGTGTATATCGAATGCAGAACAGCCGCCGCTGTCATCGGCAATGACAATACCAAAGCTATCCTAGTTGTCAAGGCAAACGGCCTGACATGTCATGTCGACGCTCGGGCAACCAGGACAGTAGACCCCTATCGCCAGTCGTTTGATGTCGATTTCGATCATCCCGTCATCGAAATTAAGGACAACGATGACTTCAAGGAAGACCAACCAACGCGCGCCACAAAAGAGCGCGAGATTGGCATCCACTTCAGCTCCCAGCCCCGGAGAACCTGGTTCCGGCACAGACGGCGCAAATTCGTCTCGTCTCTGCGCAATATGGTTCCGTATTGGAGAAGATCAGTCGAGTCATTTTCGGCGGATTCGCGCGCAGATCTCGGCTCTAGGGCTTCCCATCCTCCCGGGTCAAATCGCTGGCAGGGCCTGTCGCGTTATTTGGATGACCGTGACCAAGATGACAAGGCTAGATGGGGCTCTGTGGAATATGCTGCTGTCACCACCATTATGGACTCACCCTCAGCACATCTACAAGTATACTGGGATGCAGTGGCCAAGGTGACGCGGCGCGACTCTCGCCCAGGCACTGCGGACTCTCTCCTGCATGTCAACGGCGGCAACGCGCCTGCCTGGGGTATGCACTTTCAAATTAGAGGCGGTACCATGAACTATGGGCCATGGGCCGATCGCCAACGGGCAGACTTGCAACGCGTCTTCTTGCCTGGGCTGGCTAAAGATGCTACACCCGCAAAGCCATTAGCGCCAGGGGAATGGCGAGTGGCCACAGAATTCAACCTCTTGATTGAGTTGGACGACACGGTTACTGTTCGCATCCCAATCCGAGAGGAGTCAAAAAATTGGCGTTGGCGTGGTAAAGAGCCTCCTGTCAACCAGCAGGGAGCTACAAAACGCAAGCAACGGAACAAGGCTAAGAAGAAGGGCAAATCAGATGTCAACCAAACCCGCCCTGCAGGATGGCTTGAGCTCAAGATACCTGTCAATTCCTCAATGGAATACTCAATGGACATGCTCGCTCGATCTGGGGGCTACAAGAACACTCTTCTAGTTGATTTACCAACTTCTGAGCTCTGGAGTAGTGTCAATCATGACCTTCTTTGGCGTTCTGGACATCAAAGGATTATTTGCGACTTGTCAAATCCCCTCGGGTGGAATACGCTCCGAAATTGGCACTTCAACATTATATCGGATGATATGAAGCTTTACTTGCTCCGCGACCACATCTTTCTCCTATTAGACCTTGTTAATGACTGGGCTACTGGACCACCTTCCGATTACCTCATATTTACTCCTTTCAACTATCATTTGCATCTGAAACTGCGAGAGTTGCAAGCATATATCAATGTCAATGATGGGAACGTCATCGATAATGCGACAGCTCTTGACGAAAACAACTTCCTCATTCTTTCCACCCCTATCTTGAATACGGAGGCCACGATCCCACTCGACAAATATATACCAGAGAAAAACTCTATTCCCTTTGATATCCGAGCTGAGACGCTCACATTATCTGTGCGAACCCCGCAATGGAATACTGAATCGGCGTTTTTGGACTCGGGCTTATTGGGAAATGCCGAAGGCTTGGTTGTTTCGGGAAGCTATCAATACAATGCGTCAACCTCGGCAGCTAACACGGACACGCTGCTGCTGAATGTCTATGGCCAATCTCCCCACGTCACCGTGCATGGCTTCCTTATACGCTACCTAATGCTGCTCAAAGACAACTACTTTGGCGAAACGGTGCATTTCCGCACAGTCGACGAATATCAAGAGCAGCTTCAATCAAAGGCGAATGGCGACGGTGATGCTCATATGCTACCGCCAATCAAGAAGTCGAATGACTTGGACGTGATTCTCTCTGTCAAGGTCGACGATCCTCAGATTGCAGTACCGACGAATCTGTACTCGGCGAAAAGGTACATTCAAGGAGAGCTCGCGAGTTTGGCTGTTGACTTGCGATTTACCAACTACTACATGGACTTGGAACTAGATTTGAGTCCACTCAGCTTGTCTCTCGGAATGGGTGACCAAAATGACTCGCCAAGCCTGTCAACTTCAAACACACAGCTCTTCATCGATGGAATACGCGTTTTCGGCTACAGAGCATTTGGGTTGCCACCTACTGAACCCACGTATCTTTGCAACTGGGACGTCTCAGTCGGTGCAGTTCGCGGTGGCTGCAATGCGGAGTTCCTATCGGCCCTAACCAAGGGTGCCTCTGCGTTTGGCTTCACCTTCGATGATGTTGAGAATGCCCTAGTACCATACTCCTCCCTTATCTTCCACGACATAACATTCATTCGAGCCCAGGTGGAGGCCATCTCCCTGTGGATTCATCTCCCTGATGCCGCATTCCTCATGTCCACGGGAACAATTGACGTGAACAGCAATGATTGGGCTCGATCGCATTACTCCAAAAGGGCAAACGTAATTGTCCCGAATATTCAGATATCATGTATCGATGCAGAGTCAGCAGCTGAGCACAAGTCCCGCCACCAACACCCCGTCAAGACGGATGCCTATCTGCATATGGATGTGCAACTTGGTTCGATCGGACGCAAGGTGAATTTTTCAGAAGAACGCAAAACGCAACAGGAGTTGGTGCGCCGAGAAGACCAGCGCACGGACAGGACCCCTTTCTTGATCTATGACGAACTGCTCGATGAGTTTATACCTGAGCCGGTCGATGCCCCTGCTCAGTGTACCCCCCCGCCGCCGTATCCAGTTGACGAGGTTGAGGCTGAAAACGAGTCTGTTGGAAGCTTTCGATCGTCAAGTTCTGTTCATAAGCTCAGACGACAAAGCTCGTTTTTGTCTTTTGCGAGCTCTGGAAGTGGAAGCAGCGTCAGGCGGAGAGGTACAGCTACCCAGGCTCCAAACAGGCCACCGCAGAAGAAGCCTTCGTCATCTAACCAGTTCCAAGCTCTGAGCTACGCCGCTTCCACCAGTGCAGCACAAGATACGAGGCATCGCAGCTACAGTCATCCCGCAGTCACATTCTCCAGCCCTTATTTTGCGCCCCATTTCTCCATGGATGGTATTCAGCCCGATCTGCGCGAGCTGGGGACTTTGGATCTGGATGATGCTGATTGGGATGATCCATTCCAGAACCCATCAACCCAACTATGCGACGTTGATCCGCGAAGTATCAGTGAAGAATTCGCTTACTCCGGCGCTATTGTGGAAATTCCTTCTGGAATTACTGCCTTTGTGAGCCCGCAGGCTGTTAAGCATGTGACCGCTCTGCTGGAAGTATTGCAGCCAAACACCCCAGAGGATATACTGGATAGTCTACAGGTGGACTCAATCAAAGAGATTTACGGCGCAAAGCAACGGGGTGACGCCGCGGGCAACATCAATGACCTGCTTGTTCGACTCCCTGGGGCGCAAGTCCGCTTTCTCAACACCTCTACTCTGGACAGTCCTGATTCATCTTCCGAGGAAACTGACCGGTATGACCTACAATTATCCAACATTAGCCTTGTCACCAGAAACGTGCAAGAGCGGAATGATGGTTCCGCGAGGCCAAAAAAGTCTAGAACGTCATTACAACTGCGCATGAGCCACGCTGAAATCTCAGCAACAGAGAGACTTGCCGCTGTCTCCAAAGCCCAAGCCGCTGTGATGGTGCAGATTGACCAGGTCCTGGTATCTATGGGGTCGAAAGACGTGACATATCTTGATGCCGATATTGGCTCTGTTGTTGGTAGCACAGCTTCGGGCGATATTGAGTATCTGGCAGCTTTGATACATCGTACCGGAAATGTGGCTTCGGAGCTATCACATCTACTTGCCGAGTCTTCAAAACGACAAGAAAACCGTCTCCAATATTGTTGCTGTCGTTTGGTAGAGCTTGGACGATCGACCAACGACCCTCCATTTCTCATTCGACCCTCAGCAGTACTTCGGTCAGTGGATAAGCACTTGAGAACCGTTGACTCATGGAAGCTGGCTATGCGATTGAGGCAAATCTGGACACTCTTGCCAGAAGCCGACAAGATTGGTCTTGCGCAAGCTTGCAGCACAGGAACAGAACAACTTCCCCCAAACGCAACTGAAAAAGTGGTGGAAGCGTTTCAGCATTGGCGAAGCTGGGATCTTGAAGATTCTCGACGGACAGTCCTGCTTCAAAAGGTATTTGGATCTATGAAGACACCGGTAGAGCAGCAAGGCGATGAGCGACCTTTCCTGAGCGCGTGCTGTCTCGGTGAATTGCAATTTATTCTCGACCCGGGTCCGAAGCAGAATCGTGTCGCTGTTCAAGATCTTACGTGCAGATTTGAACGCAAGCTGGATCCATCACTCGGAAAGCAGCTTGGAATCCATGTTGCGGACGATCTTCTCAATACTATCGACATTTCTTGCGCTCAAGTCCACGTCGATCTGAATTGGGAGCTCTTGGAACTCGGACAAACAGTTTTGAAGCTGTACAACAGAAGCCAACCCGCCTCTACCACCATCCACAAAATCACCAAGCCGAAGGTCGCTGACAAGGGAGCAAGCCGTATGGCCTTGCACGTCTTCTTCGAGATCCGAAAGAGCTCATTCACTCTGGAAACCATAAATCTTCGTTCCAGCAATGTTTTAAGCGGATTCAAATCATCGGCATTGTTGTATAGACTGGAAAGCGGCAGAGAATTCAGCAGCCTCATGCTGAATTGCGACGCCGTGACTGCGAGACTACACAGCCATTCTTCTTTACTGTGGACCTGCCAACTATTGTATCCGTCGGTGACTGTCTCTCAAGAGATTCCTGAAGTCAAGGCGCAGCCCGTCAACGTCATCAAAGGAGCTGCTAGTAGTCGTGGACTGTCATTTGTTGTTGAAAAAGATATCATGGGCCTCTTGGAGACTGTTGATCTCGTTGTTCGGGATGAGGGCGCCCAGCTGGCCCATCTCCAAAAGCAAATTCCCACACCGCAGAAGAAAACGCGGTCACCGGATATTCCTGACCAGCTATCAAGCCTGCAGATAAACGTCGTCATGTTTCTTGACGGCTACTCTGTTAGTGTACCGCTACTTCAATCCTTGACTTACAAGGTATCTGGAGTTGTGGCGCGAGCAGCATTCTCAGCCAACCACGGGAAAGAGCTTGTCTTTGACTTTGATGTAAAAGACAACTCGCACGACATTCAAATGAATGTCAACAACAAACTGCAGAGCATCTCGATCCTGCAAATACCGCCTACCAACGGCCGTGTCACAACCCACATGGGCGAGTCTGAACGTACGATCAATGTGCTCTCGTCAATTGAAATTGTTCGACTTGACGCGTCAGCCATTTACAGCTTGCTTACTGCAGTGAATCGACCGCAAATCAACGCGGAGATCGAAGACATTCAGGAACAATTTAAATCCATTCAACAACACGTTAACGAACTTTCCGAACCAGGACAACCTAAGCCCAGTACGGGAGCAGCAAGCAACGCGAAGACGGCTGCTTCGCTGCCGATTATCTACGACATACACTTGACCTTGGCTGGGTTCCAAGCCCTTACCAAGACAACTTTCAAGAGGCCTGAAGAACCTTTCGCGCAGCTGCTCTTTGCCCTCGACAAGTTTCATCTACAAGCATCGAACAGGGACGCTTCTTCTGGTGCTATTATGAAGTATCCTGAGTTGCGTCTGAATCTGCAGAATATTGGCCTCGATGTACGTCGGGGCCACGAGGGCAATACTAGGTCATGTGGTAATCTTGGAGCGAGCGTCACCGTTAGTGCCGGCTCGAGAAGATCACCAGATGGCAAAGACGAATGGATCTTCAATTTCATGAGTGATGATCTTCACGTCATACTGTCACCAGAGACCGTCTCTACGGTCATTGACATTCTTGGCTATATGAGTTCCAGAATTAAGGATCTGGATACATCTCGCGAGCTGGAATACCTGCGCAAACTGAGGCAGTCCAAGCCACGCATATCTATCAACGACGATGCAGCATCTATTTCAGATGAGGAAGACCTCCTTGATTCTGTCCTGTCGTCCGTCGTGTATCGATTCCAGCTGCGAAACATTCGCGCCAGCTGGGATGTTGCCAAAGAAGCGGATCATACCTCTGATGAGAAAGAGGATCTTCACTTCTCTATTTCCTTGATCGAATTTGGTACAAGGAGCAGGAAGTCTGCTCGACTGACCATTGAAGACTTGCAGCTTCAGATGGTGCCTCCTGGGCATGAACCTGGAACAAGATCTCTGCATTCAGCTCTTCTACCTGAAGTCACATTCAACGTTGCGTACGTCTCCACATCTGATGCTCGACGTCTTGCCTTTCAAGCAATTGGCAAATCATTGGACCTGAGGCTCACCTCGGCCTTTATTCTGCCCGCTGCCAACCTGGTGCAATCGATTTCCTTGTCCGCCAAAAACGTCCAAGAGGCATATGCACAATGGATCCCAGATACAGTGCAGGTATCGCCCACCAAAGAGCTTGTTGAGGCCACGAGCATCAAGCAAAAGTCAATACTGGGCAACAAGCGACTTGAGAGTCTTCTGCTAGACGCTGACTTTGCGGGAGCCGTCGTCCATGTGTCAGGTGGCCACGCGGCGCAGAGCCACGAAGGACCCTCCATTGGCGGTAAATATGGTCAATTCAACGTGGATGACTCTGGTAGCAGTGCAGTTCTTCGCAGCCCCGGACTAGCTTTCAAGGGAGAGTTTCGCGACGACGGCAAGGCGGACCCATCGCTTTACGGCGAGGCCAAGATCGACGCGTCTGAGAATATCCTGTACCCCTCCGTTGTCCCCTTGGTTCTTGACATCCTATCGAACATCAAAGACGTCGTGAGCGACAAGGACGAGGAGCAAAAGGCTCTCGCGCCGCCGAAGCTCAAGCCTCAAAAGACGGGCGAAGAGGATAACCTTCTCACTGCAGACCCCAGCACCGTAATCGGCCGGCTGAAACTAAACCTGGGCTTGAGAATCTGCCAACAGAAGTTTTCTTTGAGCTGCCAACCCATCGCGCGAGTTGCTGCAACAACTAGCTTCGATCACTTCTACCTAGCCTTCAACACGATTACTTCTCAAGAGCACGGCGACTTTTTCGCAATTTCCGGAGTTTTGACGAAACCACAGGCGTCAGTAAAGCACGTGTATTCGAGAGAGCCAACAGCCAGCTTTGCTCTTGACACGGTTACCCTCTCCCTCATGAACAGCAAGCATGTCAGCGGCATCAGTGGTGTTTCAGCCATCCTGAACGTTAGCCCGATGGCCATCTCTGTCAACGCAAGACAAGCTCCGGATTTCTTACTTTTCCGCGAGATTTGGTACCCAGAGGAGCTCCGCCGTGCTGACTCGGCCCCAGTGGCAAAGCTAGAGACGGAGACGTCCCAGGTTCATCTGGTTCAGCGGTACCAGCAAGTTGCAGCCACCGCGGCTTTCCCCTGGACCGCGACAGTTTCAATTGCAGCACTGGATGTCAGTATTGACCTGGGCCAGTCCATTGGAAAATCTGTCTTCCAAATCCAAGAATTCTGGGTGTCCTCGAAGAAGACTTCTGATTGGGAACAGAACCTATGCCTGGGGTTCCGCAAGATCGGTATCGATTCCACTGGTCGTCTGAGCGGTTTCGTGGCTCTGCAACACTTTCGACTCCGAACGTCCATTCAATGGCCGAAACGTGAGGAGGCTTTGAACGAAACCCCGCTGGTGCAAGCTTCTCTCGCATTCAAGGCTCTTCAGATCAAGGCAGCCTTTGACTACCAGGCATTCCTCGTTGGGGATGTCACATCACTTGAGTTCTTGATGTACAATGTCCGTGAAACCCGACAAGGCAGCGGAGACCGTCTTGTGGCCATCTTCAACGGCGATGCGATCCAGCTCTTCGGTACCACGTCCTCAGGCGCACAGGGAGTTGCTGCGTACCGGGCACTGAAGAAGCTCGTGCAGGAGAACAAGGAGAGCTACGAGGCGTCTCTCAAGGAGATTGAAAAGTCCATCAACCGTAAGTCGATTGGTGGGCGAAGTAGCTTGCAGCCGCGACGCACCATCCCCAAGCTTCCAGAGAGCGACACCATGTCAAAGTCTCCCATTTCTCTGGACACGGATGTTGTGGTAACGCTGCGGGCGCTAAATCTTGGCGTCTTCCCGAGCACGTTTTCCGATCACCAAGTCTTCAAGATGGAGGCACTGGACGCATACGCTAGATTTGCGGCCAGCATGAAGGAGCGAAAGATCCACAGCCTGCTACGAATGACGCTGGGACAGCTCCGTGTCGGTCTGGCGGGTGTGCGCAACGTCGAAGCGCCACGGACATTGAGCGAGATGCAGGTGGAAGATGTCGTGCAACGCTCCACGGGGTCTCGCGGCGGCACGATCCTCAAGGTACCGTGCGTCGAGGCCGTCATGGAGACGTGGCAGTCGCCCAGCACCAATCACATCGACTACAAGTTCAAGAGCGCCTTTGAGGGCAAGGTCGAGGTCGGCTGGAACTACTCCCGCATCAGCTACATCCGCGGCATGCTGGCCAACCACAACAAGTCCCTGGAGCAGGTCTGGGGCCGCCAGCTGCCACTGACGGCTGTCAAGATTACCGGCGTGCCGGGCCTCAGCCCGAAGCAGAGCATGGAGAGCCTCGGCGGTGGCGGTGGCGAGGAGGCGGACGAGGAGATGCCGCCGTCGGGGCAGCAAGGCAAGATCACGGCCGAGGTCACGGTGCCGCAGTCCAAGTACGACTACACCGCGCTCGAGGAGCCCATCATCGAGACGCCGCAGCTGCGCGACATGGGCGAGGCCACGCCGCCGCTCGAGTGGATCGGCCTGCAGCGCGACAGGCTGCCCAACTTGACGCACCAGATTGTCATTGTGCCGCTCTTGGAACTAGCTGGAGAGGTAGAGGACGCGTACGAGCGTATTCTGGGATCATCTTGAGCAGATGGATGGTAGGAGGGGGTTTATGTCTGTCTATTTGTACATGAATCATGGATCCATCTAATAATGTCTAATGTGTAACAGCTAGTTTTGTCTTTGTTTTCCCCCTCTCCTTTGCACAGCGGCCAGCGTTTTAGGCAGATATAACCAACCATCTCGTTTATCCATAGCATTTCATGCACCAATTATGAGCCCCCGCAGTCCTCATGTACCCGTCCCCTTCACAGCAGCACAGGTCCCCGTTAAGCATAGGGGTGCGTGCAGCTGCCGTCGCGGCAGCGGGCGGCGATGGAGATGACGTTGGCGGCGTCGATGCCGCGCGCCGCGAGGACCGCCTCGCAGTCGCGCTTGGCCGGCGCGCCGCACACGACCTGGGGCCCCTCGCAGTGGCCCGCGTCGCGGCTGCACACGTAGACGTCGCCGTCGCGCGCGAGGACCACGCTGTCGTCGGCGTTGCGCGCCACGATGGAGGCGGAGCTGGTGGCGGCCAGGACGGCGATGAGGGCGGTGGCGACGTGGACCATGATGGCGGCGGTTTTGATGTAGTTGCGTTGATGTGGTTTTTGTCTTCTTGTTAGAATCGAGTTATCGCAGCGGTTAGAGAAGAGGTTGTTGTCAAGTTCTACGGAACGCGGAGGAGGGTAGTCTGTCTTTATATAGGTCGTCGCAGCATGCATCGGCCGTCACACGAAGGCTCCCGTCGGTGGATGCAATCCCATCTCCCGCGCCCTGAAGATGAACATCACACAGGTTGCAAACTAAACAAGTCGATTAGCTTCAGCCATGAGCGGTCAATCGCTGGCTCCGGGAACAAGGTGAACAAAGAAACCAGGAACCAGGACCCTCCCGCGCAAAAGCAGGTGTGGGGGTGTTGACCATTCATTGTGCGACAAGTAGTTGCCGTCTAGAGACTCAATCCTGCGGGCACCAAGCTTCTTCTACCCTGCTCCAGCCAACCGTGCTTAATCCTCTTTTGCTTCATTCGAGAGCGGGCGGAGGCAAGCAGGCGATTGTCTCCCCCTGGGAGGGGCATGATGAAACGATTGTTCGTAGTAGCGGGCGCTTGCGATGGAACAACTGGCATCGAAAGAATGAGTACCCAAATCCAGCTCATGCATAACAGGGCGATGCGGTCGGTGGTCAAGCACTCGAGGCCCATGTACATACATACATATGTGGGATCGAGCCTGTTCAAAACCCTTCGCGGTCCGTGTCTTACGTTTTCGTTCAACCTGGTCACTTGACAAAACATTGAATATTCATTCTGAAATTGCTTCAATTCATCCGAGACGACATAACTACATAGATAAAACGAAAACAGCCAAGCCAAGCTTTCTCTGAGATATGGCCTCGACCTAGCATGTACTTTTTGCCCCTTGAAGCACCCCATGGTATCTACCCAAGGATTTGGACATCTGTCCGTATATTTTGCTAGCCGCCAATCCGTGAATCGCACCCCAGGCACAATCCATAATTCTATCGTTACCCAAAGAGCTTGCTTACAGCTTGTCATAGTAGTTCTCGTAGCCGGGAATCTCAATCTTGATACCCTTGCGCTTACGGGTCTCAGTGACAAGCGCTCCAACCTTGGAGCCGGCATCGAGGGGAGAGCCACCGGGCAGCACCTGCCAGTGATCGAAGACGGACTGAGGGAAGGCCTGGCCAGAGGTAGCCTGGCGCAGATCGGCGTTGAAACCGAAGGACTCCAGAATGGGGAGGTAGGCCTTGATGTTGAACAGAGGGGTACCAGGGCGCTGCTCCTCGTTGAAGACGTGACCACGACGGCGGGTCAGGACACCATAGACACCACCCATGGCCTGCTCGGGAACCTGAATCTCGACAAGGTAGACAGGCTCGAGAAGAGCGGGCTCAGCAAGAAGGGCCGAGGCGTAGAGGACACGGCGGGTAGTGGGCATGATCTGACCGGCACCACGGTGAATGGCATCAGCGTGCAGGGTAACATCGAGGATGTTGAAGCGGATAGAGCGCATGGGCTCCTCAGCAATGGGACCCTCACGGGAAGCCCACTGGAAACCGGACACGACAGAGTCCTTGATTTCGTTGAGGTACTGGACAGCACGGGTCTGGTCAACAAGCAAGTTGGCACCGTTGCCGTCGGGACCGAAGCACCAAATCTTCTGACCATCGGTGATATCCCAGCCGAAGTCGTCAGCAAGGACACGGGCACGGGCCTTGAAATCGTCACGGGGAGCGACCTTGCCGGACTCGATGGCGAGGGAGAGCTCCTCGTCAATGGGCTCCGCAGTCATGTAGATACGGTTGTGCTTGTTGGGAGACTTGGACAGAGCAGTCATGCTAGACTTGCCAGCGACGGTCTCACGGTACTGGACGACGGGGTCGGAAATGATGAGGGGAACACCAGCGTGGTCCTCCTCGAGATCCTTCAAGCAAATCTCGAGATGCAGCTCACCGGCACCGGCGACGACGTGCTCACCAGACTCGTTGGTCATGGTCAGAACGCAAGGATCAGACTTGGAAAGACGCTTGAGACCTTCGACAAGCTTGGGGAGATCCTGGCCGTTCTTGACCTTGACGGAACGCTGGACGACGGGGGAGACGGAGAACTTCATGACGCGCATGTTGTGGGCAGTCTCGGAGGTGGTGATGGTACCGGACTTGAGAAGGAACTGATCAACACCGACCAGACCGACAATGTTACCGGCAGGCATGTCATCAATGGGCTCGACCTTGCCACCCATCATGAGAACGGTACGCTGGATAGCCTTGATGAAGAGATCGTCCTTCTTGCCAGGGGTGTAGTTGGGGCCCTGGATGCGGACCTTGAGGCCGGAACGGACGGTACCGGAGAAGACACGACCGAAGGCGTAGAAACGGCCCTTATCAGAGGTGGGGACCATCTTGGAGACGTAGAGCATGAGAGGACCCTTGGGGTCGCAGTCACGGATACCGATGGCGGCCTCGTCCTCCATGGGACCCTCGTAAAGAGTCTCAGCACGGTACTTCTGAGCAGTGATGGGAGAGGGAAGGTGGAGGATCATCATCTCCAGAAGACAGTCGGCAGCGGGGAGGAAAGTACGGAGAACAGCCTTGAGGAGCTGCTTGCCGTCCTTGGCGCGATCGTCGGGGCTGAGCTTGAGCTGAAGCTTCTCGAGGAGAGTGTTAATCTCATCGGTCTTGAAGTTCATGACAGCGTGGAAGATCTTGAAGATGGGGTCCAGAATGAACTGGTTGAAAGCACGCTCAAGAGGCTTGCCCTCGTGGGTGCCGTTCTTGGTCCACTTCTTGGTGTGGGGGTTGAAGTAGTTGTCGCCCTAGAAGAGTGGTCAGCACGAATTGTTTTGCAGGTTGAGCGTAGGCGCGGAAAGCTTACCCAGAGACGCTCCATCATCTTGTTCTTGTCGACACCGAACTTCTTGGCGTAGCGGACAGCGAACTGACGGACGGTGAAGGCCCAGCCGTGCAGACCGGAACCGAAAGCAACGGTACCCTTGTAGGGGTAGACTTGGACGTCACCGAGAGACTTGTCGAAGTAGGTGGAGATGACGACGTTGACGGACTCGATGGTACGAGAGAAGGTCTGGTAGAGATCCTCCTTGGAGACCTGAAGCTCAAGAAGAGCGCGGTCGACCTTGTTGATGACAACAACGGGCTTAATACGCTCACCAAGAGCCTGACGCAGGACAGTCTCGGTCTGGACGCAGACACCCTCGACGGTGTCGACGACGACGAGAGCACCGTCAGTGACACGGAGGGCAGCAGTGACTTCAGAAGAGAAATCAACGTGACCGGGGGAGTCAATGAGGTTGATCAGGAAATCCTGACCGTCAGTCTTCTGGCCAACAATGTCCTTAATGTCCTCGGGGTCTTCGAGATGACCGTACAGGGAGATGGCAGTGGACTTGATGGTAATACCACGCTCCTGCTCGTCGGCACGGGTGTCGGTGGCACGGGCATCACCAGCCTTAGCGGTGGAGATGATACCGGCCTTGGCGAGAAGGGAATCGGTAAGGGTAGACTTGCCGTGATCGACGTGGGCAATGACGGACATGTTACGGACGTTGGAGGGCTTGTCCATGAGGGCCCGGACCTCGTCGACGGTGAAACTGCAGGGAGGAGAGCATTGTTAGCAATGCTATTTTTGGCCAAAAGCGCCCGTTGAAGCCAAAGGCTCGAGGCTTGTGGCCGCAGTGGACTAGAGGTTGATTTTTTTCGCCTTGGTGTTTTTGCCGTTTGATGCCTCCAGCGCCACTGCCGTCCGCAATGCGAGCACAACGGGCACTAAAATTACATCTGAAGACTCCAGACATCCAACACACGAAACCGAAAGCACGACAAGGATTACTTACTTAACCATGGCTGCGGTTTTGGAAGCTGAGCTTGCCTATAAAAATTTGGTGGTGTGAAAGGGTAAAGCGGGGTTGAAGATTTTGACCCCGCGCAGTGGAAGAAGGCTACGTTTCGATGACGAAGCTTCTTGGGTAGAAGGACTCTTTTATAGGAGAAAGCGACTCAAAAGCGACGATGGGAGAGACAGCGACCAGATCACTGCCACTCTTTGAGCGTCCCTTGTTGTAATCGGAGGGGGGTTGGGAGAGGATGAAAAGGTGAAGAGGTGAAAAATAGTGGAGGGGAAGGCGAGTTTCTTAGGCGACGGACGAAGAAGTGGGAGAAAGCGTGAGAGGTGGGAGGGGCGAGGAGTCGACAGCCAAACACAGGTGCCGCCACCCACTAAAAAAGAGAGAAAGAGACGAGCAAGAGCAAGTGGGCTTGTTTTTTTCCTTGCTGCCAGATTGCTACGTGATTATAGGAAAGTGCCAAACTGGCACGGAGATAGCGTTGAGAAGCCCGGTTTCTCTGGTTCGGTACCTAGGTATAGGGTTGCTCGCCGGAAAGCTTGTACTTCCATGGCTTTCGCTGTGACAGCTTGGTAAGCGACAGGAGTCACTCGATGACTGGTCGGACTGACTCATGCTGTACATTGAATCACAGCCAAATTTCATGACTTCGGGGGTGAAATAAAGGCGTTTTGTACTACACTCTACTTATCCTCACTCGCAGCTTTTTTTTTTTCAACCCTGGTGAAGCATTTTCCAACACCCCGCCAGCTTGTGCGGTCCATTTTGGCGCAAGCGTAAGCAGCTCCCAGCATGCAACCAATCCAAGGGCGGGACGACACAGAGCGCCCACAAAAAAAGAGGAAACACAAGCTGGCCCGGTTGGGCCAACCCCAAGGCAAAATGAGCGATAAATTTTCTTTGGCCGAGCACCACATGCTGGAATTTCTGCGGGAGCTCCCCAAGCAGATCAATGCCTGATGCCCCAGGCAGTCGAGCTCGTCCAGTGGTTTGCTGGCTGGCCGGCTGCTACTACAAGCTGAAGCCACAGTCAAGCGGCAAAGCCCTCTGGCTGCTTCAGTTTTGGAAGGTGGGGCAGCAAGAGCTTTGTCGAGGTAACCCCACCACAGCCGGCCAGCTGCCCCTCCAAAAGCTCAGCCAGTCGGTGGCCAACAACACTTTTTTGCCTGCCAGCAATTCAGCGACAAGCGGTTGTAACGTGGAGGGCACCAACCCTGCTCTCCTCTCAGTGGCAGCAATGCCAAATCGTCATCGCTCTGCCCGCCACTCCCCTCTGAATCCAGCCGCTCATTGGCCCCCACGCCTGTTTAAGGCTACCTATCAGTATTAATCGCAGCCATATTCAACCAAGCCAGTCACAAAAGCCCGACAATGCTAAGTTACTTTTTCCATACCTACCTCCTCTGGCTCCATAGCATATACCATTGTGAATCACCACTACAAATGCATTAGGAACCTTACAAGACGTGCCCTGGGCATGCTGCTGCGCTCAAACCACATCCATCAATGTCCCCAAACGTATTGTACTTGATCTCAATATATATTCAAGCGCCATCCTTGCTACCGTCTATACCCACCCAACTTATTATAAACCATTGAAACTCCGTTCGCATGTTTCCCTTGGTAAGCTCATGTACACAAAACCGAGACATCCATCAGCCTCCTTTACTAGGAGAAACTTGAGACCCAAGTCTCCCTTCTCCAGATTTGCCCGCACGAGACTACCATGCCTCCTCGTCTGGCATTTCATAGTCCATGTTCACCTCTCGCCTTGGCTCCTCTTGCCGTGCAGCACCCGTAGCTGTATAGTCTTCCCCGGCGTCTCCCAGGTTAACAAAGTCTTCATCGGCAGGTTCAGCGACAGCTTTGTCATTTGCCGAGGGGCCGGTTGACGATGAGGATGGGCCACTGGCGGGCACGGGCGGGAGCGGCGTGTTGACCCAAGACACTTCCAAAGTACCGGAAACGCCTGGCAACTCCTTGCCTTGTAAGGAAAAGTAGAACTTCTCTGCCGTCTTGCGATCCGGGAACGATACCGTCGTCTTCTCGGCGCCGGTCTCGACGGACTCGAACTCGCCATTACTCTGAAATCCTACATGTTAGCTGATTCTTGATACATGTATCGGCGAGATTCCACGAAACTTACGATCAGGAAATGGCGCAGAGCCTCATCCTTCTCCGTGGGCGTTAAATCAACGCCGGTAATGGCAACCTTCTTAGGCCTGTTGTCTATCGAGAACTGCGCATAGGCAGCATGCCGCGCGCCGTTTCCTCTGTAGGACCCTCGGCCACGCGGTGCATATCCGCCCCTGGCGAACGCACCGCGGCCGCGATACCCCCTCCCTCTATAGCCCCCACGGAAACTTCCACTATCCTCGGCGTTTGGGTTTTCTGGATCGATGCCCAGAATTTTGGCCTCTTGTTCAAGAAGTGCGAGCTTCGCGCGCAGCATGTCCGCCGACCCTGCCGGTGTGCCATTTTCGTCGCTTGCGCCGCTAGATTTGGCTAGCAACTTCGCCTGTAGCTTTTCCGTCTCGGCACGATGCTTTGCTAACAACTCCTGCTGTTGTTTTTCAAGCTCTTGGCGCTTCACTTCCAGCTCGGATCGTTTGCTTTCCCTCTCTTGGTATAGCCTTTGTGCTTCCTCCTGCCGCCTTTGGAACTCTTCTGGGTCCAATTCCTGGGTCTGCTCAAGGTCCTGTCCTCCATTGTGGTCTTCTCTAGCTCCCTTCATACCGGGCCTAGGACCACGTTGATTCGGGTTTTCCATTTCGTCTTTGTACCAAAATACCTTGACGAATCGGTTGTCGAATATGACTTTAGGAGACCTGTAGGCAGCGCTTGCTTCATCCCAGCTACTGTATTTGACAATGGCGAGATGCTTGTAAGGCTGCATCGAAACATCTTGAATAGTGCCAAACTGTGTGAAGAAGTCGCGCACTTGATCTTCAGAAAAACTTTCCTCGGGAATGTTTTCAACCACAATGGTGGATTTTGACCGATCATTCACGGGCCCGTCTGCCGAGAAGGCTGCTTTGCCCCCTCTGAAGCCTTTGCCCCCTCGGTTCTTTTTCCCACCTCGGTTACCTCGTCCGCTGCGAGGCGGCTCGCCCATGAACTGTGGCCCGCTTGACATGAACTGTGCCATATCCGCCATATCCATATCCATGTAACCATTGCCCATACTGAAGGCTAGGATCCTTGTCAGTGGGCAGTCTCTAGACTAACATGCCATCGGTTGCTTACCTCCTGATGCATCTGGTTCTTGGCTATGATCATACACACACGCACTTCCGCGTGAGCAGAAACCTTTGTTGTCAAAGTCTCTGCATCGTCGACGCTTGCGTTGCCTGCTGCCCTGCCCATGACCGGCGAAGTCTGGCATAGTAGGGAACGACAATCCCATGGCCTGCAGCGCCATTATGGCCTCCATTGGGTTTGTAGGTGGGGGAGGGTTGCCAAAAGGCGGCACCCCGTTCATGTCCATTGGCGAAGTGTACCCAGAAAAGCCATCGTTATGACGACCGCCTCGTCGAGGCTGTTTATACGCTCGCTCGCCGTACTGTTGGGGGTCACTATAGTCGTGTGCCTCTCCACTGTCGTCGAAGCCGCGTTTTCTCGAGTTTGCTGGTTTCGGTGGTAGATTCACCGGAGATTTGTTGGATTCGCTTGCGGAGGACAGCTTTGGGGCCGGGGGGGCACCGGGCATGTATGATTTATGCGCAATAGCCTGGAAGACATCGTCGAGGAAGGTTTTCGGATCTGCAGTAAACCATGAGCTGTTAGCTTGCGAGGCGGCGTTGGCTGTCGGCTGACCCGAGACGAACCCTCAGTCAAGAAATCCGGAATTTCTTCCTCGCAAAGCTTGCGAATAGAGGCTTGGTCGCCATCATGCTTCAACAAAGCAATGACGTAGTCTGCAAGCACGTCGGAGTCGGCATCGGATCTACGGCCACGTTAGTGAATGCGGTTCATTACCAGGACAGGTACAGAACAGCCAGTAGGAGAGCACGAGTAGCACGTACGTGTTCTCGATGCGCTTGACAATCCAAGTCTTTAGCTGCGCCGCGTCCTCCTCGGGAAACAGCATGTTGAGCACGAGCGCCGCATGGGCTGGCGCGCAAGCGTGATCGATGCGGGTGTTTATTGCAGACTTGTCAAGTGTGTGATTCGTGAAAAATTCGATGCCGCCAGGAGCTGGGGGATGGGGGGTTATTAGAGCTGCGACGTTGCACGAACTGCGAGATGTTGCGTGACGATGGCGAGGTTGCGCAGGTCAGCACGGTTTCGTAGAATATCGATAAATTTGGAGACGCGACACGGAAATTCCGAGTACCCACTAAGTTTTCCTCGTATCTTCCAGCAGACATCGTACAGACTGTTTCATAAAATGGAAAAATCAAAATTGTCGCTTCTTTCTTTTAGATTTTTTTTTTCAAAAAAATATATATACGGCGGCTTATGTTCCAAGACCTTCGCAAGAAGTCTTTGCGCTGTAATCGGTTCCAAGGACGGGGGCATTGACAACCGTTCCCATGGAACGACTTTGTCCACGATATATACTACTTTGTTTGCAACAACATTCTCTCTCGCGCTGCTGGAAAGACAAGCCATGCCCAGTTTAGCAATAATAAAAGTATAATGCTCGCATGGTCAACACCACTTATTACAAGCCATTCACGCTTTCGTATGTGGCATGGCGATTCAAAACTCGTAAATACCATCGCCGCAGAACTCCTTGGTCCTTGATCCAACGCAACAAACAAATACCAGGCATATATCTTCTTTGAGGTCTCCTGAGTAGGCGCGCAGACCGCCCCCGTCAGTATCGAGGCCCCTGCGGCGCTGATAATGACGGCGACCTGGCCGCTGGAGAGCGAGATGGTCTGGCAGGCTGATGGTAACACCGCGAGCCTCGAGTATTAGCGGCAGCCACTTAAGTGAAAGTCATACGGTCGACTTGCGGGACATTCAATCACGGTGCCTCTTCTTCCTCATGGAAACAAGTATTGACATTGGTGAGCAAGCTGGTGGCGAGGTTAGTCTAAACACGGGAATAATCACACTCATCAACGACTCTCATTTTTGCGCGACGTTCACAACACCTTCAGCCCGCTGCAAGCCCAAGAAAAAAGAAGCTAGAATGAAAGAAGAAGAGACGAAATTAAGACCCATCATCGTTCTATAATCCCAAATCGCACAGTTCCAAATCAGCATGTGACTCAGGCTGTGTAAGTCTATGTACTTGCTTGTTTTGCTAGCCTCATCAACCAACGGCGGGTTGAGAGGTGTTGCGCACTGTGTTGCGGCTCACATTTGATTAAAACTACATTGAATATCACAGTTTTGGTATAAGGTTATAAGTACCTGATATCCGTAAGGCTTGCACAGTACGAGTTCGCACATGGTCTCTAAGCGTTATGCCGAGTGGGGAGCTGAGCCAGCAACTTGCCGAGCTGCCCAGTCTACGTATTCATCATTCATTTTCTCTTTTCTGATTCTCTCCTATTTTGTTCTCATAAAGACGACCTGAAGAATACGACTTCTTTGGTATTTGAATACAATCCGCTCCAAGAATTTGACCTGTGTCCCCCTCATTGCCACACACCTGCCTGGAGCATGAGCGCCAGCAGTCATCAGAGTGGCCAACCTCGCTCACGACAGCGAGTATATAAAGCGCCGCCGCAGTTGGATGTGCCAGAGATTGAAGACGACGCCGCAGAGAGAAAACGAGTTTTAAATGTGCTGGCACAACGGCGATACCGTAAGATTGCCGCCACTCACTACCCAACGTGAACTAACAATGAGCAGGCGAGAAGAAGCGACAACGGCGGCTTCAACAACAATCGCAGGACGAGCCCGACGATGAAGCCGTGGAAATTTTGGAAACGGATGCCTTGCAGGGAGAACCACAGCCTGGTGTAGACTGCGACCCTGAGCCGTTAGACTTTGGCGGGATAGATGTCATTGACAATGGCTGGCCCAGTTCGCTGAACATGTCGATGACACCGCTGCTTCTAAACTCAGAAAACGAACCAAATTTCGCACAAACGAACAGCGAGTGGATATCATTACCTTCATCTTTCGCTTCAATTGGGGATTCTTCTTCTTTGGAGCTGTTTACATCGTCAAACACCAGCTCACCACCATCCTTCGGCACCAGCCCGAGAAGCGTCAATTCCGACGGTCTCTCTGATAGCTATCTCTTGCCCGTCTATGAGCTGTCGCTTATCAAAGGGATGATGCGTATAGCCGAGCGTCTTGGCTCGCCCGACGACGTCTGGAGCCTGACCTCACAGTCTCCATTCGCCAAAGGGGGCGGCACGCCCGCCAACCAGCTACCCCCGACCTGGCAGCCGACAGCGACGCAGGTTCTGATGCCTCACCATCCGTTCTTGGATTTCTTGCCCTGGCCAAGCGTGCGGGATAAGGTGATTCAGATATTTTCTCTCCCGGAACGGTCACGACCGCCGAGCGCGGCTGGGCCGCTGGGGTTGGCGAATCTGGCGTACGACATTGAGGATAGCTCGGGGGGTGTTCGGATTTACGGAGAGGATCCATATGACCCAGAATACTGGGAGGTCGGACAGGTCTTCTTCCAACGGTGGTGGTTTCTATTTGATAGAAATATTGTTGCAACGAGCAATCGCTGGAGACGACTGCGTGGCGCGCCACCACTGGCAATCAAGGCAGCTGGTGAAGAGGGTGCGTGATGATGTATCAGGGCTAGGTAAATTGTATACTAGTAGAGTGTTGAATCAATGAGGAATATGAATACGAGGCCTCCCATGCCACTTTTTTCGTTGTGTTTTTCTGCGAGGCGCTGACCTGGAAGTGGTGTACTTGAGCCTCAGCCTCGCTGGGCTTGTAATGTTGCAGGCGCAACAGCCTCATACTACGGTTGAGGCTCCTGCAGCCTTCGGCCAGTGAAGGTGAATGGATGCCATGCCTGCAACTTGAATATGAAGCCGGGCCTGCAGGACACAAGCTCCAACCACTCCTGGGGAATGCACGGTGCAGCACAGTCGCTGCGGGTTATATTAATTTTGTTCGAGGCCGAGAGCAGTTGAGTGACTTCAGATGGCGGTGACGGATTCCATGATCACTTGAGCATCTGTGGAAGGGCTGGAGGCGCAGAATCGGGCGAAGACGTTGGTGAGGGATGCTGGTCGGAGAATTATACGTGCATGTATCCGTACTGCCCTGTGCTTTCTTCAACCCTTGCTGAGGGCGGCAGCTTCTCGCTGATAGAGATACCCAGCAGCACCAGCACTTCCATCAAGGACATTCTAAGGTTAGAGGAGATTTGGGAGTTCACAAGCTAGCTGTTCAGGCGCTGGGAAATGGAGCAAGGCCCATGGATTGCGCAATTGCAGGGAGCAGCTCCCATTCGCCGGGCCGTCGGTACATGCAGGCTGGCTGTGGGAGTGGATGCAAATGGGTACCTAGTAGGTACATTAGTACCTACCTATGTAGGTAGAGACGGATCTTTTGCGTTATATAGTTACCTACCGCTATGATTTATGATGCGTGATGTGGTTGTGTTGTATAGTACCAGGCTCCCTGCATGATGAAGCAAGTTTTCAGTTGTAGGAAATGATGCTCGGGTGACAATCGCTGGAAGCCTCCATTTCGTCGTGTACGAGGCTGCACTGCACATACGTAGGTAGGCTGGGCGGACAAGACGCCCCAACAAACTGTTTGGTGGGTTGCTAGACCCCTCATCATCAAGGAGGTTGGAGGGGGGAACCAGCCTGGGGTACTTCTGAGGGGTTCGACAGTGACCGCTGTGATGCGGCTCGCAAACAATGGTAGATTGGTCTCTTGGCATCCGGACAACTGTCTGAAGCCAGGTACGGAAAAAAGAAGAACAACGTCGTTCGTCGTCTTGGCGGCTTTTCGTCGTACCTGAATGCATCCAATAGATCAAGTACCCAGGCCAAATGGAAGAACTGGTTCTCGAGAGAACGCCCGCACACAGGGCTCAGTACTTTTGGACGCCATCTTGAGCGCCGACACTTGAGGCAGTTAACTGGTGAGTTAATAACCTATCAAATTTACGTGTGCGGTCCGACGCGGGGCACTTTGCTCTTACATCTTGCAATGCGTTAGTTGGCAGAAAAAAATTATCCTGTAACTAGGTACCAAGGTACATAGTTCGACAGCGGCACACTGGAGGGAGGGATGGAGGGATAATGAGGGGCAGACCAGACCAGCCTTGACCCGCCCAGGTGCATCCCCATATCTTTCTTTGCTCCGACTGCCCGCCGATTCTCCGTTTTTGACTCTCTTCCATCTCTTCCTTTTAGCTCTCTTCCTCATTTCACTTCGCCCGGCCTGTAACCCTCAAAAACGGTCGGTAGGAGGTTTGAACTGGTGTTCCTCATAGGCCCCTTCACTGGGTTCCTGTTCCGCTGCTGTTTGTCTTGTCTTGTCGTCGCTGTACAGTGAGTCAATTCCTCCCCGCGTTCCTTGGAGCGTCTGTGCCAAACTTTCCTCCCACCAAGCCTCCCTCCCTATTTGGATGCTAATTCTTTTTACCAAGGGTTACTGGCATAATTTAGTCCAAACTCTCACTGTCAAATTTTAATTTCCTGGCAACTCGACTCGTCGATCAGCATACTCTGTACGACCTATCCACCGCTCTTTGTTCGACTCGACCTCTGTCCCAACCTCCATTGTCCCTCCTACATTCAAACCCAGTCACCATGCACGTCAAAGATCTTCTTGCCGAGACCAAAAGGTCTGGCAAGCCTTCGTTTTCCTTTGAATACTTCCCGCCCAAGACCGCCCAGGGTGTCCAGAATCTCTACGACCGTATGGACCGCATGTACAACTTCGGCCCTCAATTCATCGACATCACATGGGGCGCTGGCGGACGTGTTGCCGAGCTTACCTGTGAGATGGTCCTTCAAGCCCAGGCCGTGTATGGTCTCGAGACCTGCATGCACTTGACTTGCACAGACATGGGCATGGAAAAGGTCAACGATGCTCTCCACAAGGCCTACAAGGCTGGCTGCACCAACATTCTCGCCCTGCGCGGTGATCCCCCTCGTGCCCAAGAGAAGTGGACTGCCACCGAAGACGGCTTCCAGTATGCTTGTGATCTTGTCAAACACATTCGTGCCACTTATGGTGATCACTTTGACATTGGTGTTGCTGGCTACCCTGAAGGCTGCGACGACAATGACGATGAGGATGAGCTGATTGAGCATCTCAAGTACAAGGTTGACCTCGGCGGCACCTTCATTGTCACTCAAATGTTTTACGATGTTGACAACTTCATTCGCTGGGTTGGCAAGGTTCGCGCCGCTGGCATTACTGTCCCCATTCTTCCCGGCATTATGCCAATTGCCACCTACGCCAGCTTCCTCCGCCGCTGCAAGCACACTGGGTGCAACATTCCTCAGAAATGGCTGGACCTGCTTGAGCCCGTCAAGAACGACGATGTTTCTGTCCGTGAGGTTGGCAAGAAGCTTGTCGTCGAGATGTGCCGCAAGCTCATGGCCGCGGGCATCCACCACATGCACTTCTACACGATGAATCTGGCCCAGGCCACTCGCATGGTCCTCGAGGAGCTCAGCTGGACTCCCTCAGCTGAGCGACCTCTGCAGCAGGCGCTTCCTTGGAAGCCCTCCAAGGGCTTTGGTCGCCGTGACGAAGACGTCCGCCCCATCTTCTGGCGCAACAGAAACAAATCCTATGTCCTCCGCACCCAAGACTGGGATGAGTTCCCCAACGGCCGCTGGGGTGATTCCCGCTCTCCTGCGTTTGGCGAGCTTGACGCCTACGGCATTGGTCTCACCGGCACAAACGAGGCCAACCGTCTGAAGTGGGGTGAACCCAAGTCGCTACGCGACATTGCCAACACCTTTGTCCGTTACTTGAACCAGGACATCGACTCTCTACCCTGGAGTGAAGCTCCTCTTACTAGTGAAGCCGACTCCATCAAGCCTGCCCTGATTGAGCTCAACCAGCGCGGTTTCTTGACCATCAATTCCCAACCAGCCGTTGATGGTGTCAAGTCATCTCACCCCGTCCATGGTTGGGGACCTGCCAACGGTTATGTTTACCAAAAAGGATACATTGAGCTGCTAGTCTCCCCTGAGATTGTGGACCAAGTCATCCGTCTCATCGACGCCAACCCTTCCCTGACTTACTACGCCGTTACCAAGGATGGCAATCTGAAGACCAACGCTCCCTCTGATGGCCCTAACGCTGTTACCTGGGGTGTGTTCCCTGGAAAGGAGATCGTCCAGCCGACTATTGTGGAAAGCATCAGCTTCCTAGCTTGGCGTGACGAGGCTTTCCGTCTAGGTGTCGACTGGGCTCACTGCTTCGATGCCAAGTCGCCCAGCCGCGTTCTTGTTGAGAATGTGATGGACAACTGGTACCTCCTCAACATTGTGAATAACGATTTCCACGACAACACCACCATCTTCGAGCTCTTCAAGGATCTCAAGGTCGATGGCCTCGATGTTCCAGTTACTGTGGAGGCCGAGGCTGTTGCTGAAGCTGAGGCTCCCGCTGCGATTCAAGCCGAGACTGCCGCATAGATGGAGTGATGCTGAAAATGCTGCCGAGCAGTCTTTTGTCAGCGCACATTTTTCCTGCATATACATTTGTTTTGTTTTCTTGTTTCTGGGCCCCCTACCTTGTCTGTTGTCTCTATATACAGACCTGGTGACTCCCCCTCTTCTTATTACAAAAATAGGAGTCGGTGTCTTTTTCAACAAAAAGTTACACTGGATACATGCATGCATGCATTTTACGACGAAAAGTCAGGCGCACGGCGACGGGTAGACCCATGATCAACCGATACTGATCATGTACGTTTTTCTTTTTTGTTTTGGGTTCAGCAGTGGCATGGCAGACCGACATTTGGCATGCGACTGCATTTAACCTCTTCTCCTTTGGTTTTCTCTTTTGTTTTGGGCATGCATAACGGATACATATCTCAACGATACCCCCATGCCCGTCGCCGTCGCCGCTTATACATGATTGGAGTTGGTTCATATTGATGCGTTCTGCGTGGAGCCACTGATGACCACAGTGCGGCTCTCCAACGGACGCGAAAAGGACAAGCGAAAATACATTTTTATTGAAAATGATGCTCGAGCGTATCACGCATATTGCGCGCGTACGAGGCCAGGGAGACTAGTAAAGGAGTCTCTTGTAGATAGGTGAATATCATCACAACACGCACCAGTTGGTGCGGACTGTCTCGAGCTTGCTTCATCAGCTTTTCATCAAGTGTATCGTCATCATTAATTTCCCAAGAAAAGCAAGCAGCTCTTTGCACTTTGGACTGGATATGCTTTGGTCCGGCCGAATCCGCCGAGGTTGGTGGGAACTTCGGCGAGATGTGATCTGGCGCGTGAGCAGCTCGGCGAGGTGGCGCGAGACTCTAACGCCTCGGATTTCCAGAACCGGGCGTCGGCGACGTTTTGCACTTTGCCGCCTCCAAATGTGAGGATTTCAACCACTCGCAGCTTTCCGTCTACTGAATTCTCAGAGGGCTGAAATTTAATTCCAGCCTGAGTGTAATCATGACGTTGCACTACATTTGACTGATCCTACCAACAGTCAGACGGATGCACATATATATATCATTCCCACGGCCGGCCTTTTGATGCTCTTGATTTTATCAAATAACAATCTACAAAATCTTCCTTACTTCTCGATCCCTCATAATGTCTCTCGAGCCCATCGTACACCCCGTCTTCGAAAAGGTGACGGCGACGTGGCAGTACATCGTCGCCTGCCCGGAGACCAAGCGCGCCGCCATCATCGACCCCGTCCTCGACTTTGACCCTTCCACACTCACGCTGTCCACCGCCTCTGCCGACTCGCTCCTCCGCATCGTCCGGGAGCACAACTACGTCGTCGACCTCCTCCTCGAGACGCACGCCCACGCCGACCACCTCACCGCCGCCGGCTACCTCCAGCGGCAGCTGCACCGCACCCAAGGCGGCAGCGCACCACCGGCCACGGCGACCGGCCACCGCATCCGCGGCGTGCAGGAGCGCTTCGCCGCCGCCTACCACGTGCCGCGCGCGGACCTGGACGCCGCCTTTGAGCGTCTCTTCGCCGACGACGAGCCCTTCCTCATCGGGCGCCTCCCCGCGGTCGCGCTGCACCTCCCCGGGCACACGCCGGACCACAGCGGGTACCGCGTCGGCGACGCGCACGTGTTCGTCGGAGACTCTCTGTTCCTGCCAGACGTGGGCACCGCGCGGTGCGACTTCCCGGACGGCGACGCGGCGACGCTGTTTGGCTCGGCGGCGGCGCTGCTGGCGCTGCCGCCGACGTGCAGGCTGTACGCGGGCCACGACTACCCGCCGGCCGGGAGCGGGAGGGAGCCGCGGCCGTGGGCGACGGTGGAGGAGCAGCGGGCGAGGAACAAGCATGTGAAGGAGGGCACGGGGCTGGAGGAGTTTGTGAGGTGGCGCGAGGGGCGTGATAAGGGGCTGGGGGAGCCGAGGTTGCTGCATCCGGCGCTGCAGACGAACGTACGGGGTGGGAAGTTGGCGGAGACGAAGACGGGGAGCGGGGTGACGATGTTGTCGCTGCCGGTGAAGATGCCGGGGAATTTTTGAGCTGATATTTGTAGGGTAGTCTGGCAAAGTGCAAGTGCTCTCTCGCCTAGTTTCTCCGTCTATGTACTGATAACTGATGTCGGGCAGCCTGTCAAGAAATCTCACCACAATCAATGCAATGCAATGCAATGCAATGCAATACAAAAGTCTCTAAAAGATTCAATTAATCACTCCTTGGTGGCATCCTTGCTTTCAAGCCACGGCCCCGTCATCCTCGTCGACACGCCGCCGCCCAGCGCACCCAGCAACGCGCCCATCGCCGCGACGCCCTGGTACGCCGGGCGGAACTCGCCCCCTTCCAGGGACCGCATGACCGAAAAGTATCTCCTGGTGGCGTACACCATGCATCCCGTGCCGAGCGTCAGGAGCGTCCCCACGAGCAGCCGCGAGCCGGTCTCCTCCTCGCTCTTCTTGTCCGCGGGCTCGGGCTCGCCGCGGAGCGCGACGGCCTCGAAGCGGGAGAAGCGCTCGACGCCCATGCCGAGCGCGACGAAGCCGAGGCCGGTCCGGGTCCAGGCGAGGTAGGTGCGCTCGGAGGCGAGGTGGTCGCGCGCCACGGAGCCGGTGTTTTTGTATATGGGACTTGCGAGTCGGGACCACCACGGCATGATGACTGTGTGAGCGTGGGTGGTGAGGAGAGGATGTGGTTCGGCTGGCGGGAGGGAGGAAGGACGAAGAAGAAGAAGAAGGCTAGGATTGAGACAGCTTCCGAAACGATGAATGGTTTATTGGCAATGTAATGTGGGAAGATAGATGGTGGTGAATCACTCAGAGGTCGTGTTTAATAAGGGATGTGATCGGGCCAGTCCCACCGCGTTTAGACGCCGAAGTAGTAGACCGATCGGGCTTTGACCTACTTAAAATGTGGTCATTTAGCCCTGACTTTAGAATGAACTCGTCTTAATCCGATGGCTGTAAAAAACATGATTTTTTTCTTTTTAGATGTGCGAGTATTGCTAGGTCCTTCAATGAATGCCACTCTGTCCAGGACTACAAGATATGCACCTGCACGCAGCTAGTCACCAGGTGAGGGAGGCAGTTGAATTCTCTTGATAAGACGAGAAGAACTCTATTGATACAAGTGTATTCATACAATAAAATTGGTGACAAGCGGATGGATGCCCGGGTTGTCTCGCTTCCCTGCTACTCAAAGTCGGCAAAGTGACTCAGCGCCAACGGCTCGCCGCATGTTTGGTCGATGTGAGGCGACAAGAGCCCGGCCATGAAGATGCGATCGATGTGGTCCATGTTGCCCGTACTCATGGCCGTCTCCATCGCGCTCGCGTGAAACTCGGCGCTCGTGCTCGCATCCTCAAACAGCCGCCCCTCCGAAGCACCGTACGCCTCGGCCTGCGGCAGCGGAACCGCGCCGCCGACCACGCTCGGAGACGCCGAGGCACCAGAAGCAGCAGCAGCAGCAGCAGCAGCGGCAGCAAACACGGCCGGCGCCATGTTCTCCGCGGCCACGGCCTTGATGTGCGCGTAAGCCTCGCGCGCCGTCGACCACTGCCTCCGGAGGATAGTCAGGGTGGCCAGCACCAGCACGGCGCGGTTCTGGTGGTGCTCGAAGCACTCGGACGCGTGGGCCTGCGCCGCCGCCATCTGCACCAGTCCCGCCAGCACGGCCCCCGGCACCATGGCCGGGCTGTACCCTTGGGGCCGGGAGTGCACCGACAGCAGGTTGGACAGCTCCTTGGCGGCCTCGATGGCCTTGACGTCGTGGATGTGGCGGGTCAGCGAGGGGGACAGCCGCACGGGGGTCTCCGGGCAGACGGTGCTACCGGGGGCGGTGGGAAAGCGCGGGCGCAGGTTGCTACGGGGCACGTGCAGCAGCGCGGAGGCGTGGTGGACGGTGAACTGCGCCTGGAAGAGCATCTCGTCAATGTTGCCGTACATGTCGACGACGTCGACCTTGCGGGCGGGGAGGAGGTGGCCCCAGCTGACGATCATGTTGACGACGCTCTGCAGGTGGTCCGGGTGCGTCTCCTGCAGTGTGTTGAGGACCATGACGCGGGCGAGGATGTAAAAGGCCTCGATGCGGTAGCTGTATGAGGAGAACTGCAACGACGAGCCGTGAGTCGCCCGTGCTTGCTGTTGCACGTCGCTGCTGTTGTCGCCGCCGCCGCCGCCGTCGTCGTGGTCCGAGTCGCCGCCATCGGAACTGAACAGGCGTGCCCGAAAGGCCGAGAACGTCTGCGGCTGTGTGGAAGACGATGCTATTGTCATTGGCGACGCATCGGGCGACGACATGGCGTTGTACACGGCCTCCTCGCACGGCAGGTACGCTTCGCTGACGACGTCGCTGCACCGGAGCGAGGTGAACTTGCCATCCGGCAGGGCGAGGTAGATTTCCCAGATGAACAGCTCCCACCAGGTCCGCCGCAAGCTCTCCACAAGCAACGCGCCACCGTCACCATCCGCGGCGGCCCGCGTGGCAAAGTCGGCCCGGTGCATGCCCAGGTCCAGGGCGAGGCCGACAGCACGTGCCAGGGCCGCCACGGCCTCGCGCCGGCTGTTGCGCGCGGACATGATGATGGAGAAGAGCAGCAGCGCCTGCACCATGGCCGGCGAGCGGTCGTCCCGGCTGAGGAGCAGCGTCGTCTGGGCGAGGAAGTCGTCGCCGGAGAGCACCTTGGAGTAGTGGCTGCCGATGAAGCGGACGACCTGGTGCAGGTAGTCGGGGTACCGCTGGCGGTGGTAAGAAGGCGCGGGGACGAGGATCGGGTGCGCGGGGTGGAAGTGGGCGTAGTAGAGGTGGACGAGACGGGCCTCGGGGACGTAGGGCTGCTGCTGCTGCTGGGGTGTGCTGCTGCCGTCGTTGGGCGGTGGTGGTCGGTGATGACTGTTGAGGTTGCCGGAGGAGTAGCCGCTGCTGCCAAAGGTGCTCATGCTGGCGGCGGTTGTTGGGGACCGTAGCCTGTTGTTACTGCTTTTCGCGCCGGCGTCGCGGGCGGTCGGGGTCGGGGTCGCCCAGGGTGCTGGCGAGGCCGGGGTCGGGATCGGCCCGGCGGTCTGCTGCTGCCGGTCGCGGGGCACTCGTCGGCCCCCGCGTCGCGAGGGGAGATATGTGCACGAGAGCCGGTTCGTGGCACATCGCGCGCAGATGGGTCGCTGGAGGTCGCACTTGAGGTGCGATCGCCGACATTCCGTGCATGCGACGGAGCCTGCCATGGCGGCAACTCAGCCGATGGTGATGGGCGGTCCGAGTTCGGGGGAGGCCGGCGGCAAGCGGCGGCAGCGTCGGCGGTGGCGGAGGAGGCTAAGTGTCGTCGGTAGTTTGACGCAATAACAGTGGCAGCCACACGTTCATGGCAACCATGATTCTGCAAGAAAAAACATCACGTCTGTCTTTTTCTTCGAGTTGTGGATAGAGCAAGTTCTTAGCATGGACAGCCCTCCCTATATCTATCTAACCTTAACTATGGGCGCTGCCCCACGTACCGCTTCGGTCCCCGGCGGTGCCGCATCCCGGCCCACCAAAGCCCGGTAGTTGAGTGACTCGCGAGTAATTGCCATGGGCTGATTCTGAAAATCTATTAATAAATTCAAAGCTTGGCTTGAGGCCTACTTTGCAGTCTATAACACTCTCAACTCTATTGCACTCTTTATGGTTGTTTAATAGGCAAGCAATGCATCCGCCATGTTGGAAGAATAGTATGAAAGCAAGCTGTACAATCAGGTACTTGCAGGAGGATGCCAAATCATATCTCCCAAGCCTCAAAGACCTCTCATCGAATGAATCCCTTTGGCCCAGCCCACGCCCCCTTGACCATGAACTTGCGGTACACCCACGGGAAAAAGTCCTTCTTGAGGTGATAAAACGCCCTCCGCGGCTTGATCTGGTCCACGCCCAGCAGCCGCTGGAACGTCTCCTTGGGCTCCGGCCCGTACTTGAACTCGGTCAGCAGCACCTTGCCGTACTCGGTGATGAGCGGGCACGACGTGTACCCGTCGTACGCGGCCCGCGGCGCCTGGCCCTTCACCGCGTCCAGCAGGTTCGCAACCAGCACCGGAGCCTGCGCCGTGATGGCCGCCGCCGTCTTGCTCGTCGGCAGGTCCGCCGCGTCCCCGAGCGCCCACACGTTGCCGTGCGTCCCGTGCCGCAGCGTCCCCGGGTCCACGGCCACCAGCCCCGTCGAGGCGTCCGCCAGCGGGCTCTCCGCCACGAACCGGTGCGGGCCCATCTTGGGCGCCGCGTGCAGCAGGTCGAACCGCCGCGTCACCCGCGTCCCGTCCGGGCGGGCGAAGACGGCCTCGGAGCCGCTGCGGACCTCGACGAGGTCGTGCTGGAAGAGCGCCTCCACGCCCCGCTCCTCGGCCAGCTCGGCCAGCTTGGCGCTGTACTTGGGCACGCCGAACATGACCGGCAGCCCGGTCGCGAAGGAGATGCGGATCGGCCCGTCGCCGCAGTTGTACAGCCCGGCCTTCTTCCAGTAGTCCAGCGCCAGCCACATGGCCTTTTGCGGCGCCCCCGCGCACTTGAGCATGCCCGCCGGCTGCGTGAAGATGGCCCTGCCGGCGCGCAGCCGCTCGATGCCGGGAAACACCTTGTCGCAGTGGTCGTAGCTGTATATCGACGACACCCCCGAGCGCGGGTCCGCGAGCGCCTCCGGCAGGCCGCGGATCTGCTCGTAGTTGGTGGAGATGCCCGGGCAGACGACCAGCTGGTCGTACGCGAGGCGGTCGCCGCCGCGCAGCACCACCTGGTTCTCCGTCGGCTCGAAGCGGGCGACGCGGTCCCGGTGGACGGTCAGCTTGGGGTCGTGGATGTCGGCGAGGCGCAGGCGGAAGTCGTCCTTGCGGGCGAGGCCGCCGCCGACGAGCGTCCAGCCGGGCTGGTAGTGGTGCCACTCGGCGGGGTCGACGACGGCGATGTCGCCGGCCTGGAACTGGCCGGAGCGGAGAAGCTGGTGGCTCACGTTGGAGCCGGCCGAGCCGCCGCCGACGACGACGACGCGGTGGCTGCGCGTCGTGGTGGACACGGGGGGTGCGGCGGAGGTCGTGGCGAGGCACCTCTTTGCCGTCAGCCTCGTCTTGGCTTCATGGCTGGTCAAGAGCCGGTGGCGGCTGGAGGCTCGCGTGACGCAGCCGGTGACAGATTTGAGCTGCATTGTAGGCGATGTCCGTCTTGGTAGGTCAAAGAGTGAGTAGTCTGCCCAGGTTTCGGTGCGCTCTGCGACTGAAGTCTCCGGCTGCTGGGTCTCTGGCCGTACAAGGTGACTCTGTACAAGGTAACTGAAATCAAGGAAGAAGAAGAACAAGGCGGAATCGTCACGAGTTAAACAATCTTGGAAACTGCCGAACCCGTCAGCCAGCGAGGCCCGCGGTCGCTTCTCGTGGCAATTATAGCTCCGCAATACCATAGAATCCCCTGCCAAGTGTCGTCTAAGAGCAATCGGCGATTGAACAGCTGCGGCTCGGACTCTGGCGCCAAGTCCCGAAAATGGCATGATTCAGTGCATGATTACAGGAGGATCGCTGTTGCTATATTTACTTTGCAATCACAAGTAGACTCCGCTGTGTAGGAGGAGGTAATTATCCATTGTCCAGCTTGTGTCGTTGTGCAGGCATAATGGCACCCCCGTCATTAGTTACAGCCGACCCGATTCTCATAACGTCCGCAGAACTGCACGACATTTTAAATACACCGCCGGAGAAGAAGAATCGGCTTCGTTTAATCGCAGCCGGGCGAGACGCTGATGCAGCGTCTTTTGCGCGTTGTCACCTCGCCAACTCGGTGTAAGTGACGGCAGCCAGACACTGACCAATCTTGGCTGGCTAATTCCTGTGCCATCCATCTTGCCATGACTCCTGTAGCTTCCTTAACCTGGACGAGATCAGAAACACCGCTTCTGGCTACCCGGTCATGCTGCCGACCTGCCGAGACTTTGCCGCGGCCATGCACCGGCTCGGCATCGGCGCCGACGACACCCTCGTCGTGTACGACACGGTTGAGGCCGGCATCCGCTGCGCGCCCCGGGTCGCCTGGACGCTCGCGCACTTTGGCTTCGGCGACGTGCGGGTCCTCAATAGCTTCCGGCAGTACGTCGCGGACGGCCACCCCCGACGACGACTCCGCCCCCCGGCGGCCCTTCCCGAGGACGCCACTCCCGCCACCTACCGGGTCGCCGACCCGACGAGGATGATGGGGTTCGAGGAGCTCCGAGATCTGGTCCTCAGTGGCGGCGGCGAGTATCAGATCCTGGACTCCCGAAGCGCGGACCGCTTCGCGCGCGGCCACATCCCGGGGGCGCTCAACGTGCCGGTGGCGTGCCTGGTCGACGCCGCCGGCGGGAAGCTGCTCGGTTGGTCGGCGCTGAGGGCCATACTGGCGGATGCCGGTGTCCTCGAGGACAGGCCCGCCATCTTGACGTGCAACACGGGCGTGACGGCGGCGGTGCTGTGGCTGGCGCTGCGGGTGAGCGGGTACGGCGTCAGGACGAGGCTCTATGACGGGAGCTGGTCGGAGTGGAAGGAACGGGCGAAAGAACTGGGGTTGGTTGATTGTTGCTGCTGAAAAGACGTGACATTGATCTCGGCTGTTAGCATCAAGACCTGTACGAGGAGAAGCAGGCAGCGACATGGCTCATGACACCCCTTCTCAATTTCTTGTAAATGAAATACACAAAAATATGAAGCAAATGTGAAGATGAAGAGGAAAGAAAACGCTTCGAGAATAGAGACATGAATAGCACCCTCACAACCTCGCTACTAATACAAACATGACCGCCCTGCCCGCCACCTACCACCCGCCTTTGGCCGCTCTTATCGGGGTCTTGATCATCCGCCGTCCCGCCACCACCTTGGGCATCCTCCCGCCACGCACATTGAGCTGCAGCGACTGATGCAGCAGCCTCGGCTCCTTCAGCGTCGCGTCCCTCGCCTCCCTCATCGCCACAAATTCCTCCCGCGCCACGCCCCCCATCAGGTGCCGGTTGCTCCGCCTATGCTCGCCGACGCTCTGCCACGGCAAGGGCCCGCCGCGGCGCTCGGCGGGCGGGTAGTCGTGGCCGGCCCAGATCCGGACGCGCTCGGGCAGGGCGAGCAGCTTGCGGCCGGAGTCGTACAGGGCGGCGGCGCTGCCGCCGGGGAAGTCGCAGCGGGCGCTGCCGAGGTCCGCGGCGAAGAGGGAGTCGCCGCAGAAGACGTTGTCTGGGGAGGGGAGGGCGAGTTAGCCGCCGTGAACGTGATGACCTTGTTAAGCAGGGCGCTTACCTCCAATCTTGTAGCCCAAGTGGTCTGGGGTGTGTCCGGGGAGGTGGATGGCCTGCACTTGGAGATGGCCGATCTGGAAGGTCTCGTCGTCTTGGAAGAGACATTGATGAGCGCCTTGGATCTCATCGTCCGGAATTCCGTACAAGTTTTGAAACAACTTTTGAACCGTCTCTATACGCATGCCGATTCCGATGCTGGGCGCGTCGCCTTGGGCGTCGCGTAGAGCGTGTTGCAGGTACGCGGCCGCGGTGACGTGGTCGGCGTGGATGTGCGTCTCCAGGATCCGTTCAACCTTGTACCCATGTTCCTTGATGATGGCGAGGAGCGTGTCCGCCGATTCCGTACTCAGCTCTCCTGTGGCCGGGTCAAAGTCGAGCACCGGGTCGATGATGGCGGCCACGGCCGTGGCGGGATCCGCGACGATGTACTGCCAGGTGCCGGTGACCTTTTCGAACACGTCATGGACGACTGGTTGTGGTTCCGCCGCAGCAACAATAGAGGGAGAGTTTTGCGATACCGCAGCAGCCTGTGTCGAATATGGCTGACGCAGCATCTGAGGAGAGGCTCTTGTGGTGGTTGTCGTGCTTGAGGTTGAGCGCTGAAGGGCGCGTGTGAGCTCATTGCGATTTACTGAGGCAGCTGTCTTATGAAGAGCGCGACGGCTGGTCGCGGAAAGGGTGTGCAAGCAAGGGGCAAGGCGACAGGACGAGGTTGCTGCTCGTTGAAGCAAGGCTGGTGAGTGGCGACAAATGTAGTGACTGGCCATGATGAAATTGTGAGGCCAACCTCTGGTACCTCTATGGGGTGTAAGACGCTGCGTTTCTGGATGTCAAGTATCAAGGTGAATAGAGATCAGTGGCCAACTTGGCGAGTTTAATTTATACAAGATACATACATCAAACAAGGTTATTTTAATGTTGACAGCTTTTTTCATTATCATGTAGTTATTGGCAGGGCACATGACGCTCCATTTTTCCGGGTCAGCCATAACAAGTGGGATGCTGTGCTCGGGGTTTGGCGATCGGCGAATGGGCTCCGGACCGCCCGCTGTATGGGGCCAGGATCCGGGAATGTCATGTCATGCTAGTACGGCGAAGTTGGAGGGACACTACTTGGCGGGAGCTGAGCTGGATCAAGCTGGCGCGGGAAGTCGGCGAGGCTCCCCGCCGGTGCCGCGACGGATCGGCGCGGAAGACTGGATCGGGGGTGTCCGGGGGCTGGTCGGTGGTGATGGAGTCGGCGAGATGCGGCAAGTTGAAGTTGACAGTGAAGATTGAGGCAAGTTTGTTTTTCCTTTACATCTTTGCTCTTGAATTTCTTTTTCTTCGCTTTTTTCGCCTTTTTCCTCCTTTTCTCTTTTGGCTCGATCCGCTCTGGTGTGTGAGTGAAGACTATTTGAATAACCCGAATGACAGTACCAGCGCTGGGCCGCAGTGGAAAAGATCACTGTAACACCCTGTACTACCCTACTAATAACTAACTACCTAGATAAAACGTGGCTTGAGATGGCCTCCAAAAATGCCTCGACAGCCCTGTCAACTGCGTCAGAATGGCGCCGCAACAACTCCACTTGGGCTATGGATCATGGGAAAGTGGCTTTGAGTGGGCTGAATTTTCCATTTTCCCGATCCCATCAGAGTTTGCTAGTCAATAACCGACTCGAGATCCTGTCTGTTGATAAGTCCCCCAGGCGGGCAGAGCCGACCCCGGAGAATCTGGCGACGGCAGAGATCTGCCTACCTGGCCTTGTGCATTATCTTGGACTGGTAGGGTAGCACTGCATTCGTCCCATTCATCAACTACTGTCGTTACCCGACCAGGCCATCTCTGCCTACGAACACAGCCCCCTCGATGACGAGGCTGCACTAACGGATACTTCGGCATGCGCTTTGTTCGATTCGGAAAATCCACCGCACGCCAGCCTCTTTGAAGCCTCCTCGTTACTATGAGGCAGTTACAAGGCCATGGGGACACAAGCTATGTAGTTATGTCGAGGGGGGAAAGGAAAAAAAAAAAAAAAGAAAGAAACGAAAAAGTCGAGGTATACGTTTGCGCCACAGTGGCTTTCTTTAACGCCAAGGTGCTTATCCGCGTCACTGGAATTCAATTCGTCCACCCTGTCTTGCTTGGTCTTGGTTGTCAACTCTTGGCTCTAACGGACGGTCCGTCATTTCGGCTCACGCGGCCGACGCGTACGCCCAATATATTGCGAGAATTTAACTAATGATCAGCTCACCAATGGGATGAATTTTAAATATTACTAGCATTGGCAGCAGCTAGTCTGAGGGGCAGCCTTGTTGTTATCCGGCCGGTCATGTCCCATCAACATATGACGCCGACCTGCAGCAATTGTCCGTCCACCAAAAGGGGGCAGGGCAGAGAGGTTTTGTCTGACCCAGCCCAACACAAAATCTAGCCGGCCTCGTTAATTAATTAATTAATGTAAATCTTGTATCTCCCTTGTACCTGGATGTTTTTCTTCCTTTATTGCTTCCTTCTTCATTCTTTCTTTCTTGCCTCGATTCAACGCGCTGTCTGTTCACTGCCTCTTCACCCTCCCCCAAAATCATGGCCCTCTCCCTGCGGGCCATCTCCTCCCTCTCCTCCCTCTCTCTCCTCCCCTCCTCCAAACAGCCCTACCGATACCGATCCCTCGCCTACATCGCCATCATCGCCAGCGTCCTCTTCGTCCTCTGCCGCCTCTACCTCTTCCCCGACGACGACCTCCTCGCCCTCGGCAGCCTGCACGACTCCCCCGAGCGCCACGCATTATGCGCCGCCCACGGCTTCGCCCCCTACCCGTCCGGCGGCGACGGCACCGCCCGCCGCAAGATCTACGACATCACCATGGTCAACACGGAGCTCGACTGGCTCGAGATCCGCCTCGACGCCCTGTACGACGAGGTCGACCTCTTCATCATCGTCGAGTCCCCCACCACCTTCCACGGCCACGCCAAGCCCATGCTCGCCAAGGAGAGCTGGCACCGCTTCGCCCGCTACCACGACAAGATGCTGCACCACGAGCTCGAGTTCCCCAGCGGCTTCCGTCCCCGCCGCACCTGGGACTTTGAGCGCCTCCAGCGCGACGCCGGCTACGAGCAAGTCTTCCCCAAGCTGATATCCGGGGGTGACCGCGCCCCGCGCCTCGGCGACGTCCTCGTCGTCGCCGACGTCGACGAGATCCCCCGCCCCGAGACCCTCCGCGTCCTCCGCGCCTGCGCCTTCCCCCGCCGCCTCACCCTCGCCTCCCGCTTCTACTACTACTCCTTCCAGTTCCTCAGCGTCGGCCCGGAGTGGCACCACCCGCAGGCCACCTTCTACGACGGTCCCGGCGCCCGCACCCTCGCCCCCAACGACCTCCGCGACGGCCAAGGCGGCAACTTTGTGTCCCGCTGGCGCGAGTCGGCGCGGTACGGGAACGCCTCCTGGCACTGCAGCAGCTGCTTCGACTCCATGGACATGTTCCTCAACAAGATGGCCAGCTTCTCCCACAAGTGGATGAACGGCGCCCAGTACCGCGACCGCGACCGCATCGCCGACGCGGTCCGCGACGGCGTGGACATCTGGGGGAGGCGCTCGTCCACGTTTGAGCGCCTCGACGGCAATCAGGACCTGCCACCGCTGGTTCGTGATGATCCGAGGTACGTCTACCTCCGCGACCGCAGCGGCAAGTCGGCCGGCATGAAGGACTACCCTTGAGCCTGTCGGTAGCTGTGGTTGTTGAAGCGATGATGCGAGAGGAGAGACATCAAACGAAAATCGGCGTCGTCTTTTTTTTTGTTTTTTGGGAATCAAAATACACGATCTGTTTGGTTTTAGCATAAGCGACGGAAGTTTAAAACACGGCATGTAATAAATAATAGACGACAAAATTTAATCATCATCACCTCAGTGTCTCTTATCAGCTGCTGATCTGCCACGCCACATGTTCGTGCATGAAGCTGAAACGTTGATGCCCAATCTTGGCTCGCGATCCTCACTCGCTGTCGATTGAAGCTGGGAACGATGGGATGGCCGGCAGCATTGATTGCCATTACACTGACACTTGCACAAGTCCGCCGTGTTCGCAGTCAAGCTGGGCATCGTTCCACCTGGCCCAATGTCGCCGCCATGTACGCACGGATGCCCAGTTCTGGTTACAAATCCTGGTGCTTCTGCTGTGCCGGTCTTGCATCGTCAGCTTCACTTCACTCCAGCTTGCCTGCCGTGCAAGGGGCTCCATTCGCGACGACCTTGGTCATCTGCCCGAAGCAAGAACGCTTGGGCTGCGTGCGAGGGCAGTCGTTGCCTTCTGATTGTGAGGGGATGGTAGCAGTCTTGTTGCCCAGCCCTCCACCGTCGTCTTTTCTATCATATGGTTTGCCAAAGCTCGTGCAACGGGTGGATGGTACAAACCCACGGACTTGCGGGTGTGAGTGGTAGGTCAGTCACAGCAGATGTCGTATCTACATGTGCGGGGGGGATTGATACAGCCTAGACCGTGATGAGTCGATGGTACAGGAACATCTTGTAAGAAGCAGCTCGTGTGCAACACCAAGCGGCGAGGCCGGAGGACGCAAGAGTCGCAATAGAAATACCGTCCTGGATCCCAGCTTCGTGTAAGCCTGCCATTATCACAAACACACTCGCACACTCTCTCCCTCTTCCTTCCGCCCTTAAACTCTCTTCTCTTACACACTTCATACCCATGTTCACAATGAAGTTCTCCTCCGTCTGCCTGTTCGCGGTCGCCGCCGCCGCCGCCGCCGCCGTCGGTGAGATTCGCGACGCCGCTGCCATCGCGGTCCGCGACTTCGCCTCCATCAATGCCTCCCTCTCCACCGTCAAAGACGACATCGCCACCCTCAACGCCGTCGGAAACGCCTTCGACGGCGACATCCGCCCCCCCGTCGCCGCCTCCGACAAGCTCGCCGCCTCCATCGACGCCGCCGTCGCCACCGCCCGCGCCTCCACCGTCCTCTCCCTCACGGACGCCTTTGGCCTCCTCCCCGTGCTCCAAGGCATCCGCGAGAACACCCGGGCCCTCGCCGACACAGTCAAGGCCAAGGTGTCCAAGATGGCTCAGGCGGGGGCGTGCGCGGTCGCCCGCACCCACCTCGAGAGGCTCAACGCCGGCGCGGGAACCCTCATCGACGAGGTCAGGGGCAAGCTCCCCGTCGCCGCTCGCGGCGTGGCCAAGATCGAGACGGACAAGATCAGGGCTCTCATTGTGGAGGCTGTTGCTGCGGTTGCGCCGGAGCGGTGCCGTGATGGGTCATGATTTGCCTCCGCAACGAGGTTGCCGGCCTCTACGCCGGCCGGAGAAAGCCTGGATGGCGACATTCAGCCCCTAGTTGGCAATGGAATTAACACTGGGCTCAGTACCGCTAGGGGCTTCTCGCCATCTCTCCGTCGGGGATGCTGGCACCATCATCCCTTGTTAACCTCCACGGCCAGGCTCTTCACGACACGATCATTTTAGTATGTATTAGCAACAGAAGTTAAGAATTCAATACGTAACAAATAACAAAAAGAAAGGAGATCAAAGTGCCATAATTTTCGTGTTATATATGTAGCTGTGGATATAGATCTCCCGCTTTGTAAGTGAACCTCGTAGTACTACTATAAAGGCACTTCTACTTCCCTGCTCACTTCACAGTCACTTTTATCCTCGATTGTGTCTGGGGGTGGGTTCAGAGTTACAGTAGAACGAAGAAACGTGTTTGTATTTGCATAAAAGCTGCCTTTAGTTATTGCACTTCAGAGTCTACTCACTTTCGGTTGCTCCGCGTCAGCGCGGACCAGTGAGGCTGATGTAGCACAAAATCTCGATCCCTAACTAAGCATCATCGATAACTCTATCTGAACACTCTGCCACAGGTGGCCCGAAACTGTGACGCGGTCTCACGTTGAGTAAGCTGAGACAAAAGCCTCAAATACCTCAAAGGCTGTCCTTCAGCTCGTTCCTTCGTTGCCCCTCCAGTCCCCGACCCTCTGCTAAAACCCTCTTCACCATGAAACTTTCCATCTGCCTTGTCGCGGTAGCCACCGCTGCCGCCGCCGCCGGCATCGAGATTCGCGACGCCGCCTCCATAAAGGCCGCCCTGGTCACCCTCCGGGCAGACATCGTCGCCCTCAACGCCGCCGCCGACAATTTCAACGGCGGGAGCTTCCAGCCCGTCGTCGACGCCTCCAGGAAGATGATCCGCGACATCAACGCCGGGATTGACGCCGCCAAAGCTTCTACTAAGCTCTCCGCCGGGGACGCCTTGGACCTCCTCCCCACCATCGGGAGCCTCCGCGCCCCGTCCCGGGCTCTTAGCCACACCGTCGCGGCCAAGGTCCCCGTCATGTCCCAGGCCGGAGGCTGCTCCATCGTCCGCGCCGAGTTCGACGGCATCGTCGCCGGTACCATGACACTTGTCTACGAAATCGAAGAGAAGTTTCCGAGAGAACTCATCATCGGCGAACCGGATGACTGGGTCCTACTTGTTGCCCCCATTGACGAGGTTCTGAGCCAGTATTGTTTTACCTAGTATTTATCCGTACGTAGCCTATGGGTTCTTTTTATATAATTTTTATGTTTTCCATACTTGTTTGAGTTCATCAGAGAATAGTTGAAAAGCTATAGTTAATACGGTTTCCAAGTCTAGTCGGTTTTGTGTAATAGTGAATACATAAAGAGAATGTCGTAAATGTAAACACGCACGTTTCTATAAGTAAAGAAAGCATATCCGTTCCAAGCATCGCATGCGCAAAAGAGAGACCCTCAGAAGCCAACACCAGGAATCACGGCCATGTAAATATTTACAGGGAAATGAAAAATAAGAAAAAAAAAAAGGTATAGTCCCAGAGTTCCGTGAAACATAGAAAAATAATCAAGATCGAAAGTAAAGACAGGTACATGGGTGCATGCCGGCTTCTCCGCATAAACTGACTCGTGGCACACTCGCAATCGACAATCAGGATCGGCTGGATGCGATGCTCGGCGGGCCCTGCGTCTTGCGCACCGAGAATCGAGGTATGATAGATGATGACTTATTCTTCTCGCTGTTCAAACTGCTCGCTCTCTGAGAGCTAACGACTGACAGCTCCTGCACCGTGTTCGTGTCTAGGAATGCCTGGGGAAAGATGCCCCATTTGCCTTTGGCATTTGTCCCTGACCAGCACCAGTGTTCAGGATAGACCCCTTCGTCCCATGTTAGCACGCATCCCTTCAATGCATCATTTTCGTCAAATTTAGGTATCCACTTACAGCTGATGTTGGTGATGATTTCATCCTTGTCAAACTTTAGCCACTCCGTCTTCTCCTTGTCCTTGTACGAAAACTTCCATCTCGCCTTGGCTCTGACGTGACTCGTCCCGTCCATTCTGATGTCGCGTGGCAGGGGAGGGTCCAACCTCAAGGCATCCAAAGGCACGGAAGCGTGCACACCGTCATACCACCCCATACACCACTCTCCGTTGTACTTGGCTGGCCATGTCAGACCGGTAACTCTGGAGCCCACCACAAGCTCAAGGGCAGCTGTGCGGTCTGCCAACAGTCTTTGGCCGTACATTCTGCGTGCAGGTTCTTTAGCAACACCCGTAGGCATCATGGCTGTTTCTTGCTCGTGTTCTAGTGCAGGGTGAGGCAGCGGTGGCTTCGTGAAGTGCAAGTCGTAATCGTTGTGGTACTGTTCTGGCATTTCTGCCTGGTCGACGACGACGATACCGGGGACCTCAGGTAGCGGTCTAGAATGACGTGCCAGATGGTTGAATAGCGACTTGACGTTGAAAAATACCGTAGCGTCGCTGGGGTCCATGGTGCGTCCTAAGCGGATGCAAAATACGCACCCGTATAACACGTCATCTGAACGTTTAGTATGTATGTGACTCTTTTGTAGGAATCGCAGGCGATATCCAACACCAGCGTGCCGCAAATTGCCACTGTTTTGTTTACCCAAGTCGTTTTCAATGTCTTGAAAAGACAGCTCAAAGACACATCCAATGCAGCGAGCCACCGTTGCTGTCCCTGTCAGGCCGACTGGCTTTCGTGTCTTCTTGACACCTAAGCCGCCGACCACAACCTCTTCCGCGCCGGCGCAGAATCCTTTACAGAGATAAAAGGACGAGTTGCTGCCAATGAAACAATCTTTCGAGGACATGGCTGGCACCGGCTCTGAGGGTCGACGGTCAGCCTCTACCACGATGAGACCGTCGTCCACATTTTGTGTAGGCATCACCGGTGGACGTTCGATTGACCCAGCAGATTCTCGCGAATGATCCGATATGCGCACATTATTCAAATACGGATCAAGGATACTCTCTGCAACGGATCCTGGTCTTGAGCCTTGTTGTGGAATGCCTCCGAATGTGTCACGGTGCGGGTCGTGCTCGTGGCCAACGGAGTCGGATTCTAGCGACACCTGATGGGCATGATGTGTCTGAATGGTCCTTGGAACCGACCGACCACCATGAGTGCCATGATTATATGTACCTTCCTCCGGGAAGGACTCGAGTCTTGTGTTGATATGTAGCGGGCTCGAACGCGGGCTGAGCGGCTGATAGCCATACTGCTGCTGATTTGTGAGGCGACGCCATTCTGCTTCGTCATAAGGATATGCATCGGAGCTCCCTGGTTGCGGTCCAGAAGATGAGCCTATGGGGCGGCGCGGGAGAGCAGGGCTAAGCCGATGCTGGCCAGGACTGACTGGCGATGACGTTGAACGCGGAAGATGCGGTGAGGCGGGCGCCATCGGTGGACGACGCGGCAGCCGTTCCCCTCCGATAGCGACTGCGATTTCATCGGTTGATTCGGCTACGGTTGTATCCCATGGGTTGGCGGAAGGCGGCCGAGGGGGCGGCGGCTGCTGAGGAGGCGGAGCCAGCTGAGAGGGGCTGACGACTGGCTCGTCTTCTGGAGCCAGCACACTACTGGGCTGTCTGTCGCGAAAGTTTTCGAGCTCCTCGTTGGCGTAGTAGACGCTTTGAAAAGTGCGGATCGGCGCGCCTGGTGGTGTGCTGGATGGCGCGTATGTCGCGCTTTGGACCGACGAACGAGGAGGTGTTGGTGGTATAGGAAAGTTTGGCGGGGGCATTGGCGAAGACGGTGGCGAAAATTCGTTGAGAAATGAATGTGGTAGGTTGTCTTTGGGTAAAGTTGCCTCGAGCTTCATGCTGATTAAAACTTCGTAGATTTTCAGGGCAACCTCTCGTGTGAGGCCCTGGAGCTCGGTATACTTGTCGGCTTCGAATTCGTCCTCCTCGACATATTCGTCGAAGCCGTATACTAGACGGCCAAGTTTCGCCCGAGGTTCTTTAATTTCTTCTAAACGAGATATTAGCGATCCTAATTTTCAAGATATAGGAGAGAGCGTTAGGTCTCGCGCACCGTTCTCTCGAAGAGCGTTGAGAAAGTTGTCTCCATATTCAGTGTGCCGTTTGGTGCACTGGGGTTCAATGAGCTTTACTGCCTTTTCGCCTTCTCTGAGAAGCTTCTTGGCCGCCTTGCGCATGACCTCATTTTCGCCAGAATTTTCCAAGGCCGTGTTCGCGTGCTCGACGACATCGCGAAAGGGTTTGAGGGCGAGCACGTCGACTTCGTCACCCATGATGGCGGTGGCAGCCGGAACGGGCTGCGCAGAGTGAGCTACCAACAAGTCACACAAGGGAGAACGTGCCACTTTTCTGAAAATTGTGAGATTGAACGCAGTTGTTTCTCAGAGTTCGCAGTGGATGAGGCTTCCTCAAGTGGTGTTGAGCAAATGTCGCGGGGTAGTAGGTTCCGGATATTACCTTACCTATCGCGTTCACTGCAAGTCTGAGACAGCGGCTGCACGACAATGGAGTGGGCTGGTGTAATGCGGAAGAAACAAGGGCGCTGAGCGTTGACTATGCAGGCTGACTTATGCAGGTCCTGGCGAAGCTTGAGCTTTACAAAGAGACACAGTCATGACAAGAAGAAGGACATGTGCGAGCTGGCAGTCTCGGCGGCACAGCCAGTATTTGGGGCGGCGAGGCAAACCTGGCACAGGCAGCGAGTTATGAGCAAGATGCAGGCATCTGCACCGGTGGGTGCCCGCCCCGGGCGACGCCTCGTGGGAACGCTAACGCAGCCGCAAGCCAAGAGCGCATCCCCGGACAACTTGGTTTAAGTGGTTTGAGGCCGACGGGCTGAAAAATGTCTGCATGCAAGAACTGCGGAGCAAGCGAGCCAGGGTGTGGCTCTTCCCGGGCGGAAACACAGAAACAGGGCGCCCACCATCACGCGCGGATCTATTGGTGGTGAATCGCTGACGGGCTGGTGCTGGCGTAGTGTGAGGCAGACCGAAGGAGGGGGGAGGGCACCCATCCCGCGGGTTTTGGGCTGTTGATAGCAAGCCACCCATTGTCAGTTTGGAGCCCATACGCTCAGAGCATGCACCTGATGTGGTGCGTATCCGACGCCATCTCTGGTTTATCTGAATCCCGAAGCCGTGACGTATATAGTGCTGCTGAGACAACGGATGATCGGAGTCGCGTGTGCTCGGGCGTCCGCCTCGCCAGCGAGAACAGACAGTGGCTCGCAGCTTTGCGCTAATAACCTAATCAACAGTGGATTGATCCGTCCGATGCTTCATTGTATGGGCCATTGGCTGTTGCACCTGTCCGTCTTGGTTAGAGGATGGATGGTGGTTCGCTTCGGCATTATGGACAGAAACGTGCCAGCAGGATCATTACGGATGTTCGCAGAATGACGCGTCGCCGTACGAGGGGAGGAAGACGGCAGAAGAGAAGGGAAAAAAACGGGGATTGAAGAAGAAAGTTGTGGTTCGGTATCTGAATGAATGCTAGTGACGGAAAGAGTAATCAAATGAATTGTCCAACCTGAAGCAAACTTGACCCTCGAAGCGTTTGCAACAATCAGACACGAGGAAGAAAGGCAAGACTCACAGCGAAAGTGTGGCGGGGCGAGGCGACGTTGGTGCATGGCTGGTGGGTTCGGGCCCGCTAGAACCGGTACCGACTTGCCCCTCCCGTTTTTCTCTCCGTCAACTTACAGCTTCACCCTTCACCACGTGCATCCTCATCTTGTGCCGCCTCACAATTTCTAGCGCTGGCATGGCCCCTCACGCATTCCGCTGAAGGTTGATAGACCTCGACTAGTACGGTCCATTGTTCATCTTCCCAGGGTCTTCTACGCGGGCCATTCTACTTCAACGTCGAGCAGTTCCCGAAACGAGATTAGCATCATGCGTGCTTGCCCCTGACGACTTGCAGAATGTGCAAGCCAGCCAGCCCATTATCCAGGCTTTCGTTACCAGGGGGGCGGGTTACTTCATCGATTCGATAGTGTTTTTGAGCATGCGACCCGAACCCTCGATCCCTGTACTCCGTACCTCTCCCCCCTATCCAGGCACCGCAGCCTCGTTGCTCTCCTCGCTCAAGTTGCAATGAGGCACCATGCATGCCTCATGCCTCATGCCTACAGCCCTTCCTCAAAGTCCGCGTCTAGTTCGTACGCCCACACGAAGTAAATTGTAATTTCGATTGATAATTTTCGTATCCGAGTTAATGCACTCATCTGCGAAAGCCAAGAAAGAACCGTGGCGTCAGGTTATATCCCATCGCACTTCTAGAACCATAGACCGCTTTCCTCGCCCCCAACCCGGCGCCTCATGCCCTGGGACTAGGTTGCGCGGCACTGGCTGGCTTGCCGTTTTTGGTGTCCTGTTTTGTTTGGTCAGTCCCTCTCGGGGTCCTTCCGAGGCCGCACCTTTCAACCTACCATCTGCGTAATGAACATGCGACCGACTTCAATAGTCTCTTGCATGCCGTGCTGCCGTTGCCAAAAGCTAGAGTCCACATTAGCCATGTCTCTATCCCATCCGCTCAGTCATGGTATTGACTCACGCTTCAGCTGGCGAAACCTTGCCGCGAATGGATGTAAGTCGCGCGTCTTCCTCGAGAGCAGCTCGTGTTATCTTCTCAGACATTTCAATACCAGGGGCGGCCGCTCTATCAGCAACATCTTGCCCTAGATGGTCTTGCAGCAGCTGGCGCTTCATTTGGAATCGCTCTTTGCGCTCCTTTTGCAATCCGGGGCTCTCCAGCTGATCCAAAACAGTGCGAACGATGATCTGCGCCAAAAAGTAAAAGTGCTCAACGAGCAAGATACTCAGTAGGAGCCCCCATGCCGTAACATTTGAGGCGCCGCCACGCTCGCCGTCTCTGGCTCTGCTGCACAAAAAGACGATTGCGGAGCTTGTAACGCTACCGAGCCACGACAAGACACCGAGAGTCTGAAGCCATGGGCCAATAGAATCAGCTCTCCAGGGAACGGGTCGGCGGCAGCTCGTGGTAATCTTGAGTGCATCAGACCGAAGCTCAACCCAATTGTTGACAAGAAAACAGATGGGCGCCAATGGCCAAGCGACGGAGAAGAGATTGAGGTAGCCTTTTTGCCGTTAGCTATGTGCGTCGTCCCAGGCTTCTTACTATTGCTTACCAAACTGCATCACCATCTCCCGATAGTCCTCTGTAACATCATAGACGTCCATTTCATATTCGTTGCGAACTCGCTTCATAAACTCGGTCTCTTCCGGGTTGTCCTGAACAGCCTCATCGCTTCGTTTAGCTTGAATCTCCTTGGCCTTCGCAAATGCTCTCTGCTTCAGGTAGGGAACCACTAGCTCGGTTGCAAGGTTGACGATTTGCGCCGTGACGGTGAAGTAGAACATTTGGGCTGAAATGCGCTGCGGGTTGATTTGGAATTCACGAGTGGCGAGCGGCGCCTTGCTGAAAGTGATTGCCTGCGCAGTGCGTCTCCAAAAGTCAAGCGCGGGAATGAGAACATGGCCAAATGGAAGGTAGACGAACGTGGTGAAGAGCAGAGGCATATAAGATGTCATGAAGTTGAGGACAAATTGCTTCTGAACCAGAGCCGCGTGGTATGCGTCGACAGTGGCATAGTTCTCGCGGTCCGTCAGGGCTTTGGCCGCGGACATCAGAATCGTAGAAATAATCGGTGTGCAGACGACGAGAATCACAGTCGGGACAAAGGTGAGGTACTGCTTTCCAGGACCGTTGTAGACTTCGTTGATAAAAATCTCCAGGGAAATTGCTGTGAGGGAGAGACTGCCGAGAGCAAGAACACATGCCAGTGCGAATGGCACCTGAAGAAGCTGAGTCTGAAGACGCTTCACGGGAGGGTAGACCCGGAGAGCTTCGCCAGTGACGGGGTCTTCCTTTTCGTATTCCCACTGAAATTCAGGGCGTGGATGCTGAATCTCGGAGACGCGTCGAACGCCCCATTGAACAGCAAGGTCAAGCTCCTTCTTCTTCCAGTACTCAAAGAAAATGACGGACCAGAGGCAGGTAGCAACAGCATAGATCATGGAGAATTGACCCAGACAAAGCCAAGCGCCGAAGCCAACTGCCGAGGGAATAGCCAGGAAGCGCAAATACGAGCGCAAAAATACAAAGTACATGGTGATATTCTCGCCAAACTTTTCGCGAATGCCATGTATCTCAGACTCTTGGAGAAGATAATTGCCGCTCCAGTTGGAAATCCAGGCCTTGTTGAATGCGCGGTTCTGGAGAGGGAAGATGGCGTCGACATACTTCCATTTTCCCGAGTTTTCCATAATCCCGGCGCCGCCCTCGTTCTCTGGCTTTATCATCATGAGGTATACGAGTCGGAGTCGCTCTGCCTCGGTCACCGGTTCGTTCTCGAGCGTCTTGGCCACATCGTGATCGGGGCTGGCGGACCGCACGCCGTGCAGCCAGTCCTGCAACCTGGACCTGTAAATCTGGTTCCGAAGGAGTTCGGAGGAGGCGATCTTGACGAAGACGAATAGCGATTCCTTGCTGGCGCATCGAACCTCGCTAGCGAGTCCGACAGTGGTGAGTGCCTTGATGAGCTCGACGTAGCCGGCTTCCGCTTCGGCTTTTTCTGCAAACAATTAGCCTGCGACATGGCCTTGTAAATGGTTCTCATCGTACCGTTTGCCGGGATTTTATAGTGTAAAACATAGTCGACGCTGGTTTTCAGGAGCAATAGTTAGCGCAAAGCAGGTAGGTGTGTACAGTGGCGAGGGGTGCTCGCGAGGGCACAATACCCGTAATTGTCATCGACACTACCGCCACTCTTGGGCGAATCCATTGCGGTCGTGGGTTTTTCCATCATGAACCATGTGTGGACATGAAGAAGTAAGGATGAGGGGGACAAGATAGTTATCTAGGGTCAAAGGTAAACATGACGTGGGCGAGGGAGATGCGGGCAAGGGGGCTGAAGCTGCGAACAGCTATGGTGGAGTCTGTCCCAGTCGCACGGATCTTGATGTGGAGGGATGCTGAGACTACAAGAGATGCAGCTGGTGTGCAGAATAACTGACTCGAACAGCGGCATATGATTTATGAATATATATGCATTACATTAGTATTGTTTTCTAGGAATTAAAAAAAAAAATCTAGCTTTGACTGATGGATGAGCAGCATCCAATGTCCAAGAGTGAACAGGCATCGGACAGTTGGAGAGGAGATTCAGCCACCATGACGCGGTGACCTAGCTGAGCAGGGAATTGGTGCTGGTGTGGGGCGCCATCCGAGCTGAGACGGGCGGCATTCCAGCGCATCAAGGTATGGTAACTTATGGGTGGGATGAGTTCCTAGTGATCTGCCTCCGTACCGAGTACTTAGGTGCTGCATGATTGGGAGGAACAAGAAATCGTCACAAAGGACAAACAATGAAATGGGTCGTCTCGGATCCGAGGACAAGGCTGGTCTGGCTGTTCCAATCGTGCAAGTTGGAGTGGCGGTGCAACAGCGATTGGCGACCATGGAAGCTACTGACCAACGAGTGCGCCACACCTGCTCGGGCGCTCGGCGTATTCGCCCGGCCACGCTGTGGCTTACTTTTTACCTCGGTGTCGGCAGCCGCTAAAGGCTTCCGAACGAAAGATAGAAGGGTAGACAGCAGGGTAATTGTCATGCAGTTGTGTCACAGATAACTTAGGTAAACTCATGACGAGTCGCTCCATGGCCCCGATGATCAACTCGCCCAAAAAAGCAGCTGGCGTGGTCTGCGACGAGCCTGCTGGAGCACCCCCCTCTTAGAGGGACCAATGACTAGAAGTGACTAGGGGCCCATGTCTTGCTGGATGCTGGTACCTATCTGGAGTGCTGTGTCCATTCTCGTTGCGCGAGGCCTTGGACCTTTTCATGATTTGCAGCAGATTCTTTTGGAGAAAAGAATCCGGGGCCAGCAGCATCGCAGCAGGCCTACGATATAGTCGCTTCTTGGCATACCGTTACACGATCGGTATTACCCGCCACCCCCCCCCCCCCTTCTGGGATAAGTTGCTGGCAATCCCCGCTTCTCCATTGCCGCCTTGCCCTGTGGCCCCCAACAGGGGTAACACGAGAGCCTCTTTATTACTAAATAGTTTTAGATGTGCAAAGTAGAGACGGCTTTTGACTTCTCCGTCACTGGTGTTACGAAATCTGGTTTGCAAAAAGTTAATTCCGTGCTGCTGACGCTCGAGCAGCAATGTATCTATCATGTTACTCTACATGATTGAGATCACGTTTCTGCCTAAGTTGTCACATCACCTTATTACCCAGGAGATACAGGAATACATGTAAAGACAGGCTCGGTATTTGAGGTATTTGACCAGCCAGCTAGGTTCTGGGGTGACATCAATTCTCGATGGTTTAGGAAGGAGCCCTAAACAGTACCACATGGTATAGTATGACCGGCCAATGATAGCCCACCCCATAATACGCAAGGCAAACTTTAGGGTCAAAAAGTTCCTTGAGATAAAAAGAACGGAAACATGATTAAAATGATATTCAGAACTACCGGCTCGGGTCACTCTTTTGCCACGCCAAGTCAGCGACCAGCCGGTTGTAATCCTACCTTCCGCTCTGATGCGAAATGCGACTGAGGCTATCCTATCAACTCTCCCAACTCTCCCATTAATAACTCCAACAGGTCAACTAGCCATTCTGACTCGAGCAACGATGATATATAACCCGCTCATTGCATCCATCCCATCCCAAGTCCGGCCTTTGCCACCGCCCGACCCGCGGCTTTCGTCGAAACAGGGAAGAGCCCATCTATTTGGTTCCTCAGATGCCAAGGCTGGTATCGAGCCCGCCGCCTTTTACGCGGGGAACTAAAAAATGGACCGTTCGTGCCGGTAACCGTGTTCCTGTCACCTTCTCGAAAGAGATGGTACAATGGTCGGTGCCTTGCTCGTATTGGCTCACCCATGATCTTCATCCACCCCATGCTACACCCCACATTACCGAGCTCCTCGGATACATAAACGGCATGTCCCAGTTGTCATTATAATTGTTAATAGAAGCGGGTCAGTTGATGATCCTATTAGTAGGTTCATCAAGCTCAGCCGACTATAAAGCCCGTAGCCCGTGCCTCCATCCTGTTTGAAGTCTCATCCAGAACATCGTCATCCTCACCAATACCCCTTCGACAGCCGTGACAATGCACGCTTCTCTTCTGCCTCTCTTTGCCGCTCTGGCGGCCGCGTCTCCGTCTAACCTTCAGATGGCCCTGAAGCAGGCGCTCCAGACGATCCCCCAGGGCTGGGAAGTCCACTCTGATGCGCCCGCCGACCAGAAGATCGACCTGCACATCGGTATCAAGGAGCAGAACCTGGACGAACTCCAGAAGCGCGTCCTGGAAATGAGCACTCCCGGTCACGCCGATTACGGCAAGCACATGACCAAGGACGAGGTTGAAGCCTTAACCTCCCCTACCAAGGAGACCCTGCAGTCCGTTACCTCGTGGCTTTCGTCCCACGGCATCGAGGCCGGCTCCGTCACCAACGGCCTGATGCCCATCACCGTTACCGTCTCCAAGGCTGAGCAGATGCTCGGCACCAAGTACAAGGTCTACCACCACGCTGCCGACGACAAGTACACCATCCGTACTACTCAGTACAGCCTCCCCCAGGCCGTGCACTCCGAGGTCACCATGATCCAGCCTACCACCATGTTCAGCGACATGGGCATGATCAACCGTCAGGTCACCGCTTCCACAAGCGCCGCCAAGGCCACCAAGCGATCCAAGGCCAAGAGGTCTGGGTGCGATGGCAGCAGCGTCACCCCGGCCTGCCTCCGTGACCTGTACGATATCAACTACACCCCTAGCAGCAGCAAGTCACTTCTCGGTGTCTGCGGCTACCTTGAGGAAGTGGCCAGCCAGTCCGACCTGAGCACTTTCCTTAAGAAGAACAGCATCACCAACGCCGGCAAGCTGTCGATTGAGCTGGTCAACAATGGGTCCAACAGTGGCTCCGGCACCACCGAGGCCGACCTTGATATTGAGTAAGTGAATTAAACCCTCCTATACCAACAGCTATGCCGTCTGCTAACAGCGCCAAAAGGTACACTGTCGGCCTGAGCGCTGGCATCAACAACGTCTTCTACTCCACCGGCGGCCGCCCTCCCTGGAACCCGGACTCTGGCAGCGACCCCAACAAGAACACCAACGAGCCCTACCTGGACTGGCTCAACTACATGCTTAACAAGACGGACATTCCCCAGACCATCTCTTCTTCCTACGGTGATGATGAGCAGACTGTCCCCAAGGACTACGCTGACAATGTCTGCAACCTGTTCATGAAGCTGGGTGCTCGCGGTGTCAGCTTCCTGTGCAGCTCCGGTGACGGTGGTGTCTCCGGCGGTCAGCCTACCAACTGCCAGGCCAACGACGGCTCCGGTGCCACCAAGTTCCTACCCACATGTAAGTCAATTCTGCTATACGCCGGAGAGATCTATCATCTAACAACTTTTCCTCCCAACCAGTCCCTGCCAGCTGCCCCTGGGTCACCGCCGTCGGTGGAACCACCGGCACGCCCGAGAGCGCCGCTGACCTCTCCTCGGGCGGCTTCTCCGAGTACTACGCCGCCCCTGACTACCAGTCGTCTGCTACCTCTGGCTATGTTTCCAGCATCGGTGACCAGTACTCTGGCATGTACAACCCCAAGGGCCGTGGTATCCCGGACGTTTCCGCCCAGGCTCTCAACTTCCAGACTGTCATCGCCGGCCGTAACTCGCTCACCAGCGGCACCAGCGCATCTTGCCCGACCTTTGCCGCCATTATCTCTCTGCTGAACGACTACCGCCTGTCTCAGGGTCAGTCTCCCCTGGGTTTCCTCAACCCCTGGCTGTACAGCAATGCTACTTCTGGCCTCAACGACATTACCTCAGGTAGCAACCCTGGCTGCCAAACTCAGGGCTTCTCTGCTTCCACCGGCTGGGACCCCGTCACTGGTCTTGGTACTCCCGACCTGGGCAAGCTGCTCAAGCTTGTCTAAGACCAGCAGTCTTTTCTAAGGTGGCTATCTGCTCCATGTTGCTAGGTGCCATTGATAGAATAGCGCAGTGGTATAACTGCAGTACATAGTTCGCGAAATTGTAAAGTTTTTTTTATACATGACGAGTCACAAAACGTATAAACAAGAATCTTTGAGATAGATTTCAATCCTCAACTACACTGACTAATTACTAAGGCGATTTTAGCCAGCTTGCTAACAAGTAAATTGAGTGCTGGCTGGTCTTCTGTACATGCAGGGAGCTGACAACGTGGGCAACGCCACTGGATGAGCATCTCCGATCTATTTACAGGGCACCCCACGCTATCAGCCGTTGCTAGAAAAGATACATCAGCTTGCATGGTTTTAAAAAGCAAACAGATGTACCCTTCTCAACAGCTTCCTTCCCCGACCAGTTCAGCAAACACTGCGATCACCGACATCGCTTTCTCAGCTTTCATTCCGTTTGCGCAACCCCTTTGTCCCATTCCTTTCATCTACGCTCACTCAGTCTTCTCCAAAGCCAGCAGGAGATCCGCAAGATGAGGCTGCTCGTGTCCCTCGGCCTGCGGCGTGCCTCGCAGTGGCAGCGCCTCACCCTGCTCGACCACCTCCTCCTCTCCCCGCTGACATTCATCACCATCCAGCTCTACCACCTCCTCGTCTGGCTGCGCGGGCGGCCCTTTCGCCCGCCGCGCGGAAAAGCGCCTGTCCGCGTCGTCTGCATCTCGGACACGCACGACCTCACCGTCCACGTGCCCGACGGCGACATCCTCGTCCACGCCGGCGACCTCACCAACGACGGCACCGCCGCCGACGTCCAGAAGCAGCTCGACTGGCTCCGCGGCTTCGCCCACCCGGTCAAGATTGTCGTCGCGGGCAACCACGATAGCTACTTCGACCCCCGCTCGCGCCGCCAGGAGGACGTCCGCGCCAAGGCCAAGGTCCAGCTTGGCGACATTTTATTCCTGCAGGGCGACATGACGGTGCAAGAGGTCAATGGCCGGAAAATAAGCATCTTTGGAGCTGGCGATGTGCCCGAGTGTGGCCCAACAGAGTTTGCGTATGCCAGAGCCAACTGACTTAACTGCAATCATGTCCTCTCATGCTAACTCAAGCAGCTTCCAATACACCCCTGTCACACAACCATGGTACAATCGAATACCACCCCAGACAGACATTCTCGTCACTCACACCCCGCCTGTATGTTCCCTCTAAGCAATCCTGCCCATTCCAGATCATTCTCTCAATCTCTCTAGAAACATCACCTGGACCTCGACCTGGGATGTCCACATCTACTCCGTGAAGTATGGCGTGTCAAACCTCGTCTACACATCTTCGGCCACTGCCATTGGGCGTACGGACAAGAGGCCATCTACTTTGACGAAATGCAGGCCGCATACGAGACGCTCCTCTCCCGCCCTCGCCGCGGTCCCATCCTAGATTTCATCCCCAACAGATCCTGGATCTACATGTGGAAAGTCGTCTACTACGGCGTGCAGGGCGTGGCATGGAAGTGGCTCATGGGCGGCCCCAGAAGCAATCAGGGGAGCATCATGGTCAACGCCGCCCAAATGGTCGGCGACACCGGCCGCATCAAGTCGCGCGCCGTTGTGGTGGACATTTAACGCACACGAATATACATGTTGAAATTTACAATGCTAGCTATTTCCCTTAGAAGCCTACTGCAATCAGAAGCTGGCCCGAATAATACAGTACCCAAACAGCATGCTGCATCCATGGCCGGTGGCCCGACTCCCGCGCTACCACAAACTCCTCGGTCGCCAGTATCGAGTCCGACAGCGCAAAGAGCACGCCACCAAGCACTACAGTCGAATTGGGCACCGTCAGCACCGCCAGCACCATGACCAGGATGGTCGCCGTGTAGACGAGGATCGGCGCCCGCAGCGCGCCGGCCACCCGGGGCATCAGCACGGCCGCCATACCCGGCGCCAGCAGCGCCATGCCGCCCGCCATCGCCTGCCGCCAGGCGTCCCGCGATATCTGCGCGCGGCCGGCGCTCGCGCCGCCCGCGAAGACGGCTACGTAGAACAGGTGCGCGACCAGGAAGCTACCAAGGCCGCAGAGGAAGTTGGCCTCGCCGGGCCACGCGAGGAAGGCGTCGCCGAGCGAGCCGAGGGCCAGGGCGGGCACAAGCAGCGCCGGCGACGCGCGACCGGAGGTGGCGCGCTGGGCGGCGAAGCACGCGAGCAGCAAGGTCGACAGAGCCTTGTAGGCCATGCGCATCCGGCTCGGCGCGGTGCGGACGTGCGCGAGGTACAGCACGGACGAGGCGACCGAGGCGGCGAGCACGGCCGTCTCGGCGGGGTCACCATCCTGTAGGAATTTCCAGTCCATTGCGTGAGGTTGGTGATTGATGGCGGAGCGGTGGATGCTAGGTTCCGGTCAGCCTCGGGTCCGAGATGCGCGCCGTTGGGTGTGGGAGGGTGCTTGGGCGGCCGGGCGCTGATACCTACAAGCGGGGTCGAAAAGTGCAGCCCAATTGGAGGTCTATCTTCTGGATCGAACGAATTTAGGAATGTTCTAGGTTGGATTGACTTGGGATGACAGCTGTATATTTAGAAGCGGGCGCCGGGCCACCTTTACCGCTCCGCACATGCCGAGGCTGAAGCTCCAAAGTGGCTCCTCGGTCCAGGTGGAGGTGAAGTTGATTAAACCTCGAGATGGCGCATGTGGGAGGAAAATTATGTAGCCTCCTGATCATCACTGTAACGTAACAAGGTTCTATAGAGGCGAGGATTCATGATAATATTTTTAAGCTTGGTTTTTTTTTTTTTTCATTTATTCAAATTAAAAATATAACCGCAAGTGCGGTGCTAAAAAAAAAAGATCCCTGTGGGCGTTCTACTCGAATTAATAAAAAGAAATATTCAAAAAGAAACGAAAATCGCTAATGCTGTTCGGGTCTCGAGACGCTCTCTGAGAGGGGTATTTCAATCTGCTTGTCTCCTCCCAATTGTCATAAATAAAAGTCAAAAAAAGATTTGCGTTGCTCATTTCGTCAGGCCCTACAGGAGAAGAACCATGGCCAGCACGGTGGTGAAGAGCAGCGACGTCACCTTGAAGCCCGAGGCGCCGGCGACGACGATGGGAGGGCTCGAGGGCGGTCCGGAAGGCGACTTGCCGCCGCTGGGGGCCGGGGGGACGCTGGCGCCAGATTTCCAAGGCTCGTCGCCCTTGTGTGCGGGAGGAGGAGGAGTATTGCCGCTGGGCGCAGGAGCAGCAGGCGTCACCTTGTTGCTGGGCTTGGGCGGCTCATACTTGCCAGGCGCAGGGGGCGCCGGCTTGTGGGTGATCGCCGGAGGCTCGCCGCCGGCAGAGGCGTGAGGAGGAGGGGGGGCAATTGCGCCCGAGGCCGGTGGCGTCGGGGTGGCGGCAAGGGAGACGGAGCAAGGTACCGTGATGGTCACCGTGCTCTCGCCGTTGCGGCCGCACGCGGAGCAGGAGACGACCTTGGTCGACATGGGCACCGTCATGACCGGCACCGGGGTCTCTGTGCAGCCGCAGTGCGCCCTCACAATGGTCGTCACGAACACCTCGGTGACGATCCTGGACGGGTTCGACGGGTAGACGGTCTCGTAGCTGACGGTGGTCACGACGGTGGTGGTGGTGCTCCTGCCGGCGGGTGTCGGCGCCGGGGTCGCGGCGGCGACGTCGCTGGCGCTGGGGAGCTTGGCCTGCGGTACGGGCGGCGGCGCGTGGGGCTCGGTGTTGCCCATGCCGGGTGGCTGCTTCGGCGGCTCCTCCTTGGCTACCGCCGCGTACACGGTGAGCAGGAAGTCCGCGGCCTCGCGGCCGTGTATGCTGCCGGGATGGAGGCCCAACAGCCCGTCCGGGCGTCCGCGGGCGGCGAGCAGGCGACGGCCGACCAGGGTGGTCGAGTTGGGGAACAACATCGCGGGAGCAGGACCGCTGGGAACGGCAGCGGGACCTTTCGGCACGGCAGCGGAAGCACCGGGAACGGCAGCCGCGATCCTGGGGCTGCTGGGGGTGGGCTCGGTTGCGTTCTTCATGGGGATGGGGTAGACGGAAATGGTCACCACGGGACCGTCGGCAGTCCCGATCCTAGGGCTGCTAGGAGTGGGCTCGGTTACGTTCTTCATGGAGATGGGGTAGACGGGAATGGTCACCACGGGACCGTCGGCGACGGTGCTGGCAGCAATCCCGGTGCCGCTGGGCGACACGAGAGTCGAGATCCGGGGGATGGTGGAGTTGAGCCTGGCCGCGACAATATCGGCGGGAGCGGAAGATGACTTGGACTGCAGAGCGCGATGAAAGCCGGAGGGGCCGGAGGCGGAGAGCCTCCCGAAGCTAGTCACGTTGAACTTGGCCGCACTGCTGATCGTGGGGGAGGCAGCAGCAGCTGCGCCGGTGCCGCTAGCGACGGCCGATTCAGAAGCAAAGTTGCCGGAGCTACCAGAGAGGATCTCGGGGGCTGTCGGGTTGACAAAGCTCGGACCGGACGTGTCGTTGCCGACTCGAACTGGGCTGCCGGGACCCGTGGGGGTAGGCTGTCCAGAGCCGCTTGGCTTGAACGTGTAACCACCAACCGAGCCATCAGCAGCACTACCACCGTCCGTCCGCAGCGGCACGGCGCCACCGGAGACGACGCTCGAGGTGCTCTCCGGCAGAGTGACGTTGGCCGTGGCGGCGATGGGACCGGAGGCGATTGGACCGAAGGCGGGGAGTCCGCTGCCGCCGTGGTTGCGGCGCCCGAGGCGGCCGCCACAGAACTGGCTGTCGTCGCCGGGACACTCCGTGTCGCAGGCGTCGGCGCTGACGCGCGTGTCCGGGTCGAGCTCCGAGGCGCAGTAGCAGGTGGTGTCGAAGACGCCGGCGTACTTCTTGCCGCGGCACAGGCCCGTGCACTTGCCAAGATCCATGTCGGCGCTGTCGGCGACCTTGGTGAAGGAGGCGAAGCCGCTGCTGGAGCCGAAGCAGCCGAGGTAGGAGAAGTCGTCGATGTTGGCCGGGTTGGCGTGCGCATTGGCGCTGGGCGCGGGTCGCGGGAGCAGCGACCCAGTCGGGATGGGGCCGGCGGCGGCGGTCGGGGTGTTCTCGGGCAACTTGTTCTCGGCGGTGGCAGAGAGGAACGGCGAGGAGGAGGAGACAGAGCTGGTGGCATTGCCTCTCGTGGAGTTGCGGGCGGGGAAGTGCGTATAGATGCCGTTGGCAGGTCCGGGCACGCTGGTAAAGGAAGGGAGCGAGGCTTTGCTCGTCTTGCTGCTGGGGCCAGACGGAGTCTTCTCGCTCGGCGTCGCCGTACCGTTGCTCGCCGCACCCAGGACGTAGGCGTCAATGTAATTGACGTCCCAGTAGGCGTGGGCGAACGCGGCCGGGTTCTGTCCCACCCACTCGGCGCAGGTCGGCGCCAGCGCGGTGCACCCATCGCTCGCCCAGACCGCGTTGCCGTAGTCGCCGCAAAAGTTGACGTTGAGCACGATGCTCATGTCGCGAAACTTGGCGCTGACGTCGCACGAGTCGCCGCCATAGACTGCCTGCGGGCGGGGCCAGCCCTCCGGGTCGGGCTGCTTGGCCGCGATGTCGGCCGGAGCGGAGGCCCGGTCAAAGTGCCAGATCTTGATGTAGTCGTCGTCCCAGAGCATGGCATAGATGCCGCCGCCGACGGCGTTGAAGGTGTCGCCGTAGGAGGAGGTGTCGTTGGCGGCCGGCACGTAGCCGCAGCCAATGTTTTGGTTGCCGACGTCGCAGTCGGTCGTCTGCGCGGTGCCCGCGGCCATGGCGAGCACGTCGGGACCGAGCTTACACCCGGGCGTCGTGTGCGCCGAGATGATGTTGCGGTGCGCCGTGTTGGCGCCCTCAATGATGTCAATCTCACCCCCGGCGGGCCAGTTGGGTCCGTACGCCCAGACTGCAGTTGTGTTAGTCGACGGGTCATCTTCTCTTATTGTTAATGTTCGGAACTTACAAGCTGGCCATACGCCGCATTGCGACGGAGGCATGTGGAGAAAGTCCCCGATAAAGAGTCCATGGTTGTAGGCAAGCTTGCTCTCGATGCGGATGCTCGGGCGGCCCGAGGAGACTGCGTAGGTGTTCGTGTCGTCGACGCCGAGGCGAACAACGCCGGTCAGCTCATCGACGGCGAAGAGGCCCTCGCTAGCGGCGTTGGTCTGACTCTGGTACTTGACGTAGCCATTCGAAGGATCACGCGTGTCCACCCAGTTGAAGCCGTTGATGAGGGCGTCCCCGGCGTACGAGGTGACCAGCGAGTAAGCCATGCTGGGCAGGTTGTGAGAGGGGATGACCAGTGCAGAGCACAAAAGAGTTCCTTCCTTCTTGGAGATCAAGAAAAAGAGCCCCTCAAAGTCTCCAGCGTGGTAAGCAGGGCGGTAATTTCGTGATGAGAGAAAAAAAAGTGTGTGAAGAAGTAGAACAGATTTCGTGATTGTCGGGACAACGACACGAATATATACGCAACGCCAAATGGACTATAGCCAAGTGAGAGGCTGGTCAGGGGTCCCAGCATCTTACTGGAATGAGCCCATTTACCAGCTGAGGCTGTTGCCCATTCTCGCCGGACGCGTCGCAAGACTCAAGGGTTCGAAAAGCCCCCATAGACGTGGAGGGCTAGGGAGCATTCCAGCGCGAGGCGATTGCGAGTGTGCCTGCGCGCGAGGCTTCTTCTGGACAATGGGCCTAAGGGTCGTATCCGCCAAGGAACAATGAACATAGGATCCTTTCCCTACTATAGCCTGAGACACATGTCTCATCCGGAAGGGGGAATACTGAATTCCTAGGTCTCCCGCTCGTCGCCGCCCTTGAAGCTAGGGATGACGTGGGGGTTGGTGACTGGTTTGTGGACTCATCTCTTCAACCTTGTGGGCATTGAACCATCCGAATCCGGTCAGTTGAAGAAAATTTCCAAGACATTCTGAGTCGGGCCGGCCCAACGGTTGTGGGCGGGTGGCCGGCCCCTCTCATGCCCGTGCCTGGCCGGGAAGCCATCGCCAACATTCCAGACGCGGGCCGCTTGATTCCTCAACCGGAGCGCCTGATTGGCTCACGACCTTCTTTCTGCATGCCTCAGCCAGGTTGAACCAGTCCCTTGGCTCCGTAACATTATGCGCTAATTCTTTTTCGTATTGTACATGCTAGGGTATAGGAGCTCGAAAAACGCCGCGAGACATGCATCCGCCCGCATCGAGAAGAAGAAACCGCCTGAGGTAATGTACATTGTCTATTCCCGTTCCCGACTTGGTCAAAGATCCGAATTTGAATTTTTCGATATGTCCGGCGCAGGTACCAATGCAGCATGAGCTATTAATATTAGCTCGGGTCTTGTTCCTCTTTTGTTCGTCTGGCCCACGTGCTGTGTGTTGGTTCCTGATCCGGTCATCCCTCTAGCTTTTCAATATTCTGAACCACTTGAATGCTTTTTTGTCAATATTCCGCTATTATTTCAGACCATGATCCGCCGCAGACCCTCTGTGCCGCCGAGGACTCGCCTGCCAGTGACAGCGCAGCGACCCTGTCCGCTCTCCCACTGGCTGTCTTTGCCCTCCATGAAGGCCTCCTGCTTGGGGTGCAAGCCCTCGATCCACCTGTGAATGCACGTATAGCAGTAGACGACGCCGGTCTGGCAGGCCGTCGGGGTGACAATGTCCTCGAGGCAGATGGGACAGCACGACGAGTCTTGCGGGAACGCGACGACGTGGATCGGTAACCGCGAGATCTTGGCGACGGGCGCGTCCTTGGCTGTAATTTCCGTCTCCGCCTCATCGTCCACCTGCTGTTGTTTCTCGTCTGATGTCGCCGGATCGGGCTTCTTCTTGAGGTGCTTCGCAAGAAGGCCGGAAATTATGGGCGGGGGCAGCTCAATATTCTCTGTGGCCTTGCGCGAGAGCTGCTTGGCAAAGTCGGACTGGTACCACCACTCGAGGAACTTGAGCGCGAAGATGCTCATGGGCAGCGCGACAGACAGACTTGAGAGTGCCGTAGCGCCAAGGTTTCGGGGCGAGAAGAAGGACTGGCCCCCAGGGCGGCCGTCGGCCTTGGACTTGGCCGACAGGGCGTCGATGGCCTGGTAGTCGGCGGCGGTCATGCGGCGGAGGCGGGTGCCGATGAGCCATATGAGCGGGCTGTGGTACTTTGTGCGGTCAAAGAGGTACCCCAGGTTGAACGCCAGGACGGCGAAGTAGTACGCGGCGTTGACCGAGGGGTATATGTTGGTCAGGAACCATCTGTAGTAGTGGACGAAGCGGTCGCGCAGGGTCGGGTTCTCTGGCATGCGCGTGTACGCGGCGCCGAGCAGGGCGCGGGGTGCGTTGACCTCGTGCGCCTCGTCGAGCTTGCGGCGCAGGTACGGCACGCCGACGAGCACGGCAAGGTTGGTCCAGACGTCGCGGGTGGAAAGGCGGAGGGCGTCGCGGACGACGTGCGGCGCGGCGAGGCCGGCGCGGGGCAGCTCGGCGCGCAGGGCCCGCTCGCGCTTAAGCCCGTAAAAGTGCTCGGTGAAGGAGCCGCCGCGGGTGCGGAGGTAGTGGCGCTCGACGAGCAGCATGAGCAGCGCGTAGAGCTCATCGAACGAGTTGAGCACGCGCAGCAGGTACCGCGGGTGCCGGTGCGTCGCGACGGTCAGCAGGTAGCGCAGCGTGGGCGGCAGCAGCCCGCTGAGCTGCTGCTCGGAGAGCACTTCGAATAGCGACGGCTTGTGGTCGTCAAAGGTGCTCCGGAGGGCGGTGACGAACTCCATGGCGGCGGTTTGTGGTGGTGGATGTGGTGGGCGTTTGCTGGGTCGGAGCCGGCCGAGAACGGGGGTGCTCGGAAGCCTCTATACGATGCGGGAGAGGGCGAGTTCGTGAGGATTTTTATAGATTCGGTAACTAGGTCGTCGATTTGCTTCAAGGCATGGCGGTAGAGAAAGCTCCGTGATGGTGGTCATGCACTGATGATGGAGCTGATGAAAAAGCGCTGGAAAGTTGCTGCGCGGATGGGGTCCCCATGTGCAGAGTACCTCGGCAGCCAGTAAAGTGCTAGGCCGAAGCAAGAGCAGCTTACCCTAGAGGCCGCATCCGGCAACGCCCCGGGATACTCGAAGTGAGAGCTGCTGTCGCGGTGTACGTATTTAAGGTGGCATTGGCTGGTTTAAAGTATCGGTGTATATAAAGCGTTTGAAATTTTAAACGTGTCTTGTTGCACCCATCTACCTTTGAAGCAGAGCGAGCGGCGTTGGCTTGTACCTGGGGTTAAGTTCTTCCTCTGTATCCAGGCTGCTGTGTCCACTAAAACCCCGGCGGCAGGGGTTCTCCCCGCAAATTCAGCGCTCGCTTCCGCCTGTAGCCCCGTGGAGGCGCGGCGGAAACTCCGTGTCCCGAGGTCAAGAGAGATCGTCCCGCCTCAACGCGCCGTCTGACATTTACTCTTAAACCTGCATCACACACGCATTCTCCCAAATCACCTAGATTGTGGTATATTGTTTACTCTCTGGAGCGTCGTCAATTCTGTTGAATCTCAATCTCAATCCCTTAGCGATATATTTTCATCCCACGCAAGGCCAGCCTCGGCTATCGGCGTATCCGGCTACATACCACCGCCATAACCCCTCCATATTACCATCCAGCCAACACCCTTTATCTCATAACTTAGCGGCCAAGCAAGAAAAGCATTCAAGATGGAAGTCACCGGCACGCCCGAGGAACGTATTCAAATGTTCCTTGACTTTGCCTCCAAGAGCGACACAGTAAGATGCTCACAGTAACCAAGTTCCAATCCTCCCACATCAGAGTAACTGACCCCCCCCTCCCCAAGAACTGGCAGAGCCGCATCTCGCCGTACGTCAAACTCCTCTCCGTGCGCGCCTCCGGGCCGCACCCCTCCGTCACCTTCTCCTTCATTGTGGATGAGTGCCACAACAACGCGAGCGGCAACATGCACGGCGGCGCCGTCGCCACGCTCTTCGACTGGGCCACCTCGATGCCCCTTGCCCTCGTCTGCCGCCCGGGCCACTGGAGCTACATGGGCGTCAGCCGCAACCTCGACGTCTCCTACCTGCGGCCCGCGCCCGTCGGCACCGAGTGCCTGCTCGAGGCCGAGATCGTCTCCGTCGGCCGCTCCATGGCCATGCTGCGCGGCACGCTCCGCCGGAAGGCCGACGGCGCCATCCTGGCGACCTGCAGCCACGACAAGGTCAACACCGATCCGCCGGTCTCCAAGATGTGAGGGACGGAAAGAAAAGAAAGGCCCCGTCGGTATGGATTGTTACGCTGGCTCGGCTGTTTGATTAAATTTGGCGTTTCATAGATGTATACACTTGACCTCTAAATAGCACCTCCGTATTACCAATTACTAATACAACGCTACTTGTACATGAGTCCTGCTCATTCTGCATTACACCCAACTTGAATTGGCTCTGCCATTAATTCTCACCCTCCCCAGGAGGCACAATCGTAACGATGTCCATATTCGCCTCGAGCAACAGTGCGGGCAGCTCGCCTTGAAGCGCTTCATTGTCAATGCCCTCCTCCTCCTCATCCATCTCGTCGTCTTCATCGTCGTCATCACCGCCCGCCTCGTAGTCCATCTCGCCCTCAAAGTCTGAGCCGTAGCCCAGCAGGCCGCTGTACACTAGGAGGTCCGGCGGCAGCGCCGCGGCCGTGGCGTACGGCTCCAGCGAGTCGCTCACCTTCCAGAGCGCTGTTGGGCCCACAGGCCCGTGGGCGTCGTAGTCGCTGTCGAACCAAAAGCCCACGACGCCGCGCGCCGACCTCACGCCGCCGACCTGGATCGCCTCGCTCTTCCATCGTTCCTCGCCGTTGAAGATGGAGTAAGAAGTCCAGCGGACCTCGCCCTCCCTGGTCAACCGCACAGTACCTGCGACTACAGCGTCAGTCAACCACAGTGTATGTGTGTGTGTTTGTGTGTGTGTGTGTGTTCTTGGCAGATGGAAAGGGCGGTTTGGGCGCTCGGCCATGCGGGCATCACGTACCTTTTAGTATGGAAGACGGGCTGGGATCAAAGTCCTCCTCCAGCATCCTCGAGAGGCCGGTAAAATGCACGACCGGGAGTTCCTGCCCGTCTTCTGGGCCGGGATCCTCAATCTTGGTAACGTGTAGCTTCAAGACGATGAGTCGTGTGGCCTCGCCGACGTTGATTCCCGGACGCGGCTGGCCGGCGGGCATCTGGTCGCCCGGGGGGAAGTTGAACCCGAAAAAGTCGTTATAGTCGAGAAAGCACACCACCTGCAAAACATATTCGTTAGCGTAGTTTCCCTTGATGTCCCTCTCCAGGACCTAATGCCAAGTTTGAGGAGGGTCCGACAAAACATACCCGGTACCAAGTGCCAGTAATACCGTAGGGATCCGCGAGTTTGAGCGCCGACGGCGGAGAGGCTGACGGCGACGCATGCGGATCGGGCAGGAAACTGCCTGCCCAGGACCCCGAAAAGGGCGTGGCCCATATGTCGCTGAAGAGCGAGACGGTGATACGCTTGCAGCGCGCGTTGTACCCGAGCACGACCATGACGGCCTCGACCTTTTCCCAGTCGACGCGCATGGAGCCGTCGGGGCGGAAGGGCCCCCAGCGCGTGGCCGCCGTGTGGCCGCGCATGTCGTAGACGGCCGAGCAGGCGTACGGGTACGTGCCCAGGCCATCGGCGCTGGTTGTCTGGATGGCCTTGCCGTAGAGGCAGTGCAGGTGGGCGCTGCGCTGACGCGTCTCCGTGTCGGCGACGGTGGTGGTGGTAGTTGTGACGCCGGCGGCGGCATCGGTGGGGTTGGTGACGACCTGACGGTATACGGAGTGTACGTGTTCGAACAAGAAGGAGCGCTCGAGAAAGGCAGCGGCCGTCGAAGGTTCCTGCTCCACGAGCTTCCGCAGGAGTTCGGCGTTGCGCGAGGCGCTGTGCGTGTTGGAGTTGACGTTGGTGTGCCCGAGCGAAGAGGCGCGCCGCAGCAGCTGCGTCATGGTTTGGTGAACAAACGGCAGCTCCGGCTCCTGCGCGGAAGAGGCAGAAGACGCCCCGGGTTAGCGAGAAGAGTGCGCCAAGTTACGGTCAAGCATATCCTACCTTGCCTGCCGTCGTCTCGCGAGCACATATCAGCTGGAGGCGTACAACATCACGCAAGGCTTGCTCCCAGTCAAGCTGGTCATCGTTCTGGGGCTTATCCTAAGAGACGATCAGCTTGCGTCATCCTCCGGCACGTTTTTAAAAAAACGGCCAAGACAGGGAAGAAAAAAAACTCACCAAAAGTCTAAGGTATACGTCCTGCCACAGCTTCCTATTGCCCTGGACGTGGATTTTGAACTTGTTGCAGACGCGGGGTAGGCGGCCGAGATCCCTCGGGTCCACGTCGACGAAGATGTGGTGCAGGAGCTCGGCGGGCAACTCGGTGAGCAGCGGCATCGTAATCTTACCCTCGGCGGTTATAAATTTGGTGAAGAGAGAGAGACAGACATAAGGACAAAAGAGGTAAAAAAGGACCTAATGAAATAAAGAGTCGTGAAATGGTGAAGGAATGTAACTTTTTGATGGGGCAATCACGACAGGAGCGGCTTGTTGGTATGACATGACGGAACCGCTTTGGGGGGGGAGCTTTCGGAGTTAGTGGAAGGAAACCCACCACATCGGAAGAGACGGACAGGCGGGGATCGATTGTTAATCTATGAGTAATGCATATGGCCGACGCGCTTTCGGATCTTTCTGAATGTTCGATTAATAAATAAATAAAACCCCCTTTTTTCGGGGTTTAAGTTACATATTTCCGCCATGACTTTAGTCACTTGTCGGCTTTACTCGCCATGGACTTTGTCCTTGACCCGGCGGCCACGGCCATCGGTATTGATTTGGCGCCAGATCTGCTCCACCCCCACAGCGACGCCATCACGTCGCATTCATCACCTTGCCACATGGCAAACCTACTATTACCGACCTACTACGTACATAGATAACTTACATACCGCCATCACAATACTTCGTATGCATATGCAACATGTCGATTCAAGGATTACTATACACACTACTTGGTAGCTCCTATAGCAAACTTCCGTGATGCCGCGCCTCTCTCATGCCGTCGGCCCCCCTTGGCTCAGCATGATGCAGTTCTGCAGCAGCCTGCCTGCCTCGTGCAACAGCTCCCACCGCGACTGTCCCAGCGTGTCTCGCAGCACCATCAGCAGCGATAGGTTGCCGTTGAAGCCCCGCATGTCCTGGAGCTCGCTCGGCTCGTCCAGCCCGGCGTACACTGACAGGTAGCCACGCATTTGCCCCCACCTGTCCCGGTGCGTCGTCGTCGATTCCGCGCGGCTTCGACTTGGCCCTTCTAGCGCATATCCATAGCACCACAGTATCAGAACCGCAAAGTAAATCACCCATGGCCGGTTCATTAGAATGTCGTTGCGCACCTCGTACGGCTGGCCTACATGGGGCCGCACAGGCGTGTCTTCCTTGAGCTCGATCTGATCCGGTGCAAGCACAAACCGAAGGAGCTTGAGCGCGTAAAATGTGGCATCGCGTGCTTTTGCCGACGGTGCCCAGTCCTCCTTTATGCGCCGCTGTGCCGCCAATAACTCATTTGCGCCCACGGGCCGGCCTAAAAGTCGCTTAGCCCCGGCATAGATTTGACAATCTACAATGTCGGCGTGCATGGCCATGTGCGCAAGGTGATGTAGCACCGTGCGACTCTCGAATAACGTGTAAGTGTCAGTGTCTATCTCATCAGTGTCGTATGGATCTCGTTGGGGCTGCTTTTCCCTCAGAGAATCATCGAAATCTGACTTCCAATAGTCATACGCTCGCGTCAACGCAGACCGCCACTTGTCTCGCCCGCCAAGGGTCTGAGACATGCCGCTTCCAAGTACGTTGGCTTGCAGGTCGCGTTGGTTTAAGTGATATGTAACGTTGAGCAGCCCTGCCATGAGTACAGCTCGTACAAAGTACGTTGTGTACACAGGCTGCTTGTTGAGCGTTTTCTTTAGCCCTTCCAGGAAGGAAACTGGCATCACGCCTTGAGACATGAGTTTGTTTTCAATCCTGCTGAACTCGGCGCTGCTCGTGGCTGTCCACAACGATTCGTTGCACGGCAGCGGCAACCGCATTTCATGGGCAGCCATGACAACCGAGTGGCCAAACATGGTGGCATGGAGGGAATCAATCATGAAAGCCGCACTGGCAACTCGTCTTGTCGACTCGTTGATTATCCAATGCTCCCACTGCTCGTCTGCTGTCTTGGCCGGTGTGGCGGCGCCCGCCTGTGTCGGTGATTCAGACGACGATTTTCCTATCAAGCTTCGACCCCGCCGCATGAGGGTAATCGTGGTGGCGTGGTGTATATGCGCTCTTTCATGTAATTCTCTCGTCGAGCACATCTTCTCATACAGTTCTAAGAAGATGAGCGTTTGAAAAACCCATAGTTTCGCCGGCGGGCGGAAACCAGGATCCATGAATACCTCCCATCGCAGATGTGTGACCAAAAAGTTTGACAGGCGTACACCCGCCATGGTCACTTCAGTGCCGCGCTTCTTGTCTAGGCAGGCAGCTCCTGTGGCCATGATTGCCAAGAGAAGTATTGTTGGTGTTTTGTCGGCGACAAAGGTAGGCTTGTGCAAAATCGGCATCTGCGCGTTGAAGTGCTTCCAAAAAGATCCGATATAGGCCTGCATCATCCGCTTGCTCAGCATATGATCACTTCTGCTTCTGTCTCCAGAAATTATGGACTCCCTCGTATTGCGCTGTTCGTCACTGTCATTGCCATGGAACCGATCTTTGATGTAGTCGTACAGTTCTTGGCTCCTGGCGTCGGACATGCTAGCTTCCGGCATATTTGGCTCTAGCAGATTGTAGACCGACATGATCTGCTGGGGTCCTATTTGCTGAATCGGGCCTGATCGACTTGCAAGATAGGTGTTGTTGTTGGGGTACTGGCCATTATTGAGATCCCCGTAGCTGCATACCGGTTAGTTCGAGTCATTCCACTGACTGCTGGACAGCCTTCTTACTTCATTGATGCTTGCGGCAACATGCCGTCTTTAGCACCGTGATGATTCGGCGCTGTATCAAAAAGATAGACCATAAAATCTTCAGGCATCCCACCAGTCGGGGATTTATGAAGCCCGGCATCAACACCAAACACGGGCCCAGCATCTCCCATGGGCATGTGATCATAGGTGGAAATCTGGCTTGTTAGGGGCAAAGCTTCTAGGGAAACGGGTTGCGTAGTTGGCGCCTGTGCAGGTGCCGTAGCTGACAAGTTGTAGCTAAGATCAGTCTGGGCGGAGTCTTGATGACGGGTGTGAAGTGGAATTAGGCCCCCTCCTGCTCTAGGCATTGTGCTAGAGGAAGCCGCACGAGAGTCCACGCCACTGTCGATAAAATCCCTTGTAGAATCGGCGCTGATTGCGTATGAGCCGTTTACAGGGAGCGAATGAGGCTGGTAGGTGAAGCCATGGCGGTGCAGGGCTGCTTCTGGTGTCAGAGGTGAAAGAGAGCGAGCAGCGGTGGCACTCGTCTCGCCCAGCTGAGTCTCTTTCGCGACATGTCTGTCAAGATGGCGTTTCAGTAGATCGGGGCGGACAAAGGTGCGGCTACAGTCCGGATACTCGCAGTGGAATGTCTGCGGTGAGCTGTGGTTGAGTTGATGACGCTGGCTAGAGAGGCAAGGGTTTAGCGGAAGACTAAACGTCAATGAGGAATGGATCTTACAGGTGTTCTGCGCGTGAATAAACCTTGCCACATGCGTCTATTTCGCAAATAAATCTCTTTTCGAGGCCCTTTCGGCTCTTCCTTTTGCGCTTCTTGGCAAGACCCAGGCTGGTGAGGCCATTGTGGGGGCTCACTGCGGCAGCAGGGTCAGACATGTTGAGTAGCAACGATGCTGGTTCTGTGCATCATTTGCAGTGTCGCATTGCGATCATTTGACGGCGAATGATTCATGGACCGCCGGGAATGGAGCTGACGGCAGAGCAGAGCGGGCGAGTGGTAACTTGGCTTGGCCGGTCAAAAGACAGACCGGAGAAAGGACGTTGAAACAAGGGAGCTCAACATGCAGCAATCTCTTTACTCGGGAAGTTACGCTTGGATGCGGATTTTTGCAAGGCGTTATTGATCTATGCGAGCATCAACAAAGCTGCTTGAGTCGCAAAAGCGTTGGCGATGAGGTCAGTTGGTGACAACGACGGAGGTTGCCCGAGGAGTACACAGGACAAGCTTGAACTCGGAAGCAGCCGGCGCAAGTTTTGGACGTTGGAGGCGAATCAGGGCGTTTGGGTAATTGATGGTAAAGACGTTGGCTGACGCATTGTTGGATGGAGCTGACATGGGGTTACAGATTGATGAAGGTAAAAAAAAGAGCAAAGTGCAGAGAGCAAAGAACGGCCGAGGCGGCAATCCGTGCCTTGAAAACGAGAAGACATTGGGATTGGGGGGGCATCCACTGACTTAGCTGATGTGGGGCCCTCCACCCAGACTGCCGGGTGCAAAAGTCAAAGTCAAAAAGTAAACGAGGAACTTGGGGGAGGAGTTATTATTACTATGACGAGATGCTTCTATATTAGGTCAAGTCTGGCATGTTGCTGTGAGCAAGTCATTGGTGCGACTATTTATAGGATAATAGTAATCAACCTGTTGCCAGCATGTTCGCCAGCGTTCGCAGGTATGGTATCCGAAGGTACTCGGCGCCTCATGGCCCCACCATCAACACCCACGACAAATTGATCAGTGACGAGGCAACTAAGCGGATTGGCGGGCTGGCGGATGCAGTTTGGGGGAACCAGTTGGAGATGCCAGATGCGGGGAAAATCCAGAATACTGGTAATAAGAAGACACAGACATGTCTTGGTCAAGGTATAATTAACTAGATGCTACGGGCTTCGTATCTGCCACCCGGTACCTACTATCTGTACACAAGATAGACCATGCTCTCCGTACCCTCGGGGGTCTCGAGTGTAATTACAGCACATAGTATCAAGTGGTACACAGATCTTGCTAAAGACCTTGGCATTATTTTTGCTCCATCGTTGAACGTTCCACCTTAAATCTCAACTAGCTTTGATTTGTCCTCTTCATTCATTTCCATAGCAGCCGTCCTTAGCTCAACGTTCTCTATCAATATACACGCTATAGTTACATAAACCACCTCTCGCCGCCAGCACCTATGTACACGATAATATAACTAGCAGGACTTGACCTCACTTGAGCTATCAGATATGATACCTAAAAACTCAACCCTGTCTGCATTTAGCCCTCACCAACAAGCCAGGCGCTACGAAAGTGACGTGTCCGCCACCACATGCGGGGCAACCGTAGATACCTTGAGTCTTCGTCACAAATACCCCCCGACATATCGGAACTATTCATTTTTGGTTCCTACAGAAGTTGTGACGTATTCACTCGCCTCCTTCGTCTTCAAAACTACGTTTTCCTTTCATCTTCTTGTAGCCTTTGTAAAGTTCAACGGTCTCGCTCCACGCGATCACTCTATTTGCGCGTGGCACGGCAACCCCCCACTGCAAGTCACCCTCCTGCAGCAAATACTAGACGGGGTACATCCGCGATGTTCGTCATTAATTTTTAGCGTCGTGCCCTGCGGTTTTGGCCTTTCCCTAGTCACGGTCTCGCCGCGCCAAAAGTTGCACTTTCTTCCGCTTCTTCCTCCTCTCCTCTTCTCTTCCTCCTCAACACCGCGGCTGCCAAGCACCACAATCCGCGACCATGCCCCCCAAAACCTCTGCTCGAGCGCAGGACGAGAAACCTGACCTTCCTGCTCCAAAAGAACGCCCTTCGGCTTCCTCCACCAAGATGCGCCGCAACGCCAGCCAGACCAGCAACAACCAGCCTCGTGAACCGCCCACCAGCATCCCGACCTCGGCACCCGCGCCAGGCCTTTTCGAGCCCACGCCTCCTACAGTAAGCCCTCTCGATCTTCCGGAGTCTCGATTTATCCAATTTTCCTTGGTGAAGAGCTTGCCTTTCCGCACCCCGCTTCACCACCACCGTCGCTGACTCTGGTTCCCCCGCGCGCACCAGATCCCCTGGACCTCCTTCGAGCGAGACGCCCTCCACGCATACCGACGCGAATACGACCTCAACTCCTCGACGTCATTTGTGAGCACATTTCACCAATATATACTCACAGACAGAGCCGGCATCGGCCTGCACTCACCGACCATGGTCCGCAAGAGAAAGACTCGTCGCCAGAACAAGGACAACCTGGCTCTGGCCGTGCGCAAGCACTTCAATGGCGTCGGCATCCAAGAGAACGACGTCATTGTCGACTTTATTTGCAAAGTTCGCCATAGCAAGTCTGTCAAGCTTATAGGGCCGAGCAAGAACGAGCCTCTGTTCGCCGATTAGGCGACCGTGCCGAACTCTACAGCACAACGAATGATTCATGACGACGGCGTTATGATTTTTGATACCTGGCATTGGAATTCTCGACAACTCGATTGGAAACTAGAGCATAAATTTCGCTTGTTTTTCGCATTTTCCAGCATTTCTTTCAGCATATCTTTTTCCCCGTTGCCGCCTGTTTGGCCGGAGGCGACATAGCTTCCGCGGTGCGACCCATCAATTTGGTGGCTGAATGTTTTCCACTCCCACCTCTACATATACAGACACAGACATTACACTTCATTCAATAGCGTGAACGCAGCCAAAGTTCTGCACTTCACTACGCACATTTTACAAGGCTTAATAAATTGGTCTAGATGGGCATATTTTTGTTTTTAAACGAACGTGGTCAATCCTCCATGCCCATATCTCGTGGCTTTCTTGCTTCTCCACCAATAGCACGCTTGCGAATTCAGGCGGTATCGGTCGGCTTATGACGGCATTCACGCCTGAGGCAGCTTGACCCGGTTTAAGACCGGCTAAAAAAGTCGAGTCTCTCCGACCGGCGAGAACCTCCTAGAACCACACTGAGGTCGCCGATACTCAAACCTAACGCTATCAGCCATCTTTTTGGTCGGGTACTTGGTGAATCAAATGAATCGCAACTCTTCGATATGACCTCAAGCATTCTGCTGAAATCCACGGCGCCCGCCCGCGCCTTGGCGCATAACCATGCAGCGGCTGCTCGCAAGATTGCTAGCCCCTTGACGAAATGCGCCAGAATTCACACTGCACCGTCGCGAGCGACGTCGCCATCAGCCAAGTCGTCTAGTGTCAAAATCAACAAGACGCCTTCATTGTCGCGCGTACGTTGTGACCAGTGAAGTCATGAAATGAGTCTGGGAGCGGTGCTAATCTACCTTTCTATAGAACTTCCACACGACTAACAAACTTTCCTCTAAAGATCCATACAAGGCTCTCGGCGTCGACAAGAGCGCATCTGCTTCAGAAATTAAAAAGGCATACTACGGGCTCGCAAAGAAGTTTCACCCCGACACAAATAAAGACGCTTCCGCCAAGGACCGGTTCGCCGATATCCAATCCGCCTACGAAATCCTGTCCGATCCAAAGAAGAAGGAGCAATACGACCAGTTCGGCGCCGCCGGTTTCGACCCCAATGGCAACCCTGCAGGTGGTGATCCCTTCGGCGGAGCGGGCAATCCTTTCCATGGTTTTGGCGGGGGTGGCCAAGGCGGCTTCGGTGGCGGCTTCAACTTTGATGACATATTCTCCGCCTTTACGGGCGGCCAGGGGGGCCCGTTTGGCAGCGGACGGCGCGGGGGTCGTGCGAACCCTTTTCAACAAGAGATCCTTGTCGGCGAAAATATCGAGGTCCAGGCCAGCATCACATTCATGGAGGCTGCCAAGGGCACAAGCAAAACCATCTCCATCACACCAACCGTTGAATGTGGCACCTGCACGGGGAGCGGCCTGAAGACCGGATCGCAGCGCGCGCCCTGTAAGGCTTGTAACGGAACAGGAACTCGCCTCCATTTTATGCAGGGCGGTTTCCAGATGGCTTCCACTTGCGGTACCTGCGAAGGCTCCGGATCGACAATTCCCAAGGGCTCCGAATGCAAGACCTGCTCCGGCCACGGTGTAGTCCGCGAGCGCAAGACCATCACCGTTGATATCCCAGCCGGTATCGAGGACGGAATGCGACTGCGAGTGGACGGCGCCGGCGACGCGCCAGCAACCGGCCGCTCCGCCGACCCCAACGCCCGTAGCCAGCGCGGCGACCTCTACGTCTTCGTCCGCGTGGCCAAAGACCCCAAGTTCACGCGAGAAGGCTCCAACATTCTTCACACTGCCAGCATTCCCCTGACGACGGCGCTCCTTGGTGGCCAGGTTTCCATCCCCACTCTGGACGGCTCCGTCAACGTCAAGGTCGCGACCGGCACCAACACGGGTGACAAGATTACGCTCTCCGGCATGGGAATGAAGCGCCTCGGCTCCCGACGCGGTGGCTCCGGCGACCTTCGCGTTGAGTTCAGGGTCAACATGCCCAAGTACCTCAGTGCCAACCAGCGCACTATTGTAGAGATGCTCGCCGATGAAATGGACGACAAGACGGCGCGACGAGTCATGAATGTTTCGCCTTCCAGGTGAGTTTTCCCCAACGTCGAGCTTTAGTGCTCGACCTCGACCTACTACTGACGGTGTCACAGAAACGCTTCACCTAGTGGCGACGCCGCCTCCCACGAAAACGAGGGCTTCTTAAAGTCAGTCTGGCACAAGATGACAAACCACCCAGCACACGAAAAGAAGCCTGACGGCGACGGCACTTCCTCCGCGGGCGATAAGTCACCGACGAAAAAGAGCGACGGCGAGGAGACCAAGAAGCCAGACTCCGCCTAACTCGAAATGATGGCGACAAAACCCTTGTATCATATTTGAGCGGACTCGTTGCCCGCGCAGGTCGCCATCCTCAGATTACTGGACCTGCAATTATTCTTGCATTCACAAAGGTGTTTTAAAAATAGCATTTATTCAAGATAGGAGAAAAAAAGAAGGCGGACCAAGGGATGTATAAAATGGCGTTTTGTTTCCACAGGCGGTCATCAACCCGGCCCTTTATCGACAGAGTTACTGGGTGGCGGGTTGACGAGTTGAGAAGACGTATTGCGCCGTGTATGCTAATAGAGCAAATGTTTCAATTGTATATGGAGAGACCATTCTATCTAGTCGGAGACAAATCCCCCCATTCTTGACAATATAGCGTTTCTAGTACTTGACACCTTTGCTTCGCGTGATCCGTAGTCGACTGCTGCATCCTAGTGAGGATACAAGGTGCCTCTGGTTCTGTATTTGGGTATCTGAGCTGATAATATTTTATTTTTTCGTTTATCGAATGCTGCTTCTTTCAAGCATGCATCGGTCGCAAGCGCCCCCCTCCCGCTCACACCCTCAACCGATGGGCTTCATCTTTTTCTTCTTCTTCTTGTCCGGCTCGCCACTCCCGCCACCACCGACCTTGCCCTTGTGAAACTGCCGCCAGTTGGTGATGCGCTCCTCGCGGGTAGCCTCCCAGTCCTGGTCGTGCTGGCGCTTCCTCTTGCGCTCCTCGGCCTCCTCGTCCGCGCGGCGCTGCTCGCGGCCCTCCTCCTGCATCTGCGCGCGCGCCTGGCGCCTGCGCCGCTTCTCGTCGTCGACGAGCACCTCGCGGGCCTTGTCGCGCCACGCGCGCGCGAACTCGTCCGTCTTGAGCTCCTCGCTGTCGACGGTCAGCTTGCGCTCGCGGAGGAGCAGGGCGCGCGCGTCGGCGATGGCCTCGTCGAGGCGCGCGCGCTGCTTCTCGTCGAACAGCTCGACCTGCGCCTTCTTGAGCCGGTCAAAGGCCTCGGGCGCGCGCGGGTTCTTGCACTTGTCGGGGTGGATGAGGAGAGACTTCTTGCGGTAGGTGATCTTGATGTCGGACTCGGGCACGCCGGGCTGGAGGTCGAGGACGGCGTAGCTGGACAAGGGGACCAGGGTGGTTAGCAGTGGGCCGAGGTGAGGTAACGGGGGTAGTGACGGGAGGGAGAGGGTTCTTACGCATCCAGCCGAAAGGTGTTCAATATTCTATCGATTTCCGCATCCTGTGGATGGTCTGGTTAGTGGCGATGACCGGGGGAGGGCTGTCGCGCGACACAAGAGGGACCGTACCTTTTCCCACTCTTTGGCCTCCGACTCGAGCGCATCCAGCGCGGCCTTGTCTTCTTTATCCAGCTCAGTCGCCATCGTCTCCTGCTATGCGACAGGCTGAGTTATCGAAGTGTTCGGCCCCGCCAAGTATTGATTTTGGTTGATGTTGGCAGGGAGCGGGCGGCGGGTCTGTTGAAGGCGGATCAAATTCAGGTGCTGCGCATTTTAAACGGCAAGTGGGTTTTACTTAGCACAAACATACCTATAGGTATGTAGGTTGATGTGTTGTCCAAGTACAACAATGAATTGATACCGAGTAGTTCTTGACAGAAAAGGTGGAAAACGTTGTTGCCGTAAATAATCAAGCATGACATGATTGATTGGTATTTTTGTTTCAAATGGCCCCAGTAGAATTCACAGCAACTGCTTTCCAAGGTGCCCAAGACCATGGAGCGCTCGGCTGCGCTTCAACTTCAATCACCAAGATAGCCAAGCGGAGCCTCGTGCAATTAATAGCCTACCTACATTTTTAACAAAGTCAGCTTATTCAAACATGTCAATATTTCGTTCTTTAGAAACGAGTGGTGCAGTTGTCTTGCAGTCGCTTGTTCGTTCCCCTTGCGAAGAGAGCTACCCCGCGCGCCTCGTGAGACTGTCAAGTACGAAATGATGAGGGAAAACGGTCCAAAGCAGCATCGTCCATTTCTCTCAAGGCTGCTGCCACAACCGTGGTCTTACAGAAGTCTCCGAGAGGACGACATTGAACTTCAGCTTGGGCCGCTTTGCAGCTTCTCTGTCGATCGAGGTCTTCCGTTTTCCATCGCTCGTAAGGACGTCTAGCCGATGTCGGTCTTTTGCACGTACTGGTCATTAGTATGCACGGTGTAGCCTACACAATTGCCAATGCAATGCAATGCATAATCAAGCACTTCTGGTAGAGGCAAGCCGAGGCTGAACACCAAGTATCACCCCAGCATAAGGTACGATCTATGACACGGAACTATTGCCCATCAAATTACATTTTGAGTGCTGATTCAATCAGAGAGAACTTTTGCCTCAAGATACTGTCGAGGCTGAATGAAACCTGACTGGCATGAGGACCGTACCGGTGACCGTGGTTTAAGTAGCTAGCAGGGAAGAGGGTAACCGCTGCGATTCGGCTTGGGTTGCAAAGCACAACGTAAATCATTTCCCCTGTAGCATCATATTATCTCGGGAGGCCCGTTCTCGTGCTTTTATTGACAGAGCAATATACAAGCCATGTTTCAGTACCTAGCCGTATAGCCCAGCGTAAGAGCCCATCTACCGGATTGTCCTACTCAAAGCATGGCGTTATTAATAAAGAGCGGACAAGTATCCATAAACTCCAATGCAATCCCCGTCGCATTGTCCTCATCTGAATCCAGGCCAGACTTAGATATCGGAGTCGAGCGGATTTGAAGAGACAGCTAGTCTACATAGCAAGGAATCAGTAACGCTGAAGGAGGGAAACTTACGCTTGAAGCGGGCCTCAAAAATGCGAATCCTTGGAATTAACTCGGTCTACCATGAGTCGGCTGCGGCTTTGATCGTCGACGGACAAGTCGTTGCAGCGGCCGAGGAAGAGCGCTTTTCCAGAGTCAAGCACGGCAAGCCGGCAAGGGTTGACAATGCAGATGAGCTGCCCCTTGAGAGCATTCGATACTGCCTTGAATCCGCCGCCATCAAGCCAGAGGACCTGGACGCGATAGCTTACTCGTTTGATCCAGATCTTCGAGCACACGATTTCATCTTGAATGACAAAACGGAGGCTGGGGATTGGGGGACGCCAGAGGGCGAGAAAACCTTCCTTTCTCGCCTCCGGTCGGTGCCTGATGCCTTGGCCACCCACTTCGGCCCAGCCGCCGGAAAGCGCCTCAAGTTCATCCCGCACCACCTCTCTCACGCCGCGTCCAGCTTCTACCCGTCGGGGTATGAAGATGCCGCGATCCTCGTCGCCGACGGCATCGGGGAGGCTGCGTGCACCGTGCTCGCGCGAGGCGACAAAGAGAGCATTACAATCTTGCGGGAGATTCCGTTCCCGCATTCCATCGGCTTCGTCTGGGAGAAGATGAGCAAGTATCTCGGGTTCACTGAGTACGACGCCTGCAAAGCCATGGGCCTGGCTGCGTATGGTGATGCGTCCAAGTTCAAGGGCGTGTTTTCGGAACTGATGCGTGTTGATGATGCCTGTGCATACCACGTCAACCAGGCGACGGCCAACTTTCGATTGCCAGATTTTGATCGCCTAGAGTCCCTTTTCGGGCCCGCTCGTAAACGTGATGCGCCGCTCGAGAGCCACCATTACGACGCGGCCGCCGCTTTACAGGTGGCCACAAACGATGTCCTTCTCGCGCTCGCGCGGGAGCTTCATCAGGCGGTAGGATCCAAAAACCTTTGCCTTGCGGGGGGTGTTGCCCTGAACTGTGTCAGCAACATGGTCATCAAAGAAGCCGGTCTCTTCTCCAATGTGTTTATTCCCTCAGCGCCGCATGACGCGGGTACGGCCATGGGGGCCGCGCTCGAGCTCAATCACCGCATGGGCGGTCGGAGCGACCAGGCCTCCACCACGCCATATCTCGGCCCAGAGTTTGACGAGGCCGCGATTGTCGCAGCATACGACGCCGCCGGGTTGACGCCGCAGGTGTCGAGTGCGCCGGCCGTCGACGCTGCCCAGATGGTTGCTGCAGGTAAGATTGTCGCCTGGTTTCAGGGTCGGATGGAATTCGGCCCCCGGGCACTGGGCAACCGCTCGCTACTGGCAGACCCGCGAAGCCTGGCGACGCGCGAGTTGCTCAACGTCAAGGTGAAGCACCGCGAGATGTTCCGCCCGTTTGCGCCCAGCGTGTTGGCGGAAGCAGCAGGGGACTGGTTCGAGCTCGGCGCGCCATCTCCCAGCCACAACTTCATGCTCTTCGCGTGCCTGGCGACCGCTGAGCGCCGAGACGAGATACCGGCCGTTCTGCACGAGGACGGCACGGCTCGCGTGCAGCTCGTACATCAGAAACAGAACCCGGCGTTCCACCAGCTCATCTCTGAATTCGCAACGCTGACGGGTGTTCCCTTGGTGCTCAACACCTCCTTCAATGACAGCGAGCCCATTGTCTGCACACCAGCTGATGCGATTGCAACATTTCAGAAGACGCGCATCGATGCCCTGTTCATAAGCAACAGGTTTGTCACGCGCGAGGGTTGATTGAGATGGAGATGGAATCGCGCTCAGCTTAGCTTGATGGTAATGTGCGTCCTCTCTTTCAGTGGCACCAATTGTTGTAACCCAGCTGTGTTTCCGCTCACATCCGTTGTATGTCAGCATAGCGGGCGTGGGGAACCTGTGATCAACTCGCCAGGCACCGTTCAATATATAAATAAGTTTCAGAAATCCCCAATGGTTTCACTCTTATTGATCGAACCAGCTCGATCCCAATGTAGTAGCTAAAACGGATGTCCGTCGTTCTGGTCGCCAACCACCACCCCGCGGCGATAAGATAACGACGGCGGCCCCAGAAAAAAATTGCCTGCGCCAACAGCCAGAAAAAAAAGTCCATCCGCCAGCTACTGTCAGTCACTCGGTCACCTCTCGACAGTCGGAGCTCACACACAATATCTCGGCCGAAATGGTTAAACGCGCAGTCTCTCCCGCGGCCTCTGAGCCCGAGATGGACATTTTCGTGTCCATTTACCCAGGAGATGAGACCGACGGCAAGCAAGCTGGCCCTGTGGGCAACGACGCCGATTTCGATTTCGACGGTCTGATCAACGGGCACAATCAAGGCGACGAGGATGATGATGAAGCATTCATCGCACTGAAGCAGGCTGCTTCCTTTAGAAAATCCACAAATCTCAAGGGCCGCACCGTAAAAAAGGGTGGTGGCTTCCAAGCCATGGGTATGACTTCCTGGCGTTGCACTTCTTCTCGACTCCCAGCACTAACCGGCCTGTAGGATTGAACGCCAATCTACTCAAAGCCATCACTCGAAAAGGCTTCTCGGTTCCGACGCCTATCCAACGAAAAACGATCCCCTTGGTCCTCGACAGAAAAGATGTTGTTGGCATGGCGAGAACCGGTTCTGGAAAGACGGCCGCCTTTGTCATACCCATGATTGAGCGCCTGCGCGCGCACAGCGCAAAGTTTGGATCGCGCGCCCTTATTATGTCGCCTTCGCGTGAACTGGCTATCCAGACTCTGAAGGTCGTCAAGGAACTGTCGAAAGGCACGGACTTGACGGCCGTGCTGCTCGTGGGTGGTGACAGCCTGGAGGAGCAGTTTGGCTTCATGGCGGCGAATCCCGATATTGTCATTGCCACGCCGGGTCGATTCTTGCATTTGAAAGTAGAGATGAATCTCGATCTATCCTCCATCAAATACGTTGTCTTTGACGAAGCTGATCGTCTCTTCGAAATGGGTTTCGCCGCCCAGCTCACCGAAATCCTTCACGCCCTACCCCTCTCAAGACAAACACTTCTCTTCTCCGCTACGCTTCCCACATCTCTCGTCGAGTTTGCTCGAGCCGGTCTCCAAGACCCGAGCCTGGTACGTCTTGATGCCGACACCAAGGTGTCGCCAGATTTAGAAAGCGCATACTTCAGCATCAAGGGAGACGAAAAGGAGGGCTCGCTACTTCACATTCTACACGATGTCATCAAGGTACCGGTCGGCAAGCCGGAAGGAGCCGATGTCTCTGAAAAGGACAACGGCTCAAAGAAGCGCAAGAGAGGGCCTGACGGCCCTGTGCGACCTACCGAACACTCTACAATTGTTTTCACTGCAACAAAACATCACGTCGAATATATCGCCAATCTGCTGGAATGGGCTGGTTTTGCCGTCTCCCATGTCTATGGCTCGCTTGATCAAACAGCAAGACGAATTCAAGTCGAAAACTTTCGCCATGGCAAAACCAACATTCTGGTAGTCACCGATGTTGCTGCCAGAGGTATCGATATACCTGTCCTGGCCAACGTCATCAACTACGATTTTCCTTCACAACCCAAAATCTTTGTTCACCGTGTTGGTCGTACTGCTCGTGCAGGCCAACGTGGTTGGAGTTATAGCTTGGTTCGTGATACAGATGCACCTTACCTACTTGACCTGCAACTGTTCCTCGGGAAGCAACTTGTAATTGGACAGGAAAAGGAGAAGCCATCATATGCGGATGACGTGGTTGTCGGCTCCTTGGTAAGAAATACGCTTGAAGAGCATGTCGAATGGTTCAACAAAGTAATACACGACAACGACGACATCAGCGCTCTCCAAAAGGTCTCTATCAAGGCAGAGAAGCTGTACTTAAAGACGAGAAACTCGGCCTCTAGCCAAAGTGCCAAGAGAGCACGTGAGGTTGTGGCCTCTGCTCCATGGGTTCAATTACATCCTCTATTCGGCAAAGACGTGGCTCGGGACGAGAAGGCGCGAGCGGAGATGATGGCCAAGATTAGCGGCTTCAGACCCAATGAAACCATTTTCGAGATTGGTCGCAGTGACAAGGCTTCCAACGAAGCCGCAGACGTTATGAAGCAACTACGCAAAAGGATCACCCCCCGCAGGAGACAAAAAGCCGAAGCCGAGGAACACTCTGACGACGAAGAGATTGCTGGGCCTACAGCGGATGACTTGGATGAAGACATGGGCGATGACACGGGCCTTGGCGCCGTGGAAGACGACTCTGACGACGACGGTTTAGAAGTCACCGTCTCCAACGCCGGCAAGTCCAAGAAGGACAAGGACGACTGGCGCGACGCCGACGTCTTCATGTCCTACACGCCGCGTACGACCAACGCCGCCGAGGAACGCGGCTACGGCGTCCACTCGGGCGGCGCCGGGTCCAGCTTCGTCGAGGCCGCCCGCGACGTGGCCATGGACCTCGGCAACGACGAGTCGGCCAACAAGTCGTTCGGCGAGGCCAACAAGCAGCGACTGCGCTGGGACAAGAAGGCCAAGAAGTACGTCGCGCGGCAGAACGACGAGGACGGCTCCAAGGGCGCGCGCCTCGTCACCGGCGAGAGCGGCGTCAAGATCGCCGCCTCCTTCCAGAGCGGCCGCTACGACAAGTGGCGCAAGGCGCACCGCGTCGGCCGCGCCCAGCGCGTCGGCGAGGACGAGCGGCCCGGCACGGCCGCGCAGCTGCCCCGCGGCGGCGCCCGCTACAAGCACAAGCAGGAGCAGGCGCCCAAGGCGGCAGACAAGTACAGGGACGACTACGAGGTCCGCAAGCGCCGCGTCGACGAGGCCCGCGAGAAGCGCGTCGGCCGCTTCCGCGACGGCGCGGGCAGCAAGAGGGAGATCAAGGGGGTTCACGACGTCCGCAAGGCCCGCGAGGAGAAGCAGAAGCGCAAGGAGAAGAACGCCCGGCCGATGCGGAAGCGGTCCTAGTTGTTTATTATTGGCATATAGAGAAAACATACGGGAGTTGCCCGGCGTTAATGAAATACTATTCGCATGCACATTCAAATTAACCTGTCCAACGATTCCTGTCAGGAGGTGTTGTGTTTTAACGTCTTTGGTAAGAAAATCTATTGCGTCCCCGTCTATGGAAATGTTATTATTTCGCTTCTGTTTCGCGCAATTAAGGCGGATCAAGGCGAGCGGTGGGAAACGCTCACGCCCAGTAATATGTTGAAGATGCACAGCGACAGAAAACCCAAAGCGAATAAACGACGAGAAAATAAACAAACACAACGCCAATGAGGAGTTTGGCCCAGTATGAGGGGAAATTCCGATGGTCATTAAAAAGTCTGGCTGTGAATTATCAAAATAAAAAGATTCCTTCACTGAAAGCAGCTACCTTATAAACAAGATCCAAAAACTGTGACATGCACAGAAAGAAAAGGGAGTCTTTATAAGCCACGACCATTCCTTTTTCCTTTCTATGTTAGAGTGCCTGGTTCTTGTTTAGGCAACTGCCCGTAGTAATCTTTTATCTTCATAACGCCAAAATAGACCGAAATACAAAACAAAAACGCAGTTGATGATGTGGGTATCAAAGATATTATAGTCGATGTAGAAAATATATGCCCAGTAAAGAAGCGCTGGCGAAATGGAGTGCGTAAAGGAAGAAATCAAAAGAATATGTTCATGTAGCATCTGTTACACGTTCTCGAGGCTAGACACCCACGATCTGACTGCATCACGGAGCAGATTGGGACGTCTTCGCGAGTTTGTGCCAATGTGTGTGTCACCGTCTTCATCGCGCTGGTCAATTACATCCCGGATAATATCCTCCAGCGCAGACAGCATGACGGTTTTGCATTGCACACGCGGCATTTCGGTAGGGGGATTCGCCATTTCTGTCGTCTCCGAAAGCGAGTCGGGAGTAATGTCAGCGCTCCCGCCAAAGCTACTGGAGGCTCGCATAGGAACAGCAGCTGAAGCCGTGTCTTTGGTGACTTCAGAGTTGGCGCCGATGACCTTTTCAACAGCCTCAACAAGGGACTTGTCGGCATCAAGAAGCACTTCCTCGGCCCATTCTTCGCCCAGTTGGGTTTCGTATGGCAAGACCGAAGGTGTATGGGCGCTGATTGGCTGTGAAGAAGGAATGTCGGCTCCTGCTCGAGTCTTTACCCGCCTCCGATACACAAGGCGAGAGACAGTATTCGTGGTGGTGTCAGCTATGATGGTAGAGCTAATGTCCACCCAGCGCTCATCTGTTCCACCATCCCGAGGCGAAAGCGGTGCCGGTGTGGGCTCAGCTCGCATCGCAGCTTTCACCTTGTCAACGAGGTTATCCTGCGGAGGAATGGCTTGCAGTGAAAAATCAGGATGAAAGCGGCTGAGCCAACCTGCGGCATTCAGAGGCGTATCACCATCGATCGTAATTCGTGCCGACTGCTCAAAGAAGTCCAAGTTGCTAGGCAGCCCCGGCGTGGAAAGATACCCGCTGCTGGAAGGCGAGCTGATAGCGGACTCGAACGACGTAATATAATCGGGAAATGGTACGTCAACGTCGATAATCCCATCCTCGGGATTTATTGAGGTCTTCACAGGGGAGTCAAACACTCCAGTAGGGTCGGGTGTGCGATCCGCCTGCGAAAAAGATGCCCGTTGCTTCACGTTGGTAGTTGCAGCAGTGGTGCCGGTGCCCTGTCTTGTCATTGCCGGTGGTGTCTCTATAAATGCACGCGGAGATGGCGCACTTGGTAAATCACTGGTCTCTTCCAGTACCACAGACTCCTGTACCATTTCAGCCAATCGATCGGTCTTCGGGAAGGCTGATTTGATGGGCGACCGAAGCTCGCTAGTCTGACTTGCAGTATTGCTGTCGGAGGAGTCTCGTCGTCGTGGTGTCCAGAAGCCACTCATGAGGTTTCCCCATTTCAGGCCAGAGCTAGGAGGGCGGGAACTTGTCGTGCTCACGCTGGCATTACTCTCACCCCGTTTCAGCGATCTTTTTAAGTCGTCAGCTGCAAAGCTGCTGCTGCTCCCTGGTCGATGGCGTAGATGGCTTTCACTTCGCTGCAAGCTCGTGAAATGAGGCATGGTTGGCTCTTGAGTGATAGTTGCGGTTGTGGCAGCGCTGCTTTTCCTCGTAACCAGGTCATTACCAGCAATCGGTAAGTTCGTGGTCCGGATAGAGGCTGCATCAGACGCGCGTCTCTGGTGGTTTCTGTCCACACCAAATTGTGCAAACTGTGGTATAACAGTCGAGTTTCTCGCGCTTTGGCTTCCGACGCGCGAATGCGATGCTCGTCTAAGCCCAGTTCGGCGGTTTATTTTCCGCCGAAGTGACTCTTCTCGTAGAACTGGAACCACAAAAGTTGGGGGAGAATTTGAGAGCGGGCCAAAAGAGGTTGATGTACTCGCACGATGCACCCGGGGGACGTTCATCTGCTGGTTAGCGGGTAGAAAGCCAGCTAGAAGAAAGATCAGCCTTCGGGCAGCCATCTTATCATCCGAGATAATGATTGTTCTGGCAGGTAGAGACATGTCCTCTTCGTGTTTATGGCGCGCTTGGAGAGCTGCCTTTCTGCGGTAGGAGGGGCTGCAGAGGGCGGACAGCCAGTCCACATGTGTGGCAAGGAATCCCGTGAGAAGATTGTAGAGGAAAGGGCCCTTGTTGAGTGAGGAAGCCCACTTCGCCGTCCAGATAGCTTCATCGCGCCATATACCCCATCGTCCCTGTCCGGTGAGAACACGCGCAGCTCCGATACCCATGACAATTCTGCTCCTTGCTAGTCCAACTTCCAAGGCAATATCAATATCACCTGCAAGGCAGTTGGGTAAAAGAGAAACGAGTTTGGTAGTACTTTTAGCCGGTTTGATTCTTGGAGGCTCAGCATTGCGTCTGTCATTCAGAGCTGAACTTCTCGAAGAGTGGCTCTGATGTGTTACCATAGGCGTCTGCTGGCCGGGAGATGCGGAATCAGCATGCTTGAGTAATTGGTGTATTCTCGTGGCGGAGAGTGACTGAAGGTGCGTCAACGTTCGCATGATGATGTCCCAGTGCTGGGTCAACGAGTCGATTCTATCTTCAACATCCAACGCAAACGGCGACTCGTTTGGATCAGTAGGCATACCAGAACCAAACATGTTCCAGCCACCACCGCCAGCACGTACAGAATTGTAGGATGAAGAGTAAACCTCTTGCTCATTATATGAGCCTGGCTCGCGGAATGCCGGTTTAGAAGGCACAGCGGAAGAAAGCCGCGACGTCGCAGGTGGCAGCTGGACAACAAGAACAACAGCATACATTGGAGTACGCCGTTGCTTCGGTTGCTTCTTCTTTTTGCGCGCAGCGGCCTCGTCGGTGGTGGCTGGGAAAGGGAAGCCAGCATGCTCATCTGCAAATCTATTTTGCGGTGTCGCACAGGGCTCAACTTCTTCAGTTGCCAAGTTGACAGGAAAGAGTCGAGTAATCAAAACCTTCTTGCGATCACTTTGTCGCGGTGTGGTGCTCGCTGTGGGAGGCATGGAGGAAAAGGTTGGGGACATAGCCTGCGAGGAAAAAGACTGCGAAAGCTTACTTGAACGCATGCTAGAGCGGCCAATAGAACTGCGACCGTCTCCGACACTGGAGACAGTTTCGCTCGCTCGTGTCTCGCCAGGAACGACGTGTACTTTGGTAGATGTCCCTTTGTAAGCCATCAATTCAGAGTTGCCAAAAATGCAGCTTGAAAAGGTCGCCAGCTCTTCACGATATTCGCGATAGGCTCGTTGGGCGTCAGTTTCAGCCTGGCTCTGATTGCGGTTGTGTATGGAACCACGTCGGTCAAAGGCACCTTGGCGGAACTGCGTTTGGGTGCTTTCTGTGTGAATCGAGACTGGGCGCGAATGGCTCACACTGCCCTTGCGAGGGGACAATGGGTTCCTCCGGCCTTCACTGTTAGACGCTGTGCGGTCGACCTCAGCTACAGGATGACTGTCAAACAGAAGGGACGCAGAGGTCGCGCCGAGATTATCTTGCATGATCAAAATGCGGACATCGCGAACATCGATGTCAATTTCGTCGTTGAAGTCATAGGCGCTGGCGGAGGCGGCGGATGGTGTAGGAGGCGCAGTAGAAAATGGGAAAACTTGGTCATTTCGATGCTGGTAGAGCGCATGCGCGTCGGGGAAGAGGAGATTCCGTGTGTGGATGTCTTCTTGCACAGAATCGAGCGAGAGAAGAGGACGGGGACTAGCACTTGATCCTTGATCATAAGTGCTGGCTGCACCGCTGCCGCCGGTGCCGAGATTAAGCAGCCGGCCGATCATGTTGCTTGATCGCGACGGCTGGTCGCTTCGGATTGGGTCTCCTTTTAATCTAGGTCAATGAACTGCCGTCCATTACCGGGAAACGTATTGAAGTGCTGCCGGAGTGGACGCATAGTCGGAAGAAGGCGAATATTGGCTCTCGAGTTGTGCAGCGTTAATACGGCACGCCGGGTTTCCCGGTATTCTTGGAGGGGATGTTCTCTAGAGGAGGGGCTGTCGGCTCCTATGTTGCGGGTTTGAGTAGGTGAGGGCCGGTACGTTGTCGAAGTCGGCGTATGGATAGAGTTCGCGCAGGGCCGTTGGCACGGCGGGTTGGTCTTTAAGAGGATGGGGAAGAGGGGGGAGAGAGAGGGTATAAAAGCTGGCAGGCAGAGGCGCACAGCGTCAGGTGAGGCGGAAGCGAGTCGGTCAGAGTTGTCGTGGTTCTCGAGGGATGCACATGTCCGGGCGGGTTACCAGAATGGGTCGGGGCGGCAGGTTGGTGGCAGTATGAGTTCGGCTCGTCGGGATGGCGTGCGAGCAGAGTGCATGCAGTACGGCGCACTAAAGCGCAATGAGTACTAATGGCACAAAGCAGGCGACGGAAGGGAAGGCTGCGTGCGACGAGAAAGAGAAAGACGCCTAACAGGGAGGGCGGTGATGGAGGCAAAGACGAGAGGACGAGGCGGAGGCGATTGAAATCAGTGGCCCCGATATGGCGGTGGTGTGGATTGGTGGTGGCCGAGACTTGACGACCGACCCAGAAAGCTGGGACGAGGGACTCATTCAAGAGCCAGCGAGCGCGAGCGAGGGTGAGTGATTCGGGGCAAGCCAAACAAGCCCACCTTCAGGGCGTGGGCTTGCCTAGCACAAGGACAAGGACCAAGGTATCGTCGCACTCTGGTGGCGTCGCAATTAGCTTCAAGGCTGGTACCGGCAGGGATTAGCGCCCTGGACACTTTGATACCCGGTCTCGCTGTCGAAAAGTCTCGCCCACAAACTTGGCTGGATGTGGTGCTAGCATGGGCCGGCGGCAGCGGTTTTTTGTTCGGAGGCTCCAAAAGTCGGAGGGAGAGGATGGGCTCTCGGGCTCAGCGAGGAATGTCGAGTGTCACTAGTGACCATTGGCGCTGGCAGCTAATATTCTAGCCTGGTGGGATGGTGGATGGAAGCTTGGTTTTAGTGTGTGAATCTGCGGCGGGTATGAGGAGGGACGGCATCCAGAAAGCCCTGATTCCCCTCCAATGTGGTTTCGTGAGCGACTGGCGGCAAGGAAGCTGGTGTTGCTGCGGGTAACAAAGGAGTAAAGGATTCTGTCAACCTGGCTATGCGACCTTGGATGGTGCTGATCATGCGCATTGTTGGCAGGAGGCAATCCGATCTACATAAGACGGGGGCCGCGGGATTGGTGATGAACGACGTGTTGAAGCATCACCAATACTCGCCACCAGTTTTAACCTGTAGAGGCATTTACAAACGGATGGAGGAGGAACCGGAGGAGGAGGCGGAGCGAAGGGGGAGGGAGAGCAAGCGGGTTGCCAGCTGGCAGCTTGCAGCTGGTAAAGCCATCCATCCCATCCCATCCGTCCAACCGTTTGCATGAACTTGGCTCGTCTCTCTTCCGCCTCTTCTTTGACCTGCCAGCTGCACGCACAGCTTGTCAGCTGTCCAACGTGCATAATAGGTAATGACCGGAAGCTCTCTTTACGGTCGTCTGCTCATTAATAATTCATCACCTACCACAGCGACCGCCAGGCTGCCTCCTGTCCGCGAATCTTACTCGTCCATCGCTGCTCGCCCATGCATGATGGCTGCATCTTTCAACGTCGACAAGCCGCTTCATGCACGAGAGATCGCCGTCTCCATCTACCAGCTCGTTCGTTGATCCAAGCTAACCAGTCCACCAGTATCTGTACGAATAAGCTTGCTCTCGACGACTCGTCAACCGTTTCACCCCCATCCGCACCCATGACGCATCGTGCCCAGGTAACACGAAATTGCCTATCGCAGGCTGTTCCCTGCCAGAGTCCAGGGTTGCCAGGCATCACAAACCCCCCCGGAACCCAAAATGGCGCCATGTCTGGGGAAAGAAATCAAGACGGCGCTGTTCTCAGTTGCCCTGCATTGCCCCCATCCTGGTCAACTGGTCAACTGCCAACAAGCAACGCCGAAATTGCGGTGAATGACGCATGTTCCCCAGACAGACATGGTCGCCTGCATTGGCCGACACACGACACGGCTCAACCACATCCAACCAACCCATGCAACTAGGTACTCTGGATTACTGTCAGCAACTCTCCCGGTTGGTGCCCAATCGAATGGTGCGCATTAATGAAAGCCCCCGCCGCCTTTTGTCGGTGGATCACGAGAGTCCCAGCAATGTTCCACACAAATATGCCGCACAGCGTGCCAACCCCCGCCGAGCCCTTTTTACCATTGCATTTTTGTCTTATTGGATTATTACCAAGGCGAAGCCCTGCAAAGCGCCACTGATATGGACGACGGCAAGCAGGCCGGGCTGACAATCGCAAAGTCGAAAGCCAGCATCTTTCCACCTTCTAGCCAGACCAGAACACGGTGCCAGCTTCGCCACGCTCCGGCCGCCAGACTGCTCTCTATCGCGGCTGTGGCTTGACGCGCCTTCGACTGACCGCTCGGATTGATTCAGTGCGCCTCTTTCAATTCCCCGCGGCGCTCTGCCGGCCAGCCCCCGGCAACTAAGGCAGTAGCGCCGGTACATAATCCGTACTTTGTACACATATGCTATTATGTAGGTGCATTCACATAACAGAGCCGACATACATACTTTAGTTACAGTGCTCGCGTTAGCGTTCACCAAGCTTTTGTTAGCCCGATTTGGCTTTGTTGGAGTGCTTGTAGTGAATCATGTATAGATCTATGGTGTAACGCTCAGATCTCTAACTACCCGTACTAATAGTTTGTGTGAAAGCAGAGCCCTGAGAGCGTCATCGAAATTTTCAGCCAGGGTGTTCACAATACCAGTGACAGCACCGCGGTTAGGAACTCGGTCAATACAACGCCCCATTATACCCAAGTAAGGGCGGTCATATCGGTCTCTAGTTACTGCGCCGCAGAAACGAGAAAAAAGGAAGAAAAACAGAAGAAATGAGAAGGCAAACTTGGCTGGTGCGCTGGGAAGACGAGAGCGGTCAAAAAATCAATGAGACAGAGAACCTATAAAACAGTTGCCGAATGATCCGCATAGAATGTCGTCACCTGTGCCGATGCTTTGATCCATCGTACCGTCTGCACATAACGAGGCCAAGCGAGCAACCGATCTCTTGTTATTATTAGCATCTTGGTACGTTCTTTGCTTTACCGCCTTTCCAACTACCTCATCTAACTCCCTCCAACGCGCCGAGGCCCGAGCGCGGATCGGACTTTTACGACTTACGGAGTATGTAGGCCACGGCTTCTTTGTTCCTTGATGGGCAGAGCCGTCTTGTCATTCTTGACAAGTCACTAAATCCCCATCCTTCGACTGTGCATTCCTCATTGAAAATAGCGCCCTGTCCCCCGCAAAAGACCCTGATCACCTTCGCCACTTTATATCCTGGAAGCATCACGACACGGCCCACACCACGCTCTCACTGGCCCCCTCATGTCTCGTCTTTTGCATTCTAGGCTGGGGCTTGAGTGACCTGAAGAGTCTCATGACACCAATTGTGCGCATGCACCTTGATTTTGTTTGGTCCAGGGAACGTTCTCAATGTCAGCCCTCTTTCTGGTTATACTCAATATATTGATGTGTGCTCCAGCTCTACGGGCCACAAGGTGACACCTGTACATCTTCTTAGACGCCGCTCATCATGACAAAGCTCATGTACCTAGACTACCTACGCGTTTGCAGACATATGAAATCCCATCTCAGCTAAGTCTTCTCTTACCGACTCCCACAAGATTCCCAGCCACATCAAACACCGCTCCCGTATCAACCGCGCCAGTGCGGCGTGCCGACCCCCCACGCAGCATTCTAAACACGCGCTCATTGACAGCATTTCTCTGCGCGGCAAGGATCATGGCACAGCATTTCGCAACTTTGGTTTTCCTTGATCCTCACAGGGGGGCTCTCCGTATCGCCCGCAGTGTAGTCCACTTGCCTGATGGAAGTATACTCTGGCTGCAGTATGCTCATATGAATGCCATATTCGTGCAAGACCTCGCGGATAGTTTTCGAAGTTGCAACCCATTTCTCAGAATTATTCGTAAAGCTCTCGTCTAAAACGGCATGCATGGATGCCTGCGTCTTCTTCTGATCCAACTGCCAGATGTGAAACTCGTGGATAGCGACGATGCCGGGTATCTGCGTGTCTGGCGTTATTAATGTCTTCTTTTATTCTTGTTGTTTTACTCTTACCATTTCGATATCTCTCTTTATTTTCAAGGTATCCATTCCCTCAGGCGCCGCTTGCATCATAATGCGCCCAGTTTTCTTGCTCAACGGAATCGCGGTGAGGAAGATCAAAAAGGCAATGCAGACGCTGATGGCTGGGTCGACATAGTACCTCTTCTCTCCCGTTCTTGCCCAAATCACCGCTGCCGAAACGATGACAGCGACATTGCCGAATAGATCGCTGATAACGTGAGCCACTGCGCCCAGCATGCCTAGATCTCTGTTTTTGAGACCGAGAATACCAAGCAATACGTCGAACACGCCTCGGTCTCTGTGGATGTGCTTAGAGTCGGCCATTTCGAACTCGTGGCCCATATGGCTGGTGAGTGTCTGCGCTAATGAGTTAGTATAATGTATCAATTTTCGACATCACAACACTTGCGTTGAGATCTGAGCTCTGCCTGGCGCTGCTGCGAGCAGGTGCCTCGGATTCAATAGCCTCTTCAGAGACATTGCATGCTTGGTCGTTCCTCTCGTTGTTGCCATGGTCGTGCTCTAGAGGATGTTTAGAAATGCTCTGCAGGAGATAGAATGCCGTGACCAACCGTGTAAAACCAAAAGGGATAGAACATTAAGGGCAAAACCAACGCATCCAATAATGAGGACGAGTTGGGGGTTGTCGATTGCTATCAAATGATCAGCATTTGAAAGTAGTAAGATGAAGAGGGCAGTACCGACGGGAGATGTGGACAAACCGCTCGATAGCCTGAACCAGAATACTGATTCCAAGGGCCAGAAGAAGAATGCCATTAAAAAATGCACCCAGAAGTACAGCTCGGTGCCATCCAAATGTATACCCCGTTGGTGGCGGGGTTGAGCCTTCGGACACCTAGGCGTCTGTGAGAATTAACGTAGAGACCAGAACGAGTCTTTGCTTACATGGAGTGCTGCCAAGGCAACAACAAAACTCAGCAAGTCGCTCAGCTATTCGCAGATTAGAGAAAGCTTTTAGTATTGGCTTGCATTCTACTCACGTAGTGAAAAGCATCAGCGACAAGCGCCAGAGAATGTGTGTAGAAGCCCGCTGCTAGAGGTCAGTCATGAGGTCCCGGCTGCATTGCAATCGTGACTAACCAGTAAGCTCGGCGACGAAAAAAGTGAAAGAGATTGCAATGGTAGCAATCAGACGCTTTCGACGATCAAAGACAAATCGGCCCATGGTAGCGGGTGATAAGAGAGAGGTTGACAGTGTATTGGTTTTCAGGCGCTGTACTCAGAGCTCTGGGTGTTTTTAGTTCGAAAGATGTCGATGCAGGGTATTGGAAAGGGTTGGATATACAGTTCTAGACAAGCTTTTATGCGCGGTTTATTCCTGGGACTCATGGGAAGCACGAGAATATATGTGGCTGACTCTGTGCTATCGTCGGTGATGGGCCTGCGGAACAGAAGAACTCCAAGAAAACTTCCGTCTTCTTACGCGTAAGACGTCAACCTGACACATTTCCATGGGTAAGGACCGAAACTCTGATCGATGGAACGTAAAGTTGCAGCTAGCTCTCACCATGAGAGGCCTGCCACCAACAGCACTGGAATGGCGAGCAGTCCTGACATTCGTTTCGCGGGGTCGGCAATTGGGGCAAGCCAGGTCTTGACCTCAGACATCATGGTCACTTGTCAAGAATCTCCGATAATTTGCATCTTGGAGTCTCGGTGAATTTCAAGGTCTCCTGGGCTCAAGTGATGAAGCCTCGCACGGGAAACGAAAGGCATCAAGGTGCAATGTTTGCAACGTCGCTGGCGTCGTGGAACAGACTGGGTAGCATCGTTTGCTCTGTAAGTGTCATCGCCCTTTTGTACAGTGTCACCTTCGGACGTTTTTGTGCCCTGAAAGTTGAGGCGGCGAATGCGGAAGCGCAAGGGTGACATCGTCAACGTCAACCTTGGGCGCGATGCTACACGACGCACTGGCGCAACAAAGCCCCGATGTGCGACGAGTGAGAGTGAAACAGCTCTCAATGAGTACGGGTACGTTGGTCGGTTTGCAGTCTAAATTTGTCGACGTGTCAGACGTGCCATGATACGAGGCTTGCAGGCTAGTGGTGTTGGCGAAGCCAGAGTTGATTCACTTTGATGTTGGAGGATGCCCAAAGATGGCGGGTTAATTAGCTACAACAAGTGAGTCTCCCAAAATGGAAGGCGGTGTGGTGGATTATCCACCATAGCTCGGGATTCTGCCGCATCTGTCAAGCTGGGGCGACAACAATCGTCAATCGCATACCCAGAATCGCTCTATCAAAGACATTGGCCGCGTGTTTCTAATCCCTTTGTCGTGGGAGTCATGCTCCAGCCGTCGCCTCCATATGATACCCATCCTGCGATTAGTCGCTAGCCGGTCCCCATGTCCCGCAATGTCGGCGCCGCGCCCCCGGGCCAGCGCAAGGGACCACCGTGGTCTCACCTGCGCGAACCCGTAGCGTACGGTATCGATCGCAAATCCACGGCATCTCCCAGCTCCATCACCAGCACGTCGACTCGATCTACTGTGCGAGAGGACAGGGCGCGCCGAGTCGAGCGCATCTGCACGGTCGTGGTCGCGGAGGGGTACATGCGCGATGAGGTCCTCCTCAATCTCGATATGGTGGGGCCCGAGGTCCGGCCGGGGATGCTCATGGCCATATCCGCGATCAAATCCGAATCGGCAAAGGCCTCCGGTGGTCACGGCAGCTTGAATCGACAAGCTCATGATGGAACCGAGGCGGTGAAGGCGGCTGCGGCGCTGGCTAAGGACCGGACCGCGCTCGGCCATCGTTACATTTTCGTTGTCAAGGATATGCCCCGAGAAATGAAGTCTCGTAACCAAGATTCCGAGGTCTGCATCGTTCGCCACATCTCAGATGCGTTTGGTATGAAACGAGGGAGCCAGGTCCTCCTTACCCCTGTCGATGAGGATCATCGCGCCATGGAGGCATCCCATGTTGAACTGTGCTTCAGAGACGAATATCTGTCTCGGTCAGACATGTGGCGGCTGGCTGTTGATGAACTCACAGGGCGCACAGTCTACAAAGGGCAGTCGGTATTATTCATGGGCACCATCAAAGCTCAAGTTACTGCCGTGTTTGTCGAAGGAGAAAGCGTGCATTCCGGCCTATTCGTTCGCGATACGCGCCCCATTTTCCGAAGCGAATCCGCCAGATATGTCCTGTTCATTCAGATGGCAAGGGAGATGTGGGACTTCGATACCGAAACATCTGGCGAGATCATGTTCAACCGCGTCGTCAATGGCTTCCTGCCTGCGTTATTCAAGCGCTGGGCTTCGCTCAAGGTGAAGCATCTCGTCAGCATTGTACTCTTTTCGCGGGTGGAATACGACACTGGGCTTGCATCTGATCTGGCTAGCGACAGCCTTCTCGATGAATATTTCACTGGTGTGCAGCCTTTCGGCAACAAGCGGCCGTACAAGGACTTTTACCGCGTGGTTGTTAGCGACATGTCCAGCGGTGAATGGACCACGATTTTGTACCAGCTCAAGAAGGAATTCAACTTCTTCCGCCGAGATATTAGCCTCCACCACCAGAGTGTCCCCCTTACTCGCGGGAAGCAGGCCACCGACTCTGAGAAGGACGAAACATTAGTAGCGTTGACGCGCATTAAAGCTGACCCTTCCCTAGCCATCCATGGCAATGTCCTAGAAGCCATACACCTTGCCTCATCCCAGTATGCCCATGATTACATCGATCGAGATCTCAATAGAACCGGCATCTCAATCGCTGTCATCACGCCTGGCCCGGGTATTTTCGAGGTTGATTATGAAACTTTGCGACGGACAACAGAGGCACTGGTGGGTAATGGCATAGGCATTGATCTGATCTGCCTACCAGGGATGCCTCTTCATTCTGTCCCGCTCTTCAAGTACCGAAACCCTCATGCATCAGAAGAGGGCGCCAAGCATCAAAACGCGCTTTCCAGATCATTCCATAGCCACAACAGCACGGGCGGCTACCCAACCCCCATCGTTGGCAGCTATCAGTCCCACACCGAGTCGCTTTCTCCCAGTAAAGTATCACAGAATATGATGAAACACGTCGAGTCACTTACATCGTTACGCAATTCGGACGAGTGGAGTTGCGCTCTGCCTCAGTGGTTGCATGTTTCGTTCTGGAAGGGCGCTGACGAGTCTTTGGCCTATGAAGGCATTGCGCTATCCGTGTCTACCGCCAAGGATAAGAATGAGGACGATTTTGAGATGCGATGCCGCATGTATGGGCTTCAGATGAGAAGTGCCTTGGACACCAACGAGATTGAGACTGCAGCCTTGAGCTCGGATTCCAGCTTTCCCACAAACACATCATTATCATCCAAGAAACGACAAGATAGTGCGTCAGAGAGCCTATACGTGCCCTGCCGCCGGGCCCAGGAAGCCCTCGGAGACACTGTATATGGCTTTCAAAAGTTTGTGCCAGAGAAAATAGCGCGTACTGGAGATTTAACACTCTGGAAGAAGCTGCAGGCATTTGATGACTCTCGGGCCAAGCTCCGTTCTGCCCCTAAACGCCGCCCTCAGCATCACAAGCCAGCCAAAGACATGGACGAGGTGCCACGGAAATACCAGGTTGATGATGCCGCGGTGCTTGGCACATCTGTCCCGGATCGAATGACGCTTCAGCCTTCGCAACATACGACCACTCGCAAGTTTTCTATGGCAGAACCAGAGCGCCCACCGACAGCATCCGTTCAAAAGCCCCCTGAGCCACCGCAGAAGAGTCCCAGCAAGCCACCGTCGACATCTTCGTTTACTGCCAGGCAGCCCAAGCTGATGCGGCACATAAGCCTTGGGCACCGCGGTTTTGGCATTGCTGCCCCTAAAGCAGCAATAGCCGAGCTCAAAGTCGAGACCGTCAACGCATCGCCGGCGTTCTCCTCTGATCCACGACGAGCCTCCAATCCTCGGTCTCTATCCGACATGAGACCGTCAACACCACACAGCATACGAAGCCAGTCGTCAACACTCACGGCTAAGAGAGTCAAGTCAATAAAATCAGATTTAACCGAGCTTGCGTCAGAGACAGCTCCTTCGACCCCGAGCATTCCGATTGCCCATAAAGAGGCGAACGCCCAAGACGGCACAACCAATAACACATTGAAGCCGCCAGTGCCCACTTTGATGCCATCCAAATCACGCGACAAACTCCGTGAAGATCCAGAACTGCGCTATTCAAACTTTATTCGTGCTGAGGACGTTCAGAAAATGTACAACAGCAAGCTTAGAGCTGGTGTTGCTCCCGGACCACAGCTACAGCCGGAACTACCGATCACCCTTTCTCCGACAGCGGCAATCACCCCTTGGCTTACTCTGCTGAACCCCTCCCATCCCGAGAAATATCGCATTGATGATGCGATTCTGTATAGCCGATGGCAGCATGTATTTCCAAAGCCATCAGAAATGAGAACACAGAAGTGGAAAACACTTTGCTGTCCTGCCTCTGTACCTTTAACGACCGAGTACTTTCCGTCCAAGGCGCAATTTGATGCTGAGTACCAGCGACACCCTTATATCGTGGACCAAAACACCGACAGCGATGACGAGCCCATGTCACGGAAAGACTTTATGAAGGAACTAATCGGTCTTCGTTTCTCACAAGGTTTCCAGGTTGTCGTAGGCTCCGCTGTTGCCAAAGCTTTCGGGCAGAAAATGATCAAAATCGCAGATATCTTCTCGCGAGATCAGACCTTTGAAGACGGAAATAGCGTTTTCATGTCGGTGGGCAACACCATCCATCAGCTCTCTTGTGTCAACGGCAGCGAGATTGAAGTCAATATTTTCCTACGGAAGCCTGCACGGACAGCGGCGTCTGAATTCTCAACAATGTACAAGCCGGCTATTCAGACACTACTGGATTCTACCTACGAGACGAGATCGATTGAAATTCTGAATCCAAAGCCGGAAAGAAACTGGAATACGATAGATTCATACTTGGCCGGCCACCACGAAGAGCTTATGGAAAGCTTGCGGTTCTGGCGGACGAGATACGTGCTCATCCCTCTGAGCATGAGATACTCGGCTTCAACCAAGAGCCATTTCGAAGACAACCCCGAAGAGGTCCGTATCGAAGGCATTCAACGGCTGGCTCAGTTGTGGAAGAAGCATCGATACGTGTCGGCATCAGAACGGAAATTTCAGGGCCAGGCTAGGAGTCGCATCTTGGACCGCAGCCCTCTGAATATTATTTACAAAACTGACGACCCTTCGTCAGTCGTTGCAGCGGAGCTTGGAAACCTTCCAACACTTGAAAGCGTCGAATACTCTTCAATCAAGGGGAATTTGATTGTCCGAAAAGAATTGTTTCGACGAGCGAGCCTGAACCTGACAGCCTTGGCCGACGCTCTGCAGCAGCCAATTGAAAACGGCGGTGTTCCTTTGCACAATAGGCGCTGGCACCTTCGAACGCATAACAATGCGTTCATTGGGTCAGACATGACAACCTGGCTGTTGAAGAACTTTGAAGATCTTGACAGTCGCGAAGAAGCGGAAGACTTGGGCAATGCGCTCATGGTAACAACGCCGAAAGAGAAGGACAAGGGCAAGGAGGAGCAGGCAGAGAAGGGCGGCGATACAAAGGTTGAAAAACCACGCGGGCTCTTTGTCCATGTCGAAAAGAGACACCAGTTCCGTGATGGAAACTACTACTACCAGATCGCGCCCGAGTATGCCAAGCCTCAACCGGGCTGGTTCGGCAGCAGGAAGAAAGACGCTGCGTCGTCGCTAGCAGATAACAACAGCCGTGACTCGCCGCGAGCCGCTGCTCCCCGTTCCGCCCCAACTGCCGAGGAGTCCTCCTCCGGGGCGCCTTCTCCGGGCGGCATCCCCATGCTTGGCGCCAGCAAGACTTCCAACCTCAACCGGCCGCTTGTTCAGCTGAGTAAGGTTTTGAAGTACGACGTGGATCATCGAAAGCGATCGTATCGTGCTGAGCGGATTGATCTACACTATGACCGCTTGCACAATCCGGATAATTGCTTCCACATCCGGATCGACTGGATGAACACGACGGCCAAGCTTGTTTCGGATTGTGTAGAGGGGTGGGAGCGCGAGGCAAGCCAATATGGCCTGCGCCTCGTGGAAGTGCCCATCAAGGAGGCATGCCGGATCACGGAAGCTAATCCCTTCCGCAAGCCGCACGAGATTGAGCTGGCCGTCCCGCCACCGGAGCAGATGCCCGAGACCTACTTTGACCCGAACGCTCTCGGTCCGACAAGAGTGCATAGCAAGCACTTTTACCAGACCGCGATCCTCAAGCACTTTGACTTTGTGCTGGACATGGAGGCGGCATCGAGCTTCCCCGACAACGTGGACGTGCGGTACTCGTGGGGCAAGCCCGACTTCCGGTACACGCAGTACATTCACCGGAGCGGCCTGCTGCTCGCGCAAGTCACCGACGAGGGCCACTTCATCGTGCTAGCCAACAGGCTCTATAGCAAGCGCGTGTCTTTAGCCCGGGAGAAGGAGCTCCGGGTGCAGGCCAACGTGGACATTGCCGCCCCGTTGTCTGCCGCGGCGGCGGCGGCGGCGTCGGCCACGGCTGACCGGAGCGCGCGCCTCCTGTCGCTCGGCGGCTTCGCGTCTTCAATGGCCATGGCCATGGCCACCGAACCGGGGACGGGGACGACGCCCATCTCCTCGCCCGTTGTGCGTCCCACATTTGGCCACCTCTCACCAGCGATAGGACCGAGCGACCCTCCCGTCCCCGCGAGCACCTCGCAACCACGACCGCCGGTGCCGCATCAGCGGGACTCCAGCAGCAGCCACAATCATCACCACCCCCTGTACCATTACCACCGCTACCTGCATCCCCTGCAGCAGCTGATGGAGCCCGAAGCCATCAAGGACATGCTGGAGGCGTTTTGCAAGGACTCGGAGGCTCTCGAGTCGTTTTACCGAGACTTGCTGGACCGCGGGCAGCGCGTCCCCGGGACCCCGATGACGGTGTCCACGGTGCTATCGGTGCCCGCCGCGCCGGACCACCCCGTGCCGGAGTCGAGCATCCCCTCGCTGGGCCTCCCGCCGGGCGTGCTGGCCGCCCACCACCACCACCACCACCTGCAGGATCCTCCGCAGGGCGCAGTGGACGGCAGCAACGGCGGCGGCGGCGGCGGGCTGCCGGCCAACATACGCAACTCCATAGGCAGCCCCATGTCAATCCTGCGTCGAGGTAGCGTCCAGTATGACGGGCTCGGGCTCGGCTCCAAAAGCACCAAGTGATCTGTTTGGGTTGCAGAAGTAATTTTGAACGTTTGAATTCAGCGCCTATAAAGAGAGATGCAGCTCGGAATTTAATAATAATCTTCCTATTTTACTTGTTCACCCCATGCAAGCAATCATGACAGCCGACAACTTTGCCTAGGTTTTCCGCCGCGTATAATCCGCGTGATCGAGGAAGAGTCGAGAGTTACTAACAAGAGTGAATTTATAGGTCACTAATAATGATCGAATAACTAGTTCATCGCGTCTAGAGCGGAACCAGGAAAGCTTTAACAAAAGTTGTGTATAGATTAGATAGGTAGACACAATATGCCAAAGTTTTGGGTTGTATGGTACAAGAGTTGTTTTGTTCCCCCCCTCTGCCAGTGCACGCCGACATTATGCAACTGCGGCAGAAACTAGTCGTATGTTTTTTTTATCAAGAAAAAAAAGAGAGAGAAATGGATTCGCTAATACACCACCGTACGGTAGAAGAAAAAAAAGAGAGACAGATTATCGAAGGTTGTGATCGCCAAACACGGTAGCCCCAATCCGTTTTTTTGACCGGTGCGACCATCGCTACTGTCCGTCGGGATAAACTGTAGGCAAAAAGGTTAGCTTCAAAACGTACGTTACGACAAGAGTCGGGGAGGGAAAGAAAGAACATACAGAATGAGCACGTGGCAATGATGGCATACAAGCATATCAGCAAGAACCCTTCCAGCCAGTGACTCTTGCCGTCGCCGATCAGGTAGTTGGTCAGGAGCACAGCGACGAACATGACGGCGACCTGGAACTCGTCGAGACTCAGGTCCATGTACTCGTTGCCGAGGCCCCAGCCAATGATGACGAGCAGGGGGATGAGGAAGAGCGCGACCTGCATGGAGGAGCCGACGGCGACGCCAATGGCCAGGTCCATCTTGTCCTTGATGGCGACGGTCACGGCGGTGGCGTGCTCGGCCGCGTTGCCGACGATAGGCAGCAGGATGAGGCCGACAAACTCCTTGCGCAGCGCCGTCGTCTTGGTCAGGCTGTCGATGGAGTCGACCATGAACTCGGCGCAGAGGGCGATGATGACGGTCGAGAGCAGGAGGGTACCGACGGCGACTAAGAAGTGCAGCTTAGGGTCCTCCTCGTCTTCCTCCTCCTCCTCAGCGTTGAGAGGCTCCGGGTCCTTGATGGGGGGGGCGGCGGGCCCGTTAAGGTTCTGCTCCTGGCTGGAGCTTCCGTGGGCGTGGCGCATGAGGGCGCTGGCGCCAGGCATGTGAGAAAAGCCCTCCTTGATGCTCTGGCCGTGCGTCCACGGGCGGGCGGCCACCTTCTTGCTCTCCTCGTTGAAGACGTCGAGATGGGTGTGCAGCTGGAAGAAGAGGTAGGCAAAGTAGACCAGCAGCAGAATGACGGCGGTGCCGCGCGACAGCTTGGCGATCTCGGTCTGGTCCGCGTTCGTCTTGAGCTCGAAGACGGTGGGCACGATGACCGAGGCGACGGCCAAAGCGAGCAGCGACGCAGCCGTCTGCGCAACGGTGGTATTAAAGTGCTGCTCGCGACGGCGCAGACCACCGAAAAAGAAGCAGAAGCCCATGACGAGCAGTAGGTTGGAGAGGATGGAGCCGATGAGGGATGTCTGGACGACGACAATCTCGCCCTTGATGAGGGCGATGATGGCAACGATGAGCTCGACGGCGTTGCCAAAGGTTGCATTGATCAGGCCGCCGAGGGTCTCGCCAGTGCGCAGGGCAATCTCTTCAGTAGCGTAGCTCAGCATAGCGGCGAGCGGGATAATAGCGACAAAGTTGACAACGAAAACAACGGTCGGGCTGACGCTGTGGACGTAGTGAAGGGCGATGCCAATCGGGGCAGCAACGAGCAGGACGTTGATCCAAGAGTTGAGCAAAGTGTGCTGTAGCTGATTGGCGACAGTAAATGGATGTTTCGGGTGGACGGGTCGGTACAGCGCATTCGATTTGGCCTTCTTCTTCGACTTGCCGTCGTCATCGTCGTCATCCTGGTTGTTGCCGGTGGCTTTGGAAGCGTCGTCCTCGGGCTTACGGTTTCTGATGCCGTTGGCGCCGGCGGCAGCATGGCCGTTACCGTTTGACCTGTCCTCGGTGACTTGGGTGTGCTCGGGATCTTGGTTCGTGTCGGCCGTCGCGGACGAGTGCGTTCTGTCCTGAGGCGCGGTGGCGGCGTGGCTGAGGCGAGATCCGTCGCCCTGTGCTTCTAAGTCGCGGTCGTTGCGATCAGGCGCCCAAGTACCTCTGCGTTTCTGGTCCCAGACCGATCCAAATGGGTTCCAGCCGGCGCCACCGGAGCGGCTGACGGCGGCCGCGTCGCGCTTGATCTTGTAGGTGTTGACTGTCATTGGGTGATTGCAAGGGTCAGCGTCGGGGGTGTTGGGTGTAGAATGCTTAGATGATGTGGGAGATCATGAGGATGCGCTCTTGGGAGGAGGGGAAAGGAGAAGAAGATATATGATATGTTATGAGGACATCGGAGGGTAAATGTGTGTGGATGGACGATGCGGTGTCGCGATTAGGTGCGCTGGTAGGCGGGAAGGCGGGAAGGCGTGCGATGGATGGTGCGAGGTGAAGTGCTGTTATGATGACAGCGGGAAGCAAAGCGGGAGCACACGAGAGCCAAGTTACGTTGACCAGGTGGCCAGCCAAGCCTCGTTGTGTTGCGTCGCGTTGCGTTGCGTTGTGAAATGTAGTGTAGTGCAGTGTAGCGTCACCTCGGAGGGAGGCAGTGTGGGTGAGTGAGATGGAGGACGAAGAAGAAAAAAAAAGAGTCTTTCAAGACAAGGCGAGGCGAGGTCGGGAGAGCGGCAAGAGAGCGGCAAGAGAAGGATTGACATGGATGGGGCGAATGATGATGGTGGATGATGGTGGATGATGGTGGATAGTCAGAGGGTTTGTGGCATTGCTGCGGTTTGGAGCCAAGCAGGTTCGGGGAGGTGGATAAGATTAACTTGGAAAGAAGGCACAGGTGCCACGGGCCGGTGCATATGCACGGTGCAACCGACGCCCGATGAAACCTTGCTCCAAGTGGAAGTGGCAGGCTCGTGCAGATGTTTGTGCACGCGCGTAAAGGAAAGGAAGCAGGGAAGCAGGGAAGCAGGAAAGCAGGGAATAACTAGGTAGGGGACGGATCGATGACAATGATGAAACGGTTCAACTCACAGCTCATTGTTTGGTTTCACTGAGGGAGGTGCTCCACTCTAATCGGGAATAGTGAGGTGGTGAGTGAGTGAGTGAGTGAGTTGAGTCTGGGGTCACACTTTTCACTATGAGGCGCGCCCAGGAGGTGAGATTTGGCTGGGTGAGTGAGGGTGAGTGAGCGGCGCGCCACTCGAAAAAAAGGGGGGGTGGCCAAGAAACCAAGAGATCGGATCTCTCTGCAGGCAGCTTGGCGATGAGACAAACAGAAGAAATGCCAAGCAAAATTAAATGGAAGAAAAAAAAGTCCCTGCATCACAAACCACATCCGTTAGCAATGAGAATCTTGTCGTCATGTAAATATGCTGTAACCAGCCGGCGGCCTCACTAGCCAACTGCCATCAATCCCGCCTTGACTCGGCAGAACATACATAGGCTGCGTTGGTAGCGCTGGCGGTTTGGAGGAGGCGCAGCAATCGCACCATGATAAAGTAGAAAAATACGCACACGCAAAAGAACCAACGTAACGGGATGGCGCAGGCGGACAACTTACTTACTCTTTTGAGAAGGACTTTGTTGGGGCAGACCGTGGTCAAGTTCACAGTCCGGTCAGCACCACCAGCACAGCCCGGGCCGGCGCGTAACCAACGAGGCAAGAGAAAATAGAAAAGAGCGAGAGCGAGAGCGAAAGGGGGGGTGACGATGTAAGCGTGCGCCACACGTTATCTCTGCGATTTTGTCGAATCCTACCCTTCGTCCTGTCTGGGGGCAAGAGAGAAGAAGGACGACGGTGATGAAGGGAGAGGGGGGAAGCGTCGCTCTCTTAATATTTTGTTTTTTTTTCCCTCGTCGCGCAACTTGTAGGGAGCCAGCGTACGCCCCCTTTCCTCACGAAAACCAGGGCGAGCAGGGCCCAGGTAGCACGGTGAGTAGTAGCGCGCGAAAGAGGGTTTATTTTAGACTCAACTGGGGGCCCGTCACGTTGGTGATTCGGTCAGACAAAGGTCGATGTGGTGCGGGAGTCAAAAAAAAGACCAAGAGACAAAGACGGACGGACGGGTAAGTGAGATGGGAGAAAGGGAAGGGAAAGCGTGCGACATGAGACGCAAAACCCCAGCTCGTTTTGCAATTCCTCGTTTCGCCCTGCCTATCTCTCTCTCTCTCTCTCTCTCTCTCTCACCGACCAATTCATTCACTACTTCCGAGGAAACACTTATGTATGTATGTATGTACCTAGTACCTAAACAGCCTGGCGCATCAAACTGCCGTCCAACCGTCTCAAATCAACAAGGCAAGGCGGCCCAAGCCCGAGGCTATTTGAAACGAGGAACTTATTACTAGGGCACCAGGCGGCCTCCCTGTATTTCTCTACTGGGTAACGTAAATCTGTTGATGCCCATTCCAGACCTAGCTGCCAGTCATAACTCCTCTCCCTCGCCCAAGACCACCAGACTGGCCTACATCCCGCCAATAACACATCCTGCCATCGCTAGGGCTTGCGCCAACCTTCGCTGTCAACTGTTACACTTGCTCGCTGGCTGCTCCGTGGCTTTACGCATCCCCTGTTCCTACATAGCTCTCCGCCTCGCATCCTGTCGTCATAGCCATGCACACACAATGTGCCACCAAGCCCAAAACCATTGGCGCCCTACACTCTTCCTTGAGCTACCCAACAAACCAAATACTACGGAATTTCCACGGAGCGGCGCCATGGCAACTCTTCTATTTCAAGAAAATAAGGACAAGGAGAGGAGGGTAAGAAAAACATCCCTTCTATTACTCATAACCATCGTAGCTACCTTGTTTCCTTTCAGCAGAATGCGTCTCGATCAAATCAACTCGTCTCATGGGTATGTATCAGCCAAATCGAAACGCCATCTTCCCCCGCAGTCTGCTCACCAGAGCAGTTTCCTAATCATGTAACTTAGCAAGAGTTTGTTTCAGGGACGCCGCCTCCCAGTTTATCTTAAACCATAAGCCCCGGCCCGCAAGGAAAACCACAGAGAAAAATTAAAGCAACAAAAAACCAAAGAGCAGAGGCGCCAGTCCCGAGTCCGCCGCTCATAAATGCACAGCCCATATAACTAAAGCCATGACCCATCACCTTCGTCGTCGTCTGCCTCTATACTTGACAGACGTGGCCGCCCTCGCTTGCGTGGCTGAGAGTCCGATCGAGGACGCTTCTTTCGTCCTCCAGGGGTAGACCCTCCTTTCCTCTTCCGTCCTCTGTCACCCCCCTCTCCGTCATCCTCCCCGCCTTCACTTGCAGATCCCGCCCCATCCATGTCCGCCTGCTCGTCGTCTTCCACAACCTTGAATTCCTTGTCCACGCTCATCAACTCAATCAACGCCTTGCACTTGTTGACCATGCCTTGCAACGTATCGTATCCGGTCTCCTGAGCCGCCAGCTCTTCCCAGATCTTGTCCCCGTGCACACCTTGCACCTTCGTCGGCGACTTGTTGAGATCCTTGGTCAGAAGTTTTGCCTTGCTGTCGTGTCGGCCCGTTCCCATGTTGTACAGCTTTCGTAGATACGTCCGAGCCTCCCATAGCATGAGCAATATCACCGACGCCGATGCTAGCTGGCGGGAGCGTGCGGGTTCGACATCCGCACCCACCACTGGCGCCTCTGCAATTTCTGCTGGCTCTCCTTCCGCGTCGCCCGAGGCTTCTTCCGTCCCATTCGGTGCATCCATGTCCATGCGCATGTTGAAGATCTCTGACTCGATGGCTTGGGCAACAGTAGCTCCAGTTGTGCTAACAATCTTCTCCAGACTCTTCACCACTGTGTGCACTTCACCCATGGTCTGGTACTCGAAAAAGACAAGGTTATCCACCACGAACCGAGCAAAGGCAACATGCTGCGGGATGCCACTCTTGGCATCAAGTTTGTTGAGATCAAAGTTGACCAGGTAGCAAAGCTTCTCCATAAACCTTTGCTTATTCTTCATCTTGCTGATTTTCAGAACCTCCATCAGCAGGTGCAGCTTGGCTTGAAACGGGTCTGTCGTAGCACCGTGGATGTCTTTGACGATATCGCGCTGGTAGTTGAACACCAATTGCACTGCTTTAGTGTACTCTCGCTCCAACACCGTCTCGTGCTTCTCATGCAGCGATCTATGTTCCGAAAACGCTAATTCTGCAATCTTCTTGTTGGCAGATGTCTCCAGCGTGATCAAAGTCAGTCCCGTTTCCTTGGGATGCGTTAAACCTTGGCGATTGATACTACCCAGAACCTCCATCGCCAGGAATGCGAATTCATCCTGGCTGGATAGCGCTATACGGGTGAAATCTTTGATAAACCGTTGCGTTGTGGCGCTAGCAACATCGTCGAAATTGGTGCCGCCCATAATTGTGAGTTCTCGTTTGCCGCCAGCCGCGGCAGCTTGAGAAGAAGCCTCCGATCGCCGCTCTTCTCCCATGAGAAACTCTTTGAAGGATCGAAGGATCATGTTTTCCAGAATGGGTATCTGATCCAGGAACACTTGCTGAAATGCTGTGTAGACCTTTGCAAGCACATAATTTCGCGGCCAGGACTGGCAAACTAGCCCAATCGCTTCAAGTGCTGCCTTTCGTGCCTCAAGCGGTTGCTTAGGATTGGTAAACGGGGAAACAATATCCACAATCAAGCGCGGCACTGAGTCGCCCTGCCACTTTTGGAATTTGGCCTTGAAAATTTCTATTTGTTGATCCAAGTCACAGTGTTTCGCCACGTTGCCGACGATGATCGCGTACGCGCAAAGAATATTGAGGCGCTTTGGGTCTAGTGGTGCAGCCGCAATTTTCTGGATGCCGACCAAGCTGGAGGCAACCAGGTTAGCCATTGGGCTGAAGTCGTTGAGCAAGTCGCAAACGACCTTGGCGCAGGCAATGAGATCGTCAAGCGCGCCTCTCGAAGAGATTTTTCCAACACCTTGAAGCAGTTGCTTGCGCACTTCCCCCAGAAATTGCGAGTGTACAGTAGAGAGTTGTGGGAGTACCCTCTTGTAAATGACTGTGACAGCACGGAATGCAGCGAGCTCTTCTTGCCCGGCAAAGCTCGCTAGCTGCGGCTTCAAGAGACGGATTTGCTCAAAATTAAACAGCTTCGGGTCCGCATTAGCAAAGATGGTCAGAACTTGAAGCGCATCTCTGCCGGACGCTCCTGATGAGTCTTCCGAATCCGGGTTGTCGAGAAGCCCGAACATGTCGCTGACCAACTTAGAGCAGACTGAAAATGGGCCCTCCAGTGACTTGTTGTTTGGCCGAAGAATGGCGTGGAAGACCTTATCGAGGACCTCAGTGGCTGTTCCTGTTTTCACAGTTTGAATGATGAGGGCCACATGCTCTGTGATGGCGGTCTGGTAGGCAGCTGTTCCGTCGTTCGAGTAGAATGGAGCAAACCACACCTCTTCGATCATTTGACGAGCTAGATCTCGTACACCTTCGTCTGGGTCTTGGACACGTCGAAGCAGGCCATTCGCAATAGCGCAACGTAGGCCCTTGTTCCTGTTGCGCAAATAAATGTCTCGGGCCAACTTCATAGCACGTTTTCGTACACCGACGCCCGCATCTTGGAAGCGGTCAATAATTTTGGGCGTTAACGATGATTCAAGAGCCGAGCGCATCGTGATACAGCTGCCAAGCAATCCCAGAGCAGAGTCCCTGACCTGAGTCGAAGAGTCACTAGAGCATTCCAGAATTAGTTGAATGACGCTGGAGTCTCCATCCAGGATCGAGGGATCTGTCTCCAGAACTTGGTTGATGCTCTTGAGGCTCTTGCTTCGGACAGTCGCTTGGTCACTTGCCATCGAGCCAAGCAGAATATTGAGGATTTTGCCAAAAGACTCGCAAAGTGGCGACCGTAATAGAATAATGGCAAATGCGAGTTTCGCTTGGTTGGCGCTTATTGCTTTGAATCTGTATTCACTAGCAAGCCATTTGCGATCAGCAACCATCTTCCGCAGTCGATAAGCGAGACGCCCGAGCTCGCTGTCTCGCTCAATTTCTTCGTCTTTGATCGAATCATATGCGATATAAGTCCTATTTGCCCAGTCCGTGATAACAAATGCTACGGCACTGGCCAGGTGCTGATCCTCCGTACTGCGGCTCTGCAAGTACTCGAGTACGGCACGAAATGGCCCTGCCCACGCCACCAAATATTCCGGTTGACTCTTTTGCTCTAGCACATGGATAGCAAGATCAGCTAGATAGCGTGCCATTTCGTCTGCATCGGCACCTTCAAAATTAGTGGCAGTGCGTTTGACGTGCGAGCGCAAACGCGAGATTGCCGCACTCATGGAGCCGAGCAGCTCCAGCGCCATGTTTTTGGCCGGAACAGCCGTTCTTTGACCTTCAAACAACTGCACCATGCGCAACATCAGGAGGCGCAAAAGAAGCTCAGCGCAGGGCCAATCAGGTGAGTCGAGGCATACAGTGAAGTCGTCAACAAATAAATCCAAGAGGTTGCGATACGGCGTGTCTCCCGATTTGGTAGAGCCAATAGCCCTCTTCACGATAAAGTTGATAACATAAGAGGCGTTCCGCGATGCTGTATCATACAAGGGACTAGATAATGTGTCCAGTTCTTGTATCGCAATTGCATGTTGCTGCGAAGCATGTTCCTCGCTCGTCAAGGATGACACGGCTTGTCCTTGTCTTGAAATCGGTTCAGCAGTGTCGGTGGGTGTGCTATCGGCATCTCCATCCAAGTCTCTTAGCAGCGCAGCTCGGCGTCCCTCGCTACTTTGGTCGACTTTTCCGGAACTAGACTGTACTAGCCGCATAATGAGGGCAGACACAGGTTGAATGCTGCCACCATCAGCCAATTTGAACTGCTTCGAGCTCTGCTTGCCGACAGGGAGCTTCTCCAGCGAGGTGAGAATGTCATCAATAATGCCCTGCCGCTGTTCAGGCTTATTGACAAAAATTTGGCAGAGAATATCCATAGCCACTGAGCGAATACCATCGAACTTTTGTACCCCGACAACCGACTCGCGCTCAACATGTGCATTCTCGACGAAGATCAGTTTCGAGGCCGTGTACTCCAAGGTATTGATTGCAGTCTCGGAAAGCTCGATCCTAGCAATCAGCTCACCCATCAACGCAAACAGCTTTTGGCACGTAACAAAGACAGTGGACAGTGTCTTTTTGTGCTTGAACATGAGCTTAAAAATGGCTGCCCCAGTGCCGCTGCTTCCAAGTTCCACAAGAGGCATAACAATATCCTCCGTAACAGACTTGCATAGGTTGACGCATCTGAGAATCATAGCTTCCGCGTATAATTGCTTGTCCTCTCGGCCACCGGACAAGATTCGGAGACATGTTCGCGCAGCCTTCATCGCTGTTTCCACGTCTGCAAGCTGGGCAACCCAAGAATCCACAGCCGCCTCGTCCCACTTTTCGTCAATGTGAATATCGATAATATCCATGTACTTGAGGCTAGTTTCACTAAGCTTGATGATTTGAAGCAGGTTTTCCAGAGCGACTCTGTCGAAGGTGCGCAAGTCAATAGCTTTTTGTAGTGCGCCGTGCAATTTCTGGTGGACCCCAGCAGTCATTGCAACTTCTTGATCTGGCATCAACCTGACAATATGATCGTAACCCGGTTCCATTGCAAATGCATGCCCAACAGCTGAAAAGATAGTGCGAAGCTGGGACTCGAGGGCGTCAAGCGCAGCTTCCCCACGCTGGCGCTGGTCAAGGCTAGAACCAATGAGATCTTGTCCTTCTTGACCATTGCCATAACGACGCGCCGACAAGTTGCTGGGCGCATCAGGAGCAACCATTATGTCTGCGTACTCTTCTCGCCCACTCATCGTTGGAAACTCGATGCGCAGGCCTCCCGCCGGCTCTGGGGAGGCAACGGTAATCTCATCAGCTTCTGCTGGTGGCGCCGATGACGTTTTCTTCGAGGATGCTGGATTCGTGTTCACAGGTTGCACGAAAGAGTCGAAATCTTCATAGCCAGACGGGTCGAAATTTCTCGAGGCTGTGAGATCGATCTCGACTTTCATCGAGCTCGACTGAGCAGCCTCGGCGTTGTGTGTGGCAGCATTTTTGCTAGCGATGGGTGAACTCTTCTCCAAAGTACTCTTGCCGACCTTGTCGGGAGTCTTTTTAGGAACCTTGTCCAGATCATTTGACAGCTTGCGGTTGTGCGATGGTGTAGAGCCGTTCACAGCTTTATCAGCCTTGACGCTCTTACTAGCCTTGAAGTATGTCTCAACTCGATCGTGGACAGCTTGCGTTACAGGCGTAAGGCCATTTGCGACAGGTTTTTTGCGCGTCGATTTCACCCGGCCGTGCGGAACAGGTCGGAAATCGCTACAGGAAGAGAGAGGTTAGACATGGCAGTCTCAAAATCAACTGGGAGACGTACTACTGTGTGCGCTGTGCGGGTTTCATGTCGTGGAGCACAAAGTCGACAGCCTGCTTGATATTCTTCGACTGCTGGTCCGTCCCAGCCGCTGCCTCGTTCAGATTGTCAAACTCTTGTCGAGGAAATAACCCGGAAACAGGTTCGGCGGGTGAACCGGAGCCGATCGAAGGATCTGGGATGATGTCTACCAGATGTTAATAAACCAAAGATGCAAATTATCAATCGAAGCCGCATACAAGGAATGAAAGGGACCGTCGAGGTCTGCGGAGAGTATGGAAGAGCTTGTTGGAGGGTCAAGGGTTGAGAGATTGTAGCAGCAATGTTCATCTCCTCACGACGGCTGCTGAGGCCATTCTGAGGACCGTTCATGTTGTCAGAGTGAAATGCTGCTAACTATCGTCGTCGTTACGACTGTTTGCCAGCTGGCATTGCGGGCCAGAGGAGTCGCCGGGCAATGGCGCATCGAGGTGCAAACGCAGGGGCGAGCTGGGGACAGCGAACGCCGCTCGTTAACGGATCGCAGCCAGGAGAAAGCGACCAGCTAGGACTAGCCACCACTACTCCCGGTGGTATTGTATATATATCGTAGAGCGCAATCGGATGCGATGGGAGCCATCAATGGGATCGCATCGGCATGAAAGGGAGTTGGGATTTTCCGAAAAGCCAGGTGATGAATGAAGCCGCCTGTAGATGCGCTAACCGTGAAGCAACTCCAGGAAGGACACCCCGATCCGGCATGATTCTTAGCGGCCTGGTTGACCAGTCAGCGCATTTTCGTGACACTAATCCACTTTGGGATTCCCTCTTCTCTACACCAATCAAGTGGCGCAAAAGAGCCATATTCTCCATAAATATTTTCTTCTGGATCAAGTTGCCGAGCTTCATTTGTTGGAGAAAAAAGGCTTTGCACAAGAGACATCAACTCCTCCAGCGGCAACACTCCTCCCAAAAAAGAAAGACTGATTTACAATGGCAGCAATTGGATCTCTGGTTTTTTGCACTAATTGTGGCAACCTCCTGCCCTCTACCAAAGGCACGGTGCAAAATGTGCTGCAATGCGAGTGTTGTCATGCTGAAAATAAAGGTTCGTTCTCATCCTGTGCTGACAGTGAGTAGGAAAAGGCTCTAACGATTCTGCTGGCAATAGATACCGGGGCGAACACGACCGTCACCCAATCTAAGCCCTCCGATTTTCCCTCGCTACTCAGACAAAAGCTGCAATCCAGCGTCCAAACCGTCGAGCGACACAATATCAAGGCTGACATGGTGATCCGTGAGACGTGCCCGAAGTGCGGGCGCGAAGAAGTTCGATACACAAACTTGCAGCTTCGCAGTGCAGACGAAGGCTCAACCGTGTTCTACATGTGCGACTGTGGTCATTCGTAAGTTCCAAACAAAACTACAAATACATGCTACAGTACACTGACATAATCTTCCAGTTGGCAACAAGACAACTAAACGGCCACTCGAAAAAAGGCTTTTTATTCTATATCATCGTTATTTTAAACGGAAGCGCGAGCCGCTTCTGGGATCAGCGCATATTCGGTGTCCCCGCTCTGTTCATAGTCGACCATGTCGAGCGCAACAATTATACTTTCGCGCACCACCTTTTCCTTATCATGGAGGAAGGGCCTCAGAATATCCTCAACTCCCTCCTCCTCTCCCAGGCTACCAAGAGCCTCTGCAGCTTCGTGGCGTACCATGCTCGCTTCGTTGACATTGCTGAGTGCCTCTGTGAGGGCTGGGATCGAGGCAGGGTGCGAGAGCTGACCAAAGACAAAGGCGATCTCGTGACGGAAGAGAGCAGACGGGTCGGCAAAGCCCTTGGCAAGCGCAAGGACGGCTGGGACGGCGGTCGGCAGGTCAGGCGGGGACGCCAGGTCACGGAGCGAGAACATGGCGCGATATCGCAAGAAGAGTGGCAGCTTGTCATCCATGAGCTGCTTTCCGAGTTCTTCCACATTTTGTTCAGTTTCGTCGGCCGGGGGCGCAGGATCGATGGATGCAAAGTCACTATATAGGCGTTAGTTAGGGAACCAACAGCACCATTCACACCACTTAAAAGGACATACCTCTGCTTGAGCTTCTCTGTTTTTCTATTCTGAGAGTTGGACCATTCAATACGATCGATCGCGATTTCACAGGTCTCAACGACAGAAATATCTTCCCCCTCACGGTCGCGGAACTGCTTCAGCAGCTCGAGGCTCTCCGCGTGACCCAACGCGCCAAGGGCTTCGGCGGCCTCGTGGCGCACCATGGGATCTTCTTCTAGGTTGCACAAAACACCACGCAGAGGCTGTACCGCGGCATTGTTGGCAGTTTGTCCCAGGCAGTAGGCGAGTTCGTGCTTGAGGAGGGCAGAGGGTGACGCAAATGCCGCCGCGATGCTCTCGATGGCGGGGCCCGCCGCGCTCTTGTCCGTGACGGCCAGGTGCTTCAGGGAGAAGAGGGCGCGGAAGCGTACGGGTAGGGGAGTGGCCTCGGAGACCAGGCTCTCGCGCAGCTTTTCCACGGTGACGGTAGCCATATTCTATGATGTTCTCTCGCACACAAACAAGTCCTTCGCAGAAGCGCGACAAGCCCGCACCCACCCTAAAAAAGATCTGATTAAAGAAAAATTTAGGTGGGGTGGTGCGCCGATAACACCGACCCCGCCATCTGCTAGGGCCGAGGAAATCTTTGCGCTTTATAGACCGGAGTAAGCAGAAAATTAGCAGCTAACCATGGGAAGTGGTCAACCACTTCAAAGGTTCCATGGTCTAACGGTTATGACTGCGGATTCTGATTCCGCCAGCGAGGGTTCGACTCCCCCTGGAACCTTTCCTTTTTGCACTTTGCCACGGTGCCCTCACGACCGCATTCTTTATTCTGAATGGCCGAGACTTTTGCTTTTTCCTCGCTCTTCTCAAGCTATTCTGCTATATCTTACTTTTTCGTGGTCTCATATATTTGCTCCGAGTCAAGCCCGCGTACATTTGCACTCGCGCGTTGTTCGCGTAAAGTGCTGGGGGGCTCAAAATCAGGTTACCCTACATCAGTAGCAAAAATATATATGTTCGGGCTTTGATCATATCAGCAGCCAGTTTTCGAAGATAGACAACAAGGAGTCATTAGGACATCATCTAATCCCAGCCGACAGAACATATAGATATAGCGGATAGGGCTTGGATATAATACCTGGTACCAATGTATGCATCGCATTAGTAATTGTAGTGCCGTTGGCGCATCCACAACTCGATGCGCCACACGCCCGACAACGGAACCCGGAACTTCGATTCACCAACGTACTCTATTACCCCCATTTACGATTCAGATCGAGCGGCTGACCTCTTGATTACGATTACTCTCACTAGCCTGCGAACCATCCACCACCCACACGAAAGAAACACACACAGACAACAGCCCGCGAGTATGGCGCCGTCGCTCGAGCAAGCCGAGTCGGTGGACGACGTCCTCGCCAACCCGCTCAAGCAGAAGCCGCAGCTCGTCGCGCCCGAGCCTGCGCACTGCCCCGGGCCCGAATCCGAGCAGGCCGGCGCCGCCGACTCGTGCGCGGGGTGCCCGAACCAGGCCGTGTGCGCGTCCACCGCCGCGTCCGCCAAGATCCCCGACCCGGACCTGCCCGTCATCGCCTCGCGGCTGTCCGGCGTGCGCCACAAGATCCTCGTGCTCAGCGGCAAGGGCGGCGTCGGCAAGAGCACCTTCACGTCGCTGCTGGCGCACGCGTTCGCGACGGACCCCGCGCGCGCCGTCGGCATCATGGACACGGACATTTGCGGGCCCAGCATCCCCAAGATGATGGGCGTCGAGGACGAGACCGTGCACGTCAGCGGCTCCGGCTGGTCGCCCGTCTGGGTCATGGACAACCTCGCCGTCATGAGTATCCAGTTCATGCTGCCGGGGCGCGACGAGGCCGTCATCTGGCGCGGGCCCAAGAAGAACGGCCTCATCAAGCAGTTCCTCAAGGACGTCGAGTGGGGCGACCTCGACTTCCTCCTCGTCGACACCCCGCCGGGCACCAGCGACGAGCACCTCAGCGTCAACACGTTCCTCAAGGGCAGTGGCATCGACGGCGCCGTCGTCGTCACCACACCGCAGGAGGTCGCGCTGCTCGACGTCCGCAAGGAGCTCGACTTTTGCCGCAAGGCTGGCATCCGCGTCCTCGGTCTCGCGGAGAACATGAGCGGTTTCGTGTGTCCCGGCTGCAAGCACGAGAGCCAAATATTTAAAGCTAGCACGGGAGGCGGCCGCGCACTCGCCGAGGAGATGGGCATCCCGTTCCTCGGCGCCGTCCCGCTCGACCCTCGCATCAGGATGGCCTGCGACTACGGGGAGAGCTACTTTGATTCCTTCCCGGATAGTCCGGCTTGCAAGGCCTTTCAAGGGGTGGTGCGCAATTTAGCAGAGCAACTAGGGCTGGATTCACAGGACATGTTACCGGAATGAACGCGTGCTGTTTATAACGAAATAGTAAATATATTATGACAAGACGACATGTGACCTGCTACGAAACTAAGTAAACCATGCCCACACCTTTTCCTCTTAAACACAATCAGTCAGATGCCAGTCTCTTGGGTATATCTTCGAGGTCTTCGATGGATTCGATATCAACAACGCGACCTGCTTCGCTGGTACTCCGCATAAGCTCCTTAGCGCCAGCATATATCATTCTCATCTCCGCATTGCAGGTATCAGGGAGATAGTACAGCAGGACGTATGGCACCGAGGCTCGGCCGTCGCTCTGCACAGACAGGAATTAGCTTCGCCTGCCCCTCGAAATAGTAGACCTCTGGACTCACGAGTGTCAAAGGATAGCTCAGGAGCACAAAGCGTGGCGAGTGGTCGGGGAGATCATCGCCAATTTCCTCCAGCGTGCTGTATACTGTCTTGTCGTCATCCTGGCGGATCTCGTGCGTGTTCTTGTCGACCAAATCTAATTAAAGCAAGCGATTAGATATGAAACCGCCATCGCTGCAGAGCAAGTCTGATACCTACAGATGACGGCTTGGGGCCCCTTGGCGCGGGATGTGGACAGGCGAAACTTGCGAAGATGCTCCTTGGTCTCCCCAGAGAATGAATATAGTCTTGATTCGGACGCCTTTGTGAAGCTTGTTAGCTGGATATAGTAGATGACACCGCTATATTGCGTACCATTTTGTGAGTTCTCCAGAGATCTCGCTGGTTCAGGGATTATCTGTGGTGGAAAGACGTGGTGGACCAAGCCTCCCTTGTCACTGTCGTCATGCCCCGCGTGGCTGAGTTGGTGGGAAAGGAGAGTGGCTGATGGAGGGGTAGTGGCTGAGAGGTGGCGGCACATTCACTTCAGTTATGATGGATAGATAGACAATGCATAATTTAATTCATGATTTAGTTCATTTCAGTGTAGATTCACACGGGGCATTGTGGCCCTCATTACTGTACTTGATAACTCGTGAAAATGATGCAAGTATCCCTCAATGTGAGCCGTTCCTTCCCGGCTTCTCCCGCCGTACTATTTGTGCGCTTCTCATTACTGTGCTGCCAGGCACAGAGCGCGGAAAAAGATACAAAGGAAACTTTCTTCATAATGACAAACAAAAATCATCCCAAAAGTCGTTATATATGCTGGTACTGTCGTTGTATATTAAACATTTTAGTGAAGTCGTTCCTTGACGTAAACCATGGCGGCCAATCCAGCGCAGCAACTGGTACTCATTGCGTGTTTGCACCATGGACATTTTACCGTCATCGAGATGGCACCTCCAAAGTCAGACCTGTCTTTGGGGCATAAGACCACGTCAGGGTTCACCATTGCGTCGTATAATTTGCTGGGCATGTCGTGATAGTACTTGCATCCGCAGCATTCGACGAAGACCTTGGCAACGGTGTCGCCATTGGAACGCTTCGTCGGCTGTGCTTTTGGGTTCTTCAGCGAGAGCTTTGGAATATCCGTGAATGAAATGTCAGAAATGCTGGAAAAATCGGTAAAATTTGAAGGAAGCTTCAGAGGCTCATGCTCTGTGGTAGGGTTCGCCGATGGCATGGGAGGCAAAGCTGCCATGACCTTTCTAGCCGCTGCCTGGATGGGATCGACTTCGCGATCGATATCGTGAGCGCCGGTGAATGAACTGGCAGAAACAAAGGAGCAAGCCTCGCTTGGGTAGGCGTTGTCGTGCAACTGAATTCTGGGCAGTGTAAACCGTTCAGACTCTCCCGAAATACGGGGAAGACCCTTCTCCGACTGAGGTCTCGAGGTATTTGGAGTGCTTGGCATTGAAACAGTGTTGAAGCAATCAGATGCAGAGTCTTCTGAAGAACTGGAAGTCATATGTGGAAGTTCGGAGCGTTGAAGAACCCATTCTTGACTGTTCCAGAAGGCTTTCTCGCCCTGTTCCTTCTCATGCTTCTTCTCGGCCTGGGCCATTGGCTTGATGGTATGTTCAATCGTGTCCATAACTGACGATTGAAGATTCTCCCAAGAAGGACTGGCACTGGGCTGTTTGGTATCGCTGTTGACAGCTGTGGAGGGCAAGTCATAAAGAGACGAAGTAGCTGTCTCGATTGGCACATTTAGCGGAGCAAGATTGAGCAGAGGCAGTGAAGGACTTCCGATGAGCATGGAGTTGCGCTTTGAGCTCCGGCGAGGAGGTTCTGGAGGAGGCGGTGTTTTCCGCACAGGTTCTTGGCTCGGTCTTGTTGGCTTTTCCATTGCCTGCTCGTCCTCGCGCTCAGGCTTCTTCGCGTCCTTATTTCCAGAGCAGACATTCCCTTGGGTAGGAGTCTCACTAGTTTCCGAGACTGGACCGGCCTCCGTCGTGATAGGGGTCCGCGACGAGGAAGACTTGCTTGAGGATCTGAGGCCAACACGCGCACGCCATTTTTCGATGGTACTGAGATCTGGCACTGGCGGAGATGTGGGTGATGCTAGGAACATGGACTTTGACTTTGTGGTCTGAAAAGTGTTTGGAGGGTATGCCCGTGAATTTGTGTTCTTCGTACCTGCGGCGCGAGATGGCAGAGGCGGGGACTTTAGAGCCGTGCTGCTCGTTCGTAGCGCAGGGTGTACATCAATGGGTTCAATTGTGCTCGGCTCCATGCTCCTTTCGTTGGCAAGATGTTGCTCGTACTCGAGCTTGATGCCTCCAATAAATGGACGCTCTTGAGATTGATCGATTGACGATCGTCGAAAGTCGAAAGTCGATTTGATGAGAGAGGAGAAGGACCCAGCGCGGGAGCGAGGTTGTTTGTAGAACGGGGGTTCTTTGGGTGGATTATCGGAAAATACCATGCTTGCTGATCGAGACTTTCTGCTATTGTCCATAATCGCTGACTGGGATTGATTCGAGCCCGCTTGGTTCGAAGCATTGGCGGGTGAGACTGGAGGGGCCTTGCTTAGGCGGCGAGGTTTTCTCGTAGCTTTTGCCTCATCCTTGACTCTTCTCTCGTCTTTCTTCTCTTGCTTTCGTCTGTCATACGCCTCCCAGCTTGGGGACTGGCAGACAGAACTGTCATTCCCGGACTTTGGCGCTGGAGAAGCCTCAACAGTAGAGCTGTATGGTATGGAGGGCGGGATGGCAGGAATATTTTTGTTGCTTCGACGAATCTTCATGTTGCTGACAGGCTCGGAAATGGCAGAAGAAGAGGGCTTCGGTGAAGCTGTACTGACATCTATTACCAGCTGTGGTTTGGGCGGTTGAGTCTGTAGCGGGAAGCTTCTCTGGCGTTGCTCGCTTCTTCGACGGTCTTGCACTGTCTGAGGCTCAATCTGACGGCCCCGCGTTGTAGGACGGAAAGGCTCCGGCGGTGATGGGAAGCTGCTGGGTTTGGCACTGGGATAACTGAATTGATTTGAGCCGATGCGCAGTCTCTCGTTCTGAAAGGCGAGGGTTATTAGCGAGGGGCGGGGATGGCGATAGTAGGATGAGGCGGCGCTTACCATATATTGTCTCTCGAGATTCAGCATGCGCTGCAAGCTGTTTGAGCGAGTCTGGCGAGATGCAGTCTCGGCCATGATGCAGGTGACTGATTATAAGGTATCGAACGAGGACGAAAAAAAAATTCCGCGCTTCGACGCGGGCGTGGTGCAACGTGAATAAGAAGGTGCAGTGGGCTTAGCCGGGTCGTACACGGCAGTGGCTCTGACACAACAAAGAACGGTCAACGGCAGGCACTGCAAGTCGTATGCAAGAAAGCGATATTGCACCAGAAGGACTGCCTTGGCGCGAATATTGAATGTTTTGCAACGAGCAAGAGCTGAGGGCGCAGCTAGTCAGCCAGGCTGTGTAACTTCGTACCTATTAGTGAAACGCTGCGTGTAAGTGGGAGCCCGACGAAGATGCCTGAACGCCGCCTTGATGGGGGGAAGCAAAGTTGGAAATAGAACAGAGCTCTATTGTAGCACGACAGATGCTGAGCACGAAAAAAAAAAAAAAAGCCAGGGGTCAACGAGTATATAGCTCTTGCAAACCGGGCAGATGGAGCCGAAAGCAGGAGGATGAAAAAGCGTCAGGACGTACAGTATATAGCAAAGATGCGTGTGGTGTGGTCGGTACTGCAGGTCCAAGGCTGGAGGGCGATCTAGCGCGCTGCAAAATACGAGGAGGCTTGGGATGTGGTTGGCTGTGGAGACGGCTGATGGCGGGGTCCTGCTCTCTGCTGGTATTATGCGAGGATGCTGAGACCGCTGGATTTAGCGTTCATACAGGGTTTGGCGCCAGCTGGTAAGCACTCAAACGTTTGCTGGCCAACCCCGCGATGCGCGCTAGGGCCGGTTTTTCTTTGCATGTGGCGTAAAGTGGTGACGATATTGAAAAAGACGAAGCAGAAGAAGAAGGGGAAAATAAGAGAAGAAGTTGATCAAAACCAAGTTTTGCGGGCAAAAACGGATTTACTTGTACCTGAGGCATTCACTAGCACAAAGAGTGCACCTGGCGAAACGCTAGGCAGCTGGCGAAACGCTCGCTGGCAGCTGGCAAGCAAGCAAACGGCTCTTTTTGGACGTTGCAGAAGGTTTGGCCAGCGAACTTGAGCAAAGAACGAAGTCGACACACCCTATAAAAGCGCCCTGTCCGCTTCATCCCCTCCCGCCTGCAACCTTCATGACGCATGCGGATTATTAGCACAATACGGGATCTCTTACCAAAGGTGGCCGCGGCAAGCAATATGCAATGAATTGCTTGTGTACAGCATGCACACGCCCGCACCCACACCACATGGTTTTCGCTGTACACCTCGTGTCTTTCAGCGCTCGTTGCTCGTTACACTCTCCACCTGCAGCCAAGCCGTCAAGGAATACGAAGTGCAGGCCCTGCTACTACTACTAGTCGCCAATAGATGACGCCGGGCGGCCCGATCTGTCACAGCAGCGGCCCCCCAGCCGGTCGCCATAAATAGGCGCATAATGGTGCTAATAACAGCTGACCGTGTGTTGGGCTCTTTTCAAGCTCCTACTGTAGTTAATGGATGTCAAGCAAGATTTGCTGATGCGTCTGGTTGGCCCGCTGAACAACTCAGTCACAGCCCTAACTGCCCAGTCTCCAGCACCAATCATTCACCTCGCCAAGACTCTGGCTTTCTTGCTGTTTGAACTACCCAGGGAACAGTTGGGAAAAGTTAATACATGACATTGGTATCTTGCTCCGTCTCATTTTCTTCTCCTCCGGCGTGTAACCCTTTGAGACTGAGACAGATGGCCGGATTCTACGCTCATTAGCACCTTTTTTATTGTACGGAGTATCCGTGCGATCCGTACTTTTTGGTACTAATGTGTAGGGCTGGTGTCGGTTACAACAGAAAGATGGAGATGGTCTCCATCCTAAAATACGAAGATGCTGGTGTCGATCCACCCACTGATCAGCCAGCTCGTAATCTTGACCAGGACAAAATGCCCGAATAGGCTCAGCATCCTTTCCAACTCGTACAAAGCATACAATATTTGGCCGAAGGATTCTGCGCAGACCGGAAACTCTCGAATGAACTATTTCATCTATGTACATTCACGCATGACAACCGTCTTTAAACAGACCAATCTGATCCCTACGGAATACCTCAAGGGTTCTAGTTTCAGGCAAGGCAGGGATCCTGGGCCGGCTGCACATGATTATCGGAGCCGAAAACAACGTGATCAAGGACTCTTGCTGGCAAGTTGCTTGTATCATCCGCTTTCCCCCACGTTTATTCGTATCAGTGTCGTCGCAAAAGAGCCCAAACGGGCAAAGAATTCTGACGGGCTCTCCCGCAGGTGGATGAAAAGAGTATGGGGCACGCCAAATGATTCTCTAGAATAAAATTTCCTCTCAAATTCAACATTATTTTTCTTCTGCTTATCCAAGTAATTACTTAATACATCTGCAAGAAGGGTCACTGTCCAGCTCAACTCTTCACCTGCATGCATGCATGCTCGCCCAGCACAGCCACGCGTTTTTCCGAGCCCACACCTGCAGACCTGCTTTTGTTCACCAGCCACGCCGCCACCCTCTTATCACTAGCTGCATAAACCAGCCCATCAATCGCTCCTTGCATATACTCCCTGCCGCTTGTCATCATCGAACTGAAAAGTTGGGTAAGTGAAATCTATTCGAAAAGATATGAAAATTGCCCCAATACCTAGGCGCTTGTGCTCGCTACTCGTACAGGCTCAAAAACTCCGCGCTACAAAATGCATGTGTGCCAAAACAAGGGATAGTGGATATATACAATGAGCGTCAAAAATGTGATGCAAATGGGAGTACGAGAACAAGGCAAAGACGCAAGAAGAAGCTAACCGCCTGAAAAATTCATGCAAGCGGCAGAGGAAACATGAAGATGACACCAACCTACGCTCTCATGAGTCTCCGGCGATGCGCCTGGACATCCGCGTCCGCCGGGCTAAAATGCATCCAAATCTCTTGGCTCAACGCATAATTGCTCTCGCCCTTTTCCGTCTCTGAGGGGTCGTCCTGAACCATGCACAGGATCGCCCTCCGAAGTTTCTGCCAGAGGCTTCGCATCCTCGTCGAGAACTCGTTGGGGATCTTGAGCCGCACCGCCACCCACTTGTCGTCCGGCGCGTGGTCCGACCGGAGCGCCTCGTCCGGGTCGCTGACGGGCTCGCGCGTGCGGAGGAGCCGCTGCTGCTCGTCCTTCCCCTCGCCGCGGTTCCACGTGCGGAACTTGGTCTGCTCGGGCGGCAGCGTCGCCTCGAGGAACTCGAGCGACGCGACGATGGTGAGGTAGAAGGCGCGGCTGGGGCTGACGAGCGACTTCATGAACAGGCTCATCCAGACGGGGTACAGGACGGCAAAGTCGGTCATGGCGAGGTGCGTCGAGCCGGCGATGGTGAGCATCCAGCAGAGCGCGCCCGAGTCGCGCGCCTCGTTGCAGAACGAGACGACGCGCCCGTAGTTCTCCTTCCAGTGCATGAAGGCCTCGGACGAGATGGCGATGATGGGCTTGGTGACGCTGTTGGACGGCTTGTCGCCGCCGGGAGGCGTCGCCTGGCCCCAGGCATCCAGGATGAGGCCCGAGGCGAGCCAGGTAAGCGAGTCGTCCCGGCAGAGCTGCACCGTCGTGGCTCCGCCGAAGGAATGCCCCATCACGGAGACGGTGTCGAGAAACATGCTGCCCCTCCAATCCTCCCACTGAATCCCGGTGAGGCCCATGGAGCTGGACCCAATGTTTCCCTTCTTGCGCAGGTTCATCTTGGCAACCTCTTCACCCTGGCCGTTGTTGATGAGGCTGATGACATGGTGCGCTTCCTTGATCTCCTCTTGGCGAAGCTCAATTTGTGCGGATCTCAGCACACGATCCACGCCTTGTGGATTATGCGGCGACGTATCCTGAGCATTGTCTTTGGGAAGGATGTAGTCGACAACATAGTAAGGGTTCACGCCCTTCTTGCCACGACCACGTACCTTCTTGCCGCCGGCGTCCTTGTCCGTATCGTCATTGGTGTAGATCTTGGCCGTCGAGGACTCGATCTCCGCCGGGTCAATGTCTTCCGGCAAGCTAACGTGTGTTCTCGCACCGCTGCCATCTCGATGTTCCATGGCCACCACGATGAACCCAAAGCTCGCGAGCTCTCCGCAGATGGCGCTGTAGCAGAGCCGGGATCCGCCCAAACCGTGGCTGAAGATGATGACGGGAAACCTGGGCCGTTTGTTCTCGCCCCGGCTTTGTCTTGCCCGCTCGCCTTCCGGACCAGCTTCCTGAAGTACAGTATCGGGCCAAAATGATGCCAGCTTAGCGTTGCGAAAGGCTGGTAGCTTGGTGAAGAGAGTGGTGCAGGCCAGGTAGCCAGTGACAGGCATTTCGGGGATGTTTAGGAACTTGGCGTATCCTTTGGCGGTGGCGAGTCTAGGACGCGGCATCCAATCTACGCGGTGCATACCCTTGAGGCCATCCTTGGTTTTGGCCTCTTTTCGCAAGTCACCGGGGTAGTAGATGCCCATGAGGACCGTGTCCATGCGTAAAACGGGCTTTCCATTTCTTTTCAAGCTCGATATTGGTCGTGGGTGCCGTGCAGGCACTTCGATATCCATATAGCCCACGCTATAAGGGCCCGTATAGTGTGGTAGACGGTGTAAAAAACGTTCTCGCAAGGTCTTTTGCGGTTTCACTGCCGAGTCGCGCAGACCTTGCGTGTCGCATTTCGAAATTGAGTTTTCGGCTGCCATGTTGCTAAATATTCGGGATATTTTCCAAATTTGGTCACGCGAGTTCTGAACGCAGTTTCGTGGCAGGAGTCGCCAAATTTAATAGTCGCGATGCAGTTGCGTGGTGTCGTCACTCCAATTTGTGTTACAGAGGAATGGTGACGTCACAAAGGCACGAAGCCTTGTTCCTGGCATGTGAAGCGAGGACCCCGTAATAGCGTCAACGGGCACCCCGGAGAACAGCGATAAAAATGGCGAGAATCCAAGGGAAAGACTTAATGAGATGCGCAGTAAAAAAAATCTGTCATAAAATTTTATAGAATCTGAATGGAGATTTTCTGGGAACTGACGATGCCTTATGTCTTTGGCAACTGAGAGTTGCGACTGAGACTCGAAGCAATACTCTGCAGTATGTGCGTAGCGGAAGCCGAGACACTGGCAATTGATTGCGCTGCCGTGTTTTACCTTTGTTTGTTGCAGTTGATTGCGCTCGTGCTTGACGCAGAAAGATACCCGATGAAATTGACTTGCTTCTTGCATTTGTTGTGTTTTTACTATAAATTTAGAAAACTCTTCTTCTGATAGTTAAGAGAACCAATCACTTTGCGTCCCTTTGCACCTGGAATCTTCCCCCGCCACATCACACCAGCGCCGAGTGTTATGCTATGTGACATTTTACGCGCCCGCGAATAATAAATAACTCAATCAATTAAGAACTTGAGCCTGCTTGCCATCCCAACACTTACACGCGTGGATGAGGGTGATGGCGAGGGCCCGTGCCAGACGTACTACGTGGTCGATTCAAATTGTCAGTTGCACCTCAAAAACAGGTGCGATTCAATATCTAAAGGGACTATTGAAACTATGTATGTAACTGCGGTCATAAGGTGCTGCTCTTGGAGAGACCTGTGAAAAGAAGCTGGCCAAGCATATGTAGTAGGGCACATGTGGGAACCCCCGCTTGTCATAACTTTCCAATAACATGCAAACTTATACGTAATTGGCGTTTAGTATTAGCTACAATAGGGCGACGGTTAGCAACAGACAAAGTAAAGTGACTTGCAACGGGCTCGACGCAGAATGACGGGCGCCATCCAGGACCTCAGGAACTGCCAGTAGATAACAAGAGAAAAAGAACAGCGACCACCGTCAAACGTGGGTCAATGAATCAATAAAATCCCTTCCTAATCTACCGGTAAACCCATCTGTTGTTCAACAACCAATCCTTTTAATTTTTCGGACTCCTCACGAAAAAGCCAAGGGCAAACTCTCGGAGCTGCTTCCTGCGTGAGGACCTCAGGCAGGGGAGCCACAGGCGGGACAGAGTCGACAGAGGCACCGGCGAGCGAATGGTCACCCATGGCTTCGTCGGGCGTTGTCTGGTAGCCCGGATATGCTCGCCACTCATATTGGGTACCATCGCGGCGCCAGATGCAATTTGCGCAAGCGCCTTGCATCTCGCCTGGGATTGAGACACATTCCCAGAAGGGATACATGATATGGACCTTGTTCGAAGTGACGGTCCTTGCCAGGGTTTTGGCGCAACAAGAGCAGAGGCGAGGATTGCGTTTTCCGTGCATAGCTACCACGAGCGCCTTGACACAGTCAACGCGGAAAGGCAGACTTCCGATAATAGGACCATATAAATGAGAACACTCGGCAGGAATGTAAACGCTGCGTAGGTCGTGAACGCTGATTCCAGAAACAAGTTGTGCCAGGGCTTGATCCTTGAAATAGAAGCCGCCTCAGAACAGACGCACCTGTTCAGTGCTTGCTCGGATCCCGGGAGCATACGTGAGCTCCATGTATCCCGATGTGATCGTGGCCGAGGTCATCTAGTAGATAGAGAGTCAAGCATTTGGTTGCCTGCGGCGCCAGAATATAATCCTAGTACCTATCGCTAACCCGCCATGACGATCGACTTACCCATTCGAAGAACGGATGCTCAGGATGTGGATTCCTCTCAGCGTCATCATTACTCTCGGAAATGCAACGTGCCGAGCTGAACTTTTTGCCATTAAACTGGGGTGTTAATTCTTCGCGCATATCAAGGAGAATCCCGGTCTGCCATGGAGGGCCAGACATGGACGTCGCAGAATATGGTTGCATCTGCGACAGGTGAGTTGCGAGAAGAACTTGGAACGTATGAAATAAATTAGAAACGTCCAAATTAGTTGTCAAAACGAGGTACTTGAGAACAAGCTGCGTAGGAGGCCGAATTTAGGCATCTGCGCTGCGCTGTATTGACTGCGTTTGCACTGGGGCCCGTGAAAGAAGACGCTTGAGTGCCATCAATGCAGTGAATTACTCGATACGTTTTCGATGGTTTTTCTTTCCGCTATGTTGAGTTTTCCTCGGCTGCTGATGGATGATGAACACCATCTCGTCATCTGTCCCAGATTGCCTGCCAGGACAGGCAACATGCCCAATTCCTTTCCATCGAGAGCGCAGAAGCACAAGTATCCGAGCAAGGAAGACTCTGATTGGGACTCAAAATAACCATTCGCAATATACTTGGACCTTAGAGAGAGCATCAACACCCACGAGAATCTTATTCGCGGGCCGATCCGATCGTTCTGACCACCCAGGTGGTGGACACGTTCCTCCATCCACGAAATCACCATCAGCCTACCTTCATCGTGGCTCAAACATCAAAAAAGAATAAAAAAATATCACAATGAATAGCCTTGCGAGATTTCCTCAGCAAAACTCGCTAGTGAAAAGAGGACCCAGCCCTCGTCCTTTTCTGACTGAGCAGTTGCAGCAGCGCAGGCCTTGGTATCATATTCATGATTGCTCCAATCCTCATAGTCGGGCTGTTCCATTGCCTCTACTACCCAGTCAACCAGGGATAAGAATGCCATGCTGGAAGCGCGATTGGCCGACATGGAGCGGTTCATAAAGGGGAAGGGATATGAATACCAACCAACCTCGTCAGACGTTATGGGGAGTGAGGGAGTATTTAACATTTCACACCAGCCTCTCCATGGCAGGGATTTTGATGGGCTTCCCGCAAGCGAAGACGATCCTGTGCTCACCCGACCGCTTCCTTGGATCAGCGATCTCACCGAGATGAGCTACAGCCAAGATGAAGTTCGGGACATGCAAAGTAGCTACGGGAGAGGAGCCCCCGGCCCTTCCATCACGGGCACTGTCTGGCCGTTGGAAGCGCTCACCCGCACTGTTGGAAAAGGACATACAGTCAAGACGCCTCGTGGAACATACCTGGATGTTGGTCCACCCGGACTTGTTGACGCGAGTGTCTGGTGTAGAATCGGGTATCAACTGTCTCAACCACAGTAACAACCAATGGCTGCACAGCAAGACGATGATCGCGCGGTAAGACGGCTAAAGCGAGAGGAGATGCCACCGCCACCCCGACCCTACAACTCGAGACTGGATTGGCGATAGGAAAGGAGCTTCTGGGTAGAAACTCAACAGTACGATGGACTGGGCTTAATTTGCATTGGGGCGGCTCTCATGTGAACGGTGCACGTTGTATTTAGGAACTTGCGACCGATGGGGATCATAAATTCGTAGAGAAGCTTGAGATAGCATGAGTGATGAATGTCAGGCTTTCCGCCGATCCTCAAAACCATTTTTATTTCTTGACTCAAGTTGAATAGAAAACTAGGCGAAATGATCCATAGTCCTTTTAAATGATATAGAAGGGTGCATTGTTCACTGTGATCGTGGTCATGACGATTTGCATAGCGCTGCGCATTTTGGTGTGTGACATTGGGCCAAAAGGTACATATACTATTTTACCTGTACCTTTCTTCAACAAATAAGGCACTTTGGCCGAGTGGTTGTAAGTTGATACCTGGCTATCCACTCCTCAAGATAGCTTACTAATGTTCGATTTCAGATGGCGCTGCGTTCAGGAGAACCTGTTCAGAATTTCGCAGTGGAGCAATCCGCGTGGGTTCGAGTCCCACAGGTGTCATTATATTTTTTTGCCTTCATTCTCGAATGACGAGCACGGAGAATATCTTTTTTGCCCTGCTGATGCTGTGCTGTCTCAAATTGGTGTAATCCCAGCTGGCCGCAAAGATCTCACGTTTATCGAATATTTTTTTCTTCGCAACCCTCACTTGCATGGCCAGCACATGGGTAGCTGTAAGTTCATGGGCGACTAACATGTGGCAGGCTGGCATCGAAGGATGGTACTCGCACCGCCGGTAAGCCTTCGAGACCATGATATTTTCTGTCTAGAAGGCTAAGACTGGTTTTCTCCTCGGACGACGACTCGAGAAAATGGAGCGAGTATTATTTCTGAAGTTGGGGGTGAACCATTCGGCCTGACACTGACTTGTCTCGGCCGGCATTGCCGGCCAACATGGTGGCACTCACCCCGCATGCTGGTGCCAAATGTTCAACACCAATCCGCGGCACACCTACACCTCGACTTTAAGCCACCGCATTTGAAGTTGTCACTTTGCTAGACAGCACGCTTTCCAAAATGTCGCTCTCGAATTTACCACCCAGGCCAGTTCGAAGCCTTTCCGAAAAAGTCGCCATAGTCACGGGCGCCGGTGCCGCCGGCGACGACCTCGGCAATGGGAGAGCAATTGCGTTGCTCCTCGCCGAGGACGGAGCGTCGGTGATATGCGTTGACCGCGATGAGGCTCTGGCCCAGAGAACAGTAGAGATGATACAAGAGCAAGACAGCGGCGCCGCTATTGCTTTCCGCGCCGATGTCACCTCGGATGATGATTGCTCTCAGTGTGTCTCAAAGGCCATTGCGGAATATGGCCGCCTTGATATTTTGGTGAACAATGTTGGAATTTTGGGACCTTCTGGGACCGCCGAGAATGTCGATATTGCGGCCTGGTCCAAGGCGCTAGAGATCAATGTGACGAGTATGATGATCATGGCCAAGCATGCTATTCCTGCCATGCTGAAGAATGCGCCCAGCAACGGCAGCATCAGAGGTAGCATCGTCAACATGGGCTCGGTTGCTGGCCTGCAAGGAGGCACGCCGAGCTTGCTGTACCCTACTAGCAAGGGTGCTGTGGTGAATATGACACGGGCAATGGCTGCCAATCATGGCCCGGATGGCATCAGAGTGAACTGTGTATGCCCTGGTAAGTCGCCCGATACCCGAGCCGCCATCCTCGCTCACACAAATACAGGCATGGTCTATACGCCCATGGTGTACAATGCGGGCAGCGGCATGTCGCAAGAAATGCGAGAAGCCCGCCGCAATCGCAGCGTTCTAAGAACTGAGGGTAACGCTTGGGATGTTGCCAGCGCGGTTCGGTTTCTGGCGGGCAACGAAGCGCGGTGGATTACCGGTACGATGCTCACAGTTGATGCTGGGGCAACGTGTGCAAGCTTTGTTCCAATGAATCATTAATTTATGAGGCCGGCTCCGTCCTCGTCTCGTTTACGACAAGCACTCATGACTCGTCCAACTGCAGGCACCGGAGAGGCTGTTGAGTTTTGCTCGTAGGGCATGAAACTTTCGCGGGTAGTCCAGTGTCAATCTAAAACCGTATGGGATAATGGAGTATTTAGCAAAATTATGCCAATCTCCGTTTTACAAATCTACCAGTCTGGACAAACCTTAATCTGGATTTCTGTAGTGGCTATGCCCCAGTAGCCACTAGTAAACGGTCGTGGCGCCTGGGCATCGCCGCGTTTCGACTTTTCACCAACATATTGATTAGCTTTTCCTCCATAGCCATGCTGGCTACGGATATTGCACCTGCACTCATTTGCCGAGATCAATATTTCTCTCTGCGTGCAAAGCGACCTCTTTCTGTATGACGAAGCATGGACAAGAAAGGTGCCTCCGCGCCGGCCAAGGGTACGATGCCCTCAAACCCTCCGCTTTCCCGTGCCGCTGCCCCGCTAACGGCTCGATGCAGGCTGCAGCACATGCACCAAACGGCGCATCCGGTGTGACGGCAGACGCCCGACCTGCATGAAATGCCAGAAAAAGGGTCTCGACTGCCCCGGCTACGGCCCGCGGCTGCGATGGGCTGATGGCGTGGCGGTTCGAGGCAAGCTCAAAGGCCGGCTGCCGTTCGCTCAGCAAACGGCGGACCAGGCGCAGTCGAGCTCAGCCGCGACATGCGCGGCCGGAATGCAGCTGATGCCTATTCCGCCGCCCGATATGTTGCAGACGACGCTCAGTAATTCGTTGCCACAGTTGATCGAGTACTACGACAAGAACCTGGCCGGTTTGATGGTCTGGGTCGACTCGGCGGAGAACGCCTACCGGCAGGCCGTGCTGCCGCGGGTGAGGCATACGCCTGGCCTCAGGCTGGCTGTGGCTGCGTTCGCCTCTCACCACGGGTCGTCCCGCTTCCAGCATGCCATGGAGCTGTTTCCCGAAGCCGCCCGCGATGCCTGCCTCGGCATGATTCATACCCGCGTGCAGGACATGACGAGTCGGCTGACCAAGGGCGCCGAGCTCGACAGTCAAACAGACATTGCAGACGCGGAGTGGATGCTGGCGTGCATCCTCATGATTGCCTGCTACGAAATGTCCAACTCGCAGGCCTCTGCGGCAGAGGGACATAGGCTAGCAGCCAGAACCCTGGTCAACGTGTTTGGCAGCAAAAGGGGGTACAATGACGGTCTCTTTGCATTTCTTCGAAACCAGCTTTCCATCTACGATGTTTTGGTGTCGACGACTTCTTTTAGCCTGGAGGACATCCGGAACACTGTCATGCCAACGCCTGGCTCTAAGAACGTCTTGTTTGCCGACTACCTCACGTACCTCCACCAAGTAACGCTCGCTTCAAGGTACCCATCGCCGATACCAGAGGAAGTGAGTCTCCTATTTACCGACTTCGACTTTTCACCTCATTCGATTCGGTCGAAATTTACGCAAGCAAGAGGCGCTACCCTGATTGCCGCCGGACGACTGGGCATCGAGAAAGCAACGATGCGCCGGGACTTTACTCGCTTGGTGGATGTCTATCACTATGCCGCTGTCTTGTATTCCTACCGCTGCCTCGGTTATGCTACGGCAGAGAACCCGGACTGGCAACCTACGGTGACTAAGCTATTCGAACAGCTTCTCTGCTTTCAGTATCCAGGCATCTGTGTTCAAAACCTGCCTTGGCCCATGTTCGTCGCAGGGACGGAATGTTGGGGCGATGCGCAGCGACAGCAAACCGTTCGCGAGCTTCTGGGCAAAGTTCTCGCGGCTACCAATTTTCGCCATTACGAGGGCGTCTTGGGGTTTCTGAATGCATTCTGGACCGGAAACCAGCCAGACTGGAGATCTCTAGCTCAAGACTTGCAAACGAAAGGGTTTCGAATTTTGGTGATTTAATGATCCAAAACATGCCGAAAGTTTTATAATCTCCCACCCATGGCGGAATGTTCTATTTATTCACTGTTTCGGCATCATTGACGCCGAAAATCACCTTCATCGGATCCTGGTACTTGTACAAGCCCAACGCAGGCGGAAGGATGCCGTAGCCCAGCAGCCTCAGCAACTGCGGCGAAAAATTGCGCTTCTTGGCCACCTCGGGCGGTAGCTCTAAGTATTGGTTCTCCTCTTGGCGGAGCGTGCCCTTGCACATGAACAGGCCAATGGTCTCGCGGGCCTCGTCTTTGGTGATATTGGCACCGCCCGCGTGGTAGACGTTGCCCAGGAAGATGGCGGCGTCGCCAATCTCCAGCTCGGCTGGGATGGCTTCTTCATCCAGCGGGCAGCGATCCGGGCCCCAGAGATGGCTCTTTGGGATGATGATTGTGGCACCGTTCTCTTTGGTCGTCTTTGTCAAGGCCTAGCAAACGACGTTTGTTAGATGGGTTCTCGTTTAGACGTTCGAAGCGGTTGGTACTTGCCGTGACGCAGCCCATCATGACCGGCATGTCGCAGTTGCGGGTGTGGTAGTCGGCGTCGTCCCTGTGCATCGACTGCTGGGTGCCGCCGGGCTCGACGCGGAAGCCGACCATGGTCGTGATCTGCGGCTTGCCCGTGACGTGCAGCTGCTTCTGGCCCTCCCAGTACGTGTAGCGGCTCGTGAGCATCTGGTTCGCGACGCCGAGGAAGAGCGGGTTGACGGCAAGCTCGGCGCACGCGTCCGACTTGGCCAGGATGCTGTACGCTCGCTTGGTGGTCGTGGGGAAGAAGCCGGACGGGTCCACCCGGTCCGTGTCGAAGGACGTCTTGAGGTCGGCCCGGATTTGGCGGCATAGTTCCTCGGACACGAGGTTCTTGACGATGACGGCGCCGTCTCTCTCCAGGATGGCCTCGAGAACCTCGGGGGTGATGCTGGCATCAGTCGCAGAGACTGTGGTGAGCTCCGTGCCGGCCTCTGTAGGGAAAGGCTTGCCCGCCTGGTGCTCCGCGCAGCATGCCATATTTGGATATGATGTGTATATACTAATGCAGTTGATAGATGATGAGCTACTGTGTGCTGCTCGCAACAGAGAAGACAAGTTCAGTCTTTATATACTACAATTCTCTTGCGCCGCTATTTTCCATGACATTTTCAACGCCCCAGCTTCATGTTCCAGAAATGGAAATAAGAGTGAGAAGTGTCGCCAAAAGCCACACCACCTGACAAAGTGTAGTCCTAGTTGCCTTGGCAAAACGACAACCAGAGATCGTTCTCCATTGGCGTGTGGGGGAGAAGTTGTTGGTGTTGTGGGTGCCCGATTCTCGGCAACGAGTTTCTCAGTCTATTTGCCCAAAGTGGCAAAGGCTAGATATGCTTTTCTCGTCACTGCTGCTACTTTTAGAGAAGCGGCGTATCACAAAGGGGTGGGCCATTCAAAAGTCTGACTAGGGAAAGTTGGTGTTCACATTGTTTGCTGTATTCTGCATCGCCCATTTCTAACAATGGCCAATAGAGTCGACATGAGAGGTTACCGGTGAGAGCGAACAACCCCCTGCGCTTCTCGCCCACACTTCCGAAAACGCTCAAGACTTTCGAGGCAAACTGCTAATCCTAGCCACCTGACCAGTGAGTTTGAAGCTCGCCGTGATGATCGCCTTCGTGTCCCGCGCCACCGTGTAGTCGCCGGGGTAGATGTACCTGTCGCCGTCCTCGTCGCTCCGGGCGAGGTCCGCAATGCTGACCTCAAACTCAGCGTCTGCGCACTGCCGACCTGGACGTTGCTCGAGCGACGCGTACGCGACGAGCTTCTTGTTGGGTCGCGGGGCTGGGCCGGCGTCGAAGCCCCAGCGGTCGCGGAGCACGTCCTGCAGGAGGTAGCGGCTCGCGCAGGCCGGCATGCCGGTCACCGAGTTGTACGCGCACATCACCGAGCCGGCCTTGGCGTCGCGCACGCAGCCCTCAAACGGCGGCAGGTACATAGTAATCCGCCATGTCGCGGCTTGCCGGCCGCACATTGTTACCCGTGCGGCCGGTCTCGACGTCGTACGCCGCAAAGTGCTTGCGCGTCACGACGGTGCGGAGGACCGCCGGATCCACGCCGCCCTGCAGCCCTTCCACCAGCGCGCGCACGTAGCCCGCGCCGCGGCGTGCGTCCTCGCCCGGCGTCTCCAAGCCGCGACCCCAGCGCGGGTCGTGGAACGGGTCGATGTTGGGCGTCCAGAAGTAAGCCCGCGCGGGCCTCGATGCCGATCTGGCCGGCCACGTCGCGCACCAGCGCGTAGTCAAACGCCGCGGCGAGCAGGATCGGCATCGGGAAGCTGGTGGCGGCGCTGAAGGCGGCGCCGAGGGGCGCGGCGAACTGCACGCCGGTGCTGCCGTCGACGCCGTGCAGCGCCTCGTTCTGCCACTGGTACGCGGGGAGGCCGAGCCGCGCGCTGCCGGTGGCGCTGCCGGCGAGGTTGGCCGCCTTTTCGTCGAGCGTGATGGCGCGGACCAGGGCGGCGGCGCGGTCGGCGAGGCTCTTGCTGGGGTCGCAGACGTCGTTGCCGCAGAGCGGATCGCGGGTGCAGTCCGGCAGGGACGGGGAGAGGGGAGGGTTCGCCGACGGGTTGGAGATTTGGTAAATGTTGATTCTTGGGACGTTGTTAGCGAACACAGCGAGCACAAGGTAAGAAAGAACTTGCATGTTTCCGCCGCAGCACTACTTGCCGGGGTCTGCCGGACAGTCGGCATTGCACCGGCTCTCATCCGCCTTGATAGCGGTGCTCTCGATCGCGTGACCGCAGAAGCATTGACTAAATCCGGATGAGAATCTGGACGGGCAGGATGGCGGAGAGGTCGAGGTCGACTTGCGGGTTGAACTCGACGCTCGAGTACGCATACCCGGCCGCGCCGCAGAGGTTGGCGCAGTACTGCGGCGAGTTGAGCTTGTAGACGGTCGGCAGAGGGCCGGAAAGGTCTTGCGGGGAGTTGGGATCGTGGTAGCAGCCTTGCCTCGTAGGCAGGGAGGCAGGTGCGTGCCGACGCGCTGGCGACGAGCAGCAAAGCAAGCACGCGGTACTTGCGCGACATTGTGGTGATGGATGAGAAGGAGCACCATTCTCTGTAATTGATCTGGTTGTAGCTGGCCCATGTTTTATTCTATATTATCAGACTTGTTCAGAACCATCCCTCTTTCTTCCCATTGACGTCGTATTGCACCTGCATGGTGTAAGCGCCATGTTCCGGATCTGACAGCGGTTGGTGGATGTGCTGTTTTCGCTGGCTAGCAGCCTGCAGTGCGACTCTGGGAATAGGAAATGATTGACCGAAGGTATTGCATATCGGCAGAAGATTGATATTTTGTTTACGAATTGCTCATACGAATGTGCCTTTCGGTATATAAACTTGTAATTACTATGCGTGATGAAGTGAAGCGGCGCAATGCATGATTCTGGCATCTGCATGTATATTGAATGAGCCGCATATCCCCCCTTAAAAACACACATTGCCACATTTCTATCCGGTCTTGACAGAACACGATTGTCCGCATCAGCCACTCTTCCCGTCTTCGTTGCACCAGGAAGGGAGGCAGGGCCGGGAATGCCGCCGGGACTTTGTGGGGTAGTGCGACGACGAACTTTCTCCGGCCGGAGCTAAAGAGGTTGGCTTGGCATTGACGGAGGATCCTGGGAGCAAATACGATTCCTACCTCATTAGGCAGGCAGTACTGGCGTCGAGACTGACCGTCATTGGTGGCAGCAAAGGGTTGGGTTGTGCTTACGGCCAGGCGACGGGCCAGGTCGTGTCCAACGTGGCGTCGATGAACCCCCGCGGCTGGAGCTGCCTGCACCTCATCGGCTCCGGCAACGATGGCAGCCCTTGCAGCAAGGCCACGATCGTGAACAATGACATTGGACCGTGCGGCCAGTCCGGCTACAATGACCAGGGCCAGGGGCTCTGGGCGGACGGCATCTCTCTCGACTGCACCGAATCACTCGTCCAAGGCAACACGGTACGAAGCTATCGCGGGTGCTGCTCGACAAAGCACTAACCATGTATAGATCAATGGTCCTACGGATGGCGGCATCGTCATCTTTGGCTCACCAGGCAGCACAATCAACAACAACACCATCACCTCAGCCTCTGACTATCTTGGCTTCGGGGCCATCAACATGGTTGATGGACAATACCAAGGAGGCTACTCGGGCGTCAAGGTGACAAATAATAGAATCCAGGGCAGCAAGATCTTCAACCTCGGTATCGGTATCGGGGCAAACGTGTGGTCCTTCAACGACCCGTACGCTCTCCATGGACCAGCCAAGATTACCGGCAACAGCTTCAGAGGGCACGTTGTGTTCCCAATGGCGATCAATGGATGGACCGGCGGCATCACAGTATGTGCTTTCCGGGCTCGATGATAGCATCACGGAGACTTGACACTGAAGCAGGTTACTGGAAACGATGCGTCGGGGGTTACCAAGCCCAGGTCGAGATTTTCCGACGCATCACACTGTGTGGACGCAACCCAGCAGGTATTTGGCCAAAATTCCAATTTCGTATACTATCCTGCCGGTGTCACGAGCTCAAAGAACTTGCAGTCCGAGTTTGTGGGGTCCGGTGGTAATATGACCAACTTTCTGTGCAGTAGTCTACCTCTTGCCGACACCAAGACGTTCCAAAAGGGCCAGCTCGACATCGTATCCGACTCTGGACCATTTGCAGATCTGCACGGCGTGACAGCGCAATACCAGGATGACAACAACATCGTGGTGCTGCAGGGTGGCCGGCCCGTGTGGGCGAGCGGACACACCCTCAGCCAAGGCTGCGGCAAGCCCAGCGGATGCCGGATGCGGTTCGGCACGGATGGAAACTTGGGGACGTATTACAACAATGCGCTGCAATGGGGCTCGAATACGGGTGGTCGAGGAAGCACGATGTTGGTGATGAACAAGGCGCCCTGGATCCAAATGAAGGATGCGTCTGGCAATGTGATCTGGGACACTACCAAGAGCAGCTAGAATGGAAAGTGGTATTTTCCAGCCTCGACAGAAATATTAGGAGCCTTGTGATTAGTTGCAAGAAAGAAGAAGCGAAACATATCGTTTACTGAGCGACACGTCTCGCCATCATTTGTGCTGATCGTGGGGCCTTCCCGGTGGGAGTCGGCGGCGTGCGGAAGCCGTCCGTCAGCAGTGGGTGAAGTGAGCCAACCAATCAGCTTGTATACGAGAATAGAGGCAAGGAGGATTCAACTCAAGGCACGGCTGATAAAAAGTGGTGAATACCGCTGCCTATTCCGACGGATGAATCCTTGGGAAGCGTGATGCTGCTGTTGTGACGTCGGCAACGTAGCATTCGGGGCGTTGGCTAGGATTGCCAAGCGGACTATTGTGAGGAAGACAAAGAGTTGACAGGCAGATCGGGGGTTTCACAGAGCTGAGTTATCGTGATAGCCCTGAACGAAGTAGCATCGGTCCATGTAGTTACTTATACGAGATGGCAGGGTCTGTTGGGGCAGGCTGCATAATGCGTTGCCACCCGGGCTGCCGACCAGGGTGTTGAGATCTGGACGAGCTGGGTAGTAGAACCGTGAACTGACGAGCGCCAAGACAATGACGATAATGGCGATGGAATGCGGCAGTGCTGGCTAACTAGCGGCGGGATGGACTAGCACGGCATTGTTGGGCTTTGCGGATAGTCAGGAGATGGAGATGAAGAGGGAGAGAGAAATGACGATGTTGCAGAGATGAGGGGACCTGCCATTGGGACCCCCACCCCAACTACCCCGGCGGCGTTTGTCTAGCTGTGCTCTCAGTGGCTTCAGTGCTTCAGTGGATTTAAGGAGGGCTGTGCGGGTCCTTTCAGGACACTTAGTGGACACACTGGATGCCATTCCCCCGCCAAGTGGCGCTGTAAGGCGCTGGAAAAGAGGAACACGAGAAACCTCGGCGCTGAGCCAAACCCAAACCGGAGACCAGCCGGTTCACCATACAGCGCCACGCCCGCTGTAAGATCCCTTAACCAGCCTAGCGCAGCATCAAAGGCCCTTGTAAGTGGCATCAGCCGAGGGCGATCCGCGACGGCATCTTTGTTGCTCACACCGACGTCAGAAATTTACGCCGGAAGAGGAAGAAGAACTGACTCGTTAACTGTTTAATTTTGGCTCAAAGCTTCGAGAGTCATGGATATTCCTGTAATTCCGCCGTGAACAGAGTACAAAGATAACAAAACGCCAAGAGCCTCTGCAGCCACGATCGTCGCTTCAATGCTACCGAATCGAATTAGCCTGGACGTCATCGCGTCGCAGTTCCCAGCCCAATCAGCCCAGCCTTTTCTCGTGTTTTACACTTGTTTATTAACTTTTCTCTGCAGTGCTGTTGCGGTCCGCTCGCCGGACGTCGCCGGAGAATCTTGCGCGTAGAGACCTCGGGGAGCACGGGCAAGATCTACGTCACACCTGCCTGGAAAACCTGTGGATGGAGGAGACAAACGCCAACTTCCAAGACATGGGTGGGCTGCCCTTGTCCGAGACGATTCAGAGCATATATAGAGCGAGCATCACCCTCAGTTCTCGTCAATTATCATCATCGCCATCCTCATCATCAAACAAGCATCACTCGCAATTTCCACAACCCCCCCAGCCATCAGTCGACAAACAATCAACATCTCCACCATCAAAAAGAGCCACCCACCACTCCCTCCTCAAAATGAAGACTGCTGCCATCGCCACCTCCATCCTGGCCTCTGCCCTGGCCGTGTCCGCCCAGAACATCCAGTCCAAGCCCTTCAACCTGGAGATCGTTTCCGACGATGACACCGTCAATGGCAAGTACGTCGGTGCCTGCCACTCGGGTGCTGCCATCGAGAGCCTCTGCCTCACCGACCGGCCCGTCACCATGCATCTCAACTCCACATCCGAACAAGACCTCGATAATGGTCTTCTAACTTGGCTTCTGCCTTCCAGTATGTATTACGAGCCATACCTGCACCTGTACTGTCCAGTAGTGGAGATTCGCAAGCTGACTGTTCGACCTCCCAGACCTTCCCGTCGATTCCTCCATGCGCCTGATCGCCGACCCCTCTTCCAACGTCGCCCAGGCTCTCTTCTACCCCGGTCCGAGCGGCGGACAGTACGTCCAGTTCAAAGACGACAAGCTCACTCTCCTCAGCAATATCGACGACACCCAAGTCCCCATCAAGGCCGGCAACCCTGAATCCCTGGAGAACTGGTTCTTCTGCCAATCCTACTACACTTCGTACCGCTACAACACCCTCAGCTGGGTCTACGGAAAGGCCGAGCCCCAAAACCCTACCTGTGTCAAGGTCTCGGTGAAGCGCAACTATGAGTACTAAAGGGTATCGCGCTTGCTCACACATCTACATCATGACGAGCGGGGGACTCTCTTGGCCAGGTTGAGGTGTAATGGCAGCTGTATTACGATAAGATCATAACAAGCGATGATTTCCTATTAAATCATTCTGTAATATAATTATCACAGTATAAAAATCCTTCACATTCTTTGTCCCACTAAACAATGTCCTCCAATTCAGTGATGCCCAGCTTGCTTGCGAGAAACGGCCATAGTCTGCCGAACCTACTGAAGAATCTTCTTGAACTCATCAGCGTCCTTGAACTGCTGGACAAGGTTAAAGAGGGGAAGAAAGAGCGGTGCTCCATCGATGTTGTCTCCGTCGCGGCCTTCAAACAGCTTCTCCAAATTCCACCAGCTCCAGCTTTCGCACTTGTCCTTCTCCATCACCATGGGCTCCGCGTCGGCATCCTTCATCTTGCAGAGCGCAAACGGCGTGATGAAGTGTCTGCCTTCGGACACAAAGACGTCATTCGTGTAAGCCACAATCCTGACGCCCTCGACGTCGAGCATGGTCTCCTCCTTGGACTCTCGCACGCCGCAGTCGAGCAGCGCCTCGCCGTAGTCGAGCTTGCCGCCGGGGAACTGCCAAGAGCCTGTTGACGAGAAAGGGGTTTGCTTGTTAGTTTCCTCTTCCGCGCATACCGCAGCAACAAGAACAACAAGAACAACTTACCGGCTCCGTGACTGCCGATGCGCTTGCCGACGAGCACCTTGCCCTCGCGGTTGAGAATGATGGCCGAGACGCCGACCTGGGGAGGGTTGCCCTTGGGGCGCTCATCAGAGGCCATGGTGGATGAGGTTCCGCCGACCTTGGGGGTGGGGAGAGTTTCAGAGGCCATCTTGGATAAAAAACGGTTGGTAAAGTCGGTAAAGTAGGTAGATATCGGATCTGATGCTCGAGATGTTGGATATGGATGTTGTTCTTAGGTAGATATGGCGGGGGATGAGCCCTTCTTATGAGTCTTCAAAAGTGGGGTGTCAGGCTCTCGTCAATGTCCTAAGGCCGTCTTTAACAGTGCAATGTAGCACCAAATTTCGAAAGAAAGGCCTATTGGAACATTATAACAAGGAAGCTTCTGCAGAGTCTTTGACATGGGCGTACATGACGGAAGTGTGGCGTGGTTGATACATGCAGCTTGTCGCTCGTCCTACTGATGATGGCTTACAAGAGGAAGCGCCAACGAGGCTCTTGAAAAGTGCACTGCCACTCCCTTTCTTATCCTAGGTAGTATTTACACTTCCTCCATCACAGAGATCCATATTTGACCTTTGGGCAACTGCGGTAGGCGTAAAGGGGGCGTCTCAGCTGTGTTGGCAGAATGACATGACCAGGCGACGATACATGAGTGCTAGGGCAAGGCAGCATACTGGAAGCGCCGTGTCCGACATTACACAGCACGCCTTCAGGCAACCTTGGGGTATTTTTAGGAGCTTTAAAAGTCATAACTAGGTAGATAGGTAGAGTCACCGAGACGTTAATATGTTCACAGCTGTTGTCCGACAAGCAGTCAAGGCCCCTTGCAACAAAGTCAGTCTGTGCCACAGGCAAAGGCGGCTTGCCACGCGCGAAAAAGGAGAGGACATGATATGTTACACTGCAAGTTGAAACTCTCCCAGGCACAAAGATGACGGTGACCAGGGCACGGTTAGGGGGCAAATTGACGAATAATTGTACAACGAGAAGCCCAGAGTTGGACTTGGGTGCACATTCAGACCAGTGGTACAGTACGCTCGCAGGACAATATAAAACAATTATTTCATCATACTTCTATTTTTGTCATTTTTTATCATGTGGTAGCGTGAGTCTTTTTTATTTATACTAGAGAGCGGTTATACCACGTGGCTCACGGCCGGCTTTCTTGTTGTCAATTACTACGCGACACTCAGCTCAGCCACTAAATGTGTGAATGGCATAGTTGCCACCTGTAATCGTCTTCAGAAACACGGTCCGGATAGCCTGTGCAATCTTCTATTAACTGTTTTGATTCCCGCTTGTACGCCCTTCGGCCGGCTCACGGGCAACATAGTGCACCGGGTTGGCACTCGGCGAGGGGGCTTTGGCACAGGATGTAACAAGGTGTGGCTAACTAGGTAGTGGCCGGCCGCAACAGTGCCGTCATAGGGCTTGACAAAGAATGGCCAGGGACGGACTTGCGTGGCATTTCCAGGTATTGCAAATGGGAGCGCTGGTTTGATACGTTGCATGGCGCGAGTCAGCTTTGGTCGCTGATGCTGTCACTTTATGCTTCTAGATTGGATGTGCGGTGTTGCGCCAACTGAGAGAGTCGTTGTATTTGGGAGAAGATGCTCCCTAAGAAGCTTGGACAGATTATGGAAACTAGTTTGGTGAGTTTTCAAAGAAAGAGAGGGCACAGATGCGACCCCCGCCGTGGCGGAACGAATCTTGCCCGACATGTCATCGAGCGAAGATGGGCTGCCAGTGGAGGACCGGTCTTGGCCACGAAAGTCTTTCTTGATGCGGCCACCGAGAAACATCTTGGACAGGGTACAAAAAGTTGGCCGGCTTGGGTGACTCGCATGAGTGTTATCATCGTGACCAGAGCCAGGCGAGACACTCCCGCTGTAAGTCGGGGATTGCTGATCGGGGGCTGCAAGCACAGTTGTTGGTCTCAGCCTTGGGCTTGATAACAGCCAGTGCAGAAAACTGAAGCCAAGTCGAAATAGTGGAATAGTCTCAAAAGTTTCAAAGTTAGTAATGGCCAAGGTAAAAAGCAAAAGCAACAAATTCGTAATCGTTGGGTCGCAACGCAGTGACAGCTAGGCCGGTCCCCAGGGTATTGCTTTTTCCTGATCATCGGGTGAGGGGTTTGGAGAAACAAGGCCGCCCGCACAATGCAATGAATGATAGGGTCAGCGAGACATTTTTTTCGCTGTCAAGGGAGTTGAGGGCGATTGATATTCGGAACTGCATCTTCCCGGTTCACGGCTCGGGCATGGGTTCACTCGCATCTACGACATTCCAATTTGGCTAACCGTGGCGCCTCTGAGACAAGAGGATGGACGGCCAGCAAGCGCGCCATTTCAGCCTCGGGCCGCTGTCAGAGTCAACTCTAAAATCAGCCCGGACGATTAGTCCAGGATAGCAGCAGGCAGGCAGGCAGGCAGTTTCGTATGAGTAGGTGGTCAGGCTAGCACCCGTTGTGACGGGTAGAGTCATCGCAGCACCGTTTCGGCACTCGCGAGGCTTGGTATTGCTTGCCATAATTGCCTATCTTTTTGGGATTTAATCTTGTCTAATCCGTACCTCATGTCCGTTTAAATTCGGCACTCTCAACGTCGACATGTAGTCAAGCGCCTGTTCTTCTCGAGACATGCAGCTCACATGGTAATCAAGACACCCAGATGCGCCCTTGCTTTTCTTTTTTGTTCGGAAAAATTCAAACCCCTCAACCCCTCTCCAGCTCCCCTCATTCCTAAACAGCATTGCTTTTGCAGCCATCGTTCAGCCTGTTCATCATTTCCTGGTACAATGGCGTGGCGTCGCCCGGCGTCTGGTGCTAACGTTAGTCGACCGTGTAAGTGGCAAGTCGACGCTTGGCCGAGATGGCAATTCGATTGACAGGTTGACAGGCCCAAGTCCTTGCGCCGAGATTTGACAGCTTCCAAGGTGGCAAGTCATAGCGTCTTGCCTAACCAATGCTCTCACCCCCAGTCTTCGGGGTCGAAAAAAGTAAAATGTCTTGCCCATCAAGATGATCCAGTGGTTCAGATGTACAGCGAGCCTTCGACTGCATTGTAGGCCAGCGGCCGCACTTAAGCGGAGGGTAAAGGGAAGAATAAGAAAAGAAGATAGAAGAGACTTGTTAACCAGCTGCGTCGCGAGAATATATCTTCTTGCCTTTTCCCCTCATAAACAAGTCGTTCTGTGTTCCGTCGTCTCCCATTCTCACCCTCTAGCCTTGAACAACACACCCAACATGGGTCAGATTCCGCCCGGCATCACGGTTTACAACCTGCCAACCGCTCCCCCTATTTGGGACAAATTGGGAATCTTCTACATCACATGGGCAGTAGCATGGACTACGCTGGTATTCAGCGGCATGGCCTTCTGCTGGATCAACCGCAAGAGTCCCATCCTCAAGATCCGAGGCCTGCCGCTCTCCTTTGGCGCCATCATCCTCCTTCACTCATACTGGATCCTCGCCCAGATTACCTACCCCATTGCGCACACCATGCCGCTTGTCCTAGCCTATGACATCCAGTTCTTCTTCATGGGCATATACTTTCCCCTCGGCATCGCACTCTTCCACGCCTCCAACCTGCGATTCCTGCACGTTGCCAAACTTCAGAAGCAGTTCACCCACCCGGACCTTCTTCGCCCAAAAACCCGGGGGTGCGACGGGGCCAAGACTTCGTTGCTGTGCCGGCTAAGGAACATGGCATACACTAAGCGCATCATGTCCTTCATCAGCATCGGCATGGTAATTCAAGTAATGCGCAGATCCATCCAACTGCAATGGCGCATTTGGATTTTGCTAACCATCACCTAGGTTCTGCTCACAGTGGCTTGCTGGTTTGCTGTCAAAAAGTATCATCCCACCTACGGTCTGCCTGGTACGGAAATGAAGAGCACAACGCTGCCTGAGCAGGTTGCTGAACTTGGTCGTGGGTGGGAGTGGTGGCCCTCACTGGGTTGGCAGTTCATCTGGACTTGGATTGTAAGTCGATATGGTTCAGAATCGGCATATTATACAAGGCTGACAATAGCAAGGTTGCACCCATCCTAATATACAGAGCCTGGAGTATCCGCGATACCCTAGGCTGGCGCGCCCAAACCATTGGTTGCTGTCTTTCGAGGTGAGCATCAACGCAGTCTCTCGTGAAAGTCACATACTAAAAGGCTCTAGCCTACACGCCACTCCCATGTTTCTCATTGCTTCCTATGTTCCCGCCTTCGACCAAGTGAACATGTACTTCTCTCAAAGCCAGTGGATTCATCTGTCCATCATGATGTTTGAGATCTTCACTGTTTTCGTCCCTGTCGTACAGGTGATCCGGCTCTGGATGCTGAACAAGTGGGCGGCCGACATCAACGCAAAGTGGGAGACGGAATCGCAAGCCTCGACACTTCGATCGTCTTCGGCCCTCAGTATGGCTGAGAGGGGAAAGACCATGGACTTTTCTGATAGTGAGATGGGCGACCGCGTCACCACCATGAAGGCACTCGAGCATGTCTTGGCTGAGAACCCTGCCCCTCTACTAGAGTTCTCTGCGCACAACGACTTCTCTGGCGAGAATATTGCGTTCCTCACCCGCGCTGATCGCTGGAGGACCACCTGGTCGGCGGAGAAACAGACTGATGACTGGAAAATTCAAGTCTACAACGCCGCCCTCGATATTTATACCGAATTCATCAGCCCGTTGGATGCCGAGTTCCCCCTGAACTTGCCATCCGCCGACCTGAAGAAGATGCAGAGCGTCTTTGAGAAGCCTGCTCGCATTCTGCGTGGCGTTCCTACCTCCAACCCGGCCACTCCTTTCGACTTTGAAGGCCCTCTGCAGCATAATCGCAGTGGCTCCGAGACAGACGAGACATCAACTCAAGCGCAGTACACCGGGGACATTCCGACCGAGTTTAACGAGACCATCTTCGATACCGTCCAGAGCCACATCAAATACCTAGTCTTCACAAACACTTGGCCCAAGTTCATTTCAGAGATGCAGTCGCGCAGAAAGTCTGAAGACACAAGTCCAAGTATTTTCACTGCCGCTTCCAAGACAACTATCGGCAGTCGCATTTCCAGCAAAATTTCCAGTATTATATCTCTCGTTTTCTGAGGCCTCAACAAAAGCTGCGTCAACTAGTTATATCAAACCAGGGTCGCTCATCGACCGAGACGTATTTTATCATGTACTTATTTATGCCCGGGCAGACTATAAAGTGGTGGATTTCGTCGAAAATAATCGCACTGTAATTGAAAGATTTTACGCTCCACACAATGCATTGTTCATGGTGATGTTCCTATCGCTCCTGGGTGAAATTGAGAAAAGAGGCCCGCTAGTCCAAGTCAGATGAAGGGTAAAAGTGGATCTCGTCACAGCGCCGCAAAATAACGTGACTAAGCAATCTGGCGGCGGAGGCCTGTTTTTCCGGCAGGGCAAGTGGTGGGACTGTGACTCACGTGAGTTTCGCCTCCCGCCCACAACCATTTACCAAAATCCAGAAAAACCCAGTACGCCTAGTCTCACCAACCACAGGTATCGCCAAACGCATCAATCACCATGGGTAAAGTTCACGGATCGCTCGCCCGTGCTGGTACGTTTAGGGAATTTTTGTCGCACCAATTTTTCGCATCTTCTAACTCGTTTTCAGGCAAGGTCAAGTCTCAGACCCCTAAAGTACGACGCATCTCCCCCGACTGAACCGACCACGACCGATCACTAACCAGATTTCCAACACAGGTTGAGGCCCAGGAGAAGGCCAAGACCCCCAAGGGCCGTGCCCTCAAGCGCCTCAAGTACACCCGCCGTTTTGTCAACGTCACCCTGACCGGCGGCAAGCGCAAGGTGAGCACGAATTCGACACCCGAAACGAGGCGACGGAGGCGCAAGGACGACGAATGCTGACGCGGAGAACCTAGATGAACCCCAACCCCGGCTCTTAAATATACGAAACGAATTGATGGGAGTTGAGAAAACGAAGTTTTGGCATGGCGGAACCGTCTTCTGAATAGATGCTGCGATAGCAGAGAAGGCGATGGATTTTGTCGGGTCGATCGCATGGCTGAGCACTCTGCATAATCATTAGAGATGCAATAAGACGCGACGACTTTACTCGGCGTCCGGTGTCCTTTTGTCAATACAAACAAAATTACATCTACAACAGTACGGAGCAACGGCTTAACTTGGTGACGGCAATAAACCGCTTCTGCGCAAGCTAGCGACGCGACTGACTATCGAGAACCGAACCAGGCATACGCCACACTGAGACCGGGACAACGGATCAGCATGAACAAACTGCCAATGAGGGGACGGGTTCGCGCGAAGCTGCGTGATGACATCGTCTCGAAGACGAGCGCAGGCCAGTGTTCGTAGTGTTCCGCCCAACTCTGAAGCCGCCCAATCTCGTCCGTGACGGTGACTGGCCTGCTTTCTACTCTATTGTCCACTTTCGCTCATGCGTAGTTTTGCCGTAACTAGTTCTTAACGTCATGCTGCTCCCCCAGCTGTCGGAGCATTTAAATCACGTGACCCATCTGTACAGTACAGCCAGAGCTTAGCTGCGGGAGGATCGCGAGCCAGAAATTTGTCCAGCACCCATCAACACACAAAATGACCAGCACAGAGATGGAAGTCGATGCCGCCGGCTCAGGGCCTGCACAAGATGAGTCGCCTATGCAGACACACGGGAAGGCTACTGCGGTGCGGTCTATTGAGGGGTGGATTATCATCGTGACCAACGTCCACGAGGAAGCCGATGAAGAGACGATCCAGGACACGTTTGGCGAGTTTGGCGAAGTGAAGAATCTCCACTTGAACTTGGATCGACGGAGCGGTTATGTCAAGGCGAGTTGCTTCTGCTCATGAACCTTACCAAGCTTAGCCCGGACCGCAGACTGACTTGTGGCAGGGTTATGCTCTGATCGAGTATGCGACTTTGGAGGAAGCCCGAGCCGCCATCGACGGCGCGCACAACACGAAGATTCTCGACCAGACGATACAGGTAGACTTTGCCTTTGTTCGGCCGCCGCCGGGCAAGGGAGGACGAGGAGGACGAGGAGCAGGCCGCCGATCAGGGCGCAGCCGGAGCCGAAGCAGGAGTCCCGATCACAAGGATACCGATGGCGACGTGGATATCGAATAATGAGACTGCAATTCAGTCTCCAAGATGACCAATAAATGCCGATATGACGGCACTTCGAGCCAAGTGCCATCAGACATATCGGCGCGCATATCGCGATTTAATAGGTATGGTGACGGCTGAGCGACTTTGGCGATGTCGATGCTAATTTCGAGTAGAAACTGAAGATGAAACAAATCGTCTCTTGTTACAAATAGGTCACGCGCCGTGACTTGAAACCGAAGCCCAGCAGCTGCCCGCCAGCGTTTACGACGGCGACGACGATAACACGATGCCTCTTCTCAGCTGGACATCAATTTGATATCCCCGTAAGCTTGGAAACTAACCGCAAGGTTATCCAGCAGGATCAAGTAGATTTTTGGTTGGGATATGGGATAAAACGGAATTATATCAAAACAGTGTCTCGAGCCTGGCAGCAACCGTATTCCAGGCAGAATCGCGTACTAGGAGGACTGGGTAATAAGCTAAAAATAAATAAATAAAAGGAACTCGAGCAATACCCTGCATGCATGTATGGATCGAAGTCGGAAATTAATTATGCGCAACAAAAACCGCAGACTCGAAGGGCTGATGTCGTGCAACTTGCAGCTCAACCAATACCGGGGTTCGCATTACATCTCTCTCACCTGCACGATCCCCACCTGAACTTCCAGGGTCAGGCTTCATCTACCACATCCACGCATCTGGACGCGACGTCATCAATCCTTGCCCGACAACGCGAGGAATGGATAATTGCCGCCACTAAACAGCCATCGATGGCGTGCAAAGCGCCATCCGGCCGCTATAGCAATGTATAACCGCGAATCCCGGATTATGCGCAAGCTGCTGGGAAAGCCAGCGAACGACCCTTCCGCTGGCGATGCGACTGCAACGAGCACCAGCACCGCCACTCCAACGAGCTATCGGCCGATCAAATCCCAAAATGCGGTGCACCCTGTAACCGCGCCGGTGTCATGCCTCGATGTTTCCGCTGACGGGCGCGCCGCCGTTCTGGGAGGACCGCACATACTCAAGACGTTGGTGCTCGACACCGTGGGGAGCCCCAGCTTCAGTTTCAGCGACGGCGTTGATATTAGGGCGTCAATTACATCGCAAAAGACTTCTGGAAGCAAAGCGAACATCGTGGCCGACCAGCTCAACATCCGCGACGTCAAATGGCACGAGAACGGCATCGTCTTTACGGCGTGCGCCACGGGGCGCATATTCGGCTACGACCCGCTTCGAATCGATACCGGGGGCTCCGACCCTCTCGAATGCTTCCAGATGCAGGAGGATAGTCGCCAAATAAACACGTTGGACGTCAACCCACACTTGAAGAGCTGGCTACTGGCGGGAAGTCAAGACGGAATCGCGCGCGTCTTTGACGTTTCTGCCCCAACCGCCACGCGATCGGGCATGCCCACATTTAGACAACGATTTTCACCTTTGAAGAATAACGAGTCGATTAGGAAAGTAATGTGGTCACCCCGAGTCGGGCACGAGATGGCCTGCTGCACGGAGGGAGGCGTGGTTCTGAAATGGGATGTCCGCCAACCATCACGACCAGTGCTTAGGATCAACGCCCATGAAAACTCATGTACTACGATGGCATGGCATCCTGATGGAATCCACCTCATCAGCGCGGGATGGGACTCGAAGCTGCATGTGTGGGACCTAGGCGCTTCAGGCGACAAGAGACAAAAACCAAAATGGACCATCACGACTCCAGCGCCGGTATCGTCTCTTGCCTGGCGACCAGGCCTGTGGTCTGCTACGGCCCAAACCCGCCGTGTAGCGCAAGTCGCAGTGAGCTATGATGAAAGCAGCAACAGGCGCTATGGTGCCTCGGTCGTCCATATTTGGGATCTGGCCCGTCCGACGATGCCATACAAGGAAATTGAGCGGTTCGATTCGTCGCCGTCTGCCATGCTCTGGAGAGACCAAGACATGCTCTGGACTGTTGGTCAGGATGGAATCTTCAACCAGTGCGATGTGGCATATGCGCCAAAGTCCATTGACAGACTCTCCACGTCGGCAATGGCCTTTTCACCACAAGGCGATGTTGTCATGTTCTTGGACGAGCGTGCGCAGCAAAGCCGTCCGCGGCCCATCATGCACCATAGCGAAACGCCCTCTCGCCCGACATACAGCTCTAGCCCCAACGTATATCTTCTCGGCGGAAGCAAGAGCGATTCCGAAGAAGACGTACTAGGAACGTTTATTGGCACTCGACGCAAACTCGCACACCGACGCCGGTTGAGCGGCCGCTCCGGACAGCCTATGAGCACAACACCACCGTCCGGTACCGGCTTTGCAGACGAGGGCAAAGGCACCCTGGGTCTTGACATGTCTATCGGTGTTACTGGAATGTTCAGGTCACCGCAGGTAATGGCGTCGGGAAGAATACCAGCATCAACCAAAGTCCCAGTCTATCAGTATCTCACCGCGAGCTACCTCGAAATCTTGGAGCGTGTCTTACCAAAGCTAGACGACAAAGTTTCTCTTGCTCAGCGGGTCGGAACGGCCTTGGAAGAGTTCTCGAGGGTTTCAGAAAATGTGCGCCTGTACCGATTATCTCAGTCATGGCGCGTGATTGCCTTTGCCATGCATCTCTTGCTCAAGAAGAGAGCAGACTACCACCTTGATGCAAGGTCATCCCGGTTTCAAAAGCGACAGCTGGAAAGTAGCAAGCCCGCAACTACATTCAAGCCACCCGAGATCTATGGAACTAGCTACAATGGCGAAGAGACTCCACGAAGACCTACATCTGCACATGGGGGCAGTATAGATGGCAGGCTACATGCTGTGCGGTCGCTTCTGTCGGAGGAAATTGAGAGTACTTCAAATGTGCCGACGCCGATTGCACGGCCAGTTGATGCAGCGCTCAGTCGCGAATTGGAAACCGGTCATTACCAGCACGGAAAGAAGTTAACACCCATTATCGAGCCAGAGAGTTTCAATCTCGGGCCTTCTATGCACACTTTCAAGAATGCGGCGCATTCGCCAGGAAGCTCCCAAGCCATATCGGATAACAGCCGAGAAAGCGAGATTTCCGAAACATCCATAACTGAGGGTTACGACTTTTACGATGCCGAAGCTCTCTCAAGAGCCATCGATGTCCCAGAGCCAAAAACGAAGGAGGCAGCTGATCGGCAGCAATCTCGAATCAAGCCTGCTCGTCATGATTCAGAGGACAGCATGGGCGAAATATTTTCCATCTCAGCCGGAGCCAAGCAAAACTCATCCGTGGAAATTGCTGGCGCCATAAACAGCGACGTTGGCTACTCTTCTAAGATCAGCAGTGGCAGCGCTGATACGCAATTCGAGCCTAGGATCCATGGCGATGTCCAGAGGCGCAAATCAAACGTCGCTGACTCTCCAGAGGACGTTTTCATGATTTCACAAACCACCGCCTCTACGGACGACGTTTATCCATCACAGATTTCTTTTGCTTCGCAATCTGATTCTGACCATAACCCATCCTTTCAACAGTCTACAGCTCCCGCGGAGGCTGTAGATGGTCAACTTAACGGCGCGAGCAGTCATATTGCCACTTATTATAACGACCCGAGGCCCCATATCATCGAATCCGACTACTTTCCATGGCCCGAGGATCCTGATTTTCTAAAAATGAAGGGAGATTCCACAGTGCCAGCTGCTCTTGACCCTTACCTCTTGCTCAAAAGAGCATTCGACTTTGAATGCCGCTCCTCCGCAGTTAACGCGGCTGCCATGGTGCTGCTTCTGCGGCCACTCCTCCCAGACGGCATCATCGATACACATCTGGCACGAGGCATCCTGCGACAACACCACGAGCGGCTGATGCGCATGAGGCTCTTCGTCGAGGCATCTGCCCTGCGCAAGCTATGCATTCAAGGATGGCCCGAGGGCATGCCCGAATGGGGCGAGAACTACACCCCTATCTTCAGCCCTGCCCAACAAGGCGTCAAGACTGGGCTACTCTGCTCCGCATGTCGGAAGCCACGAGAGGTCGATCCCAGTGGCGGCCGCGACGCCATCTGGACCTGCGAACGCTGCCGCGCCGTCATGGCGCCCTGCGCCGTTTGCAACCACCGCGACGCGGAGCTGCCCGCGCACATCCCCGGCCACGACAGCCTCGACGCCGAGGACGCAGGCCTCAACCCATCGTGGGTGTCCAACTGGTGGTGGTTCTGCCCCGGCTGCGCGCACGGCGGGCACGCCTCGTGCCTGCAGATCTGGCACGGCGCGCTCGAGGCCGACGACCCCAACTCGCAGCCGGCCAAGTTTAGCGGCGGCTGCTGTCCGCTCGACGGCTGCGGCCACGCCTGCCTGCCGGGGAGGTACCGCGGGGAGGTGGTGACGGCCCGTGCCGACGAGCTCGGCCGCGCGACGCTGGACAGCACCCGCGTAGCCCGCGACGAGATCCGCGGAGGGGGCGGCGCCGCGGGCAGTCGGCGGTCCAGCCCTGGCGGACGCGGCGGCGACCGAAGCGTGCGCAGCGACAGCTACGACATACCGCAGAGCAAGGCCGTCGGTATGGCGCGCGAGGCGCTCAACAAGGGCGGCTCGTCGCCTAGCTCCGGCGGCGGCATCCTGAGCTCCAGCCCGGGCCGGGTGCCGGGGACGGGCGAGCGCGAGCGCCGCAAGAGCGTCAAGTTTGTCAAGACGGAGCGGTGAAGGACGTTGCCATGTTGTCAACAAATCATCTCTCGTTGTTCTGTTTTTCATATACGAAGCAGGCGTTTATTGGCGTTTTCATTGTTCTCCCCACCCTTCCCATTTTATTGTTTCAGACTTGGAAAGTCTCTTTGTAAGATTAACGTATTATACATGTATATCTGCGCTAGAAACCACCAGATGAAGACGATGAAAGTCTCATTGCTCATCTATACAATCGCTTTCTTTTTCCACTTCTCATTGTTCCCCCCACACATCACGTCGTGCTCGCCGTAGTCTATATACGTTGTTGTTGTTCTTATATTGGTATTTCGTCGTCGTCTCCCGCATGGAGCGTGTAGTCGTTGCTCAACTCGCCACGTTCTCCCGGAGGCCCTTTGTGCGTAGTGTAAACTTGGCCACGGGACTGCGAAACGGCAACGAAAAGTCCGGGTTCATGCCGCCCATGCCCGACAGCCCCCAGGCCACCGCTGCTGCCGGTGTCGTCGTCTCCTCCGCCACAGCCGCCGAGCGCGGCGCATCGCCACGGCGAGCCTGGACCTCGCTGTCGGCGCTCCCCGGACAATCCCCCTTGCCCTGGTGCTGCTCCTGGGCGAGAAGCCGCGAGGGGGACGACGACGCGGCCATCCCGTTGGAGCCCGCGGCGGCGCCGGCGAGGCGACCGGCCCACAGCCCGCGGACGCCGCCCCTCTTACGCTCCGGCAACTCATCATCGCCGCCGGCGCTGCCGACGTATAGCAGGTACTTGATGTTGGGCAGCGTGTGGCGGATGTCGACGACGCGCAGGCCCTGCGCCGCGCAGAGCGCCTCGATGTCCTTGTTGAGCAGGAACCAGGCGTACTCGAAGCGCCACTGCCCCGTCGTGGATCCGCCACGCGGCAGGAACAGCGGAAACTCTCGACGACCGCCGCTGCTGTTCTTGTCCCCGGCCTTGCCGCTGCCGCTGCTACTCTCCGGGATGTGTGAGATGTCGTCGCGGATGTACGCCCGCGACCCGATGACCGGCGCCACGGCGTACGGTAGCGGGCAGCCGAGGTACAGCTGGAGGTGGCGCGTGAGAAGGGCGACGAGGCCGAGGCCGGCGGAGAGCGCGTCCTCGCCGACAGTGCGAGCGACGGCCGCGTCATAGACCGAGTTGGGCAGCGGGACGCCGCAGATCTGAAACGATAGCGGGGGCGCGTCGGGCACCGGTGCGATGGGGAAGACGTCTGTGAGCTCGGCGCATATGCGCCGCCGCTGCCCGCGAATCTGCTGCTCCGTGTCCTCGAGCAGCCGCCGCGACGCGAGCAGCCGCTCTCTACCGCTCGCCACGTCCTCCTCGCGGCTCCGCTGCAGCGCACGGCCCGCGGCAATGGCCTCCCTGCATGCCAGCAGCCCCGCCCGCAGCTTGTCACGCCGCCGCTCCGCCTGCCGGTTGAGGCGGCGCTGCGTGGCGAGGTACTTGTTCGCCAGCGCGACACCTTCCTCCGCGGCATCCGCGGCGCCGTCGCCGTCGCCGTACTCCTCCTCCTCCTCAGCGGCGATGAGCTCGTTCATCTGGAGCGCCACGGCGCGCTGCGTCTCCTCGGCGTCGCGTAGCGAGGTCTCGAGGTGTGCGAGCCGCATGAGCGCGCCGTAGGAAGAGGTCGTGGCGGGCGGGGGGTGGTGCTGGCGCGGCTCGGACACGCGCTCGGGCAGGTCGAGCGAGTACACGCCGTCCTCGAGGTGGAATACGAGCGCGTTCGGGCGGTAATCACGGTTCAGCGTCGTCGAGATGAAGCGCAGCCGGCGTAGGTCGACGAGCTCCTCGAGCAGGAAGCTCCAGCGGCCGTTGCTCTGCTTGGGCCGGCGCGTCCAGACCCGGATCAGCACCCGGCAGGCGCGGGCGACGGTGGCGTCGTAGGCTGACAGGTTGAAGAATCGAAAGTCAAAGTTCTAATGCGCGGGAAAACGAGCATCGTGTTAGTCACAAGAAAACAGCACCTTCCCAAGCTCCCGACAAAGCATACCGCTGATCGCTCCCCTATTTCGCTTATGTATATTGGCTCCTCCGGGTTCGCGGGGTCGTGGAGGGAGAAGAAGACGTCACCGACCGCCTCGTCCGCGAGGTCCTCGAGCTTCTTCTGGCGGCTCGCCGGGCTCTCGTGCGCATTGCTTAGGCTCGCGCGGCGCTGCATGACACCACCACTCATCCGCCTCGCGGACAGGTTCTCCGAGGAGCGCGACGTCTGCAGCGATGTGTTGTCGCTGCTCGACTCTTGCAGGGCGGCCATCTGCGATTGTTTCTTATGATTCGAGCCGGGGATGTCAGCATCGTCGGCGGAGCGCAGGACACCACCGCGAGCGGGCGGGGCCGGGGGCGCGAAGCACAGGTTGCGCAGGGACAGACCGCGCAGGTGTCGCAGCTTTCGGTTCTGGGCGAGCAGCCGCGGCCGTCGGGGCGGCGGCGCGGGCATCGTGGACGACATGAAGGTGACGGTGGTGGTGGTGATGATGGGCGGACATGGGCGGCGGGCCGGGGCGGGGATGACTGATTCATAGCACGGGTGCGGCCATTGGAGATGCGTGTGTCGGGTTTCGCGAGGGGTCTGGGTCAGTATTTGGGCAAACACCAAGACGGGCTCGCGTTGAGCAATGGGGTAGCGGAAATGGTGTTTGTTTGTTGGCTTGTTGTCATCGACGGGCCAAGCTTTGGGACTTTACGAAGCCAGTGGGCCCGATTACATACGTCGTTGGTACCAGCGTTCGATCCAGCATGACGTGCACAATTTGAGTTTCGCCCATCTCATAAATACAAAGGATAAAAAATTTAATAAAAATAACGATCAATTCAGGCATACATGGTGTGCCTGATGAGCCGTATAATGCCCATGTATGAATGACTATAATGGTAAAGTCTAATAAACAAATTCGCTTTCAAACTCGCAATCAACCCGAAACAACGCCAACGATGCAATGCCAAGAAAGAAAGATATAAACGGGTGTGAGAAGAGAAAGGGATAATGGTGCAAGATCATCAAAAGACGCCTGTGTTTCAGCGATGAGGTAATCCTGCAATTTCCGACTTCTGCTCGCGCTCGTCGTGAGATCTCAAAACAGCTGACATACGGTAAACCGCCATGCAGTTATCAGTCAAATCATGTAGACTCGTCTACCGGAAACAGAGACCACTTGCATAAGCGCCGGCGCTTGGGCATCGCTCTCCCGTGCGTGGTTCAATTCCCAAATGTAAGGTTAGCAATCATCTTGATAGATGGCAGGCAAGTATTTTTGCCGCGCCACGGGCTCCAGCTCTATAGATCAGGGCGATCCATGTTTGGTATGCGCAAGTTGTAGGGTCTCTCGGTATTGCCAAGTCCCATCCACCTCCGCACGAATCTTATTACCTCGGAAACGGCCACTTGGAAACTATCTTCTTGTTAGTACCTTGCGCAAACCACAAGTTCTCGGCATCTTCATCAGACATACAAGTAGTATGGGGCACGAATCCAGCCTGTCAAGACCACGCGGAGAGCCAGCTTAATGAGTGACAGCTCGTGGTCCAGCTGCGACCTCCAGTCGTCGCCCGCCGAGCCGCGATTCTTTTTGCGGATGAGGTCAACCAACTCGTCCGAGAGCTCCTCGTCCGGGTCCGCGGCGCTGAGTGGGTGGTCCAGCGGCTCGCGAATGTCACGGGCCGTCTCGGCAAGCAGCTCCGCGGCCCTCTTCCTGTCCTCGGCCTCGGCCGCCATCTTGTGGAACTGGCCCGTAGCCATGAGCGACTGGGTGAGGCGACCGTACGTGTTGAAGAGAGCGACAAGCTCGGTGCGCTTCAGCACCGGCACGTCATCGCTGCCCGGCTTCCCGAACTCGAAGAGCACCTTGAGCGCCGTGCCGTAGCCGTTGGTCTGGACCTTGCCCCAGAGGCGGCACTTGTCGCAGCCGACGCAGTCCATGAGGCGGCTGATGTTGCGGAAGCGATTGCGGAAGTCTTCCTTGAGGGACGGACCCTCGCCGTTGACAAACATGATGCTCTCATCGAAGATGTCCGGGACCAGGGCGGCGCGCTGTGTTACCTTGAGGACCTTACTGCGCGTGGAGGCGTCCTCGCTCGCGTCGTCGGTGCAAAAGGTATAGTCTTTCTTCTGCAGGTACGGACCGAGCTTGGCTACGGCGCGAGTCACCAGGGCATAGTTGAAGTAGAGATTGCTGATGCGGTCGGGGTAAGGGTGAAGACGCTCCATGTAGCAGTCGAGGTTGGGGCCCCAGAGGCCGGTCGTCTTGTTGAGGTAGTCCCAGCAGAGGTGGGTGCTGATGCTGGCGTGCATTCCGGACACTACGCGGTAGAATACGCGCTTCTCGAGGCACTCATCATCGGCCTCGAGCCCGGTACTGGCGACAAAGGGAGTCTCGGGTTTCTGGAGGCGCTCGCGGTCGAGCTGGGCCTGGCGGCCTGCGGCCTCCATGACCTGCTTGAAGTCCATGGCGGCGGGACCCTGGGGCCAGTGGGAGATGCCGACGTCGGCAGAACGAGGGAAAGAGCTGCGCTGGAAGCAGTTCTCGCGGTAGATGGCGTCCCAGACCATGCGGGCGCCGACGCCCGAGTAGCCCGTGAAGCGCTCGGGGTTCTTGGTGAGGCTGACGTAGTCGCCCTTGGAGAAGGCACTCTCATCCTCGGGGACACAGTAGTCGCGCTCATCGCACTCATCGTCATTGTCGTATACGCAGCTCTCTCCGACGCTCTCGCCTAGCTCACCGTGAAGGGGACGGTGCTCTTCCTTGGGTGCGCGGCCAGGGTGGCGTGCGAGCGGGCCCTCGAGCTTGCTCAGCTCCTTGACGCGCCAGACGACGGGTATGTCCTCTTCGTTATCGAGGGTCTCGACGGCGCATCCTATATTGCCGCAGAGGCCGTTCTGGTCGTCCCAGAAGGGGCAGGACTTGTGGAAGAGATTGAGGCGGTAGTGGGAGAAGTAGTCGGTCGTCTTTGTGAGATCGTCGACAGCGGGCTTGACACGGGCGTTGAGCTTGTCGAGGGTAGCGTAGGAGACGCAGGCGTCGTCGACAATGGCTTTGGACGAGACCTGCTCGCGAGTGGTCAGTAGGGAGGAAGGGCGCACGGGTGCAATGACGTAGCGACGGGTTGGGTGCGATCATACTGGGCAGCCATCTTTGGAGGCGCCGGCGCACGTGCCTGGCGTCGCGCACAGGGCAAAGACGGAGAGGAAGAAGAGTTTTCCGGCAGACTTCATTGGGGGACGCGATGCCAATTGGCAAAGGACGGGGGGCTGAAGAGGAGAGTGGTGAGGCGGAGGACGCAAATGGTATCGGACAATTAATAAGCTGTCGATTTTGACATCGAGCAAGGATGAAGGAGGGCGGGCCGTGCGATAGAGCGTAGTTGTAACGGTCTGTAGGAGATACGAAGTCGAGTCTATGACGCTGTAGGTGAAAAATGCAGAGGGGGGGAAAGGTCGTTCAAGTTGGAAGAGTGAGGTCTGGGGGGGTATCGTGCCTCTTTGTCTCTCTTCTTCATCAATAGGCCATTATTAAGATGCCACGCTGGCTGGCTTTTGACTTGGCGATGGATGTTTAAAAAGAATGGGGCCGTGGATCGGATGGCTCGGTCTAGTCCAACTCTGGAAGGCACCGTTGTGTGCTAGGAATGGCTATTCGCGATGTACAAGTGTACTGTCTGTCTCGTGATGCCTACCAGTAGCCTCGAACTGCTCCTAAAATCTAGCAGGAAGTTGCTTTGAAGTTTAACCCCTAGTGAGTGCGAAAGTTTTCGTGCTTTGAAGAAGAGACTTTCAATTCTGGTACATTCGTCCACCAATATCGGCTCGTCGGGCGTCCAAGACTGATTACATGGCCTCTTTTCTTCGACCACCCCACTCCTAAATTAGTTAGCACAATCATCTGTATTGACGGGTGACATTTGTGTATTATGCCCGTCAGAATTTATGCTACGTTTGTGTCCGTAATCCTGCAACTCAGCCATACCTGGCCTCCTACATCCATTTTGTAGCAGTCCAGAGCACCACGACTTTGCAGAATCATGCCACGCCTCCGCATCCCGTCCCGTGTCCGCCCATCTCTCGAAATCCGACCCCAGGCCCTGCGCCAACCGCCGCAAAAGTGGCGTGTTCAATCAAAGAAAACATCAACCATGGCGCCAGTCAAACCTCGGGTAATGGCCAAAAGGCCACGCTACCAGTATTTCCAAACACACTCAGAAATCAATAACTAGTCGCTTCCCAAGGTTGCATGTATAATTGTTCCTGCAGCTATATATCATCTCGCTCTTGTAACCACACCACACATGCACCATTACAGGCCTGCAGTGGGCCTGCATCACTCCTCCCAGCCATGAAACACGTCTTGATTCATCATCAATTCACCATATATAAGGCTACATATTCTTCTTCTCATCCCATACTTCTTCCATTCTGCACCACGTGTCTACTTTGTCCTTGTCCGAATTCCCAGACAAGCCCCATCACCCAATCCAAGCAGCCCAGCAATCTCCCAGCCGGCATGGCATCACTGGCATTGCCCTTTTCTTGCCATCTTGGTACAAAAACGGTATGCAAGCTGCCGATGGCAAACAGAGATTGAACAACCCAAACAATATGCTCCTTTGTATTCTTTCTTCGATATTGTTCCGTGTGCGCATACAAGAGGTCGCAGCCACCAAGTCAAAACATCAGACAAACTCGTCAAGCTTTTGCTGCTTGCTGTTGCTGCTGCTATGACACACGGTTCCGCCGGCAACCCGCATACCGGCGACAGACGCGCGTCTCCCTTGAACTGGAAAGGAATCATCACAACATGCAAATCCATAACATCGTGACGGGGCATAAATGGCAAAGACAAAAATCAAAAAAAGGGGAGAGAGCGTGAGAGGGACACTCGGCCGCGGGCTGAAGCTTGCCTCATGTTTCCAGCAAGCTAACCAGCGCCCAAAGGTCTCGAGACTATTCGTACAAGAGTCGATGCGGCGGCGGCGGGGTTCGGTTCACTGCGGGGGCTGGTAGTTGATTGGGCGCCTATGAGAGAGGGTTGGTTAGCCACCAGGCACAGTTCCGTGAGTGTCGGGCGAGGGTCATGGGCTTACTTGAACAGAAGGATGTGCGGCTCGGGCTCGTGGACCTCGTAGTGTTCCCATCCCAAGCTCTGATGTCGTGGTTAGCCAAAAGGATGTCGACGCGAAAGCCCGCCGGTGGAAAGCACGAACCTGTGTGATGCCGAGGGCGCGCCACTCCTCCTCCCACAGCAGCTTCAATGTTCCTTTCGAAGAGTCTTGGTAGTCCTCCGGGATCGCCTTGAGCATGGCCTTGGGGAGTTGTACGTGACGGTATTCGTATTCACTGTCGTTGTATCTGCAAGCCGGTTAGCGATGCGCCGCGACTGCCGCCAGTGAAGGGCGCGTGGAGGGGATCGTGTGCGTACCTGTTGGAGTAGTGGATGGACTCAACGAATTCATCGAGACGCGATCGCTCCTCGTTGGAAAGAGGGCGGGGCCTCTTGTTTCGGCGGCTCATGTCAATATCCATCTTTTGGGTGTAGGTAGTTGGGTGTGCAAGCAAGCAAGCAAGCAATCGGCAGTGGTTCCCCGCGCAGGTAGGTTGGAGGAAGGGGTCGATGGCCAGGGTCGAGCGGCGAGGGCAGAGGCAGAAAAGGAAAAGAAGGAAAAGAAGAACGAATGAGAAGCCAAGAGCTCGGTCGGCAGATTGACGATCAAGCCGGGTGACGCACGCAAGGCCGTTGGATGCGTGTTTTTGCAGTGCCCAGTCCGTCCCACAGCAGAAGGTAGAAGGAGGACTTTTGCGGTGGTGGTTCGACGGTGGTGGTTGGTGTGGACTTGGGTGGTGGTTCTGCGCGTGGAGGCAGGCGGTTCAGGCTACCTTCATAGAGGTAGTGAGTGGTAGGGAGGCAGAATAACAGCGGGCGGTAAAGGCAGAAACAACGGCGTGGGGGAGCGGGGGTTTTCAACGACAGCAGAAGTGGTTGTTTTAAGCTTTAATTTTGTTCGTCTCTGGTGGCAGTGAAAAGTTCAAGAGTATGTTGTAGTGGCAGAATCTTGGTCAAAATTTATATACTGTTCAATGATCGCACAAATGGCACCGAAGCCGAAGCCAAGGGAAGCAGCTGTCATGAGAGCACAAATCAGCCATTCAGGACTCAGGCGCGTGCAGGGTGGAGGCGGGCCGAGTGTGGACAACCGCAGAAACGTCCGGTCGAAAAATAAGATGAAATAAATAATAATAATAAAGAGCCGCACAGGGTGGCAGGAAAAGACGGAAGAGAGAAAAGCAGGTGGCCGGTAAGTGGCAGGCAGGCAAGTGGTACAGGATGGAATTTCCAAAAGACTCGAGGTTGCACAAGCCTGAATGAAGCCAGTCCGAGGGAAGCCTGTGTGATCCCTCTAGCACGTATGTATGTACGTACCTTACCTATGTATGTGAAGCACATAGTACCATGGTTATCAAAGGAAATCATACGGAGTAAAGCAAAAAGTAACACATGCCCGGTGCTTGTAAGATCGTTACCTACCTCAATGAGCAAGGCAACCCGAGCTGCAAAGCAAGCAAAAAAGAACAGAACAGAGCAACCCCGCTGGTTTACTGGAAAGCCCCACCGCCAACTGTAAACACTGTAAAAACACTCCACCAACAGCCAGACGCGTCTCAACTCCAACTCGCGCAAAGTGGAATGGAATTTTCATCATCGTTGTTCCCTCAAGACATGAACATACCTCAAAAACAGTGCACGCAGTGTTTTCTCTTTACTCTACAAATGATAACCAGTTCTTTATATTACTACTAGGGCTACCAACCATCAGCACAAATTACTTATTTCCAGTTGGCCGGGCCACCCCGCTACAAACGACGGGGGACATCCTTCCTCATCCACCACCAACCACCTCAATCAACGGCCAGTTCGTATAAATTAAACAGAAATTTCCATGTAGAATGCAACTGCCATGACGCCGTTGGCTTCCGTCTTCTCCACGCCGTCCACGCCACAAGTTGACGACATGAGCAGCCTACCCCCAAGGGATGCGCAACAACATCCCTGTTATCCCTATGTATCTTGCCTCTGCGCTCACCGACTCCGAACCGGAACCTGCAGGTTTCATGGCGTGCGCCAAAGGTTCCATAGCACTTCCCGTAGAACCTCCCAGCATCCTCGAACCCATGCCATCTGCATGTACATGCAGAGACAAGATGGTTCCCACATTTCGCGCCCCCGGAGGACGATTTATCGAATGCCGTGAGGGAGCAGCAAAAGAAACGGGCAGGGATTTCCGCCTCCGAGACGGACGGGGAAGAGAAAGTGGTGGCCAACCCCAAGAAAAGCAAGATCGAATGCCCTCAAATGCCCTCAAGCCTCGTCAAACAGGAACCGTGTCTTGTCCGGGCCCGGCGCCCGCCCGGACAGCGCGACACTCGTTACGACGTTGCCAATCTTGACCTTGACGCTGTCCACGGCAATCCTCCACGCCAGGACCTCGTCAGGCAGTGGTAAATGCCACGTGGACAAGCCACCAGGCTCTTCCTCATCCTCATCCCGCAGCTCCCGCCGCGGTCGCGCCAATGTCCAGGCAATGGAGAGGTGAAACGCCGTCCGCGCCGTGTCCTCATCCGCGTACAGCAGCGGCTGACTGAAGCGCGTTGCCACGGCGTTGCTCGCGCGCAGCAGCGCCATCAACGGTCCGCCATCCTCCGTCGCCGCGCCGGCCGCGGCCTCGATGCTAAGGACCAGGAAGCTGCGGCCCGAGTCTGGCGATGTAAACCACGCAAGGCGGCTCGGCTGCACGACAAACGGCCGCACGCCGCCGCCGCCGAGGGACGCCTCCGCACGCCGTAAAAATTCGTCCTTGTCCGCCGTCGCTAGCGACAACGGCCGCGAGAGGCTGACGTGTAGAGGCAGCGGCGTCTCTAGGTCGCTCGTCACGAGCGACTGTAGCTCGTCGCCGCCGCTGCTACCCAGCGCCGAGGATGCGCCGGCGAGGAGCCGCGTCAGAACCGCGTGCTGCTCGAGGCTTGGGCGCCCTGTAAATCTTGATCAGCAGGATTGACTGTATGCCACGCGCGGCAGGGTATCACCGGCTTGCCTTGGGAGCGTACACTCAATGTAGACGTGGCTCGGCCACTGGCCCGCGATGTGCGGCACCTGTCTCTTGCGGCCCTGGTGCAGCGAGGGGTCGTCGACGGTGCTCTGGCGCACAGTCGCCGCGTAGAGGTCGTGAAACTCGGGGGGCAGCGGCGGCATCTCGTTCCCACCGGTGGACGAGCCTCTCGTCTTCTGTCGCTTGGCCGGTGGTTTGCCGTGCGGTGGCGTTGCACCGTTCCCATCATCCTCGCCCGACGATGAGTAGTCGACCAGTGCCATGTTTTCCTCCTTGCGTCCCGTTCCGCTATCACGCCGCAGCGACTTCTAAGCGCCCAGAAAATCGTCTTTGTCCCGCGTCTGCACGACCGCGGGTGCGCCGCCCCGAAGGCGTCGTCAAGGTCGTACCGCTAGACGGCACCCACCTAGCCGGCGTATCGCCCGCGGCGGTCCAAAAAGCCGGCAAGTAAGTTTGCGGTGCTAATCCCTGGAACCTCTTTGATTTTGTCGCAAAGCCCGCGGCGCTACCGTTTTCTCGTTTCTCACAAGCCGGTACGGGAGTTAGGTGACAAGGAGCAAACGAGGACAAGATCCTTCAAAGTCGTACCAAGCGTCAAGCCCCATATATTGTGACAGCTTGAACAGGCTGTTAACATTGTACACTTCATTCGATGATACGGATCAACAGAGCACAGTATGACATGGCAATCTACGTGATCAATTCCTGCTTCTTGAGTTCGCTCGATTCACTACCGTGAGTAAATACACAATCCAGTCATTATCATCCTGCCACAGGCACATCTCGGCGTAGCACAGCGTGCACGTGCAAGTCTTGCACAACGCCAGCCTTCTCCACCGCATCCCTCTGGACTCCTTCCAGCACGAAGCCGCACCGTGCCAGCACCTTCGCGCTCCGCTTGTTGCCGGCCAGCGTCAGGGCCTGCACGCGGCGCGAGCCAGGCCACGTCCGCAGCAACCAGTGCAGCAGAGCCCCGACGGCCTCGGACGCGTAGCCACGGCCCCAGGCGTCGGGTGTGAGCCAGTAGCCCAGCTCCCAGGTGCGGTAGAGGACGTCCTGGCCCGGGTCGGCGCCGATGCAGCCGACAAGTTGCTGCTCGTCGTCGTCGCCGGCCGAGCCCTTGACGCAGACGGCGACCTTGGTGGGATACAAACGCTTCACGGGGTCGGCGTCCGGGCACGGGGTCGCCACGAAGGCCTCGGCGTCGGCCAGCGTGTACGGGTGCGGGAAGCTGTCGCGGACGCCGTCCCACACGGCGCGGTGGTTGGCGGCGCGGGCGAGGGCTGGCGCGTCGTCGGGCTTGAAGCGGCGCAGGACGAGACGCGGCGTCTCGACGAGGATGGCCCCCGGCGCACCGCTCGGTGGCAAGGGGCATTCGAGAGCTTTAGTCGGTCGCGGCATGAGCGGGAATGGGGCGGTTTTGAGTTGTATCTCAGATGGCGTGCTATTGATTCATGGTGATTTTATGTGTTATCCGTCGCGAGAGCTTCAAGTTGGCATTGTCGAATGATTCATGCTCAGGGCATAAAGCAGCTTATAAGCAATAAGCGAGCTACTTTACTGCTGACACGGCTGGGCATGATGCTGGGTTGTTCGATTGAGTCACCGACTGTTTTGATGCGGCAAGCCCATTAACAAGGCTGCGTTCCTGGACGCAAGGCAGGGAACTTCAGGCTGTGGCTGAGGAGCCGGAAGCCAGCGTAGTAGATTTAGGGTTAGTATGGCGAGGCTGAGAGTCGACATGACTCTTTTTTCCCAACTTTGCTCGCGCCCTTGCCCCGAGGCCGGAGCGTACCAATAGAGCTAATAGAAAGTTTGGACCAGGTCGGAAAACTCCTTTGACTTCGTTCTGGCTTTATTGCGTTTAGCCAAAGTTTCGCACCGGATATCGCCTGGTCGCGCTTGGAAGCTTCAGCTTTTTCCATACAAGGAGAGTTTCGCGTCGCCCGGGCGGGTGCGGGGGGGCCGGCGGCCATGCAGGTGGCGCGCCATCCCATCTCAAGCAGGGACCTCACGGGGGTTACCTAATTCCCTGGTTAGCAAGTTGATGGGATGGCCGTCACTATTTCCACGTGGTGGCCGGGGTTTGTTAGCATTCGTAAGTCTGGGCGGCGGCGCAGACACCAGGTGGAAGTCTTGGCTAAGTCGTCATCAGCGGGAGAAGTCAGTCAGTGGCAATCAATCAATCTGAAATCTTGGGCTTCGCTCGTATCCCTGCCGACCAGGCTCCTAGAAGGCTTCAATAGTCACTTTTATTAGTCTGTGTGTTGGATGAGGTTGCAGTTTGGCAGAGGCTAGACTGGCAAACCCGCCGCGAGCCAGCTCACCTGACGCTGCAAAGACGATGGCCGGTCACCGCCGGAAGGCCAGAATAAGCAGGTCATTCTTGGTAGGTTCGTTATTAGCGCAAGAAAGTCGAGATGGTCGTTCTGTTGTGACGCAGTTATGGGGTCCAGGCCTAGGCGCAGTTCTGCCCGACTCGTGCAAGGCCATATCCATGCCAATGCAGACATGCTGTCTGGGCAGGACGCGCAAGCAGCTCTGAAGATGTGGGGGTATGCTTTGACATGTAACTTTTTTTTCCGTCATGATTCCTTTGTTGTCGGTGTTTTATTAGATAGTTGCAACTTAACAAGTTCATGTTTTAAAGTGTCTCGGTCTTGTTGATTTTGTCAGATTGTGTTAGCGAGTTGAAAGTACGGTGAGGTAAAGACATGCTGTTGTCATCGTATGATGGTGTCTTGGTCTGGACTTGACTTGCAGGTGTTGGTGCGAATAATTTTCTGGCTTATGTAAAGTATCTTGCAGACAACCTTGTTACAGGGCACCTTAGTCCGGGTTATTATAGCGCACTATAGCGGCTTGCTTGGGAGCTTGTAGCGCATGATTGCCCTGTGTTTGGATATTCGGCAAGGCCGTGTCGCGCATGGACGCCCTACAACACTGGGTGTTTTACAGCGGCTGTAGAAGGCCCCTATAGCGCATTATTGCATTCTGTCGTCCCCACTCGGCCACTGTTTGTCACCAACTCTCGCCTCCACCACCCACCTTCGCTCGATATCCGACACTGCCAGTGGCTACAAAGTCAAAGTACGGATGAGGCGGCCGTAGAAAATTAAAAAAGAAAAAAAATTATATTATTGGAATGTCTTGGCGAAAGAGGGAAATAAGAATTAGAAAGCTAATCGGTACTTGGCAATACGCGGCCGATATACGTTGACAGTCTCCAAGCGGGGCATCTGTATGTGCCTGGGAGCCTCCGCTCCTCGACCTCGACCCAACCCAACCGTCCTCCTCCTCCTCCTCGTTTGCCGAGCTGAGTGAGGCTGCGCCGGACTCTATATTAGTAGCCCATCCCGCCGCTTCTCTTTTCCTACATCCTTCTTCTTCGTTTCGTTTCGTTTCGTTTTCTCCATACAAGAAATATTCTCGGTCAAATTACTGCGACCTACGACGTCTAGGAATCGAAGCCGACACACAAACAGCATCACCGCCCGCTTACACACGCCTGACGGACAAGACACTTCTCGTTTACGATATTCCACCACGACAGCCAAAATGGCCGACTACGAACCAGCTGACAAGCACTGGGTAAGTCTACAGAACGATGCTTGACTTTCGTTTGCCTACCCGGGTCCACGACACGGCGACTTTGACAACCCAATCAACCCATCGCACTTCTGCCTCCTCTGCTTCTTCAGCAACCCTCCGCCTCTCCTCTCCCTCTTCCGCTACGAACACTCTCTACCATTCCGGATCGGCAGTCTCAGCCGGTCCCCTCGGACCCTCG